CTAAATCATTAGTTTGGGAAAGGTTAACCCAACTCAAATCAAGATATTCCAACGATGAAAAGTTGGAAACCCATCCGATATCATGGGATACAAGGTCATTATTATTATGGAGATCTAGGCTGCGCATGTTTGAGAGATTTCCGAGATGGTCCGGGACAACACCATCAAGAAAACAGCTAGAGAGGTTAAGATACTGCAACTCAGTCATTGATCCTAAAAATTCAGGAATTCTACTTCCTTGAAACTTATTCCGACTCATGTCCAAATAATTGAGATACTTCAATTCCCTTAAAGAAGGATCAAGACTTTTACCCACTAACCTGTCATCGAAAATAGCCTTAGTCATGTCATCGTCGAAACTAACATTGCCCCTGAGATCAAGTTCGATAACATGCCCCGTAATCTGGTCGCAAGTGACACCTTCCCACGTGCAACAGTTCAGGTCCCTCCACGAGGACAATCTGTTCGTAGGATCGACAAGACTTGCTTTGAACTTGAGGAGAGCTTTCCTCTCTGCAGCAACACAACCAGAAGATGCATTTATGGCGACACACAAATTAATCTCCAACTCCAAAACAAACATTAACATAAGAAGAAGAAGAAGAAGACGTGAAGCAGATATCTTCTCCATAAAGACACTAAACTGAAACAAGATACAATTTGCTTTTAGTAAGTGATGTAATTTGTAAGTGCATATATTTATTCATGAGCGTCTATGGTCTGTTTCTTTGGTTTTGAGACTTAAAATTCAAATAGTAAAATTTGTACTAAAAGAAACGCATCCTTGGATTTTGGATAATTGTTCGATGAAATATAAATATAAATTGATTTAATATTATGAAGATAAAATTGATTTTAAATATAATATTAGAAAAATAAAAAAAATAAATAGTTGATTTGATATTTGTAGAGGAAAACAATTTAAGAATAGTAAACATCAAATCAAATTGCCCAAACCAAAATTCTCTCTTTTAATTATGCACAAAATGAAATATGAAAATGATGTGTCAGTGCAAATTTGTTCTTGATGTGAGTAGACGATTAGCAAAAACACTTGCTTTTGCTTTGTGAGTCAAGTCTTTCGTTTTGTCAGTTAATGGAAAACAACACAAAAGAATTCCATGCGCAATATAAAGTGATGACTGAGCGAACCATTAAACACCACAAGCATTCATTCATTAATTGATACCCACCACAATCAAACCATTCATTCATAGACCCACACAACAAGAGTATGCAAAAATTAATAAAATAAATAAATAAAATAAAGTATGTTAGAACTTATTCTTATCTTACTGTCTCAATATCCAAGGGTCCCGTTTTTATTTTTTTTTAAAGATCTTTGAATATTAATTATTATATAAAAACTTAGTAGAAATTAAAGAAAAATGACAAGAATACTTTATTAATGTCTTATAATATTTATGCAAAAAATTATATTGTACTAAAAAAAAATGGACCTTTAGAGCTGATCCAATATTTTTGGAGATTTTTTTAAAATATCTTTTAAGATACAAAAAAAAAATATATGTATAAAATGAAAATAGTGTCGTGCTTGTTCGTGTAGTAACTCCAAAATTCTTCGTCAAAAATAAAAAAATCTCTTTAACATGTGAGTGTACGGGTCGAACTCAGGGAATATGCGAATATCCTATATTTAATTAGAAAAAGTGCAATGAGTTAATGCAATCGAAGAAGCTGAAAACATAAATTGCAAAAATTAAATCTAACTAAAAAGCTATAAAATATACGTATCTCGAAAAGAGTGAAGCGAGGCATTTGTGTCTGACTTTTGCGTTCCTTGATATGGCTAGATTTCCATGGATGAAATGAGCGGGATGACGATGGCGTGATAGCGAAAAATATATGTATAATTGCGGGGCGGCACGGAGAAATGAGTGTGATCGCATTTGCTCGTTTAAGCCGATTCTCGACTCGGTTGGTACTTGACCTTAGGGGATTTACAACGAGGCTTCAGCGAAACCCGGCGAAGAACATTATAACCAAAAAACTTTACTAGATATTTCTGTGACCCAATAGACCACCGCCTATGCCCCAAGAATATTCTTCCAACTGTTCTCAACCCCTCTGATACCTCTCTTTAATCGGAATCGAATTCAAAACAACAACTAAGCAGGTCAACAAGGCTCCCGCGTACTTAGCTACGTTGAACTACCCGGAATCTGCTTTTGGCACGAAACAGGGCTGAAATAGTCGATTCTTCTACCGCCCTTCCGCAACCTTGTCGAAATCCAACTTGAACAATTCAAATAGAACATGGAAATTTTGGGTGAAAGTGAGGCGGAGAAATATGATAGGATTTTACTAGCTAAATTAATATGCAGGAATTAAAAGAAAAAAAAAAAAAGGGAGAAAATCAGTTTGCTCGAGACACAAAATCGAAGATCTTGTATTATTAAACTATATAAATATATGGAAGAAAAAATGGAGAAAATGGAGTGTATGGAATGTATATTATTGTGAATACATGGTGTGTATATATATATATATATATGGTACAATTAGAGGGGATATTTATAGGGGAAAAAGTTTCTAGAAGCTTGGCGGTTACGACGCCAATAAATAATACTTCTAAAAATAACTACTACTTACTTCTAAAAATAACTATAAATAACTAACTCAAAAAATACCTACTAATATAACTACTAATAACTACTTATTTTCTAAAAAGTTCTAGAATAAAAATTACAAAAAATAGCTAAAAATTTGCTAAAAAGTAATGCAGGAATTTAATATAGGAGCCGTGAGAGCGCAGAAATAAATGCAGGGCTGGAATAAAGGGAGGAGGAGTTGGGGGTGCAGAGCAGTAAATACAGACAATTATTGCAGCGAGAATTAATGCAGCTGCCGCTCATGGAGTCCGCGCAGCCGTCGCTTGTCTTCCGCGCTCATAAATACAGCTGCCGTTCGCTTTCCGCGCTCGCTTGCCTTCCGCATCAGCCGTCGCTTGTCTTCCGCGCCAGCCGTCGCTTGCCTTCCGCGCTCATAAATACAGCCGCCGCTCGCTTTCCGCGCTCGCTTGCCTTCCGCGTCAGCCATCGCTTGTCTTCCGCGCCAACTGTTGCCTTCCGCGTGGCCGTAGCTTGTATTCCGCGCTTGGTTGACTTTGACTTTCGCGCGTTGACTTTCTGACGTTGATTGTTGACTTTTGTTGACTTTCACTTTTTTTCGGTTCTGAAGCCCTTTTTTCAGTTTTTAAGGCCAATTTTGGACTTTCATATGCATTATTTCACCTATATAAATGAACATTTTATAAATATTTATTTAAATAAATAATACTTATTAAATAAAATTAATTTAGTTAAAATTAAATACATATAAATAATGCCAAAAAAATATAATTCAAGAAACACATCAATTAATTTAATTTATACACCAAAATAATTATAAATTACACTTAAAAACTAATAATTTAATATTATACAAACAACATGAATTCATGAATACAATTATTTTAGAATAAATTAATATAAATAATATCAAAATTAGACATAAACAAATAATTAAATAAAGAAATATAAGGTATAAAATATGACAGAGTTATCTCAAAGTACAATGTTAATAAAAACAATCAAACTGACTTGCTAAACGTAGATTTAAATAAAGACTATTAATCCATCAAGAATTATACAAAAACACAAATCTAAAGAATCCTAAGATTCAATCACGAAATCTCCTCAACATAGAGATAGCCCCAACCATAAATAATCATTTAGACGTAACAACAAATTGCTCTGTCGCTCAGTAAATGGATCGAACTGCATCACTCTTGCCAAGATGTTCGATCCTTTGGAAGCTCATTGCCACTTCCGTTTCCGCCGCCAAACTGAGAAAGTTTTTATCATTGACCGCATTTTCAAGTGTCTCTCGGCTTCTCTTCTTCACAATTTTCGTAGGGTAAAAAGGAATGCTTGTTGCAGTGAAAATACTTGCATACTTCACTAGTGATTGATTGTACATAAAACTTCAGTTCAAGACAAATATACAACTTTCATCTATTACAAACAAGCCAATGTTTGTCTCGAGTACTTGTAACTAAAAGCCACGCCTGAAAGCAGAATTAAAACATCAACGACGACTTTCATTCAAGGAAAACACTAACTGAAAACTACGAAAATTAAAAACATTATATATATATTATATATCACTTACCTGAAATTCTCCGACGGAGCAATGCCGTGGCAAGCAGAATCTTGTTCCCCAACTCATCTGTGAAGCCAAAGTAAGCTTGTCTGAAGCTCCTTTTGAATACCAACAATCCAACGAAACCCCAAAATCCAATGCCGAATCCTCCCACCACAAATGCACAGAACCATATTTTATCCATTGAGTCTCCATCTTGTTCAACATGATTTTTGACATTTGAAGCATTCGGCGAATTGTCTCCCGGACATCTCTTTTGCAGAGGAGCTCCACAGAGTTGAGGATTGCCATCATAACTTGCATGGTCTCCGAGAGTTTGCAGTTGCTTTCCTGTGGGAATCTGTCCGGATAAATTATTGTTGGATACGTTCAAGTGGCTCAGAAAATAGAGATTTGATAGACTATTTGGGATTCTTCCAAACAAATTGTTGCTCGAAAGATCAAGAGATTCCAAAGCCGTCATATCTCCAATCTTTGCTGGAATTTCTCCATCCAATGAATTATGTGACAAATTGAGGCCATACAAGTTGCGAAGGCCTGTCAGCTCTGAAGGAATTTCTCCAATAAGATTGTTGCATGAAAGATCCAAATTAACAAGATATCTTATATTCGTAGTGTACTCCATCACTGATCCTTTGAACACTTGATATAAGCTATGAAAATACAAGGTTGGAAGTGGAGAATTAATTTCAATCATGCCTGAGAGATTTCCAAAGCAGTGCGGGATGTATCCGCTCAACTTGTTATTCCCGAGGTCTAGCACTTGAAGTTGAGAAGCTTCACAGAGTGCCCGAGAAATTTCCCCATGAAATTGATTATTCCTCAACTTAAGAATAAACAATGAAAGTTGCTTATTTCCGATCCATGCAGGTATTTTACCGGACAACATATTTTCTCCAACGTCTAAAGCTTCTAAATAAGTACAGTTTTGTAAAGTGGAGGGAATTGGTCCTGAAAGCATGTTGTTGTTCAACAAAAGCCATTGCAATCCGCCAGCACCTCCAATGGATTTAGGAATGGTGCCTGAAAGCTCATTGGATGACAATGACAAAAACATTAAGCCTTGAAAGTTTTGCCAACATTCCGACATATTACCAGATAAATTATTATTGGAGAGATCTATAACCTGCAAAGATCTCATATTGCACAATGAATCAGGCAGTGAGCCATTAATAGAGTTTCGGCTCATTAATAAATTTTCTAGAAGAGGTAACATGTAACCAATGTCGCTCGGTAGAGTTCCTGAAATGCCGCAATTGGATAAATTAAGGTAAACTAGTGTCTTCTGGGATTGAAGCCATGATGGAAACTGACCTCCAATATTGGAAGATCCCATGAGAAGATAATTTAATTGAAAAGAGGGCACCCAGCCATGTCCAAACTTAAAAGTGATCAAGTTGGAGGATACAGAAAGCAGTTTTAATTTCGAGAGCTTGTCAAAGTGAACCTCAGAAATTGTTCCATTGAACAAGTTGTCTAAAATGCCCAACTTCTCCAAATTTGATAGTTGCCCCAAAAATATTGGAATTTCACCACTTAATTGATTAAAAGAGAGACTCAACAATCTCAATGCTTTCAACTTTCTAAAGGATGATGGAATGAGACCCACTAACTTGTTATAAGAGATATCCAACTCTTCCAAACCCGACAAGTTTCCAAGAGATTCAGGAATTTGACCACTTAATTGATTAGAAAAGAGAAGCAACCATCTCAATGCTTTCAACTTTCGAAAGGATGATGGAATGGGACCCACTAACTTGTTACCAGGAATAATCAACTTTTCCAAACCCGACAAGTTTCCAAGCGATTCAGGAATTTGACCACTTATATTGGAAAAAGAAAGATCAAGAGATGTTAATCGTTTGACTTTGTCCAAATCATTCGGTAAACCACCTTTGAAGTTGTTTTCTGACAATTCTAGGCTCTTCAAATTTTGACTCCAACATCCAGAAATATTGTTGAAAACTGCTGAGATCTCCCCATGAAAGTTATTATAAGACAGAGACAATGATTCCAAGCGGCAAATATCACCTAAGAGTTGGGAGATCCAATCTGACTCATATTCAAATTGGTTCCCACCAAGGTTGAGCTGAACAAGGTTTCTTAATTTTAAAAATTGCAAGTGTGAAGTGTTGTATACATTGTTTGAAAGATCAAGAATCCTCAGAGAAGTCATATTCGAGAGAAAGCAAGGGACTTCTCCTTCAAATGAGTTCCAACTAAGATCCAAGCTATAGACTTGTGAAAGAAATGAAGAATTTAAACAAGAATGGGATAAGTGATTGTTGCTAAGTGAACTATGTGAGAAACGCAGCACTGATAAAGAAGGTAGCACGTTGAGTACCTTAACTAAATCATTAGTTTGGGAAAGGTTAACCCAACTCAAATCAAGATATTCCAACGATGAAAAGTTGGAAACCCATCTGATATCATTGGATATAAGGCCATCATTATAGTTGAGATCAAGCCTACGCAACTTTGACAGATTGCCAAGATGGTCTGGGACAACACCATCAAGAAAACACCCAGAGAGGTTAAGATACTGCAGCTCAGTCATTGATCCTAAAAATTCAGGAATTCTACTTCCTTGAAACTTATTCCGACTCAAGTCCAAATAATTGAGATACTTCAATTCCCTTAAAGAAGGATCAAGACTTTTACCCACTAACCTGTCATCGAAAATAGCCTTAGTCATGTCATCGTCGAAACTAACATTGCCCCTGAGATCAAGTTCGATAACATGCCCCGTAATCTGGTCGCAAGTGACACCTTCCCACGTGCAACAGTTCAGGTCCCTCCACGAGGACAATCTGTTCGTAGGATCGACAAGACTTGCTTTGAACTTGAGGAGAGCTTTCCTCTCTGCAGCAACACAACCAGAAGATGCATTTATGGCGACACACAAATTAATCTCCAACTCCAAAACAAACATTAACATAAGAAGAAGAAGAAGACGTGAAGCAGATATCTTCTCCATTGCAACACAGAAACTCAAACAAGATTCAAATGGTTTTAATGAGATTTTAGACCATATAGCTGTAGATGCATGATGAACAAAGATTCAAAGACTACTTATAGAGTGGCACCATGTACCATGTATCTCTGTATGTATGCACGTATTTTCTTCAAATTCTTTCACATCCAATTTTTTCCATAAGGACTCATTCAATACTGGAGAAATTATATTCTTTTGTCGATATTATACATATCTTTATCAATAGTTATTTGCACAATGACTCATCCAAGTCTTTCCACAAGGACTCATCCATTTTTATCAAAATTCTCTTCTTACAAAATATCGTTTTGTAATTAAAATATTACATTCAATAGTTATTTTAAATTTATTTAAAATATCAAACAAAAAAAAAGTTATATCCAAAATTGTAGTGCCTATTGTTTTTTTAAAATTATTTCTTTATAATTCTTTTCCTAACCCTTAAATAACATTTTTAACATCTAACTTGTAATTCAAATATTTTTTTTATATTCTAAATAATATAAATATTTTCATGGACATATATCTAAACAAAGCCTCAAAGTCTGGCATTTCTACTACATGAACCATCAAACACGAAGAAAAAAAGAAAAGGATTAATTATTAATAACTAATTAAATCCTAAATATTTAACTTTTTTACTATGTGAAGTCATGAACCATCAAGTATTGATTAATGGCTAATAAGTAACTATTACCACTGGATCGATGATCCAATGGTGTATAAACATGTTTGTAATATTGGTTAATCGAAATCAAATTGATTAGTTAAAGTAATTCTCAAATTTTCTGCTTGAATAATAATAATAATACCATTGAACTATACAAAATCACTTAACTGTCAATTAACATTTGATATGAAATTCAAATAAAGATTATTTACATAAGACATTAAATTACTTGAAATGAAATAGGCATATGCATGATATTTCCACAAGGTAAAGACAATTTTCATTTGTACATGATATGAAAATGATGGGTCAATGAAAATTTCTTTTTTGACTTAGAGTAAACGCATGCATTGCCTTGTGGATACGACACATTCGAAATTTCCACGGCCCCGTTGTTGTTGTTGTTATCATTGTTTAAGAAAAAGGAATATACCCTAATAATGACAATCCTATTATTTTTTAAAATGTTTTCTTTTCTTGTTTCTTCAATTATAGTTGAGATTTTTCAAAGACAATAACATTATTTTTATTGTTTTCAATGTTATTATAAAATTTACAGAAATAAATATTATGAAAAAAAAGAAGTTATAATGACTAATAAGACCACATAAAAAAATGCTAAAAATATATGATTTGTTTAATTGTATTTGCACACTTTATTTTCACTATTTTTTTACAATAACATACTTACTAAATTCATACGAAAATATAATTATTTTTTATTTTCATATGTCCAAACACTAAATATTCATTCTATATATATAAAGTGTAAATTGTAGTCTAACTGATACATTTGTGTACGTGAGTATTTGTTGAAAAATAATCTGGATTGAATGAAAATAAAAAATCGCACCGTATATATGATCTTGGAAATACACGCAACACTCGAATTTTAGGCGAAAAATCGAACAAGTAGAATATTAGGAGCTTATTTGCTATGGCATATTAATTCTGCAGACAAGAATCTGCATAATTTTTGTTCTGTCAGAATTTGACAAGATAAAGTTTTATTTAATAAACATTGAAGTATCTATTCAAAAATAAAAGATGCACCTTTCAAATTTAAATCCAAAAAGTTGCCAATTACAAATTCATGTAATTATTAAACACTTCGTTCAATATCGTATACCTACTCTCAAGCGTGCACCCCACGGGATCCTTCCCGAGAATAGCTCGATACGAATTTCTTATTTTCAAATAAATTCAATAACAACAAAATAACCAACAGTATTTCAATCTTCATGTGCATATGAAATTAAGCTGGAGTGTGTTTCTGCTTTAAACGGGGTCTTACTACGTTGTAATTTCTAGCAGTCCTGGGTAGGAACAGTTTTGAAATTCCCTAAAAGCTTGCAAGAGCCATTTTAATTTCTTCTGTTATTTTTGTTATCATGAAAGAATATTAATTACGAATCAAGACAGTCAGGGGTGCAAAGCTGGCGCAACTTCTCCTTCTCCATGAGGCAGCTCTTGTGGCAGTCGGGAAAGGACATTCTGCTATTCCTCAATCAGACATGGATGATTCATTGATTGAGAGCGAATCAAAATGACGAAATTAAAATGGATAGATTGACGGTAGACTGAGGAGTATTCTTTTATTTCACCCAATTAACCGAAACTGTTGTACATCAAATTTTCTTATGGCAACCACATTTTATTCTACAAAGGTATTGCTTGGCGACAGAGCTGCTGAAAGAAGTCATTTTCGGGAGGAATACCTCGAAAGCATCCGTCAGTTACCTCGCCGATGCTTCCTGGCTCGCCCGAGTATGTGGCCTTCCGACATTCACATTTCTAAATTCTCCGACGGAGTAATGCCGTGGCAAGCTGAATCTTGTTCCCCATCTCATCTGTAAAGCCAAAGTAAGCTTGTATGAAGCTCCTTTTGAATACCAACAATCCAACGAAACCCCAAAATCCAGTGCCGAATCCTCCCACCACAAATGCCCAAAACCATATTTTATCCATTGAGTCTGCATCTCCTTCAGCATGATTTTTGGCATTTGGAGCATTCGGAGAATTGTTTCTGGGACATCTCTTTTGCAGAGGAGCTCCACAGAGTTGAGGATTGCCATCATAACTTGCATGGTCTCCGAGAATTTGAAGTTGATTTCCTGTGGGAATCTGTCCGGATAAATTATTGTTGGATACGTTCAAGTAGCTCAGAAAATAGAGATTTGATAGACTATTTGGGATTCTTCCAAACAAATTGTTGCTCGAAAGATCAAGAGATTCCGAAGCCGTCAAATCTCCAATCTTTGCTGGGATTTCTCCATCCAATGAATTATGTGACAAATTGAGGCCATGCAAGTTGCGAAGGTCCATCATCTCTAAAGGAATTTTCCCTGTAAGATTATTGCATGAAAGATCCAAATTAATAAGATATCTTATATTCCTAGAGTACTCCATCACTGATCCTTTGAACACTCGATGTAAGCTATGAAAATACGAGGTCAGACTTGGAGACTTAATTTCAATCATGCCTGAGAGATTTCCAAAGCAGTGCCGGATGTATCCGCTCAACTTGTTATTCCCGAGGTCTAGCATTTGAAGTTGAGAAGCTTCACAGAGTGCCTGAGGAATTTCCCCATGAAATTGATTATTCCTCAACTTAAGAATAAACAATAAAAGTTGCTTATTTCCGATCCATGCAGGTATTTTACTGGACAACATATTTTCTCCAACGTCTAAAGCTTCTAAATAAGTACAGTTTTGTAAAGTGGAGGGAATCGGTCCTGAAAGCTTGTTGTTGTTCAACAAAAGCCATTGCAATCCGCCAGCACCTCCAATGGATTTAGGAATGATGCCTGAAAGCTCATTGGATGACAATGACAAAAACTCTAAGCCTTGAAAGTTTTGCCAACATTCCAACATACTACCAGATAAGTTATTGCTGGAGATATCTATAACCGACAAATCTTTCATATTGCAGAATGAATCTGGTAGTGAGCCATTAATGGAGTTTCGGCTCATTAATAAATATTTCAGAAGAGGTAACATGTAACCAATGTCGCTCGGTAGAGTTCCTGAAATGCCGCAATTGGATAAATTAAGGGCAATTAGTGCCTTCTGGGATTGTAGCCATGCAGGAAACTGACCTCCAATGTTGGATGATCCCATGTCGAGATATGTCAATTGAAAAGAGGGCATCCAGCCATGTTCAAACTTAAAATTGATCGAGTTGGAGGATACAAGAAGTCTTTTTAATTTTGAGAGCTTGTCAAAGTGGATTTCAGAAATTATTCCATTGAACAAGTTGTCTGAAATGCCCAACTTCTCCAAATTTGATAGTTACCCCAAAAATATTGGAATTTCTCCACTTAATTGATTAGAAGAGAGACGCAACCATCTCAATGCTTTCAACTTTCTAAAGGATGATGGAATGAGACCCACTAACTTGTTATAAGAGATATCCAACACTTCCAAACCCGACAAGTTTCCAAGAGATTCAGGAATTTGACCACTTATATTTGAACCAGAAAGATCAAGAGATGTTAATCGTTTGACTTTGTCCAAATCATTCGGTAAACCACCTTTGAAGTTGTTTCCTGACAATTCTAGGCTCTTCAAATTTTGACTCCAACATCCAGAAATATTGTTGAAAACTGATGAGATCTCCCCATGAAAGTGATTATAAGACAGAGACAATGATTCCAAGCGGCAATTATCACCTAAGAGTTGGGAGATCCAATCTGACTCATATTCAAATTGGTTCCAACCAAGGTTGAGATGAACAAGGTTTCTTACTTTTAAAAATTGCAAGTGTGAAGTGTTGTATCCATTGTACGAAAGATCAAGAATCCTCAGAGAAGTCATATTGGAGAGAAAGCAAGGGACTTCTCCTTCAAATGAGTTCCAACTAAGATCCAAGCTATAGACTTGTGAAAGAAATGAAGAATTTAAACAAGAATGGGATAAGTGATTGTTGCTAAGTGAACTATGTGAGAAACGCAGCACTGATAAAGAAGGTAGCACGTTGAGTACCTTAACTAAATCATTAGTTTGGGAAAGGTTAACCAAACTCAAATCAAGATATTCCAACGATGAAAAGTTGGAAACCCATCTGATATCATTGGATATAAGGCCATCATTATAGTTGAGATCAAGCCTACGCAACTTTGACAGATTGCCAAGATGGTCTGGGACAACACCATCAAGAGAACACCCAGAGAGGTTAAGATACTGCAACTCAGTCATTGATCCTAAAAATTCAGGAATTCTACTTCCTTGAAACTTATTCTGACTCAAGTCCAAATAATTGAGATACTTTAATTCCATTAAAGAAGGATCAAGACTTTTACCCTCTAAACTCTTATCCAAAATAATATTACCCGTGTAATAGTCCAAACTAGCATTGCCCCTGAGATCAAGTTCGATAACATGCCCGGTAATCTGGTCGCAACTAACACCTTCCCACGTGCAACAATTCAGCTCCCTCCACGAGGACAATCTATTTGTAGGATCAGCAAGGCTTGCTTTGAACTTGAGGAGAGCTTTCCTCTCTGCAGCAACACAACCAGAAGATGCATTTATGGCCAAACATAAATTAATCTCCAACTCCAAAACAAACATTAACATAAAAAGAAGAAGAGAAGAAGCAGATATCTTCTCCATTGCAACCATGAAACTCAAACAAGATTCAAATGGTTTTAATGAGATTTTAGATCATATATATAGCTGTGGTGAACCAAGATTCAAAGAGTACTTATAGAATGGCACCATGTATCCTGTACGTATGTATGTTTGTTGTATGCACATAGTTTCTTTTAAGTTCTTTCACATCCAATTTTTCCCACGAGGACTCATTCAAATACTGCAGAAAATTATTATGTCCATATTGTACATATCTTTGTCAATATTTACTTCCACAACAATTCATCCATATTTTTATGAAAAAACGAGAAAGAAAGCAAATAAAGAACACAAATATTTACAGTGTGTCAACATTTACAGGGAGGAACCGAAGAGATTTTATTATACCGATTCAGAGAGTTATAATCATAGTCATAAACCATAGCTATCTATTTATAAGCACCCTCAAAACACCCAAAGCCCAAAAGGAACCCTATCAATTGAAATAGTCTTTTTGCTTTGGTTCCGGGTCGGGTAGACAGCTAAATAAGTCAAGTTTCAACAATCTCCACCTTGACTTGGAGTTTATCCAACAGCCAATGGTTCCTCAGTATCTCTCTCGGTCGTCTCCTTCCTGCTGGATGCCCCGAACGGACTTTACCTCCTGCGAATATTCACCAAGTTGAAGCAGCGCTCAGTTCAACCAGTGCTCGAACTTCTCCATTAGTATTACGCAAATATAACTAATTAATTTTATCCCGACTCATTTTCAATTAATTTGGTGTAATCTCTCGTCGCATATTGAACATAGATGACCCAATGACAGTCCACGGCGAACCTCCTCCATGGATAAAGCGCCCTAAATTTGTAGGTCCATGCAAGAATCAACTTCGAAGGCTCTCTTTGCGACGACTACCATCTGATTGAGCCCCCGATCAACTTCGAACTTGAAGACGACTGATGAACGAAATGCACGGAAAAATAGTCGCCCTGCTCAGGCAGCACAATGCACCTTTGCTTAAGATTGTCAAGGTATGATTGAAATGCTTCTAGAGTCATGTCGTGTTCCTCCATGGAAAGTCATATATAATATAAAAAAAATAAGTACTTTATTTGATATTTTTAGGAAAAAAAAGTTTATGATTAGTAGAAAACAAATCAAATCACCCAAACAAAAATTCTCTCATTTAATTATGCACAAAATGAAATATGAAAATGATGTGTCAGAGCAAATTTCTTCTTGATGTGAGTAGACGAGCAAACACACTTGCTTTGACCTCTACCTTTGCCTTTGCCTTTGCTTTTGCTTTGTCAGTCAAGTCTTTCATTTTGTCAGTTGATGGAAAACAACTTAAAAGAATTCCATGTGCAAGATATGTGATGACTGAGCTAACCATTAAACACTAAAAGCATCCATTCATGAAGTGATAGCCACCACAATCAACATTCATTCATAGATCCACACAACAAGAGTATGCAAAAAAACAAAAACAAAAACATAAAGTATGTTAGACCTCTATCGTTAGTACCGAATAGAATTCTATTTAAGAAAGATTGATACATGAATAAGTAATAGAGGTTCATTATTTACATGGGTTCGGAATATCTTTTTTAAGAGATACTTCGCTGGGGATAATGTTTGCAGAATGCGACGAAAATAGTTTGATAGTTCTTCAAATAATGTGAATGTACAGCACTGTAATTTGTTAGAGAAACTGAAGTGTAGATGGATGTAAACAAATCCTTCAAGGATTACAATCATCCTCTTCTAACCTTGTAAATGAAGCTAAGAACTCATCTTTATATATAGATATAGAAGGTTTTGTTTCACTTGAATTGGTTTGATTTGGATTTCAAACTCAAATTCTATTTAAAATAATGTTTGATGGAATATTTTGTGAGAGAAAGAATGTATTTTTTTTCGAAAAAGTAAAGTCCAAATAGTAAAAAATTAAAGGTTTGAGTCAAAAGAAACAGACCTATACTGTAATATACATTTTTATGGTTGAGTTAACACTCACAGTACCCTCCTTAATTATACATTTAACTAGCTAATAATTTTTTTCATTGTCTTATAATACTATTCGTCCATAGTAAGCTCTAAGTAAATACTATTTATCGCACCAAAATGCGCTCAACTAATTATTCTATTTAATCCGTAAGAATACACAACAGAGTAATAATCAGCACCTCTAAATTGTTCTGTGGCTCAGTACATAATAATTCATATCTTAAAATAGGCACAGGGATCAAACTACAAAATTGTCATTTCAAGGATTGCATCCAGACCCTCCATCGATCGGAAAAATGATTGCTTATTACAATGAAAATCCTTGCACACTTCACTAGTGATTTATACGTAAAACAACAGTTCAAGACACGCATAAAACTTTTATTACAAGCAAGCCACTGATCTTTTCGAGTACTTCTAGCTAAAAGCCACAAATAACAAAGCGGAATTAAAACATCAAAAGTGGCTTTTATTCGAACACAAAACCAACTAAAAACAGCCTTAACTAAAAACAATATATATATATGTATATAATATATCACTTACCTGAGAATCTCCGACAGAGTAATGCCACAGCAAGCAGAATCTTGTTGCCAATCTCATCTGTAAAACCAAAGTAAGCTTGCCTGAAGCTTCTTTTGAATACCAACAGTCCAACAAAACCCCAAAATCCAGTTCCAAATCCACCTACCACAAATGCACAAAACCATATTCTATCCATTGAGTCTCCATCTCCTTCATTATGATTCTTAGCATTTGAAGGATTCTGTGGTTTTTGACCCGGACATCTTTTTGGCAGGGGAGCCCCACAAAGTTGAGGATTGCCATCATAACTTGAAGGGTCTTCGAGAGTTTGCAATTGATTTCCTGTGGGAATCGGTCCTGACAGATTATTGTTGGACAAGTTTAGATGGCTCAGAAAATATAGGTTTGATAGACTATAGGGGATTTTTCCAAGCAAATTGTTGTTCGAAAGATCAAGAGATTCCAAAGACGTCAATTCTCCAATCTTCGCTGGAATTTCTCCATTCAAGGAATTATGTGACAAATTGAGACCACGCAAGTTGCGAAGGCCTGTCAGCTCTGAAGGAATTTCTCCAATAAGATTGTTGCATGAAAGATCCAAATTAACAACTTCTGATAGATTCTTAGAGTACTCCATCTCTACTCCTTTCAACACTTGATGTAATCTCTCTTGAATAAATTTAATTGGATACAATGAATGTTTTTCAATCATGCCAGAGATATTTCCGAAGCAATGTGGGATGTATCCGGTAAGCTTATTGTTTCCAACATCTAAAATTTGAAGTTGAAAAGCCTCACAAAGTGCTTGAGGAATCTCCCCATGAAATTGATTATCCCTCAGCCTAAGGATTTTAAAAAACGGCAGCTTATTTCCGATCCATTCAGGTATATTACCAGACAACATATTTTCTCCAACATCTAAAGCTTCTAAAAGAGTACAATTCTGTAAAGTGGAGGGAATCGGTCCTGAAAGCTTGTTGTCGTTCAACAAAAGCCGTTCCAATAAGTAAGCACCTCCAATGGATTGAGGAATGATGCCTGAAAGCTCATTCGATGACAATGACAAATAAGTTAGCACTTGAAAGCTTTGCCAACACTCCAACATATTCCCGGATAAATGATTCATGGAGAGATCTATAATCGACAAAGCTCTCATATTGCAGAATGAATCAGGTAGTGAGCCTTTAATAGAGTTTTGGCCCAATAATAAAAATTCTAGAAGAGGTAACATGTAACCAATGTCGCTCGGTAGAGTTCCTGAAATGCCGCAATTGAATAAATTAAGGTAAACTAGTGTCTTCTGGGATTGAAGCCATGCAGGAAACTGACCTCCAATGTTGGATGATCCCATGTCGAGATATCTCAATTGAAAAGAGGGCACCCAGCCATGTCCAAACTTAAAAGTGATCAAGTTGGAGGATACAAAAAGCGCTTTTAATTTCGAGAGCTTGTCAAAGTGAACCTCAGAAATTGTTCCATTGAACAAGTTGTCTGAAATGCCCAGCATCTCCAAATTTGATTGTTGCCCCAAAAATATTGGAATTTCTCCACTTAATTGATTAGAAGAGAGACGCAACCATCTCAATGCTTTCAACTTTCTAAAGGATGATGGAATGAGACCCACTAACTTGTTATAAGAGATATCCAACTCTTCCAAACCCGACAAGTTTCCAAGAGATTCAGGAATTTGACCACTTATATTTGAACCAGAAAGATCAAGAGATGTTAATCGTTTGACTTTGTCCAAATCATTCGGTAAACCACCTTTGAAGTTGTTTCCTGACAATTCTAGGCTCTTCAAATTTTGACTCCAACATCCAGAAATATTGTTGAAAACTGATGAGATCTCCCCATGAAAGTGATTATAAGACAGAGACAATGATTCCAAGCGGCAATTATCACCCAAGAGTTTGGAGATCCAATCTGACTCATATTCAAATTGGTTCTCATAAAGGTTGAGATGAACAAGGTTTCTTAATTTTAAAAATTGCAAGTGTGAAGTGTTGTATACATTGTTTGAAAGATCAAGAATCCTCAGAGAAGTCATATTCGAGAGAAAGCAAGGAACTTCTCCGTGAAATCCGTTCAAACTAAGATCCAAGCGATAGACATGTGAAAGAAATGAAGAATTTAAACAAGAATGGGATAAGTGATTGTTAAGTGAACTCCGTGACAAGCGCAGCACAGACAAAGAAGGTAGCACGTTGAGTACCTTAACTAAATCATTAGTTTGGGAAAGGTTAACCCAACTCAAATCAAGATATTCCAACGATGAAAAGTTGGAAACCCATCTGATATCATTGGATATAAGGCCATCATTATAGTTGAGATCAAGCCTACGCAACTTTGACAGATTGCCAAGATGGTCTGGGACAACACCATCAAGAAAACACGCAGAGAGGTTAAGATACTGCAACTCAGTCATTGATCCTAAAAATTCAGGAATTCTACTTCCTTGAAACTTATTTCGACTCAAGTCCAAATAATTGAGATACTTCAATTCCCTTAAAGAAGGATCAAGACTTTTACCCACTAACCTGTCATCGAAAATAGCCTTAGTCATTGTCATGTCATCGTCGAAACTAACATTGCCCCTGAGATCAAGTTCGATAACATGCCCCGTAATCTGGTCGCAAGTGACACCTTCCCACGTGCAACAGTTCAGGTCCCTCCACGAGGACAATCTGTTCGTAGGATCGACAAGACTTGCTTTGAACTTGAGGAGAGCTTTCCTCTCTGCAGCAACACAACCAGAAGATGCATTTATGGCGACACACAAATTAATCTCCAACTCCAAAACAAACATTAACATAAGAAGAAGAAGAGAAGAAGCAGATATCTTCTCCATTGCAACACAGAAACTCAAACAAGATTCAAATGGTTTTAATGAGATTTTAGACCATATAGCTGTAGATGCATGATGAACAAAGATTCGAAGACTACTTATAGAGTGGCACCATGTACCATGTATCTCTGTATGTATGCACGTATTTTCTTCAAATTCTTTCACATCCAATTTTTTCCATAAGGACTCATTCAATACTGGAGAAATTATATTCTTTTGTCGATATTATACATATCTTTATCAATAGTTATTTGCACAATGACTCATCCAAGTCTTTCTACAAGGACTCATCCATTTTTATCAAAATTCTCTTCTTACAAAATATCGTTTTGTAATTAAAATATTACATTCAATAGTTATTTTAAATTTATTTAAAATATCAAACAAAAAAAAAGTTATATCCAAAATTGTAGTGCCTATTGTTTTTTTAAAATTATTTCTTTATAATTCTTTTCCTAACCCTTAAATAACATTTTTAACATCAAACTTTAATTCAAATATTTTTTATATTCTAAATAATATAAATATTTTCATGGACATATATCTAAACAAAGCCTAGAAGTCTGGCATTTCTACTACATGAACCATCAAACACGAAGAAAAAAAGAAAAGGATTAATTATTAATAACTAATTAAATCCTAAATATTTAATTTTTTTTCTATGTGAAGTCATGAACCATCAAGTATTGATTAATGGCTAATAAGTAACTATTACCACTGTATCGATGATCCAGTGGTGTATTAACATGTTTATAATATTGGTTAATCGAAATCAAATTGATTAGTTAAAGTAATTCTCAAATTTTCTGCTTGAATAATAATAATAATACCATTGAACTATACAAAATCACTTAACTGTCAATTAACATTTGATATGAAATTCAAATAAAGATTATTTACATAAGACATTAAATTACTTGAAATGAAATAGGCATATGCATGATATTTCCACAAGGTAAAGACAATTTTCATTTGTACATGATATGAAAATGATGGGTCAATGAAAATTTCTTTTTTGACTTAGAGTAAACGCATGCATTGCCTTGTGGATACGGCACATTCGAAATTTCCACGGCCGTTGTTGTTGTTGTTATCATTGTTTAAGAAAAAGGAATATACCCTAATAATGACAATCCTATTATTTTTTAAAATGTTTTCTTTTCTTGTTTCTTCAATTGTAGTTGAGATTTTTCAAAGACAATAACATTATTTTTATTGTTTTCAATGTTATTATAAAATTTACAGAAATAAATATTATGAAAAAGAAGAAGTTATAATGACTAATAAGACCACATAAAAAAATGCTAAAAATATATGATTTGTTTAATTGTATTTGCACACTTTATTTTCACTATTTTTTTTACAATAACATACTTATTAAATTCATACGAAAATATAATTATTTTTTATTTTCATATGTCCAAACACTAAATATTCATTCTATATATATAAAGTGTAAATTGTAGTCTAACTGATACATTTGTGTACGTGAGTATTTGTTGAAAAATAATCTGGATTGAATGAAAATAAAAAATCGCACCGTATATATGATCTTGGAAATACACGCAACACTCGAACTTTAGACGAAAAATCGAACAAGTAGAATATTAGGAGCTTATTTGCTATGGCATATTAATTCTGCAGACAAGAATCTGCATAATTTTTGTTCTGTCAGAATTTGACAAGATAAAGTTTTATTTAATAAACATTGAAGTATCTATTCAAAAATAAAAGATGCACCTTTCAGATTTAAATCCAAAAAGTTGCCAATTACAAATTCATGTAATTATTAAACACTTCGTTCAATATCGTATACCTACTCTCAAGCGTGCACCCCACGGGATCCTTCCCGAGAATAGCTCGATACAAATTTCTTATTTTCAAATAAATTCAATAACAACAAAATAACCAACAGTATTTCAATCTTCATGTGCATATGAAATTAAGCTGGAGTGTGTTTCTGCTTTAAACGGGGTCTTACTACGTTGTAATTTCTTGCAGTCTTGGGTAGGAACAGTTTTGAAATTCCCTAAAAGCTTGCAAGAGCCATTTTAATTTCTTCTGTTATTTTTGTTATCATGAAAGAATATTAATTACGAATCAAGACAGTCAGGGGTGCAAAGCTGGCGCAACTTCTCCTTCTCCATGAGGCAGCTCTTGTGGCAGTCGGGAAAGGACATTCTGCTATTCCTCAATCAGACATGGATGATTCATTGATTGAGAGCGAATCAAAATGACGAAATTAAAATGGATAGATTGACGGTAGACTGAGGAGTATTATTTTATTTCACCCAATTAACCGAAACTGTTGTACATCAAATTTTCTTATGGCAACCACATTTTATTCTACAAAGGTATTGCTTGGCGACAGAGCTGCTGAAAGAAGTCATTTTCGGGAGGAATACCTCGAAAGCATCCATCAGTTCCTGGCTCGCCCGAGTATGTGGCCTTCCGACATTCACATTTCTAAACCACACTATTAATATAAGATTCCATCTTCCTTTTCCTTTAATTAACAGCTGATTGGGAAGAGGATTTCAACTCAACCCAGATGGAAACGACTCATGGTAACCGCGCCTCAAGGTTGTACAATATTAATAAAAACAATCAAACTAACTTGCTAAACGTAGATTTAAATAAAGACTATTAATCCATCAAGAATTATATAAAAACACAAAACTTTACTAGTGATTGATTGTACATAAAACTTCAGTTCAAGACAAATATAAAACGTTTATATATTACAAACAAGCCAATGTTCGTCTCGAGTACTTCTAACTAAAAGCAACGCCTGACAGAAAAATTAAAATATCAGCGACAACTTTTATTGAACAAAACACCAACTGAAAACTAAGTAAATTAAAAACATTATTATATATGTATATTATATATCACTTACCTGAAATTCTCCGACGGAGTAATGCCGTGACAAGCAGAACCTTGTTCCCCATCTCATCTGTAAAGCCAAAGTAAGCTTGTCTGAAGCTCCGTTTGAAGATCAACAATCCAACGAAACCCCAAAATCCAGTGGCAAATCCTCCCACCACAAATCCCCAAAACCATATTTTATCCATTGAGTCTCCATCTCATTCAGCATAATTTTTAGCATTTGAAGCATTCGGAGAATTGTTTCCAAGACATGTCTTCGGCAGAGGAGCTCCACAGAGTTGAGGATTGCCATCATAACTTGCATGGTCTTCGAGAATTTGCAGTTGCTTTCCTGTGGGAATATGTCCTGATAAATTATTGTTGGATACGTTCAAGTGGCTCAGAAAATAGAGATTTGATAGACTATTGGGGATTCCTCCAAACAAATTGTTGCTCGAAAGATCAAGAGATTCCAAAGCCGTCAAATCTCCAATCTTTGCTGGAATTTCTCCATCCAATGAATTATGTAACAAATTGAGGCCATACAAGTTGCCAAGGTTTGTCATCTCTAAAGGAATTTTCTTAGTAAGATTATTGCATGAAAGATCCAAATTAATAAGATATCTTATATTCCGAGAGTACTCCATCACTGCTCCTTGGAACACTTGAAGAAAGCTATACACATTATTATACAATAGACTTGGAGACTTATATTCAATCATGCCCGAGAGATTTCCAAAGCAATGCGGGATTTTTCCAGTCGACTTGTTATTTCCGAGGTCTAGCATTTCAAGTTCAGAAGTTTCACAGAGTGCCCGAGGAATCTCCCCATGAAATTGATTATCCCTCAACTTAAGAATAAACAATAAAAGTTGCTTATTTCCGATCCATGCAGGTATTTTACCGGACAACATATTTTCTCCAACGTCTAAAGCTTCTAAATAAGTACAGTTTTGTAAAGTGGAGGGAATCGGTCCTGAAAGCTTGTTGTTGTTCAACAAAAGCCATTGCAATCCGCCAGCACCTCCAATGGATTTAGGAATGATGCCTGAAAGCTCATTGGATGACAATGACAAAAACCTTAAGCCTTGAAAGTTTTGCCAACATTCCAACATACTACCAGATAAGTTATTGCTGGAGATATCTATAACCGACAAATCTTTCATATTGCAGAGTGAATCTGGTAGTGAGCCATTAATGGAGTTTCGGCTCATTAATAAGTATTTCAGAAGAGGTAACATGTAACCAATGTCGCTCGGTAGAGTTCTTGAAATGCCGCAATTGGATAAATTAAGGGCAATTAATGCCTTCTGGGATTGTAGCCATGCTGGAAACTGACCTGCAATGTCTGAAGATCCCATGTCGAGGTATTTCAATTGAAAAGAGGGCACCCAGCCATATTCAAATTTAAAATTGATTAAGTTGGAGGATACATATAGCTCTCTTAATTTCGAGAGCATGTCAAAGTGAACCTCAGAAATCGTTCCGTTGAACAGGTTGTCTGCAACATCCAGGTTCTCCAGATTTGATAGTTGGCCCATTAATATTGGGATTTCCCCGATTAATTGATTCGACGAGAGACCCAACCATCTCAATGCTTTCAACTTTCTAAAGGATGATGGAATGAGACCCACTAACTTGTTATAAGAGATATCCAACTCTTCCAAACCCGACAAGTTTCCAAGAGATTCAGGAATTTCACCACTTATATTTGAATCAGAAAGATAAAGAAATGTTAATCGTTTGACTTTGTCGAAATCATTCGGTAAACCACTTATGAAGTTGTTTCCTGACAATTCTAGGCTCTTCAAATTTTGACTCCAACATCCAGAAATATTGTTGAAAACCGCTGAGATCTCCCCATGAAAGTTATTATAATGCAGAGACAATGATTCCAAGCGGCAATTATCACCTAAGAGTTGGGAGATCCAATCTGACTCATATTCAAATTGGTTCCCACCAAGGTTGAGATGAACAAGGTTTCTTAATTTTAAAAATTGCAAGTGTGAAGTGTTGTATACATTGTTTGAAAGATCAGAAATCCTCAGAGAAGTCATATTCGAGAGAAAGCAAGGAACTTCTCCGTGAAATCCGTTCGAACTAAGATCCAAGCGATAGACATGTGAAAGAAATGAAGAATTTAAACAAGAATGGGATAAGTGATTGTTAAGTGAACTCCGTGACAAGCGCAGCACAGACAAAGAAGGTAGCACGTTGAGTACCTTAACTAAATCATTAGTTTGGGAAAGGTTAACCCAACTCAAATCAAGATATTCCAACGATGAAAAGTTGGAAACCCATCTGATATCATTGGATATAAGGCCATCATTATAGTTGAGATCAAGCCTACGCAACTTTGACAGATTGCCAAGATGGTCTGGGACAACACCATCAAGAAAACACCCAGAGAGGTTAAGATACTGCAGCTCAGTCATTGATCCTAAAAATTCAGGAATTCTACTTCCTTGAAACTTATTCTGACTCATGTCCAAATAATTGAGATACTTTAATTCCCTTAAAGAAGGATCAAGACTTTTACCCTCTAACCTGTCATCGAAATTAATATTAGGCAAGTAATAGTCAAAACTAACATTTCCCTTGATATCAAGTTCGATAACATGCCCGGTAATCTCGTCGCAAGTAACACCTTCCCACGTGCAACAATTCAGCTCCCTCCACGAGGACAATCTGTTCGTAGGATCGACAACACTTGCTTTGAACTTGAGGAGAGCTTTCCTCTCTGCAGCAACACAACCAGAAGATGAATTTATGGCAACACATAAATTAATCCCAAACTCCAAAACAAGCATTAACATAAAAAGAAGAAGAGAAGAAGTAGATATCTTCTCCATTGCAACAATGAAACTCAAACAAGATTCAAATGGCTTTAATGAGATTTTAGGTCATATAGCTGTAGATGCATGATGAACCAAGATTCAAAGAGTACTTATAGAATGGCACCATGTATCCTGTATGTATTTATGTATGTATGTTTATATGTATGCACACATTTTATTTTAAGTTCTTTCACATCCAATTTTTCTAGCGAGGACTCAGTCAATACTGCAGAAAATTATTATGTCGATATTCTACATATCGTTTTCAATATTTATTTCAACGACTCATCCATATTGTTACGAGAAAACGAGAAAGAAAACAAATAAAGAACACAGAGATTTGCGTGGTTCAGTGACGGTGTGTCAACATTCACTGGGAGAACCGGAGATATTATATTATAACAATTCAGAGAGTTATAATCATAGTCATAAACCATAGCTAGCTATCTATTTGTAAGCACTCTCAAAACATCCTAAATCCGAAAGAAACTCTGCCAATTGAAACAGTCTTTTTGCTTTGGTTCCAGGTCAGATAGACAGCTAAGCTAAATAAGTCGAGTTTCAACAGTCTCCACCTTGACTTGGAGTTTCTCCGACAGCTAAAGGTTCCTCAGTATCTCAGTCGTCTCTTTCCTGCTGGATACCCTCAGGGGACTTTACCTCTTGCGAATATTCACCAAGTTCAAGCAGCACTCGAATAATTGGATGTGAAAGAACTTAAAATAAAATGTGTGCATACATATAAACATACATACACAGGATTGTAATAAAAAATCCGTCTTCCTCTGGAACATCGATACACCGAATTTTTAGCCAAACTCAAAGCACTCTGACTATAATAACACCAGTTTCTCCAACTTCAGACCCAAACTTACACCAGACCATGTAATCAGGTACCCTCCAATACCGTACGTTGTAAAGTTGTAAAGTAGACTTTTAACCGACTGCACATCTAAACAGAGTGAAGATAAAGCAAACAACTATCTTTGTTTTACCTAGTCACCCAGAGTCTGCATAGCCAACCAGACCATCACCGGCCTTTATCTCAAGCTTCTTTCAAATATGGCAACATCCACTTTATAGCTACCCAATGAAGCTTTACCCGAATTAGCCATAAACTTGCTCACGACACTACCGCCGAGATCCGGTGTCTTCGTATAGCTAACCTCTTCAATGAAAATATTTTTTTGACTAAGAGTAAACGCATGCATTGCCTTGCCCTAATAAAAATGTGGGTAGATAAATATTTACGACTCAAACTTTTAATATATTTTTCTCGTTTCTTTAATTGTAATTGAAATTTTTCATGAACAATAACAGTATTTTTATTGTTTTTAAAGTTATTATAGAATTTAGAAGATGAATATTTTTGAAAAAATATATATATAATCAACTAATAGGAACAAATAAAAAAGTGTTAAAAATATATGATTTGTTTAATTATATTTTCACATTTCATTTTTGCTATTTATTTATCATAACATACTCACTTGATTCATACAAAGTGTAACTAATTTTTATTTTTTATATATCCAAACACTAAATATTCATTCTATATATATAATTACTTCCCACGTCACTCAAAAATTATACTTATTTTTTATTAGTATTACACAAATACAACTAATTAATTTTACTCATTTTCAATTAATTTGGTGTAATCTCTGGTCGCAGATGGAACATAGATGAGCCAATGACGGTCCACCGCGAACCTCCTCCATGCAAGAATCGACTTTGAAGGCTCTCTTTGCGGCGACTACCCCCCGATCAACTTCAAACTTGAAGACAACTGATGCACGAAATGCACGGAAAAACAGTCGCCCTGCTCAGGTAGCACAATGCACCTTTGCTTAAGACTGTCAAGGTATGATCGAATTCGATGCTTCTAGAGTCATGTCGTTTTCGGCTCCGGTGGAGAGTCATGTCGTTTTCCCTTCCGGTGGAAAGTCACGTCATTTTCGGCTCCGGTAGAGGGTCAATTGTTATTTTTATTTGCGTTTTCTTGCATTGTATTCAACTTTGTTATAAACCTAAGTTGGTTTCTGTTATGCTATATTATTTGGTCTTATCAATATATTAGATTATTTAAATTTGAATATGTTTTGTATTTCTAACAATAAGATATTTTGCCAAACAAAAATATAATATAAAAAAAATAAGTATTTTATTTAATATTTTAAGAAAAAAAAGTTTATGAATAGTAGAAAACAAATCAAATTGCTCAAACAAAAATTCTCTCATTTAATTATACACAAAATGAGATATGAGGGCAAATTTCTTCTTGATGTGAGTAGACAAGCAAACACACTTGCTTTTACCTCTACCTTTGCCTTTGCCTTTGCCTTTGCTTTGTCAGTCAAGTCTTTCATTTTGTCAATTGGTGGAAACAACTTAAAAGAATTCCATGCGCAGATAAAGTGATGACTGAGGTAACCATTAAACACCACAAGCATTCATTCATTAATTGATACCCACCACAATCAAACCATTCATTCATAGACCCACACAACAAGAGTGTGCAAAAATTAATAAAATAAATAAGAAATAAAGTATGTTAGAGCTCTATTAGAGTTGGTTTATTCTTATCTCACCGTGTCTATCTAAATTATATTTAAATTCCTTTTTAGGATTATAATTAAAAGTATACGTGGTTTCGGACTTTTTTTAGAACTCTGAGCAAAAATAAATTTATAGACCCTATAAATATATTATCAAATGTATTTTCAAAATAATATTACCGACCGTTGGCTGAGCGGGACAAGAGGTTAAAGGCTGCTGTCTGACCGTGTCGATTTGGGAGAAGAAGATGGAAGACGGACAAACGGGCGTTTTACAGTAGTGTCTGGAGGTTTGAAGAGCGAGAGGGACTGAAGGTGTATGTGTTATTGGATTTAAGAAGATGGAGTGTGGTGTAGTTAGAATAATAATAATAATAATAATAATATATGATTAGAATTTAAAATTTACTTTTAAAATTAAAATTAAATTGAATAATTACAAAGAAAAAAATATATATAAACTACCTAAAACTTTCTCTTATTTTATTAACTTACTCATATCCTTACCTAGCCATTGAAAATTAAAAGTGAGATAAAATTTAATTATTACAATATGCAATGGAACAAAAACTAATTTTTGCTTAGAAATACATACGAGTTACTTCTCGTTATGGAATGGGGTTGACATATTGTGTGAGGAGCTGGATATAGAATTGATAAGATTTATTATAATCTTCTTCTAAATGCTTTCATCCATTGAATAGAATAATGTGTTTGATGTAAATTGTAGTTTTATAGCTTAAACTTTTAAATAAAAAGGTCATTCAGATCATCTAACACTCTTCAACTATGAACCGACTTCAATGAGTCTAATTTGTGTCACACAATTGATATCAAAATTTCAATTTGATTCCACTTTTTCCAGGCCTGCCTTTTCTTCTTACTAGTCAAGAATGATTGCGTCGTCAATTTTACGTAAGGCCTTATAGTCGGAGCAAAAGTACTCCTTCAATCGATTGTCTATCTATCCGTTTGTTTTTTCTTTCTACATGAATATTAGTATTTTATAGGTAAATTGTATGATAGAAAGATAAACAAAAGACTTCTCTAGGGCTAAATTTATTTGTTTATTTATGGCCTTCTTTGTAATGCAGTTTTTTTATTTAAGTAGAAAGTTCAATTACTAATTTTTTTTTAAAAAAAATGGATAGATCGATTGTGGATGGATCAAAATCACAAAATAGATAGATTGACGAATGACAGAGGAATATTATTTTATTTCACTCAATTAACCGAAACTGTCGTACATCTAATTTTCTTATGGCAACCACATTTTATTCTACAAAGGTATTGCTCGGCCACAGAGCTGCAGAAAGAAGTCATTTTCGGGAGGAATACCTCAAAAGCATCAGTCAGTTACCTCGCCGATGCTTCCTGGCTCGCCCGAGTATGTGGCTTTCCGACATTCACATTTCTAAACCACACTATTAATATAATATTCTATCTTCCTTTTCCTTTAATTAACATCTGATTGGGATGAGGATTTCAACTCAACCCAAATGGAAATGACTCATGGTAACTGGGCCTCAAGGTTGTACAATATTAATAAAAACAATCAAGCTAACTTGCTAAACGTAGATTTAAATAAAGACTATTAATCCATCAAGAATTATATAAAAACACGAATCTAAAGAATCCTAAGGAAATCTCCTCTACATAGAGATAGCCCCAACCATAAATAATCATTTAGACGTAACAACAAATTGCTCTGTCGCTCAGTAAATGGATCGAACTGCATCACTCTTGCCAAGATGTTCGATCCTTTGGAAGCTCATTGCCACTTCCGTTTCCGCCGCCAAACTGAGAAAGTTTTTATCATTGACCGCATTTTCAAGTGTCTCTCGGCTTCTCTTCTTCACAATTTTCGCAGGGTAAAAAGGAATGCTTGTTGCAGTGAAAATACTTGCATACTTCACTAGTGATTGATTGTACATAAAACTTCAGTTCAAGACAAATATACAACTTTCATCTATTACAAACAAGCCAATGTTTGTCTCGAGTACTTGTAACTAAAAGCCACGCCTGACAGCAGAATTAAAACATCAGCGACAACTTTTATTGAACAAAACACCAACTGAAAACTACGTAAATTAAAAACATTATTACATATGTATATTATATATCACTTACCTGAAATTCTCCGACGGAGTAATGCCGTGGCAAGCAGAATCTTGTTCCCCAGCTCATCTGTGAAGCCAAAGTAAGCTTGTCTGAAGCTCCTTTTGAATACCAACAATCCAACGAAACCCCAAAATCCAGTGCCGAATCCTCCCACCACAAATGCACAGAACCATATTTTATCCATTGAGTCTCCATCTTGTTCAACATGATTTTTGACATTTGAAGCATTCGGCGAATTGTCTCCTGGACATCTCTTTTGCAGAGGAGCTCCACAGAGTTGAGGATTGCCATCATAACTTGCATGGTCTCCGAGAGTTTGCAGTTGCTTTCCTGTGGGAATCTGTCCGGATAAATTATTGTTGGATACGTTCAAGTGGCTCAGAAAATAGAGATTTGATAGACTATTTGGGATTCTTCCAAACAAATTGTTGCTCGAAAGATCAAGAGATTCCAAAGCCGTCATATCTCCAATCTTTGCTGGAATTTCTCCATCCAATGAATTATGTGACAAATTGAGGCCATACAAGTTGCGAAGGTTCGTCATCTCTAAAGGAATTTTCCCAGTAAGATTATTGCATGAAAGATCCAAATTAACAAGATATATTATATTCATAGAATACTCCATCACTACTCCTTTGAACACTTGATGTAAGCTATGAAAATACGAGATTAGACCTGGAGTCTTAATTTCAATCATGCCTGAGAGATTTCCAATGCAGTGCGGGATGTATCCGCTCAACTTGTTATTCCCGAGGTCTAGCACTTGAAGTTGAGAAGCTTCACAGAGTGCCCGAGGAATTTCCCCATGAAATTGATTATTCCTCAACTTAAGAATAAACAATGAAAGTTGCTTATTTCCGATCCATGCAGGTATTTTACCGGACAACATATTTTCTCCAACGTCTAAAGCTTCTAAATAAGTACAGTTTTGTAAAGTGGAGGGAATTGGTCCTGAAAGCATGTTGTTGTTCAACAAAAGCCATTGCAATCCGCCAGCACCTCCAATGGATTTAGGAATGGTGCCTGAAAGCTCATTGGATGACAATGACAAAAACCTTAAGCCTTGAAACTTTTGCCAACATTCCAACATACTACCAGATAAATTATTGCTGGAGAGATCTATAACCAACAAATCTATCATATTGCAGAATGAATCGGGTAGTGAGCCATTAATGGAGTTTCGGCTCATTAATAAATATTTCAGAAGAGGTAACATGTAACCAATGTCGCTCGGTAGAGTTCCTGAAATGCCGCAATTGGATAAATTAAGGTAAACTAGTGTCTTCTGGGATTGAAGCCATGATGGAAACTGACCTCCAATATCGGAAGATCCCATGAAAAGAAAATTTAATTGAAAAGAGGGCACCCAGCCATGTCTAAACTTAAAAGTGATCAAGTTGGAGGATACAGAAAGCGCTTTTAATTTCGAGAGCTTGTCAAAGTGAACCTCAGAAATTGTTCCATTGAACAAGTTGCCTGAAATGCCCAGGTCCTCCAAATTTGATAGTTGCCCCAAAAATATTGGAATTTCACCACTTAATTGATTATAAGAGAGACTCAACAATCTCAATGCTTTCAACTTTCTAAAGGATGATGGAATGAGACCCACTAACTTGTTATAAGAGATATCCAACTCTTCCAAACCCGACAAGTTTCCAAGAGATTCAGGAATTTCACCACTTAATTGATTCGAAGAGAGACCCAACCATCTCAATGCTTTCAACTTTCTAAAGGATGATGGAATGAGACCCACTAACTTGGTATTAGAGATATCAACCACTTCCAAACCCGACAAGTTTCCAAGAGATTCAGGAATTTCACCACTTATATTGGAAAAAGAAAGACGAAGAAATGTTAATCGTTTGACTTTGTCCAAATCGTTTGGTAAATCACCTTTGAAGTTGTTTCCTGACAATTCTAGGCTCTTCAAATTTTGACTCCAACATCCAGAAATATTATTGAAAACTGATGAGATCTCCCCATGAAAGTTATTACCAGACAGAGACAATGATTCCAAGCGGCAATTATCACGCAAGAGTTCGGAGATCCAATCTGACTCATATTCAAATTGGTTCCCATCAAGGTTGAGATGAACAAGGTTTCTTACTTTTAAAAATTGCAAGTGTGAAGTGTTGTATCCATTGTACGAAAGATCAAGAATCCTCAGAGAAGTCATATTGGAGAGAAAGCAAGGAACTTCTCCGTGAAATGAGTTCCCCCTAAGATCCAAGCGATAGACATGTGAAAGAAATGAAGAATTTATGCAAGCATGGGATAAGTGATTGTTGTTAAGTGAACTCCATGACAAGCGCAGCACAGACAAAGAAGGTAGCACGTTGAGTACCTTAACTAAATCATTAGTTTGGGAAAGGTTAACCCTACTCAAATCAAGATATTCCAACGATGAAAAGTTGGAAACCCATGTGATATCGTTGGATACAAGGCCGCCATAATTATTATGGAGATCTAGGCTGCGCAACTTTGACAGATTGCCAAGATGGTCTGGGACAACACCATCAAGAAAACACCAAGAGAGGTTAAGATACTGCAACTCAGTCATTGATCCTAAAAATTCAGGAATTCTACTTCCTTGAAACTTATTCTGACTCAAGTCCAAATAATTGAGATACTTCAATTCCCTTAAAGAAGGATCAAGACTTTTACCCACTAACCTGTCATCGAAAATAGCCTTCTTCATGTAACCGTCGAAACTAACATTGCCCCTGAGATCAAGTTTGATAACATGCCCGGTAACCTGGTCGCAAGTGACACCTTCCCACGTGCAACAGTTCAGGTCCCTCCACGAGGACAATCTGTTCGTAGGATTGACAAGACTTGCTTTGAACTTGAGGAGAGCTTTCCTCTCTGCAGCAACACAACCAGAAGATGCATTTATGGCGACACACAAATTAATCTCCAACTCCAAAACAAACATTAACATAAGAAGAAGAAGAGAAGAAGCAGATATCTTCTCCATTGCAACACAGAAACTCAAACAAGATTCAAATGGTTTTAATGAGATTTTAGACCATATAGCTGTAGATGCATGATGAACAAAGATTCAAAGACTACTTATAGAGTGGCACCATGTACCATGTATCTCTGTATGTATGCACGTATTTTCTTCAAATTCTTTCACATCCAATTTTTTCCATAAGGACTCATTCAATACTGGAGAAATTATATTCTTTTGTCGATATTATACATATCTTTATCAATAGTTATTTGCACAATGACTCATCCAAGTCTTTCCACAAGGACTCATCCATTTTTATCAAAATTCTCTTCTTACAAAATATCGTTTTGTAATTAAAATATTACATTCAATAGTTATTTTAAATTTATTTAAAATATCAAACAAAAAAAAAGTTATATCCAAAATTGTAGTGCCTATTGTTTTTTTTAAATTATTTCTTTATAATTCTTTTCCTAACCCTTAAATAACATTTTTAACATCCAACTTTAATTCAAATATTATTTATATTCTAAATAATATAAATATTTTCATGGACATATATCTAAACAAAGCCTAAAAGTCTGGCATTTCTACTACATGAACCATCAAACACGAAGAAAAAAAGAAAAGGATTAATTATTAATAACTAATTAAATCCTAAATATTTAACTTTTTTACTATGTGAAGTCATGAACCATCAAGTATTGATTAATGGCTAATAAGTAACTATTACCACTGTATCGATGATCTAGTGGTGTATTAACATGTTTATAATATTGGTTAATCGAAATCAAATTGATTAGTTAAAGTAATTCTCAAATTCTCTGCTTGAATAATAATAATACCATTGAACTATACAAAATCACTTAACTGTCAATTAACATTTGATATGAAATTCAAATAAAGATTATTTACATAAGACATTAAATTACTTGAAATGAAATAGGCATATGCATGATATTTCCACAAGGTAAAGACAATTTTCATTTGTACATGATATGAAAATGATGGGTCAATGAAAATTTCTTTTTTGACTTAGAGTAAACGCATGCATTGCCTTGTGGATACGGCACATTCGAAATTTCCACGATCATTATTGTTGTTGTTATTATTATACTTTTGTCCTACATAATTTATTCATTCTTTATATTTTTGTTTATCCCAAATAATTTGTCTTTTCTTTTTTTTTAAAAATATAATTATAAACTTTAATTATATTTTAAATTTTATAATTTATGGAGTAATTTTTTTTAAGTAACTATTTAATCTTTTTAATCTTAATTTATAATTATTTTTATTAAATCATAATTATTTTTACTAATTCATTTTTAAATTATTTACTAATTACATAATATATAAAAGTAAGTGCCCAGCTAAAAGTGGACAAATTAGCTGGAACGGATGTAGTATTATTCAACAACAAAATATATATATATACCCTAATAATAACGAAGTGTGGGTAGATAAATATTTCGGACTCATCTTTTAAATTATAAAAATAATGTTAAATAATACTTTCTGCTTCAACTTCTAAGTTCACATTTACCGTCATTATATTTAACATTAAAAATATTTTTATATTTGTATAAAATTTTTTTTACAAATATTCTTTTATTAGTATTATATTAGTATTATAAGACACTAATGAAATTATTTTTGCAAGTTTTTCTTAATTTGTATTACGTTTTAATATAATAATTAATATTTAAAAATTAATATGCAAAACATAAATAAAACTCTTAGAACTCGACCGACTAACGTAGTATAACAATGAAAACACATGAATGATATACATAATACCAACAAGCATGTAGTATATTCGGATAGCATATGGTAATTATGTTACCATAATACCAAAAATATTATTGATCTAATGTTTTGTGGAAAAATAATAATAATAATAATAATAATAATAAAAGATTAATATTTAATTTTATCTTTTTAAAAAAAATATATATTTGATGTAGAAATAAATCGTGACTAATTATTGATTATTTTATTTATTTATTGGAATAAAAGCAGAATTTAAAAAATAATAAAAATAATAATTTCGAGAGAGACACACGTGTCGGAAGAACGGACGAGGGTGTAAAATTCTACTGGTGTTCCCTACCGTACGCTGTGATTGCTCCACAGTCGCTTTCTCCACTGTCGGGTTTCCCTTTTGGCCCGACGGTTCGCAATTCTGCTTCTGCTCTCGAATTTTCCATAAACCCTAAAAACTCAAATCCTTCGAGGGGATTTGGTTTTCATCTTTGGATAAGGAATAATCAGTGAAAGAATCGAAGAAGAAGAGAAATGGACGTGGAAACCCGTAACAAAATCGAAGACACAGTTTTGGAAATCCTCAAGAACGCAAATATGGACGAAGCGACGGAGTTTAAGATCCGGAAGTCGGCGTCCGAGAAGCTGGGGATGGACCTTTCGGAACCGAGTCGGAAGAAGTTTGTGAAGCAGGTTGTCGAGTCGTATCTCGCGGCAAAGCAGAATGAAGCCGAGGAGGATCAGAAAGCAGAAGAGGAAGTGGGGGAGGAGGAGGAGGAGGAGGAAGAGGAGGATGACAATAGGAAAGGAGACGGAAAAGAGTATGACGACGAAGGTGGCCTCATTATTTGCCGCGTGAGTTCGTAATGCCTTTTATTTTGAAATATCTTTGTTACTTTTGCAGTTTGTTTTAGGAGTAACTGTTCGTTTGATCACTCGTTATGAATTCCTTGGATGCTGATGTTCAATTGAGTGAAATTTTTTTCTGTTAAATAATAATTTGTAGGGATAATGATATTTGATTGGTTGGTTGGTTCATAATTTTATGTATTCTGAGCACAATCCATGGCACAATTATCAGGTTCTGTTTAAGTTCGAGTTTTTGCATACTAAAAATGTAGAGGTCTATCACATTCGAAGAATTTAATTTATCATTGTTCCTCTAAAGGATGTTTGTGTGTTTGTTCATGGAAATGCCTGAATGAATATGAAACTTGGATTGAACTTATATCACCTGTTAGGCTAATTGATATGCTTTTGATTTTGATGTTAGTTATCGAATAAGAGAAGGGTGACATTGTCTGAATTTAGAGGGAAGACTTTGGTTTCGATTAGGGAGTACTACCAAAGAGACGGAAAAGAGCTTCCAACATCTAAAGGTAATGACATTTTTCGCTACATTGTAAATTGCTCTGTTTAAAAATGTTGGTGTGATGTCTGCCAATATGGCACCGTAGGTTCACTAGTTGCCTGCTCATGTGTGTCGTCTTTCAGTATGACAATGTTGGATAATGGTTTAGGCTTGATTATAAATGGTTCGCTAAAAGAATTAGTATTGCGTGGAACTGAAGGTAAAGACATAGCTTCATATCGATGCTGTATGAGTGAGGAGTCTGTCGTAAAAAATTACAAAAAGGTTCAAGGAGTTGGTATTCTGAATTTCTAGGCATCAATTTTTTAGTATCTTTAACTTGTTTTGGAATTAGTTTGGGAATTTCAGTTACTATTTAAGTGGAACTGCTCCCAACAGAGAAGCTAGAAATGTACTACCAGCAACATGTTGTTTTCGATGATATATTTGGTAGTAATAAGGATAATTGGCGTCAACTAAAATCCACAAATATGTTACAATCTGACAGTGCATCTTTTAATTGTTACATGATCATGTTTATAAATGAAGATGAATTCTAATCTTTGGTTTGTCATCAGTCCCTTTTGAAGTTCACTTGTAGTAGTTGTAGTTTCTTTAAACTAATTGTTTGTTCCCCGGATAGGGATAAGCTTGACCCCCGAACAGTGGTCATCCTTCAGTAAGAGCATTCCTGCAATAGAGAAGGCTATCAAGAAAATGGAATCTAGGTGAAAAAAACCAAAGGAGGGTTCTTGACCTTGAAAACAACAAAACATTCGGTAAATGCTTCAAGAACTGTTAGTTTCTTCAGACAGTAGTATATATATTGTAGCCATTCTGCACTGTTTGTTTTATCGATGAAACTATATGTCAAAGTTATTCTGTGCCTCATGCTTTTGTCCCAACTTGAATCCGAATTTCGGCTAATTGGCACAAATATGAATGTAGTGTTTGATGTATATTTACCTGGCTCTTTTGTTGTGTTAGCTGTTAATTAATACATTATGCCAATAGATGAAAAATAATTTACAATTTGACAATAAAAAAAAGAGGGCCTAGCATTTATCTAGATTGTGAGAAACTCTCTCATGTTGAAAGTGACACTGTCTGGACTCTTTCTGATTCAATTTTTGTACATTTTCTAAGTCTTTTTTCTTGACATTTAGCCAACTCTGAAAAAATCAAACTTTATCTTTGTTCCAACATAGTTTATCTTGGTCTCTTTGTAGGATGACATTTCCACTCTCTTGTTTCTTAATTTATCTCACCTAACATTCACTCTTAAATATTTTTTACGGTCGAAATTGCATAGGTTTGATAACTAAGGATAGAGTAGAACTAAGTTGTTGAATATTAATGATTGCCTTATTATTTGACATAAGTTGTTGAATTATTGGTGTGTTATTTTATTCGAAAGTCGAACTTGTATGCACCTAATTGTGTACACATGATCCTGTTAGGCCCCAAGTCTTGGATTAATAATAATCAATGTCGTATTGTTAGGTGCCCTATTGTGTCACTTTGATTGGCTGTCCAAGTTTTGATCATTTTCATAACAAAGATTGTCTAACCTACCACAATTATGTATGATTGGACAAATTAACTTTAGACCATATAATAAAATTCCTTGGAATATATATATATATATATATTTGCACAAGCAAGAGAAAGAAAGAGACAAGGAACCCCTTGTGAGTCCTGAAATGAGAAGGTTGACAAGATCAACCCCTCAATAATCTTTGGTTCGATGTTGACTCATATTAGTGTGTATTTAGATCATACTAATAGACAAAATTCCATGAAATAAAAATTATTATGTTTTTCGACAAAATCATGAATATGTTCACTTAGTGATTTTTAGTGAAATAGCTATTGAATGTAATGATTGGTATGAAAATTTAATATAAGGAAGTGTAAGTTTGCCTTCATGCATACCTCTGTTTGATGAAAGGGGTATTGATGAACAGATCATGAAATTTACTTTGATTATCACTCCAATTGCCTTTCTCAATTTTATTTTTATTTTTAATGTAAATTGAAATTATTTTTTGAGTATATAACCTACAAACTACACTAGATAAATTATATTTAAGTGGTATGTGACAAATTAGATTAAAAAAAGATATCAGCAAAGTTTGAAATTATGCTTGTTTGTAGATTGAAGTGTTATATTTTTTTATATGAAAGATTTAGTTGAAGCAAAATAAAAAATTTATAATGCAATTTTGAAATAAAAAATTTATAATATTTAAATTAAAATAAATAAGTATTAATTTGAAATATTAGAGTCACTGTTCGAAACGTGTCACCCCCCTGTTGCCTGTTTTACACATGACTTGTTATGCAATAAACGGACTAAAGTTTAGTAAACTCCAAAAGGTATGCAACCGATTCACCAAAAAGCATTGGGAATTTGGTTTATATTATTCCACCTTGTCCCAACAAACACTACTTTTTATAAGCATTCGAATTAAAGTATAAGATAGTGATTTTTTTTTTTTTTTTTTTTTGTTTCAAAAAGGAAAAACCTCAAAATACAAAAACTACTCCGGCAATATTACTCATCATCCTCAAATGGAACGGGTTAGCCGCCGAGTCTTTACAATCAAGAGTACCACCATTGCTTGTTACTGACTGTTATTATTGCGGGCCACCGTCAATTTTATTTAATTATTCTTATTGTTTAAACTAAATTTTTGCTTAATCTGCAGCAGATCGATAGACCACCATCAATATTTGATTATTCCTGCTTTTTAAACTATTTTCTTTTGTCCTTGAATCCTACTTTTTCAATATTAACTTAATAAAATAAATTTTATATATAATTAAAAAAAAAAAGAAAAAAGATTTTCCGAGGCTCGTGGGACGAATCAGATCATAGGGCTAATATTTTCTAACACAGCGGATCCGGGGACTTGAAGAACTCCTGATCCCAGGACTTGAAGAACTCCTGTCGAACCCGTCGAACCCGCCCGTTGACATCCTACCCTCAGAATCCCAAGAGGAAATAGGAGAGGATTCTTCAAAGAACCAATATTCATTATCATACTAAACAATAAAACACACAACACAAGGCTGATTTAACTGGTTATACATACACATATATATACACATACATATATATTCGATATTCAGACATAACTTGTATACGGTGATCGTCGGTACTATCCCAGCAATAAACAGACAACTGGCGAGGTAAGTAAGTCCGGTGTTCCATAACTCCACCTCCAAAAAAATACCTCAGCTTACATATATAGTCGCGCCCTTCTGCAAACAAACACATGTGTCGAAGAAAATCTGCAGTCGCTTATTATAACACCAATCCTATCTTTATAATTCGTTAGGGTTGATTGTAATGTGCTGGTTGTCCGGATTGTTCTCTTCGAAAATGTCCAAGAGGGAGAGCGCCTACCATGATCAAACATCGTAGTTTCGTTACATCAAGCCACACCAATAATGACAAGAACATATGTTAGTACTAAAACCATTTTAAGGTTATAAATTCACCTCGGGGATGTTCAATTCGAGGCGGAATTTGGGGCCATCATAGTGATGGAGGATCGGCCTGAAAGAGTCCTCTTCCAATGGCTCGCATAACTTCCTCGTCATGACACGAACTTGAGCCGGGAATCGCGATTCCCCGGGATTCTTTTTGTCCTCCCAAGCTGTCGGATCGATGTTTGCGCCGCCAAAGCTAGAAGCCTGAAAGAAGAACCGGTATACATTAGCTACTACAACCTTTGATTCCATCCAAGATTGTCCCAATCCGAAGTTGGGATGATCTATAATTCTATGTATCCAAATTTCTGTAGTTTAACCTCTTGATTAAATATGTTACTACAAGACTTGAAACTTGTCATTTGATTTCTTTGAATAAAAACTTACAATTACTATAAGTTGAAATAAATAGCTTGTTAAATATGGTGACTCAAATGATCTATAAGTATCTACAAAACAATTGTTAAACAAACATTATTATTGCTAAAACATTTTTTAAACACATAACACCAAAATATTCTGGTTTATTCTATTATTATGTGTTCAAATTTGTTCAACTATGTTTGTTCCTCAGTAAATGTCAATAATTCTTTTGAAAAATAGCATACATTTAAATATATAAAAAATTCAAAGCTATACATATATATATATATAAGACAAACCTCAAAGACTCCATGAAGCTGATGAGTTGAGTAGTTATAGAGAAACAATGGTAATCCTGGAGTTATTGCCCTAACAGAGTCTCTGTAACGAGAAGGCAAACCTGAAGAACACCAGATTCGGTCAGAGAAATATATATATATATGAGTATGAAAATTGAAGAAGATGATGAATTTACATACCGAAGAGTTGTCTCTTAAGATTCTCAGCCATGGTATCATTATTGCAGACAAAGATATACCCTCCGATGGTCTCGTTTCTCGGCAGAGCTTCCGCCGGCGGCAGAGTTTTGAACCGCTTGTCCACGCCGGTCTTATCGCCATTGCTGCTGTTGTTATCCTTAGTGCTCTCCTTATTCCCTCTGTTCTTCTTCTTCCCAACCTCTTCGTTCTTAAAGCCTTTGTTTATTTTTCCACTATTCACAGCCACGTTTGCCAAACCTTTACCTTTGATGTAGTCGTCGAAATTCAGATTAGGATTCGAATAAATCCCCTTGTTAAAACCGCCGTTCAATCCCGGCGCCTTGTTGAAACCTCCGTTCAATCCTGGCGCCTTGTTGAAACCTCCATTGTTGAATCCAGAGTAGTTAAAATTAGGGCTAGGGTTATCGAGGACAGGAGATTTCCAATCACTGTTGTTAAAACCTAAATTCCAATTCGATTTCAGCTCGTTAACCGATCCACCGCCGAAAGCCGATCCGATTTCAGCTCCTCCACCGTTTCTGAAATCGAAGTTGCGTCGCTCCGCCGGCTTCTTCGACACATAATTACTGCTCCAGATGGAATCGTTGAGCGATAAATTGGATAAATTACCAGTTTGGAGACGAAGATCATCGCTGAATTGCCAGAAAGTCTGATTGTTGCTCTCCATAGTTGAATCAAAAACCAAAAAGTTACACAACCAAAAGTAAAATCACTGCTCCGAAAACACAACAAATTTACAGACAAACACTTTGAACAATAACGCTGAATTTAAGTATGGCGAAACCACGAGCAGGAAACTTCGTCGAAAGAGACAATAGCGTGTGTATTTGTCAATGGCTGTGTGGAAAAACCATAGTTGATCATACTAAGTAATGGCTTTTAAAGAGGTGACTGAGCAGCGGTGACGGCAAACCACGCGGCATTTAAATGAGTGTGACTGTGACAGTCGACAGTGAACTACTGGTGACGCTATCTTTCCCCAAATTTTATTACTATTATTATTAATATTATCTTTATCCATATCAATTAGCAAAATGGATTGGCCAGATAGTTAAAGTAAGTGAATTATTTGGAAATATATATATAGGGTGTGTTTGTTTGGGGTTTGGATTTTGAGTTGGGATTTAAATAGTAAAAATTTTGAATTTGAATAGTTGTATGATGTGATATAAATAGGTGTTGACTTTGATGTTTTGAATATAAAATTAATTTTGAGTATAATATAAAAAATGAAAAATAGGTGTTTGATTTGATGTTTTTTGGGGAAAAAGAATTGGATGAATAGTGTATTTAAAATCTAATCCCCAAACTAACACACTCTTAAATTTTTTTTTTTCAAAAAATATCAAATCAAATATTTATTTTTTATTTTTTATATTATATCAAAAATTAATTTTACATTTAAAACATCACATCAATACTTATTTATAGCACATCATACAACTATTCTAAGTGAAAATTTTTACTATTCAAAATCCCGACTAAAAATCCAAACTCCCAAACAAACACACTCTTATAGTACAGTGTGTTTGGTTTGAGGATTTTTCTCCCAATTCATTATTCATCAAATTTTTTTTTTAAAATATCAAATTAAATATTTTTTTTTTACTTTTTTAGGTATATGACTGACTTTCTTCCAATTCAACGAGTCTCATTTACTTTTGGCTTGATTTTTAAATATTAATTATGATATCAAAATGTAGTACAAATTAAGAAAAAATTATAAAAATATTTATTAATAACATTTGTAAAAAAAAATATACAAATATAAAGATATTTTTAATGTTAAGTACAATGAACAAAAAGGAATATTAAAAATCAATTTTAAATGGTACATCAACTTCTATTTATATCACATATACAATTATTTTAAAATATCACATCAATACCTATGTAATAGGTATGTACATCACGTAATACAATTATGTTAATTCAAAATTTTTATTATTTAAATTTCAATTTAAAATAAAAAAATCCAAACAAACACACCCTTAGTGTGTATGTATATCCGTTTGGTGAAGCTTTCTGGAAGGTGAGTTTTGTGTGGTAAGTTTTAAGGAAGGAGGAATGTTCCCATTTGATTAAGATTTTACTTATGGATTAAGATTAGATACGTGTCGAAATCTTATGCGTTTGGCTGTTTTCTGCATCTCTTTGACCGCCACTGTAAGCATTTATTAATTCTGTCCAAGAAATAAATTTGTCAAATATTAATAATTATATTACTCCATTTACATAACACTTGATATATATATATATATTTAAAAAAGTGTATCTTTTCATTTTTATTTTAACTTTTTATTCTTTTATTTTTTAATAAAAATATTAAATTAAACAATTATTTAAAAAAAAAAAAAAAAAAAAACACACACACACACATAGAAATACAACACACCAAAATAAATTGCAAACACAGACAAACGCAATGGGAATTTTTATATTAACCTTTTGGACAAATTGGGCCATAAGTCTTCAACAATGGTCAAAGCCCAATATTATTATAATCTAGGGCAGAATCGTATTTAGGCCCAATTGACCCAAGTTATTATTATTATTATTATTATCATAAAATAGACTTATTTTTTATCATTCAAAATTATTCACATTTTTCTTTTTTTTTAAAAAAAAAAAAAGGGTTATATTTTTAATTAAATGAAAATTTAATTAAATAATATATAGTTCCAGTTTGTACAAAATCTATTCAACAAGTCTTGGTAAGAATATGTCTGTTTGCATTTTTCAAATTGTTTCATGAAAATATAAATATATTAAATCATCTGTTTGTATTTAAAAATAATAATAATATAAAAAAATACCATAATAAACTTCGGGCGTAATTGTTTGGGGGTTTGAATTTTGAGTTGAGATTTGAATAATAAAAATTTTAAATTTGAATAATTGTATGATGTGATATAAATATATTTTGAATGTAAAATTGATTTTAAGAATAATATTAAAAATTAAATCCAATCTCTAACAAACACATCCTTCGTGTACTTCAGCATGAATCGGGATTGATACGAACGCACGTAGGCAAAGTTCGACTGAATTCATCATTCATGGAGGCAAAGTGGTCACTCACTCACACTGCTGCATTTATTGAACAAAAGCTGTACCTTTATTCAACAGAATTTGCCCCAAATTAATGCTGCCGGCACAGCATTGATCGATCCACAGCTGCAGTTTAAACCACGTAGAAGTTGTAGGCGTTTGATTACGAGTTTTCGCAAAGTAATGATACTACAATTAGCCTCACCGCCCCTGCAGTCAGGCATTCATTGTCACATGAATTGCCCGATGAATTTGATTTCGGTATCCGCGGCGGATGGTCCAACAGCTCGGCGAATTCCCCTGTTGAGTCCTTCGATTTCTTCTGCGCTTTTTGCTGTTATAAATTGAGCTGAATTTGGAAATTTGGGGGAATGGCTGGTGTAATTTGTGCGCCTTATTGTGGTTTGATCATCGGTAGGAGGAAAGGATCGTCGGCTGGACATGCTGGTAAATCTTGCTTGTGATTATCCTCTTTAATGTCGATTGGAATTGTAAATTTCATTAACACAGTTTTCTGGAATGGATTGAGCTTTCCACCTTTATGTAATCGCTTGTTTGATGATTATGATCACAAATTCACAATCTGTTCGATGAAATGCCGATGTTATTTAATTTTTGTTATTTACACTTAATCTTCATATATGAATTTGTGCTTAATTAGTGACTAAATTGTTAACACTTGAATCCACCTTGCCCTGAAATGTCCAAACTGTTGATCATGCAACTAATCCATCTTGCTGTTCATGAAAGATTAATCCATTTCATATAGAATTCGATTTTATGTATCGTTCTTGAATGAATTTGTTGTGTTTTCCAAGCATCAAAGTACCGAAGAATCCGAGCAATGGCATCTCCAGCCATTTCTGCACCTCGGAGAGAAACCGATCCGAAGAAAAGGATTGTCATAACAGGAATGGGCCTAGTTTCGGCTTTTGGCAGCGATGTCGATACGTTCTACAACAAACTGCTCGAAGGCGCGAGTGGAATAGTTCCAATAGATCGATTCGATGCTTCAGAATACTCGGTCAGGTTCGCCGGGCAGGTCTCCGGTTTCTCCTCAAATGGCTACATTGACGGCAAGAATGATCGCCGGCTAGATGATTGCTGGAGATATTGCTTGGTTGCCGGCAAAAAGGCACTCGACGACGCAAACCTTGGAAAAAATATGCTCGAAACTGTAATCATTTCAACCTTCTTCACCATTCTTTCATTAAAGAAATTTGATCCTTTAGCTCATTGCAGATGGAGGACAAGTCGAGGATCGGAGTTCTGGTGGGATCGGGGATTGGAGGGATGTCTACTTACAGCGCCGGAGTCGAGACATTGGTACAGAAAGGTCACAAGAAAATGAGTCCCTTTTTCATCCCTTATGCGACGACAAACATGGGCTCGGCATTGTTGGCTATCGACACCGGCTGTATGGGTCCTAATTATTCAATTTCGACTGCTTGCGCCACAGCAAACCACTGTGTCTTCAATGCAGCCAATCATATTAAAAGAGGTGATGCAGATGTTATGGTAGCCGGGGGGGTTGAAGCTGCCATTAACCCTGCTGCAGTCGGAGGTTTCATAGCTTGCAGAGCCTTGTCTCAAAGAAACAACGATCCACAGAAGGCGTCGCGACCGTGGGACAAAATGCGCGATGGTTTTGTCATAGGCGAAGGCGCCGGCATATTGGTATGATTCATTAAAACATTAATGTCATTCAATAAGCGTCGCTGAAATTATATTCTTGAAAAATCGAGCTAAGACAGGTTATGGAAAGCTTAGAACATGCCTTGAGAAGAGAAGCCAATATTATTGCCGAGTACTTAGGGGGCGCCGTCACATGTGATGCTTATCACATAACCGATCCCCGGCCAGATGGGCTCGGCGTTTCGGCCTGCATAATTAAGAGTCTGTACGACGCAGGAGTTTCACCAGAAGAGGTAATAAATTTTGATATTATTTCACTTTACATTTCATCTATTCTACTTTCATATTAAAATATCGTTATTTCTTAGTTTCATGCCTAAGCAAAAGTTCGTAAGTTTTGTGGACGGAGGGAGTACAATTTTCGATAAATAACATTGTTATTTGAAGAATTCGAACCATTTTCAACCAACAGGTTAATTATATCAATGCTCACGCGACATCTACGCCAACGGGAGATTTAGCCGAGGTGAATGCCATCAACAAGGTCTTCAAAAACACCTCTCAGATGAAAATGAATGCTACTAAGGTGAAAACTCTTCTCTAAAACAAATTACACATCTTTTTACTTATGTGTATCCTACATTCCTACATATCGAACATTTTAAGTTTATGTCGAACTTATTTGATTTAGTCGATAATTGGGCACGCGCTGGGGGCATCCGGAGGGCTGGAAGCCATAGCAACCATTAAAGCAATCAAGACAGGATGGTTACATCCTACGATCAACCAAGTTGTACGGAACAAGACAACGATTATCACCAAGTTCTTGCATCAATTAATTAAAAGTTGTACTAATGACTAATGTGGAGTCGTAATTCTTTCCATTATTGTGCAGGAGTTGGAACCTGAGGTCACGATCGACACAGTCCCAAATGTGAAGAAACAACATGAAGTAAATGTAGGTATGTATCTATCTGCTTATCTTATCCTTTGTCTTGCCTTAAATTTTTTATGTGGTCCATAGAAATAGAATACTTCGATTCTAAATGCAAAAATGTTTGCATTATCTGATTCGGTTCCTGACAGAAGATCCATGATGCATCATACTCTATCATTGTGTCGTGCAAATTCTGGCATCCAATGAACCTATAAACCAAGAAAATACATTTCGAAAATATTGTATTTTTAGAACAATTTTTTGTCATTCCATATGCTAATTCTTGCTAATTGATAACTTCCAAAACCTTGCAGCCATATCTAACTCATTTGGATTTGGTGGGCACAATTCTGTCGTCGTTTTTGCGCCATTCGATCCTCGTTGAATCCAACACAAGTTCTTGTTCTAGTCCAGCCTCAAGACCGGTACATTTTCGGTATATTTTTTTTCTCGGCATTAATTTTGTTTCATTGCTATGTGCTTACACATTTGAATTAGACTTTGTGGAAGCATTAAAAGCTTTGGAATTTTACAATACACGGAAACAATTCACACAATATATAACACAATACAAGTGAAAAGTATAAACCGACAATACATGACAGTAGTTCATATAACTCATGACAAAATGTTGATTCAATTCAATTCATACATTGCAATAGAAAATGAAGATGCAAAATGTCCATATTTATATTTGGGAGTATAGAGTTCACAAAATGTGGATAATACAAATAGGGTATGTTGTTTGGTTGTTATCTTGATGATTTTTTTTTGGGTTTTTGGGTAGATGATGAATTGTAAGTTCCAAATATGCTTGTGAGACACAAGTTTTATAATTATATATATATATGGGATGCATAGCTAGCATCCAACCAAGTTGGTGAGGCTTTTTGGATGAATAAATTAAATAATTGGATCTTTGATGATGCTTATTATTCAAGACACTTTGGTTTAAGTTTTATTTAATGTACAAAGCTAATTCCACAGCTAATTAGTTTCCCTTTCCTTTATCACCCTACTGCCTATATGCCTATGTATATATATATATATATATTATATTTGTGTGTGGGAAAAGATATAAGTACAATATTCAATATCTTTAATACTTGAAGTTAGCATTTTATATAATTGTGAGTGTATTTGGTATATCTTTAAGCTTGAGTAATTAATATATATATATATATGAGTATTTTTTAATGTAAATTTATAATTTATTTATTCATTAGTAGTGTATTGACATAGTATTTAATAATATAAAATAATCTTATAAACAATGGTTTAGTAAAAGTTTTATAATGAAAGGAATAATATATTGATACTATCCAATACCTGATGACTTCATATCTTAGTTACACAAATATACAAAAACACTACTTTTACTTAATTTCTTTGAGATTTTTATTATTATTATTATTATTCGTAGTACGTAGTGATGAGTTGAATATGACGTTTTGTTAAATGAAATGATGCATTTTTTATATGAAGTCGTAACAAGTGTACAATAAAAAAAATATATATATATATATATAGGAAAATTGTTAAAACAAAATATATATATATATCATATATAAACCAATCAATGTATATCGATTATGATCGTCGTTACAACACTGAATAACGTTACATTATGAATAACAATAGTTCACGCAACACGTATTATCGTTAATCTCAATACAAATAATATGTTCATACAATTTACTTCTAAAAATATGAATAACATTATATGATAAAAATATATATTGGGTAGCGATTACAGTACTGATTAAATATAATCAGCAATATATATACATCATATAGTACATTAGATTAGATATAAATTTACAATATTTATATAAAAAAATAAAATTGACATACTTCTTGGGGAGTCCAGGACCCCAAAGCCCAGGAACCTACTACTACGTGGTTCATGTAGTGGCTCAGATTCACCTGGACCTCGCGTCCCAGGAGTTCCCAAGAATGGGTGATTAAGAGTAATCACACATGACTTTATTGAGATTAATCAATATGGATTGTAATTATCATCTTTCTTAAAAAATTAATAACAATAAATTTATGGGTCTTTATTTAGGGCCCTCCAATGTTGGAAATTCATTACGAGTGAGAAAACATGATTTGACAAAGGAATATGCTTTGTGGAATCAAATAGTGTTTTTCTTAATTTTAATTTAATTTAATTCAATTCAATGATAATGATGCCATTTTGATCACTCTTTTTCATCACTATTGTTATTAATTTTCTTGTATATTAATTTTAAATTGATCCACTTGGAAGCACTGATCTTAAACTATGTAGTTTAATTCTTATTCAAATCAATTAAATTGATCTCATTGTGACCAAAGTAATTAGCTTTCATGAAAGTGTAATATTTCTTACTAATTACAATTACCATTTTTTTACCAAGTAAAATGACTTTGTGTTGGACCCATGATTGTCATCACATGGATTAGTACCAAATTAGCTGTTTCTTTTATTTATTTATTTTTTAAAATATTGTAGTGAAGGTATCTAACCAAATAAAGGGGTTAAAAATTAGTGGGGTCATTGTACTAATCACAATTAGTTTAACCTTAATCTTGTTATTAAATTAAATGGCATTCAAAAAACCCCCCAACTTTTAAACTCGTTCAATTCGGCCACCACATGGGGTGGCATTTATTTATTACTACTCCTTTTATTTATCAATATTGTTAATTATTTCCTAATCTTTTTTACAAACTTATCCTCTCACAAACTATAACTTCTAAACTTTAAATTTATTTATTAATAAAATATCATAATAACTATATAAATTTTTTTGGGCTTTTCATTACATCATTTTTGCATAAATTTATTGAGATTGGATGTATAATTAACATCACTATATAGAAAATGATTCTTATCGAAACTTGCATTAATATATAATCAAGTTCTATTTAAGTATTGATATATGTTTAACTTTATTATTCGAATCTTGATCACACGGGCATTCTTTGCCGATCCCATTGAAACTTTCGCGTACAAAATTATAATATAATGCAACTATTATATCTCGAATCGGATTCAATCATTTCGAATTCAATACAAATGATCTCAAAAAATTCATGAACTACAAACTCTATCATTTGACCTAAAACTTGTCCAAAAAAATCAAGAACACACATTAGTAATCACAAAAAAATTTATTTTCTCTTATTTTACCATTTTTAAATATTAACATAAGAATACACATACAACCCTTGAAGTGATGCAAGGGTCACATCATAAAGGGGATCAAATAATTATTTCTTTCATACACTAAAATTGTGAATTAGTGTAATAAAAATAGGTGTTTGGCCTAATTAGACAGACAAACATTCACATAACCACAATTCAATTGGCTTCTTCTCCATCTCACTCTTTTCTTTAAAAATTTTCTTTTCTTTTCTTTTTCTTTCTCCACTCATACCCTATTAAAGGTTATTGCTTATTGTATAGGATCCTAATTAGCTTAATTATGTATTCTTACACTACTTAATTAATATATATATATATATATATACATACACACACACATACATATGTGTGTGTGGAATCATGATTTTACTTGTCCTTAGAAAACATGAATCTTTGCTTGCATGGAATCAATAAAACTCTTAGATGATTGTATGTAGGGAAAGTGAGAAAGAAAAAGGGTTAAATTTGGACAAGTCATTGTATTTATTTTTCCTCTTTTGTGGGTCTTTAATGACTCACTCTATTGTTTAGCTATTACCCCATTTGGTCTTATATTTCGAAGTCAAATTTGTGAAGTGGGAATAGTAAGTAGTATGGAAATAAATAAACAAACAAGAATTGGGACATTAGGGAGTCATCATCAATTATACATATATATATATATATATGCACTTATAACATGAAACCACCAACCCACCCACCCACCCCACAAACCCTTTTGTTCTTGCAAGAAAGATAATCAATCAAAATGAAATGAAGGGATGATCATTACTTGTAAATATTGATAAAAAGTGTTGTTTGTGTTGGGGAATATTAGGGGACTTTTTTTTTGTTGTTATATTATATCCTTAAAAGGGGACAATGGGTTGCTTCACTAAGCAAAAGATGCAAACTTGTCTCCATTATTATTATTATTATTATTATTATTATTATTATTTAGTTTGTGTTACTTTAAGCAATTATGGACTCTAAAGGCTCCTAAAATTTCATTGAATCTTTTATACATATATATATATATATTTGTTGGGTTTGAATTTATATTTATTCAAATTTTATAATGATGGGAAGTTTCTTTGTGTAGACTACTTCATAGGTGAATTATTTTCTAGAAGTTATTTGAAGAGAGATTCTTCTATAGGAATTTGAGTTCACTTTTCAATATATAAATAGAGGACTTGCATTATTACCATGTTAGACTCTCACCAGTCTTTACAATACAGTTGTGAAGACAACCACAAAAACACATGAAAAAAAAAAAAAAAGTCAAGAAAAATATATCAAGCTAAGTGCTTTAATTTTCAATAATAATATTATATTAAATTGCTTCTAAAACAAAAAATAAAATATTATATTATATTATATTATTTTAACAATTTTCAAATAATACAACATTTAGTTCTCTTATATTGTAATTTTCCCAAATTTATATGATATTTATACATTGCTAATAATATATATATATTCGCATTCATTTTATCTTGTATTGTTTTTATTTATTTTTTGGATGAAAAGTTTAATATATAATGATCAACTATACAACTATTATTATAAAGTAGTCTTTTTGGTTAGTTTTGTATTCAATTCGTGAAATATAATTTTATAATAAAATATTGTATTTCTTAAAAATTACTATAATATTTATTAGGTAATTTTTATTTACAATATTAGTTTTATTCAAGAATTTTAAATATGAAATAGTCCAAAACATTCTACAACAAATAAATAAATCTTTTTAACATACATTTTACCTACTATTTTTTTCTTATACTACCTTCCTCCGATTCTAAAAAAAATTCATTAACATTTTGCATATTGATATTTGAATATTAATTATTATATCAAAATACAATACAAATTTAAAAAAAAAATTACAAAAATACTTTTATTACTACTAATAGAATAACATGTATAGAAAAAATAAAAATATTTTTAATATTAAATATAATAACACAAAATATAAATTTCACTCTTATAAGCGGAAGAAAAGAAATATATATTATAAATACAAATAATAATGATAATAGTAATAAGTAAAGAGAAGATATCCTTTATTATAATTACTTATTTTTAAAAAATTTAAAAATGAAAAAAAAAAAAAAAAAAAAAAAAAAGGGAGAGTGTGGGTAAGTGAAGTCACGTGCGTGACCTCGTACGAACGACAGTAGTGGTCCGAGTCGGATTGAAATGGGCCCCACAAAAGGTGGACACGTGTAAGCCATCGATGCAACTGATGATTCGAGGACCACTGCACAGTGCCTCACAGGAACATTCCCCCACCCATGTGGTGGCAGTCTTCGTAAATAGTCCGAATCTCCGGGTCAAATGGCTTTCCACTCATTAATTAATTAATTGGAAATTCTCTGCCGGGGTGAAGTGGAGCCAACGCTGTTGCCTGTCCCGGACCAGACAGCCAATCTGCGAAATGACTCTTTTACCCTCCCCACAATCATAATTCTCTTCATACATTTATTAATTCCCAATAATAATAATAAATAAATAAATAACATATCTTTAGCTTCCAAGTGGATGGATGGATGAACTCAAGACCAATTTTTATCAACTCCATGGACTTAAACTCCCGAAGAACTAAAACCGTCGATCCAAGGTACGCACGGTGCGGGAGTCGAGGTCCCAGGACCTCGTGAGATAAAAGGTTTAGGCCGGCAGGCAAAATTGTCCGTCCGGGTAAGTATAAAACGACGGACGGTGACGGTCGTCGTCTTCGTTTTCCTTCAGCAACAGAGGTGAGCAGAGCGCAGACACCACCACCCACATTGAAGATCTCCCATAATAATAAGAATGGAGGATGGGACCCACCAAAAATTCAGGCCAGAAGTGTCGTCATCGAAACCGTCCAACCCTGGTTGGAGGGGGGCATTTAACCATGGTTAGTTAGTCGCTGCCATTGGTAACCACACGTACAGAGAAGAGAAGAAGAGGGACAGCCAGTGAAAAAGCAGACAACCAACCAAACCCCACGTTATGTTAAACCCAACAAAATATTTACTCATCAAAAGCAAACACAACAGCTCTCGACTCACTGTGCATCAATTCAATTCACAACCAAAATTATTAAAATTAGATTAATTAATATTCACGACCAAAGATTCAATTCAAGGCGTATATTAAGCTGTTTCTTGGGGCTCTGTGACGCCGTTTCTGTCATTTCCCATCTTCCATTTTCATTTACTGCGTGAAAAAATCTTTCCCGTCTTTTCATTTCCTCAAGAAGAGGGCTTTTTACGGCGCCGGGAGTTTCTGCTATCAATCTTGAGGGATTCGATTTGATTTTGATTTTGATTTGATTTAGGGTAAAATTATTTGTATTCACCTTTTCCTGAGTCGAAGATTTTTCGATTGGGGTTTTCTTTTGTCTGAAAGGAGGGAGCTTTGTTGTATTGACACAAACACAATCATGGCAAACAGGGGAGCTTCCTTTTCTCAGCACCACACCAATTTCTCAGCTCAAGGTCAAGAAAACTCATCTCCAATTCTTCAAATTCGTTTCTTCTTCCTCAAAAACTTGAGTTCTTGGAGGCTGATTGTGAATTTCTTTTAGGTGTTGCAGTGAAAGATGCATTGTATGAGGAGCTATGGCGGGCCTGTGCAGGTCCTTTGGTGGACGTCCCCAAGGTTGGAGAAAGGGTTTACTATTTCCCACAAGGTCATATGGAGCAAGTGAGTTTCTGTTTTCTCTCTCTACAAACTTCAGATCTTTGTATCGAATGTTGTGATTGAGGCTGTAATTGTAAAGACCCTCCATGGATGATGAAAATCGAAGCTTTTTAATGATTTTTTTTTTCCTTTCTTTGAATTTGGTGTTCTAGTTGGAGGCATCGACTAATCAGGAAGTAAATCAAAGGATACATAAGTTCAGTCTACCCTCTAAGATCCTCTGTCGTGTTGTCAACATTAAACTCTTGGTACACCTTTAATTCTCAATTTGTTCTTACAAGATGACCTAATTTGTTGATGATTAGATTGTAGAATGATGAGATATTTGTTGATAATTTTTGTTCATTAGGCTGAGCCAGACACTGATGAAGTTTATGCTCAGATTACTTTGATGCCTGAGCCTGATGTAAGAGCTAATCCAATTCTTGCTAATTTTCGATTTCTTGAATTTGGATTCATTGGTAATGTAATAATAAACAAACACTGCTGAATTTGCAAAAATGGATTCAATTTTTGGTAGCAAACTGAGCCAGAGAGCCCTGATGATTCCCCTGAAGAACCTTCTAGGCCTCTTGTTCATTCATTTTGTAAAGTTTTGACGGCGTCGGATACGAGCACGCACGGCGGGTTCTCGGTGCTTCGAAAGCATGCTAATGAGTGCCTTCCTCCATTGGTAGCATTTCATTTCTTTCCAAGATGTTAATTTTTGTTTGTTGTGTCGATTTTCTTGCATTGGGTATTGAATTGGATTCGATTTTCTTACATTCGGTATCGAATAGGATATGAGCCAGCAGACGCCGACGCAGGAACTTATAGCGAAAGATCTTCATGGAATGGAGTGGCAATTTAAGCATATATTTAGAGGTATCATTGTCTAGGATTCGTTTTATCGATGTTATAATTTAGGTTGCTTGTGGTGTTATATTTCGGAATTCTTTAGTTATTAAGGTTTGTTTATGAGCAGGTCAACCTCGGAGGCATCTACTGACGACGGGATGGAGTTCGTTTGTTACGTCGAAGAGATTAGTCGCCGGAGATTCCTTCGTGTTTCTGAGGTAATAAATTTGCGCGATTTATTAAGATAATCGAATTTCCGAGTTTCTTACAGTTTGTCGTTGTACAATTGTTTTCAGGGGAGAAACAGGGGAATTGCGCGTCGGCGTTAAACGCCACGCTCGTCAACAAGCAACGATGCCGTCGTCGGTGATTTCGAGCCACAGTATGCACTTGGGAGTTCTTGCGACTGCTTCTCATGCCGTCCTTACACATACCTTATTCGTCGTCTATTACAAGCCGAGGTTTAATATAAATTCTTTAACTTTCTTTGCTCTTGCAACCGTGCGATTGATTCATCGCGTTTTTCATCGTATAACGGTGTCGACCATGTCTGCCTGTTTCTTGTTCTAGAACAAGTCAGTTCATTGTTGGATTGAACAAATACTTAGATGCTATGAACCACGATTTCGGAGTTGGGATGAGATTCAAAATGCGTTTCGAGGGAGAGGATTCTCCCGAGCGTCGGTTCGTTACTTTATGATCCTAATTTTAATCGTATTTCGTTGTTCGAGTCGTTTATCATTGCGTTTTCTTTGCTGGGCTATCAGGTTTTCGGGTACGATTATCGGAGTCGAAGATATTTCTCCTCAGTGGGAAGACTCAAAATGGAGGACGTTAAAGGTTCGTTTTTTTTTTTTTTACCGAATCTTCAATTTGTCTCAGCACTTGATTCTCGAATAAACGATATCGATCGTTTGTATCTAACTATCGCAGGTCCAGTGGGACGAGCCTGCGTCCATTCCACGACCCGATCGGGTTTCGCCGTGGGAAATTGAACCGTTCGTCGCTTCGACTCCCGCCGCCTTTTCTCAGCCTCCGGCATTTAAGCATAAAAGGTTCCGTCCGCATGTCGAAATCCCGGTTTCAGGTTCGTTCGCATGCGTCAAATATTTTTCTTTCGTAATTCCTCGATCCGCAAGTTATGATGTAGCTTATTTGCGTACGATATTGTAGAACCTGCCTGGAATCGAGCTCACGAGATGCATCAAATGACGAATTACATCGCTAGTGCACACGCCAAAACGGATGCTGCGGTACCAATTCCAGCGAACACGATATTAACCGCTCGTATTGACGGGGTGCGACAATCTCCGGTTGTGAACGCCTCCAAGAATATGATCACCGAAGAAACCGAAGAGAGTCGATGTGCTTCTGCGTGGTCTCTAGCGTCAAATCTCACCACTCCAAACACGGGAAAACCCGACGGCGTTGCGTCGTGCCGATTATTTGGGATTGATTTGAATAGTCCTTCGGTAGTGACCTTTTGCGAGCATTCTCCGAAATCGACCGACGCACCCAATGACACGTCGGGAGAAGTATTCGTTCCCAGCGCACAGTCTTCGGGCGATTCCGAGCAGAAATCGGGCGTTTCGAAGAGCTTCAAAGACGTCAAACAAGACCAATTGCAAGTGCCGGCGAAAGAAGTTCAAAGCAGACAGAGCCATTCCTCGAGAAGTCGCACGAAGGTAATCCCAATCTTCGTAAAGAACCTTTTACTAATCGAAGAAACGTAATTTGTATCATAGTTAGCATTTGACATTAAATTTGTTCGAGAAGGTACAAATGCAAGGCGTCGCAGTCGGGCGGGCGGTAGACTTGACCACATTGAAGGGATACGACGATCTCGTAACCGAGCTGGAGGAAATGTTCGAAATCAAGGGTGAGCTTCGCCCACGAAACAAATGGGAGATTGTTTTCACGGACGATGAAGGGGACATGATGCTAGTCGGCGATGATCCATGGCCGTAAGTGTTCGTTTTTCCTACTCTTAATCGACAACTTTGCTTCGGCTAATTATTCAAATTCAAAATCTTTACGCAGAGAATTTTGCAACATGGTTCGAAGGATCTTTATATGTTCGAGCCAAGACGTAAAGAAGATGAAAGGAACAAAGATCCCGATGCCTGCGACGGACAACGATAGCTTGAACTTGGAAAGCGTCATGGATTAGCGTCGTGTTTCGATCGTTTGATTGCTTCGACTGTTTTCACTTCGCTCGTCTTTCTTTCCCCACCGAACTGGACCGGTTTTGTTTACCTGCGTTACATGAAACTGAGTAGGCTGATTAATCGAGCAACGGTTCATCGACTAGCATTGGCGATGCAACGAGGAGTTGCCGTCGACGTCTTTTTCGGGTACTACTAACAAGACTGGGTGATGGAGGAGAGCAAAAACTAGTGAAGTGAAGGGTAAGATTTGTGTAAATATGTTAGGGTGTGTTTGTGGTTCTGTTCAATCTTATGAAATGCAGTACTTGTAAATACTTTTAATTTTTGTGTTGAGTTGAAACACTACTACTACTGATTCAATCTTTTTTGTCATTTTTAATTGCAAATTTGGTGAATGTGTATTTTTATGAGAAGGGCGTTTCTTGATTGCATTGATCTATGATTTAAAGATCCAATTTTTGTGATATGATGTATTCAAGAAAATTATTTGTTGGGTTAGGTTGAAACTGCAAGAACCGTAAGTGCACATCTACTAGTTCTACTGATTCAATCTTTTTGTCAATTTTACTTGCAATCTTTTGGTGAATGTGTATTTTTATGAAAAGGGCTTTTCTTGATTGCATTGATCTGTGATTTGAAGATCCAATATTTATGATCTGATAAATTCAAGAAAATTATTTGTAGGGTTAAGTTGAAACTGCAAGAACAGTTAATACACATCTACTACTTCTACTGACTCAATCTTTTTTGTCATTTTTAATTGCAATTTTGGTGAATGTGTATTTTTATGAAAAGGGCTTTTCTTGATTGCATTGATCTGTGATTTAAAGATCCAATATTTATGATCTTATAAATTCAAGAAAATTATTTGTAGGGTTAAGTTGAAACTGCAAGAACAGTTAATACCATCTACTACTTCTAATGATTCAATCTTTTTGTCAATTTTAATTGCAATCTTTTGTATTTTTATGAAAAGGGCTTTTCTTAATTGCATTGATCTGTGATTTAAAGATCCAATATTTGTGATCTGATATATCAAGAAAATTATTTGTAGGGCTAAAGTTGAAACTGCAAGAACAGTTAATATTGCATGTGGGGATGAAGCAATTTGTGGGGGAAGTAAATGAGGATAAAAATGAATAAATTTTTTTATTTTCTGAAAATGGTCAGAAGCAAAATAATTTTTCTTTTTAGCAATAGAAGAAGGAAACAAATTGCAAATGGAGAGGGTCTGGTCAGGTCTGACAGTCACGTAATAATAAAAGGTGGGATTTAAAGGTGGCAGAAACCAAAACTTTATTGTACCAGAAAAGGTGGCAACAATTATTTTGATTCTATCATCATTTCTTCTATATTTTCTGTTCCATTGTTTATTTATTTATAGTTATTGGTATATATATATATATATTCTAGGGCTAATTGTGTCATAATATTTGGATATAAAGATTTTAAAATAAATTTAGTTTATTATTAATGTGAGTTAGATAAAAATAAAAATTTAATTTAATAAGTAGAAAAAAAATAAAAATAGATTATTATTTTTTAAAGTAGAATGATAAAACTGTAGGTGATCAAATAGTTTACTATAAATAAATTATATATAAATTTTACTTACAATAATTTTTTATATAATTATATATATATATATATAGTTATGTTTGGGAGCTGGAACTTTTTTTTTTATTTATTTTTTCTGGTTGGTGGTAGTTAAAACTGGGAACACATTATAATTATTTTGGATTTGGTACTTCTAATAATGTATGTGGTTTAAAGGACTAACCACATAAAAGTGTTGGTAATGTTCATTTGACAGTTTCTATATTTGATTTTTCTCAACTTTTATAAAAATATATTGTTACAAATCATCATGTCTACTATTCATAAAAAAAAAAAAAAAAAAACTATCAATTAAACACATAAATCATAGTAAAATAACTTTGAAAGTTTCCTATTGAAAAGCATAGTAAAATAATAAAACACATAATAAAAATAATTTTAACAAAGAAATCATATAACTATTCAAATCAATTTCAATTTATATTATATCGAATAATTATTCGAATCAAAATTCCTGAACAAACAGAGAAATATAATGCTATGACTAGACTTTGTAAATTTTATTTGACTTGTAGCCTGACTTGTTATAAATATGATCTTTTACTTATAAAATCGAACTTAAAAATATCATATCGAACAATTACGATTATAAAACGTCTTCAAAAGATAACCTTTGATCTTTTCGATGTCTCAGAATCCTACACTAGCTACCATATCCATCGAGCTCAAACATCATCTTCAAGTAAATTGTTAGTTTGCTAAAAGACATCAAATAAAATCCGTTTTCGAACAGGGGATCTGTATTACAAATAACAATACAAGGTTGTTAAACTCTCCACATTATCCATCATCAAACTCACCCTAAAGTATATTTTGTTACACATAAAAAAAAAAAAAAAAAAAAAAAACAGATTGTTTCACAAGAATCATCAAGACGGGGCAAAGCACATACGGCTTCGGCTGACTACCTCTAACTCACTCCATCCACATTCTCACACCACAAAAGACTGGTCGAAGAGAGAACAACGGATGGCATTCATGTCCTGAGACTAAGACAAGACGGTCAGTGTCGATAAATTTCAATTTTAGCTACACATATAGTAGTAGTAGTATATAAAATGTCTGAGTTTTCCTGTCACTACAAGTTAGGTTGAGCAATGTAATTCCGTCTTGTGACAAGAACGCCGCAGATTCACTGTGCGCTCTTCCTGCTATCAGCTTGTTCATCCCCATTGGATCTCGGATCTTCTTGACCATTGTGTTCTCCGAGTTTCTCCTGCTTATGTATGGAAAAAATATTACGAAAAATTGAATATATATGTAATATTGTGCTCAGGATAGCCAAATGATTTGAATTTAAACCTGCAAAGATGCGTGCTCAGCGCGAAGTTGTTCGTATTCACTCTTTGCACGTTCCAATTCTGCCCTGAGAGATGCATTTTCCTCTTTCAGAGTATCAGCGCGTTTAGCCAGTTCATCGCACTCAGCCTAAGCTCCAAATACGTTACACGAAGAAAATTGTATTAAAAAAGATTAAATCTTTTGTAAATAGCAAAGAATTTAAGGGGAAGTGATGTCCACCTGCTTGCGCAATCTGGACCGGCGAGCAGATTCCCGGTTTGATTGCTTTCTCCGCTGTCTTTTCAGCTCCCTTTCATCCTGAATAAATGGGAAATGGAAAACACAACGCTAAATACATAGTAACCATTTATTTTAATCACGATTAAAACTTTATCACTAGGTAGAGCGAGATGGCAAGCAAACTGCCAATTCTGTCGAGTTGGGAGAGAGAAATGGAAGTAAACGTTGCTACGCAAGGGCAATAAAGACAAACCTGAATCCAGTGTTGTGGCTGCGCGCTGTCTCGTGAACCAGTAGTAGCAACAACTCCTCCAGCAACTGCGGCAGGTTGCTGCACCTTTCCCCGCATTGTAGGGATGGCAGGAGAAGGTGCAGCAGCACTCCAATAATCCATTCCGATATTTAAGTTAGTAGTGGGACCAGGAGGACCACTCATTGCACCCACTGCTGGCATCGGCATAACAGTCATAGTTTGACCTGCTACGACATTAGGAGTATTCGGTGCACCACTTTGAGCACTATGAGCAGTGCTGCCATTCTGAGCTGGTTCTTCTGTAGGACAAAATTATGCGTGCGTATAAATAGAATGTAGAAACCTATTGACATTGCAATGCAAGTACAAAAACCGCACCTGAATCATGCTGGCCACCAGTCTTTCCTTGGGATTCCTGTAAACAGTTGTGGTAAGGCTAAAGAATAGAATAAAAAAGTATGAAATTCTGAATATTCGAATCTTAGGTCAGAATATAACAATATCGTACGGCTAATAATAGTGTTATCATAAAATGATCAACTTTCTTCATATGAATTTCAAAAGATTGTTTCCTTTGCCTCGTAGCACAATAGAGTACTTTTTCCAAAAAAAACGAAAACTACAAAATTTATGTACTGTTTATTTAGTTTTTTAAATTATTGATTCTTTATTGTTGCCATTTGTTGCAAGAAAATAATTGCATAAAAGTACAAGCATGAGGACTCATTTACTAGGATGCAAAAGTATTATTAGAGTCCGCCAAACTTACAGTTTGAGAATTCGTATCACTTCCTTCGCTTGAGCCTTCACTCCCACTCCCAGCACTGCATATATAGTTGGGACAGCAGAAGCAACGGAAAATAAAACCAATCACATCAAAATGTGTATCTAATTGATTGTAGCAGTGGAAAGTTTGACACAATCGCATATTTGTAAAATAACAGAATGATAAAAATACCAGAAAAATGAACATTATAAATGAACAGAACATGATGCAACACAACTGCTTGCAAGAACTTGAACATAGCCGAATCTAAGTGGAGGCAGATGATTGACGTCAATGACAATTTCCAGGAACTTGTCCCAATTATCAACAGAACAAGAATAACCATACAAAATTTGTGTTTTCATACTTAAAATTACCGGAATAAGTCTAAACTACATGACCACATCTACCCATCACTTGATTTATTTCGCATGCATTAAATACCTTTTAGAATGCACACCGTTTGCAGTGGTGTCTGATGTTTTGCCAGGTTCATTATTCTTCCCGGTAATCATATTTAAACTGCCCAAACTTCCCCTGGATCGTTTAATTGGCAGTTTTCCCTTTGCCTCCGATGGCTTGCCATCCAAATCCACACCAGGAGTGTTACTCTTAATCATATACATTTGAGTGAATTCTAATTAGTTACACGAACTTGGGATGAACGATATCTAAGTCGAAAATAAGGCATATGGCTACAATGACTCACCGATGCTTCAGCAATACCACTAGAAGGAGAAGGCATGGCAAAAGGGCTGAAAGGATAAGAACCCTAAAAATATTCATATGTATATAGCAAAAAGTCAGAATTTACTGAAAGACGTGTCTAATGAGCTCTGATGAGTGAAACAATATAAATTTAGTGAAAACACTGATACCATTGATGGATGCGCATATACCCCATGGGGATACATTGCAACATATGGATGTGGTGGTGGTGTGCCATAGGGAGGAATAAATTGCTGCAACAAGAAAAATCAATAAGACGGTCCAGAGAATTTGTAAAATGAGCCATAAATGAAAGTAGCTGGATGAATGGGCTGTGTAGTATGTATAGATGAATTTTACTTATTTGAAAAGTTTGGCAGATGAAATGGCTCCAACCATAGCGGTTCAATTCACCATACATGCCATTCTGGCTCCAATACTCGAGTGATACCTTTGCTAATTTTTTCCCCAAATATACTGTTTGCTTCAAAACTCATAAATATGTCGGCGTTGTCTCAAACAATTTATCAATAAGATTCTGACAAGATAACTACTGGACTTGCTGCAACTTGGCATATTGTGTTATTATATGTCACTGTCTTCATAGCATATTTATAACATCTCTATTTCCTCGTACAGAAACCATATAGATAAGAAATATCAGACAAAAGCAAGAAGGAAAAGACAACAGAGAGAAGAAAACAATGAACATGGAACAGATCCTATGCACTACATTTTGTAATGATTCATATTATCAGAAATGAGCCATATATAGTAAGATATGTTCGTAATAGTCACTAAAGATGAGCCAAACCACGACTTGCTTCTATATAACCATTCCAGCCTATCATTTCAAGCTTAACTATCAGATTGCGATTCTACTCATAACTTAACAGAAAAAATGTTCGTATTACCCCCCACATATAAGGATGCGTCTGTGGACTTGATGCCATGAATCCAGGTGGCGGCATAGGAGAATATGCCTGCAAAGGAAACTATGTAAGATCTACAAGAGCCAATGTCAACGCGGCCAACCAATAGGATATCTTTCACAAAATATTAACCTGAAATCCAGACCAATCAGGAGCCATGGCACCAGTAGCAGCTGAAGTTTGCTCCTGAACATCCCAAAAATAATCAATTTTGACACTATGTGATATGTAACAATACAATACACGCACACACATATATATATATATATCCATATAATCCAAAATGTTATCACCTGTGCTGTAGGTGTTTTTGGCTCTTTCGATTCTTTCCCCTCCCTGGAGGACTTATCCACTTCACTACTCCCCATGATGTAACCAAAAACCTTTCCTCCTATACCACTCTAATCATCCTGTCACAGATGTGCGTGCATAAATCTGATTATACAGGCTAAGGAAATGCATAAAATCAGCTTCCACATAAGAACACTGCAACACATAATCACGCAGATGCCGAGAGTAAGAAAAACAACAGGCAATCCTCAAATTTTCTTGGAAATGATATAGTAAATATAGTAAAACCTTTAAGCCAGATTATTCTCTCAATTGTCATACACTAAATCCCCAGCTCAAGATTGAATGTTTGAGCTTCAAATTACACGCAAAATTCCAATACTTACTATGAATAACAAATAAAATACTTAAATTTGTTGAAAATTCACATTTCAATCAGTTAGCGCACGACAGAAACACCAACAACACTTCGAGATTTCAATTCAAGCAATACAGCAAATAAAACGAATCCGAGTACCACAAATCTGAATTACCAATCCAATCCAGGTACAAAAAACCTCCAAGCAACCCGCTTCTCAACTATCAACGAGATTTCGAGCAATCGAAGATTTACCCTCGAACTGGTAAGGGCAAAAAGGCTCAATTTCCCGGGGAAAAAAAATATATATATTCCACAGCCAACACCTGATTGTAGAACAAAATTGCGGAGGCTTAACCTAGCCAAAATTAGGGCTTTCCTCCGTGAGATCGGCGACTCGGCCGAGGGCACGGCCTCAGGGATCTGCAGAAGAGAGAGAAAGCGATGAGAGAGAGAGAGGGGGGAGAGAGAGAGTGCCGATGTGGTGTCCACCGTGGAGTTGAAGTGTTTGGTGATTGGATGTGGATCGTGGCCCAACCGACGGCTGAGATTTAGTAACGTCACCACATCCGATTTGCTTCAGTGTCGTGTGGGATTGGGAAACGTACATAGTTCCTGGGTCGGGTAGGGTCAGGTTTTTAATGGGTCGGTCGAATGGATCTGGGCCTGCTCAACCTGTTGGGCTCAAGGGCCTCTTAATATAAAAATAAATATAATAATGTTTTTTTTTAAAAAAAATGATAATTAAATATTTTTTTTAAAAAAAAAGGAGCTTGGTTGGACTAGTGATTGGACTCCGAAGTTGTCGTCTCCATCTTGACTCCTCAGCTAGCGTAAGTGGTAATGATCTCCATGATCTATCAATCCCTAGCTCAATACATTTGATTGTGGTTTAGATCGTCTGGATTCTTCATTTCCGTTGAATTTGGTTGGGTTTTTCCCAATCAGTCATTCTAGTTTGATTCGATTAGTCGGATCAATCTCTCAAATTCCCCCTTTTTATTTCTTCGTAATCCTTTTGCATACAATTTTAATTGATCATTTTGGTTTGCTGAATTTATTTTGTGAATTGTGCAGAGCTGTGAACGAAAAACGAAGGTCATTGGGATTGATAATTGGAACAGCAATGGCCGTGTGAGTGTGTTTCTTAGCTAATCAGAGCTGTCTTCTGGAACATTTTGTCGTAACAAGTTGTGTTCTTGATGTTGATCGCCTAATTGATGAATGCAGGGTTGCTTCTGCTCCTGGGAAGGTTTTGATGACAGGTGGATACCTAATTTTGGACAGGCCTAATGCTGGGATTGTGCTGAGTACAAATGCTCGATTTTATGCTATTGTGAAACCACTTTATGAGGAAGTTAAACCTGAAAGTTGGGCATGGGTATGGCTAACTCAGTTAGAATGCTATTATGCATTGCTATGTGTATGGTGAAACTGCTTAGGAATCTAAAGTTCAGCTGACATAATGAATCTTTATACTCTAGCTCTGTTTATGTTAATCTTAGTTTGCTGGTGATTGAAGTAGAAGTGTTCAAGGATATTGCTGGGACGAATATTGCCTGATAAACTTATTTTCAAGCAAGATCCTGAGATCATTACTCAGATGATGAGTTTTTCATGTTATTTCTCTGACTGTTTCCTGGCAGTCTTCTTTTATGAAACAAGTTCAAGTTTTACCTGTTTTAAGAGAATTACTATGAACCTGAACCTAAAACCGACGCATATGTGGACTTTCTGTGAACATGAGCATTAGTTTTGTTGTGTTGTTGGCTTTTTTTATTTTATATTTTTAATTATGTGAATCAAACTTCAAACTTTATGAAGTGCTAGATATAATACTCTTTGTTTGCTGGAAAATAGTTTTTGTAGTTGGATTTCTTACAGAACTATGCATTTATGTTAGGCATGGACGGATGTAAAATTGACATCTCCTCAGATGGGAAGGGAAACTATGTATAAACTGTCGCTTAAGCATATTCTGCTTCAGCCCATCTCTGGAAGGTACGCATCATATATTGTGATGTTTTCATCGGAAATAAATGTGAGTGAATCATGCGTGAGCTTGTGAACCAAATTTTTTTACAATAAACTGTAACATAAACTTTTATATATTCTTCAGAAGATACAGTCAAAGTAGCCACATTTCATTGGATTTGTTCGGTTTGGTCTTACTCAGTATTTTATGCTCTTTGTTAAACTTCAGTGACTCGAGGAACCCATTTGTAGAAAATGCTCTGCAGTATGTAATTGCAGCAGCTTATGCCACGTTTGATCAAGAGAAGAAGGTTGAGTTACGGAAGCTTTTGTTGTTAGGTCATTCCTAATTCCGTGCTCCTAATCTTTCTTTTTAAGATAAGTAAACTGAAAAGAAATCTAATTCTTTCTCGTGATTTTTAATGCAGGTCTCGACATTACAATATTAGGTTGCAATGAATTTTATTCGTATAGAAATCAGGTGATCTATCTCCAGTCTGATTTCTTACGCGGGACTTTTATGAGCAAAGTTTTCTGTTCTTCCTTGAATTGAATATAGTAGTTGAAGTTCTTATTTTTGAGACATCAATCAGCAAGTGTTGCTAGGAATAACTCAGTTTCCTATGCCCCACATATCATGATGTTCAAACTACAAATTTTTGCAGATTGAAGCACGAGGACTTCCCTTGACGCCTGAATCATTGGCTTCCCTTCCACCTTTTACTTCCATTACTTTCAATGCAGAAGAGTCGTCTGGCCAAAATTGCAAGCCGGAGGTTGCGAAAACTGGACTGGGCTCATCAGCAGCCATGACTACAGCTGTTGTAGCTGCTTTACTTCATTACCTTGGAGTAGTTAATGTACCCTCTTCCAATCATCATCGTCAAGGAAATGAATGTGCTAGGGAACTGGATGTTGTTCATATCATAGCCCAAACTGCTCACTGCATTGCACAGGGTAAAGTAGGCAGCGGTTTTGATGTTAGTTCTGCTGTTTACGGTAGCCAGAGATATGTTAGATTTTCTCCGGGAGTACTTTCTGCTGCCCAGGTACACATTTCTCTTCATTGAATTTCATAAAAGCATTCTGATTTATTGTGAACTGAAAAAGACTTAGCATGTTCCGAGTGGTTTGATAGTATCTTGATTCGATTCTAGAGGATTAGTGGTTGTGAAGCATTGAATATTTTGTCAACTGAACTTTTCAAGTAGTTCTAACTTCTAATATGCATTAATATGAATATCTGAAGGAGGTAACAATTGACAATAAAACATGGAATATGATGCCAAAGTTGCAAGTTTTTGCCGCCATGTTATTCATCTATCTTCTTAACAAAATGGCTTGAAATGATTGTTTTATCAGCTTGTGTTGTTTTGGCAAATTAACACACTGTCTGTTTTCAGGGCGCTGGTCGACTATTGCCTATAGAGGAGACCATAGGCGGTGTGCTAACGGCGAATTGGGATCATGAAAGGACTAGCTTTTCATTACCTCCAATGATGACTCTAGTAAGTCCAATAAAATTCATTCTTTCGAATTTTTTAATATTCAAGTTCTTACATCCTTAACATCTCCATATGTGACTTGAAATCTAATAATATTTAGTTACTTGTTTCTTTCCCAAGTTCCTTGCTAAAATTAACTTACATGCAGTTACTCGGAGAACCAGGGACAGGTGGCTCATCGACACCGTCAATGGTTGGTGCAGTGAAAAAGTGGCAAAAGGATGACCCTCAAAACTCTGGGGAAACATGGAAGAAGTTGTCACAAGCAAACTCGGCGCTCGAGTCTTACCTCAAAACCTTAAGCAATTTGGCGAAGAGTAACTACAATGCGTATATAAGGGCCATCGATACCTGCAGCAAACTAACATCAGATAAGGTGTTCATTTGCATTTCATTTTGTTTGTTCAATCATAACATGTGCCCGTGCAAACATGACGTATGACTAATGAATTAATTCTTTCTTTTCTTTTTCTTATTGCTCACTAATGTCTTACAGTGGAGGGAAGGAACCGGCGAACCAAACCAGACTGAAATAGGTTCGGCGCTATTAGGAGCCAGAGATGCCATGCTCGAAATCAGACGTAACATGCAGAAGATGGGGGAAGCTGCCGGTATTCCTGTAAGTTCTCTTCTGTTAAATTCTCGACTGATTTCTTCTCGACTGATTTCTCATTTTGATTCTCCTTCGATCTCTTTAACCCTTTAGACATTGCACACATACATACATTTTCAGATCGAACCTGAGTCGCAAACTCAACTGCTGGATGCCACAATGGCCACCGAAGGAGTCCTCTTGGCCGGGGTTCCTGGTGCAGGCGGATTTGATGCTGTCTTCGCCATTTCTTTGGGTGATGCAAGCAGCCATTTAATTAAACTTTGGAGAGCACGAAACGTTCTCGCGTTGCTTGTGAGAGAAGATCCTCGCGGGGTTTGCTTAGAGACCAGTGATCCGCGGGCAACAGAAATCACAGGTGCTGTTTCTTCGATTCACATTCATTGAAGGTTGAGGTACAGAACTTTTATCCTCCCACATTCGAATATTTGTTGTAATCTTGACAAATAAACACATACTCACCAATAATCTTTACAAGAGCAGCTTCCATCTCTGAAATGGTGGAAGATGTTCCTATCACGAACGACGATTTCTCGTTCGTAAATCACCGATATGAGTTTTGTATACTTATGACAATCACTGCACATCCTAACATTCCTTGCTATTCTTATAGGGCTCCCTTGCAATGTGTTTATCAGTGAGAATGCAATTGCTAGTTTCTGACTATGTGATCTCAGTCTCTGTTTCTTCTCGTCTTCTTCGACGAGGAGTAACACCTGCGACGTATCGGGTCGATACCCCTCGAATCTCAGCTGCCACTCCATTTGGTGAAGCGTTTCATATATTTCATGTCTCTGCGGATGAGACATGTCATTCGACACGAATCTTTGAACTTTCTTGTTCACTTCGACCCAGCTCGATCCGGGAACTTGGCCTATACGCATGCTCGCCATTTTGACCCGAGTTTTCGACACATCCATCCATCTTTCTGCTTGTGCGTATATACTCGCTAGCATCAGGTAATCGCTTGCATTCTTCGTATTTAGTCGAAATAAATTCCTCGCCGCAACCTCCCCTAACGCTACTTCTCGATGCAGCTTGCAGGAACTCAAAAGGCTACGCCAAATAACGTTGTTAGGCTTCATGGGCATCGTCTCGACGAGATCAAACGCTTCGCGAATCCTCCCGGCCCTGCCCAAGAGATCAACCATGCACCCGTAATGCTGGATCGTCGGCTCTATCCCATGCTCGATTCTCATCCGGTCGAAATACCTTAGGCCCTCGTCGACCAACCCTGCCCGACTACACCCATTCAACACCCCCACGTAAACAACATCGTCCGGCTCGAGCCCACTCCGAAGCATCTCGTCGAACGTTTCCAGCGCTTCGACGCCTCCGCCGTAGCTCGCCTGCCCCGAGATTGCCACGCTGTAAGTCTCTACGTTCCTTCGCCTCCCCATCTCTCGAAATAGTCGCATCCCTTTCTCTAGTCTCCCGCATCTTATGTACATATAGATTAGGAGAGTTTCGACTGCGGCGTTGTGTCCCAACAGGTTCCGTAACACGTAGGCGTGCGCGATCCTTCCCCACTCGACGGCTCCGAGATGGCTGCAGGCGGACAATACATTCACTACTATACTCTCCTCGGCTCTCGAAGACGTTTCGAAACTCATTTGACGGAACAAATCGAGACACTCGGTCCACATTCCATTCCCGGCGTGAGCTGCGATAACCGCGCTCCACGACGCCACCGTCTTGCGGAGATCCATCCGGTCGAAGACGGCACAAGAATCGCCAACACGGCCACACCTTCCATACGCGGCGATCAAACTGTTCTCGACGAAGACATCCTCGGAAAATCCGAGCTTAACGATCTGGCCGTGAATCGTATTCCCCTCTCCGGAGGCGCACGCCTTTAGGACAACCGGGTAGGTGTAATTATCCGGCGCGACGCCTGTCTTAACCATGTCGAGGTACGTTGCGAGAGCCCGCTTCGAATTCATATCTTTGACGTATCCTCTGATCATGGCATTGAATTCGAACGATCCCGGATCGTCAATCTGCCGGAAAATCGACTGCGCGTACTCCATGCTGCCCCATGCGGAGAGCGCGCATTCGGCGACAAGGCTCCCGACGCAGCGGGGATTCGAGAAGTATCCGAGCTTGAGAATGTGGCCATGGAGTTGTCGGAATTCGTCGATGTTTCGACATCCTTTGATCAAGGAGATGCATTCTTGATCCCTGTGGGTGAAATCTGGGTCGAGGGGATTGTCGTTGGGGATGAAGAAATGGTGGGGAGGTGTGATTATGGAAGCTACGACCATAGTCTTGTTCTTCTCATCGGATCATCATCATCGGAGACTTCGAAAAGTTTCGATCAAAACTATGAAAGAAACGATGATGGATGGATCGATTTGATTTTGGTTTTTGATGATTATTGCAGGTTTGGGTTGGAATAATTTTGGGGGAAAATGTGATCTTGGTGGAGGAGATTTGGAGATGGAATTTCAGCCAGAAGAGTGGCTCATTGGGGATTCTACTTGTGGATAGGATAACGTAACGACATGTACGTGGGCTCCATATCAAGGTTTGTGTTTATGTACATACTGCCTTGGTATATTTTTTTCATTTTCATCTATCGACGTATTTTAAAAATAAATAAATTTAATTATATTGTTTATAATAATGGATGTATATTCATATTATTATATTAAATTAAAATTCTATAAGAATTCAAAAAAGAAAATTATACAAAATTATTATCAATTACTATTAAAATATTAGGTGTTTTTATAATTTTTTTAAATATGATTTTCAATATATATATAATATGTATAAATATACTTCTTCTGCCCCATATATATATATATATATATGCATTTGCTGTTTTTTTTTTTTTTTAGAAATTATAGTATTATATAATATATAATAAAGGTAAAAAGACTCAATTAACCTATCAGTATTGTATAATATATACAAGTGGACCAAAATGGAAAAACGGATAGATTGTTAGATGACATAGGAAGTATTAAATTACTTCCTCCGTCCCACATAATTTGTCCCTATTTTCTATTTTGGTCTGTCCTACATAATTTGTTTATTCCTTTTTTTTAATATAATTATATATTTTAATCTCATTTTAAATTTTAAATTTTATAATTTTTTTAATCTTAATTAAATTATTTAGTTATCTTAATTTTAATCTACAATTATTTTTATTATACGATAATTACTATACATTTCTTAATTACTTACTAATCACACTTTACCTAAATTCTCATATCTAACGTAATAGGCCCATAATACATGGGACGGATGGAGTACAATATTAGGAAAAACACATGTACTGTTATTTCTTATGGTGTATTTGTTTGAATAATTTGTGTGGATTTAGTTTAAATTTTTTACTATTCAAATATCAATTTAAAATCCGGATTCCCCAAACAAACACACTATAATAGAACTACTACTTTAAAAAAAAAAAAATAGTCTCATTCATTAATAATGATTTATAGGTGTATTTGTTAAGGATTTTGGAAATTTTTCTTACTATTTGACAAATTTCACCAAAAAATTTAAAAAAATAAAGTAAGGGTTTGTTCATTTGAAGAATTTTATCAAAATTTTACTATTCATTCCAAAATTTTCCCCCCAAAACATCAAATCAAACACCTATTTTTATTTTTTATATTATACTAAAAAATCAATTTTACATTCAAAACATCACATCAACTCCTATTTATATCACATTATACAACTATTCAAATTCAAAATTTTTACTATTTAAATCCCAACTCAAAATCCAAACCCCCAAACAAACACACCCTAAATGTAGATTTTTAATTTGTACAAAATACCCCCCCCCCCCGAAACAAAATGATGGAAGAATTGTATAAGTCTATTCAATTAATAAAAATTACTATCAACTTATACCAGAAATCTTGTTATAAAAACACAATGAATTACAGTCAAAATTATATGATTTATATCTTATTTCAATTTACAGCCACTAGCTTTTTAATTGGTTTGACTAATGATTATTATACAAAAAGCTTAAATTAAATAAATAAAAAAAGGAATAAATTGAAAATTTCTAGATAGTCAAACTATCTTAATTGGGCAATGACCCATTCAGTGACATAGTGGAGGCAGTAATTATGACAATTAATTGTAATTAACAAAAACAAATAATCATCTTAAAATTGAAAAAAAAAATAAAAAAAAAATACAGAATTTGTAAAATACTTTAACTTAATAACAATAAATTTTGAGGTTTCAAAAAATAATATTTCTAAAATAAAAGTGTAAATTTAAATTATTAGTATTATTATTATTATTAGTTGGAGTTAAGAGTTACAGTTGCAGTGAGTGCGGTGCATCGTCTCCAAAAAGATATCTTTTCATTAATGGCGGACTCAGAAGGGCCCCACAATCTGATCGTCCCCATCCGCAATTCAGCGGATCATGTCCATGTCTCAGTAAATCTCCAATTACGCACGCACGCCTCCACGATTTGATTTCTCATGTTCCTTTTTGCACAAAAAGGGCGTAGATTCTTTGCTAATTTATCTAAAGGGTAGATTCCATGGCCGGACATGATTTTCACCTCTGTAAATCGATCTCTTTTCTGAGCTTCAAAGCCTAGAAAAGGGGGCAGCCTTTTGTGAAGCAGCAAGCATCTCTTCCCCCAACTATTAATTCGATTCAAATTGCCTTTGTAGCTTTTGTCCTTTTTCCTCGCAGGCTCCAATACCCCCTTTTTCGATCCTTTCCACCGTTGCTTTCTGAGCTTAATTAGATTTATTAGCCAATGGCTTGTACAATTTTGGTGGATTCTGCTCCAATTTACTGATGGGGCCGCCCGTGTTGTAATGGAGTTGGTTTGGGGGTTAGGGTTAGGGATTTGGTATTTTTAATTGGAAGTTTGTATGACTTTGGAATTTTCAACTTTGGATAAACAGAAAAAATAATGGAACCCTTCCCTCTCAAGCTGACTGCTACGCGTTGAATTTTCGTTGGATTATATTAAGCTTTTCCATTTCTGTGCGTTGGTTAGTTGTTTGAAGTTTGAAAATTCTTTTGCTTGGATTCGATATCTGTAATGAGATCTTGAGCAATTTGGAGTTTTCTGGCAGCCGGCCATCTCTGCAGGTAAGGTGTTCGACGTTTTGCCTGAGAAGAACTTCATTGTTTTTTCTTGGCTACTGAATTCATGGCTTTTGACTCTTAATTTTTGAATTTTTCAAGGTTATCCAACGCTCCATTTGTTGTTCTTCGTAGAATTCGTGAAAGCTGATGTTGTTGGTGAATTAGATCTTGAGGAAAATCCATTTAATTTTCAGAATTTGTGGCTTTGTTATAGAGGATTGGTGTTAAGCAGATTCAGTGAGCTAAGATGGATGAAAATGGAGCTGAGGATTGGAGGGAGACGGTGAGGAAAATGCTTCCGCTGGGGGCGTCGATTCCCGACGAGGATAATATGGATTATTCGATAGCTATGGAGTACAACGGTCCTCCGATTTCGTATGAGATTCCGAGGGCAGAGCCTCTTGATATGAATTCCGAATCAATTCCAACTGCGGAGCCGATCCCTTTAAGGATGTCTCGAATAGCAAGTATCACGAATCCGCCTCCTCGGAGTTCTAGGTTGTCAGGGAGTTCGGAATCTGTAGTTTCTGTTCTACAGAATCCTGATTTTTCGTCGCCTTCTGTATCGGCGTCTCCTGGTTCAGTGCGCAGCCATGATCAAGCTCCGAAGGAGCTTGCAAATGAAGGGAGGAGAGCTACTGTTACGTTCAATACCCTCGATAAGTCGGAAAGGAAAGCTGCGGATACGGAGAAGCAAGTATATCCCGAATTCTTCGTCGATAAGGAAAAGAAGAAAAGGAAGAAGACGAGAGTATGTTATCGTTGTGGGAAGGGGAAGTGGGAGGCGAAAGAGTCGTGTTTAGTTTGCGGTGCAAAGTACTGCGGCAATTGCGTGCTCCGCGCAATGGGATCGATGCCGGAAGGGCGCAAGTGCGTGCCGTGCATCGGGGAACCTATTGATGAGTCGAACAGGTCGAAACTGGGAAAGCATTCGAGGGTGTTGTCACGTTTACTCAGTCCTTTAGAAGTCAAACATATAATGAAAGCAGAAAAAGAATGCGCGGCTAATCAGCTCCGACCCGAGCAGCTGATCGTGAATGGTTACGCCTTAAAACCGGAGGAAATGGCTGAGCTTTTTGGCTGCCCTTTACCTCCCCGGAAACTTAAGCCCGGCCTGTATTGGTACGACAAAGAATCCGGCCTTTGGGGGAAGGTATTCATTTTGCAATCTTGCTTTCGACAATTTTATATAGCTTTGTACTGAATTTTCGATGTTGTTGTAACAGGAGGGAGAAAAGCCGGACAGAATTATCAGTTCGAATTTAAATTTCACCGGGAAGCTTAGTCCTCATGCTAGCAATGGGAACACCGAAGTATACATGAATGGTCGGGAGATTACGAAACTTGAGCTAAGAGTACTCAAGGTTCGATTTGTAGATCCCTTTGCATCGATGATCATATACTTAAGGAATTTATAGTCGCATAGAAACATGATTTTTGTGCGCAAATGAGTTCTTACGCATTACTTGTGGTGCATGATCCAGATTGCCAACGTGCAATGCCCTCGCGATACTCATTTTTGGGTTTATGATGACGGTCGCTACGAGGAGGAAGGGCAAAATAATATTCGAGGAAACATATGGGAGAAGGTACCTTGGAAGATTATTACCATGAATGGAGTTTAGTCGAATGTATGATTGATTCTCCGGATCTCTGATTTTGCTAGGCATCGACACGGTTCGTCTGCTCGTTGTTCTCTTTGCCTGTACCCCAAGGTCAGCCTAACGGGAATGAGCCCAGCAACTATGCTGTAGTACCAAATTATATCGAGAAGAAGAGGACTCAGAAGCTTCTTCTACTTGGACTCCCGGGTTCTGGAACCAGCACTATATTCAAGCAGGTAATGCCATAAGTTTGTAGCAAGAGATTTATATATCGTACGCTCACGGGCGTCTCGATTGCACTCTTAATTCTTGTGGCAACGTCGTATTTACTCTTCTTGTCTTCACTTCTCTCTGAATAGGCTAAGTTTTTGTATGGAAAGAAGTTTGGCCCCGAAGAACTGCAGGATATCAAGCTTATGATCCAAAGTAACATGTACAGCTATCTGAGCATTCTGCTCGATGCTCGAGAACGGTTTGAGGAGGCTCTATCCAGAACGAAAGGGCATACTTCAGATCAAGAAGAACCCGAGTCAGGTAATTGTTAAGGAGGTAGTTTCAAAAACATGAATGGCATTCTTGGTAAGTTTTGGATTATCAAATTGTTTCATTGCTGAAATTGTTTTGGTTTTAACACAGGCGAAGATATCGACTCCAGCGGCAATAATCATTGTGTATATTCTCTCACTCCGAGGTTGAAGGATTTTTCCGACTGGCTTCTCGACATCATCGCTACTGGAGATTTGGATGCGTTCTTTCCTGCTGCAACCCGAGAGTACGCCCCACTTGTCGACGAAGTGTGGAGAGCTCCTGCCATACAGGAGACATACCGAAGAAAGAACGAGCTTCACTATCTTCCTGATGTAGCCGAGTACTTCTTAAATCGGGTAACTTCATTCTCATTAAATGTTTCTGACACTTTTGCCTTATAGCTTCCTGGACATGGCATTCGAAAATATTCAAATTCACTACGCAGGCCGTTGAGATATCAAGCAACGAATACGAGCCTACAGACCGTGATATCCTGTACGCCGAAGGCGTAACTCAGGGAAATGGCTTGGCTGTAATGGAGTTCTCCTTCGACGACCATAGCCCCATGTCGGAAGCCTATGTCGACAATCTGGAAGCTGCGCCAGCACCTCTGACAAAGTACTTTCTTGCTTTCATCTAAATTTTCACCTTACCCAACAATGTCGATTGTTGATTAGTTTTATAATTAAACTTTTAGGTGAGATGATCATTTAATATCTCGATTCAATCCTTGATCATCTTCCAGGTACCAACTTATTCGAGTAAACGCCAAGGGAATCGCCAACGGATGCAAGTGGGTCGAAATGTTCGAGGACGTTCGTGTAGTCGTCTTCTGCGTCGCCCTGAACGACTACGCACACTCGTGGGTAGCTCGGGAGTGCAACGGCAATGGTACATTGCTGCAAAACAAGATGATCAAAAGCAGGGAGATGTTCGAATCGATGATCAGGCATCCATGTTTCAAAGACACGCCGTTCGTGCTGATCCTGAACAAATACGATCTCTTCGAGGAGAAGATCAATCGAATCCCGCTCAGCACCTGCGAATGGTTCACTGACTTCAGCCCCGTCCGGCCGCACAACAGCAACCAGTCCCTGGCGCACCAGGCGTACTTCTACGTAGCCATGAAGTTCAAGGATCTGTACGCTTCTATGACGGGGAGAAAGCTGTTCGTGTGGCAAGCCAAGGCGAGGGACCGCCCGACGGTCGACGAGGCTTTCAAGTTCATAAGAGAAGTGGTGAGATGGGACGATGAGAAGGCGGATAATTACTACGGCGGTGGTGCTGAGGATTCATTTTACAGCACGACGGATGTGAGCTCGACGCCGTTCGTTGCAGCGCAATAATGAATGGGAAGTGCATTTTGATGATTGTAGTTGGTTATGTGTGTAAAGATGCTTGATTTTGTTGTAATGGAGGATGGAGCTGCGTGGAAGATATGAATTCTGTAGCAAAATTCATGTTATAGATACGAATTATGTGGAGGATGAATCTTGATTTACCTACCGGTAACCGTGGTGACTGGGGAAATCAGCAAATATGATTTCTTCATTCAGCATATGAAAGTAATTTTGGGATTTCATTGTGCCCTAATATGGAGAAGAAACTGGTGGTAATAACGGCGGATTTCATTGTGCCCCTAATTTAGAATTCAGAATGATGGTCGATTTTTCTAACGTTGATGGGCTGAAGGGGAAAAGCCCAAAACCCTAATTTTGGGTTTTGATTTTAATATGTTTTGCATCATACGGTATTGATTTTTCAAAGGTTTGCTATGGCGGAGGCGAAATCGGACGGAAGTCCAGCTGAAATTGTCGTGCGGCAGCCGGCGAGGCCGCCGCCGAAGCGGTTCGTGAAGAACCAAATTCCGGATTCGATCCTAAACGACGCCGCCTTGAACGCCGCCATATCTCTGCTTCCGGCGAACTATAACTTCGAGATCCACAAGATCGTGTGGCGCGCCCGATCCACGAATGCGACGCGAGTCGCGCTTCAGTTCCCCGAGGGTTTGCTGATGTACTCTCTCGTCATCTCCGACATACTCACTACCTTCGCCGGCGTTACTCACTGCTTCGTCCTCGGCGACGTCACCTACGGCGCGTGCTGCGTCGACGACCTCTCTGCGCGTGCGCTCGATGCTCATCTTCTCGTGCACTTCGGCCATAGCTGCCTCGTTCCGATTGATTCCACCACGATCCCCGTGCTCTACATCTTCGTCGAAATTGCAATCAACGCGCGGAAGCTACTTGAGGAGTTGAAATACAATTTCAATCCGGACGAGAGCAGTTTCATCATGGCGGGTACGATTCAGTTTTCCAACGCGATTCGTGCAGTGAAGGCGGAGCTGGAGAAATTAGGGTTTAGGGTTTTGATTCCTCAGGCAAAGCCATTGTCAGCAGGGGAAGTTCTTGGGTGCACTGCTCCGAGCGTGAAATTACAGGGTAATAATGGAAAAAATGATGTGATTATCTTTGTGGCAGATGGTAGGTTTCATCTGGAGGCATTTATGATAGCTAATCCTACGATTAAGGCCTTCAGATATGATCCATATTTGGGGAAATTGTTCCTGGAAGAGTATGATCATGATGGAATGAAGGAGGATAGGAAGAGGGCAATAGAGAGGGCAGTCGGGGCGAAAAGTTGGGGGATCGTATTGGGTACTTTAGGAAGGCAAGGAAATCCGAGGGTGTTGGAGAGATTGGAGAGGAAGATGAGGGACAAAGCTTTGGATTACATGGTGGTTTTGGTATCGGAATTGTCACCGCAAAAAATTGAGCTTTTTGGTGATGCAGTGGATGCTTGGATTCAGATTGCTTGCCCTAGATTGTCGATTGATTGGGGGGATGCGTTTAAGAAACCGTTGTTAACGCCGTTCGAGGCAGAAATAGCGCTTGGGGATTTGAATGGATGGTGGGAGAGGAAGTTAAGGTGTAATGGCAATTCTGATGAAGAATGTTGCGGAAATGAGAATGTGGGGGAAGGTGTGGATTATCCTATGGATTATTATGCACAGGATGGAGGAGATTGGAATTCTTGTTACTCGAAGAAGAATGTTCGTGTTCGGGGAAAAACCAGTCAGTGTTGCAATAATGGCTGCGAAAAGTCTTGAATGTCTAGATGGCATGTGGCTAGAATACCGATATGGTTGCTTGTAGTGTTAATGCCACTCAAGTTTGATTATCAGTGAGTAGTACGATCAGCGATTAGTTATGGTGACTGAGGATTTATTCTTATTGCATCCCTTTGGGTTAGCATATTGCTTTCTTCGTGCTGTTTTTGTTTTACTGTTTGCAGAATACTTGTTGTATTTGTAACTATTAGGTCGGCATGTTCTGTGAAATACTCTCATGTGTTTTTTTTTTGTCTGAATTACGATAAAACCTGACCATTGCCAATAGATTGCATGACTTTGCTGCTGTGGAACTGTGGATAACTTTGATTTGAAAGCATTGCCTGAAATCAAGATCCTCTGTTTATGAATTTTGGCGAATAATGTGTATAATAGGTAACAAGAACAATATATGATTTTGCATTCTAGGAATGCTGTTATTGAAGGTCGAATCTACATGTATGAACTTTTTGGATGTTGGGTATTGATTTTCAAGTCTTAGACCTACTTCACCTGAAATTTCTTTTCGATAACAATCTTGTTCTGGTCTGTTGCATTGTAACATGGATTGTGCTCTTCATTCTGTTACTGTATAAGCCATTTTTCTGTTTGAACTTCTGAGTTTTTAATTGACCTGATATATTTCATCCATCTTTCCATGATGGGTTGAATTCTTTTCCCTTGTGTGCAGGAGAAAATGAGAATTGAAATGGTAGATGCTGTGAGTGTCCTCAAAATTACATTAACTGTAGCCAACAGAACGGCACTATCCTCGACTGCTACTGCACTAAACAGTGGACATATTAGCAGGCTGTCGTGATGGCGAATGAGCACTAATTGATGACTTAGCACACAGGCGTTCTCATTATCTCAGCTATGATTGCTTACACGGGCCAACAAACCTCCTTTTGTCTCCGGATCTTTTTCTCAGGAGAGATTTAGTGCAGGTAATGGTCCTACAACTACAATTCTTTTCCTGTGGAACATTCAGTCGTAGCATATATATTTTAGTTTGTTAAATTGTGAAGCTGATGGATTGTATTTCTGGAATATAGAGTTTAATGTCCTAATGGCTAATACAGGCATAGGAGATTTTGATGCTAATGAACCCAAGTATGTTCACTACAGTTAAGTTTGCTTGACATGCACTCTAGTTGGAAATCTTTGAGATAAATTTAGGAGTAAACCTATTTTACGCCTCATGGTGACTTATCGATCTTGTAATGCTACTTCCTACCCCTGAACAAAAAAAGACTCAGGCTTGAGCAAGGATAATTAAGTTATTTTGGTTGAGACAATGTTATGTATGATTTATGCATAGTAATTTTCTAGGGCTGAGTTGAGATCAATTTAATTTTGTCCTTCCGATTTGGATTGAGTTTTGAGTTTTGAGTTTATTTCAATAATGTTTGATAGATATTTTGTTAGGAAGTAATGTACTTGTCTCTGCCCAAGAAACTTATGTGGGTTTGAACATTTAGAAATAATGATATATTAATATAAAATTAGTTTAAGTAAAAGTAAAGTATGGTATCATGTGAAATTTATTAAAAATTGATAAAAAAAAAGTAGCGGAATAAGTAGAAAAGTAATGAAAAATTTTAAAGTAAGAGTAATAAAATTATGGACGGATAAAATTGTTTATTATAACTGAATTATGCATAAATTTAATGGACAACAAAAAATCAATAGTGACATAAGTTTTGTGGATAGAGGGTGCTTCGCGGTCGTAGAGTCAAAATAGTAAACAACTTTATCCAAACCTTAAAGGAACATACCCTTAGTTTTTAAGCTCAACTTCAACTTCTTCATACTTGGTTGATTTCAAGCTTCAACATTTGGATTATTGTTTAAACACATGCACCTATCTCTTGCAGCATAGCTAGCGGGCATAGAAAGGTTAGGGATGGAGGAGGGGTAGGTGAATAATAAATTTTTATCCATTAATTGATTTCTTAGGAAAACCAATGAAATTGAAGCAAGATTTTTGAAGGACTAATTAGTTAGATATTCTTCTTCCCTCTAGATTTGCATTATGTGATTAGAAATTACAATGGCCCCACACTTAGAATGCAGAATATGAATCAGATTCCACTCTAAAAAAACTTGTGATTTTAAACAAATCCTGGTGGCAAATTACTTGTGGCTTCCAAGAAATTCTGGTGGGAGCCTAGTGCTTAAATAAATAAAACTAGTCACACCCGTTTTTGGGATCTAACTTGTCTTTAAATGAATATTCTAATGGCTCCACTGAGATTTCTTCCCTAGGAGGAAGAAGACAACTGCATAGCCTTTTTTTCTGACCTTTGAGGACCTGAACAAATACCTGAGATGACATAATCATCCAAAAGGAACCTAGTGACATTTCTCTATGACCTCACATCACATATTCTTGGGGGACATTATAAATTGCATTTCTCTATCCTTTAGTTTTAGTTGGATTCCACATCAAAGTTAGGTATTGTGTAGTGATGATCAAAGTTTCACCACATTTGGGACACCATCACCCTAAGTTGCACACATCCATTCTATTCACCAAGTGTTTTATAGATACACGATTTTTTTTTTAAATATTATTTTTAAAATACAACATATAATATACAATATGTATACACCTAACAATTAAAGTTAGCAAAAACATACTAAACATCATTCTCTGTAATACTTTCACAATTTCTTATACTTAACAACACAAACATTTAAAATTATAAATACTAAACAAACACGCTGTATCATTCTTGAAACAGAAAACCATATTTTTGTTTTGCATGGCAATGAAAATGGATTATGACATCAGAGAAGTGGAGGCCCCAAGCACTTTATTTCATGTTTGTTTTTTTAATGGGACTGTACTGATATTTTGTTGCTATGATAAAATGGGGTGTGCCCTTTCAGTGATCTGAACACATAAAGATGATCTTACATCAGCTTCAAGAAATAATTCTTTTTGATGCAATGTGTTTATTTCATTCTGTACATTAGAACAGTTTGTGTGATGGAATTCCCTGTTGCCTATGTTTATGCTAAAAGTAGCTTTCCTTACTCAGATTGCATTATTTGACATAGTATGGATTGTAATGATGCAATTTTTGTGGAAATTTCAGTTTGAGATTTATTTCTTGGTTTCTTTCTTTTCCCTAAGCTACAAATCATTATCTAGTTTGAATTTTTATTGCTTTTAAGGAACATACCTCTTTGTTTTGTATAATTTGGCTTATAGAGAATTCCGGGTAGAGGTAGAATTGCTTATCATATGGGACGGGGAGAATAAATCAAGACCTATGTAGATTAGAAAATACGATAAAGACTATGAAGATGATTAGGTCGCGACAACGATGTTTGATGTGCAAAACTTAGATATTGTTTTGTATTTTCGAACAATAACAATATTAGTATATTACGGCTCTTTTTATAAGAAGTCGTGAAAATTGCATACTCAAATCAATGAAAAAGAACATATCCAAAGCTTTTCACTTACGCTTCTATTCAAATGAGTTTTTAGTATTGCTCTACATTGAAATGTGATTGAATTTTTATTAAATGTAGTTATTTATTTCTCATTGATTCATTCATGTACATTTTATGTGATTTGATCTTTTGTTTCTTTTATAGTATTATTGATTGATAGCCTTTAATTATTATGCATAATATTTATTCACAAATTATTTCCTTGCAAGTACCCATGCTTTTAATAGTCTCTCCGTCCCACGAGTAAATATCCATTTATTTTTTTTCATGTAATTTTAGAAATATTACTATTATATTGGAATATAGTAGAAATAAAGTAGAAATGACTAAAATAATCCTGTGTGATATAAAGGTAATGATATTTGTGTAATATATTGTAAGTTGTAAGGGTATTTGTAATGTTAGTAGATAGTACAATTACTTAAAAAAAATAAAAAAATGAATACTTTATTATAAGACGGACTAAAATGAAAAAATTGATACTTTGTTACGGGACGGAGGGAGTATAAGTTTTATATGATTTATTATATTTTTATACACATGTTCTACTATGTATGTACCTATTTTATAGAATCAATGAAAAATAACCTACCTTTTATATTTAAAATATATATATTTACTTAATCTATTATTATATCAAATTTAAATGATTTCATAAATAAAATTTATTAATCTTTTATTGTCTATATGTCTAGGAGATCTCTGTCGCCAACCACAATATCTTTTCTCTTTGTTTATTTTCCTATATACTTAATAAATTAACTTTTTAGTAGTTATTGGTAATTATTATCGTAATTAATGTTACACAACTAATATAAATAAATATATTGAGTAAAATAATTAGTTATTACATTATAATAATTAAGAAAAAAAAAAGTTGGGTTGAAGTGAAATATACCTAATTTGGTCTCGAAAATTCGTTGAAGTCAACATTTAAAACAGAAATATGAATACTTTGTAGCTTAACGAAATGAGTATGTATTTGCTTTGTGGAGATTAATTTGAAGTTTTCGATGAAAATATAAATTAAACTTTTATATTTTAATATATATTTGTAGAATTTATTATATCGATTTCAAATTAATTGACAAATAAAATTAATTAAACCTTAATTGTGTTATATTATTTCAAGTCATCTATATACAAATAAAATTAATTAAACCTTAATTGTGTTATATTATTTCAAGTCATCTATATACATATACATGAGTTTGTTTACCTAATCAATTTTTCATCAATACCATTTTTAATATTTACATATATATTATATTCTCCAGTAAAAAATCGAAATTCAATAAAAATATTATTTTTTTATATGAACAACCTCACTTATCATTCCTTACATAAACTACTCCAAACTAAGATAAGTGTGGATTCATCAATAATAATATTTTTATTTTTTTTAATAAAATTAAAAAATTGTAATTATTTATAATAAAAGTAACAATAAAAACTTCAACTACCTATGATATGTTTTTATGGATTTATTTGATTTTAGTCCTTAATTAAAATTAAAATTATTATTATTATTATTATGTTTGTACGTTGTTAATAAAAATACAATATTATTATTTTTCTATAAAATATCATATCAAAAATAATTTTTAAATTAAAATCAAATAAATTCTATATATTTATAAATTTCATATTAATATATATATATATTATAGCTAATTAATTGATTGATAAGATATCAAAGCATGCACTAAACCAGTGAGTGATTGGTGGTCACATTAATACATACAGATTGGTTGTTTTATTTCTTCATTTAATTTAATTTAATTTAATAGTGTCCAAAACAACCAGCCAGCACAAATGAAAATAAAACCACTGTTATAATATAATTAATTTAATTTCTTAAAAAATCAGAAAGAAGTTTTAGATTGGAGAATTCATCAGACCATAGATACTATAATATATTCGTTTCTCCACTTTAATTTATGCATGCCCTCCTCCCAATTTATTGCAATATTTATTTATTTATTTATAATTAATAATTAATAAATAAATTCAATATATATATATATATATATAAACCTTTGAGGATGTCTACTCAAGTACATCTGTAATGATGGATTCACACGTACATTTATTTAATTTACTTATTTATATATACACACATATTGATCATATATGGATCAATATCTATCTACTGTATATAAGATTGAACAATCATTTATCCTTCACCTATAAACCATTAAATAAATTTATCATCATTTGATTATAATTATTATTTAAATAGTAAATTGAATGTGATAATATGTAAGAGTATATAGTAGTATGTTTTAAAATAAAGCTAAAAATTGCATAGAAAATAATTCTATTATATTTTTTTTAAAAAAAAATCAAAGTAACAATCACTAGTAAAAAAAATCCGTGTAACACATTCTTGTGCATGGCCATCTAGGCAGGCCAGGTCCCGCATCCCCGACAAGAACCAGAATAAATCTCCACCGCCCATTCTCACCACCGACGTTGGAGATCCCTCCACCGACGGGAACTCCCGGGACCTTCCAAGAAATATGCATAGGCATGCATATTGATTTTTAAACCCTATTATTATTATTATTATTATTATTATTATTATTATTTATTATTTGAATTTTCGCCTCGTCAAGTATATTTTTTTACGAAATGACCCTTTGTCGTCTCCAAAGATCACCCCACTAAAATCTCCATTACAAAAACCCTAACATCTGTCCAAATTTATCCCAAAAATAAATTTCCATGCAACTCCGATCTCGACAAAGTTAATTTCATTTAGAAATAAATATTTTCAATTTTTATGTATCTTAGAGATATTTGTAATAATAATAATAATCGGCATTACTAATTATAATGGCGTTAGCGTTTGCCCCCGCCGGCGATTCCCGAGCACGCGCCATGTGGCGGCGGAGCCTGGAGGCTGCATTCCGGACGGCGACGGCGTGCGCGGTGGTGGCGGCGGCGACACTCTTCGGCCCGGCGTGGGTCCGCCGCCGGGTGGGTTTTCCGGCGTTTTCGTACGTGACGGTGATTCTGGTGGTGACTGACGCGACGGCCGGCGACGCCGTGCGCGGCTGCTGGCTGGCGGCGCGCGCCACCGTGCAGGGGGTGTTGCCGGCCATACTTGTGCTGTGGCTGATCGGGCCGGCGCGGCTGAACAACACCACCACGGCGGCGGTGGCGGCGGCGAACGCGTTCGTGGTGGCGTGGCCGGAAAATGAGCACGTGATCGCGAAACGGGTGGCCTTGGGGCAGATTGTGCTTGTGTATGTTATAGGGTTCATTAATGGCGGCGCCACCGACCCCGTTATGCACCCCCTCAGCCTCGCCGCCAGCACCGCCCTCGGCGCCGCCGCCTGCGTCGTTGCCACGGTGGTGCCGTACCCTACCACCGCCACTTCTGAGGTTAATAATCATAACCCACTTTCACATATACATATATATAATTTTATATCCATTTTGTGTATATATATAAATGTTTCTAAATTAAGGGTTTAATGATCATATGCCAATTTGTGGATAAAAATATGTCGAATCATAGTATAGTATAAATATGTTAAATAACTAAGGATATATTTATATATGTTTGAATGTTTTTTTCAGTAAAAATTAGATAAAAAAAAATAATGTAATTAATGTGACAGAAATAAACTTTGTCTAGAAAATAGGGCTATGTTTACATGAAAAAATATATATATATACAGTAACATTTTAAAAATATTTATTTTCCCTCACAATATATAAGCAAATACTCAATTTTACTTCTAAAACTAGTAAAATTTTCCAAAAACCATATTTAAACATAGCCAACATTTTGTGTAATATTTTTTTTTTTAAAACTGCAATTTAAATGAATATAGAGAATAATAATTATTATGTAATATTTTGATTTTTTTTAGGTGTTTTGTTGTACTTTTTAGGTAATATTTTTGAAAAAATTGATGAATCATTAAACTTGCATGCAAATGAAACCCCATATCTCTACCTTTATTTATTTATTTATTTTTTCTTATATGTGTATTTATAATTTATTGAATTTTGTGACACTTCATTGCAGGTTAGAGAAAACTGTGAAAGGTATATTGAGAATGCATGTGAAAGAGTAACACTGTATGTGAAGGCATTTTCAGCAGAAGACAACACATCAGCAAAAGGATTCATCTCTCAGGCTCACTCACTAAACTCCTCTGCAAATAAACTTCTCCAAGCTATCAAATCCAACCAAGTATGGAAATGCATATATATATATATATATATATATATACAAAAAGAGTCGATATTGATAAAAATATTGTATACTTTTTTGTGCAGGAAAGCATGGAGTGGGAAAGAATCCCAATCAAATTCCTGAAAAGATCTCACAGCACAAATCCAGGAGCTGCCATGGAAGCTCTTGAGACAATCCTCCGAGGAATGGAAAATGCCCTCAAAAATTGCTCAAATTTCCCTGTCGGGATCATGAATTCTGACCTGAAAAACGATCTAATCTCTCTCCAAAACAAAATTCTGAATAAATTAAAATCCATGGCAGTGAAGAACACAAAATTTGTCCCAACTAATTCTGACGAAACCAACAAGTTCCCCAAAACGCTTCAATCTTCAACCTTCAAAGACCTGCCATCGCTGTTCTTCATCTCCTGCCTGAATCTCCTCTGCACCGAGCCATCCAACGTCGTTTCTACCACGAAAAACGGATCGAAAAATGAGTCCTTTTCATGGATGAATCTGAATTTCATGATCAACAAGAAGAGACTAATGCCTGCCCTGAAATGCTCACTTTCGATCGGATTCGCCATTCTGTTCGGATTGATTTACAGCAAGCCCGACGGATACTGGTCGGGTCTGCCGGTGGCCATAAGCCTGGCTCCGGCGAGGGAGGCAACGTTCAAAGTCGCAAACATCAAGGCGCAAGGGACGGTTCTCGGGACCGTGTACGGCGTGCTAGCCTGCTTCGTCTTCAAAAACTATGTCCGAATAAGGTTTGTTTCTCTGCTCCCCTGGTTCATCCTCTGCAGTTTTTTGAGGCAGAGCAGGATGTACGGACAGGCCGGCGGAGTTTCGGCGGCGATCGGCGCAGTTCTGATTCTCGGCCGGAAGAACTTCGGCGAGCCGAGCGATTTCGCAATAGCAAGGATTGTCGAGACCTTCATAGGCTTGTCTTGTGCAATAATGGTGGATGTGTTGTTGCAGCCGACAAGAGCTGCTGTTTTGGCTAAAGTCGAGCTGTCGGAATGTCTCAACGCGATGCATGACGCCGTCGCGTCGATCAGCCTCGACGCCGCGTCGTCGGAGATGGGTTTGAAGGTGGAGAAGGTGAAGTCTAAGGTCTGTGGATTTGGGAAGTTGATTGAAGAAGCTGAAGCTGAGCCTAATTTCTGGTTCTTGCCATTCAATGGTGTTTGTTATAAAAAGCTGAGAGCTTCATTGTCAACAATGGCGGATTTCTTGAATTTCTTGAGGGATTTTGTCAGATTGATGGATCAAGAACTGAAGAAAATGGAGATTAAAGATTGGAAAGAGGGTATGGAGAAATTACAAAATGATGTTGATCAGTTCAAGGAAGGAATCTGTTCCAGGCTGAAGCTTTTCCAGGAGGTTAGTTTGGTAAATTCACTTGAAAACCTGGAAAAAGAGTGGGAGAAGAGTGATGATCTTGAGAAGGGGAAATCTGGGAAGATGGAGGCAATCCAACGGCTGGGAATGGGGGATCTCGACGGCGGCGTCGACGTGGTGATTCAAAGCGTCGATTCTTGTTACCTTTTGAGCTTGAGTGCGACGCTTTATTGCATCGAAGGATTAGGGAAGGAGGAGAAGGAGATAGAGACAGGAATTCAAGAACTTGTGCAGTGGGAGAATCCGTCAAGACAAGTGAATTTAAACGATGTTTTGTGTAAAATTCATGTCTTGAAGAACTCTGCAAATGCCTGAAATCTGAATGAAAGATTGTACATTTTCGACATGTTCATATAACAAGGAAAGATCACAGTATATTATCAAAGCATATGTGGTTTTTGAGTTTTTCTTACAGGCCTACAGAACTATATGTATATATATATATAAATATATATGGAGGAGAATCCGGCGACAGGCCCCAGACGAGCTTGATTACATCTCCGATGTATTACATTCTTCGAGTAGTTTAAGGATGCTGTGCTCGGGGGCGCTGGCTGATGGGAGGATGACACGATTGGAGGGGGGCCGGGGTGGTTTTCTTACAAGATTCTCGGACTCTGCCGGAGTTTGCTGCTCCGGCAGCGCCGGAGAATCTGCAGTCTTTCTTTGTACGCCGGAGGAGACTCTCTCCTTCCATATTCTTCCATCCTGAAGAGGAATCATGAACGCAGATTCTAGGATCAATGTCAGACCAATTACAACCTCAGATTCTTGATTTCAAGACACCAATTTAATTGAACAATTCCGTTAACATGATACAAATACAACAAGACGGCGTCTGCAGATTCATAGCTAGGAAATACGATAATGTTAGGGACAACATATAATTTATATTAAAATAGTTTCATCATACTGGACATGCTAGCAGTTCATTTCAACGCATATAATTATAAACAAATAACCCTGTTATAAACAGTACCCTGCTATTTTTAACAAAGATTTGTACGATTTTTGTATTTTATCAGCGCGTAACTTTGCCCGTACAGCACATAAGCACAATTATATCAAAACATAAATAGCAGACAAACAAATGGTACAAAAAAACAACCTTAGTGAAGAGTAAAAACAGATGCTTTCATTTAAGTGCAAAATTAGTTTAATCGAATCTTACATTGAGGATTGAAGGCTCCGGCAACGGACACTGGATGGGCTGGTCATTGTCGAGCGGCTCGACCGGGCGTTCGACCGGTTTAAACTCGACCGCAATTTCTATACCATGAGTGGCTGCAGATGAATTACCTGAAACCACAGAACCGCCGGCCGCTGCCGCCTCCGACACAGCCGGCAATCCATCCCTTTCATCCTGCCGTCAAATTCACGTTACAAACTTCAATCTAACGAACAATAAATTCTTGACAAAGAACAGATTCAAAGAACAATAAAGTCAAATCAAAACCCCCAAAACACCAGAAGAAGATACAAAACACTCTAATCGAAGAGAGGTTACTCACAAGGGCACTTTGAGTTCGACGATGGCTGCCTCTGACACTAAATCTGGAGAAAATCCCAACCATAGTTTCAGGGAAAGATTTGATTTTTACAACCTCAAACCCACACAAAAAACACGCTTCAGATTCTCACTCTATTTATAGAGAGAGAGAGAGAGAGGGACTGTGGAAGCCGATAAGTCTGAAACTCGTTGGGTTGTAGTTTGGTTTCGTCGATTAAAATACCAAACTTGGGTTCAACTGAATGCGAAAAATCAAATACTAAAAATTCGTAGGGGCGGCGTTAGATTATGATATTTGCTTAAAAATGTCTTCTTTGGGCAAAAAGGATTTTAAAACAAGATGGGACTTGGAGACTGAGGTGCCATGTGCTGTGTTTCTGTGCAAGAAGACTTTTTTTATTTTATTTTTTATTTAAAAAAAATTATTTTTAAGGTCTGGGTTGTTAACTTGTAATTGGTATGATCATTATTATTGATTTGTTTGGTCAGAATTTGGTATTTTGTTTATGAACGTTTGGTTTGCTTTGAGATTAAAGTGATGATTCTGAATTCGTGGGTAAGGAAGGAATAATCTGCGGTTGTTATACAATTTGCGAAGCTTTTAGGGTTTGGATGAACTGGGGGAAGAGATAGAGGGGCGGAGTGCAAATAATGAGCGGCGAATGGGACTATAAAAGGGCGTTCGAGTCCCGGGGTGTGGCGGAATTGCCGTTTTGAGCGACTGTACGGTACGTCAATGGAGAGCGAGGGTTTCGACGTGGAGGAGTGGGACGCTGACTTCCTGGACCAGCTCGTGCAGGCGGAGGAACTAGCGTTGTCAACTCAGGCTTCTCTCCAGCAGCAGTATCCATGTGTGCCGCCGGAACCGCCGCGGCCGCCGGTGTGTGACGTCAGCTATTCGCCTCCTCGAGAGCTCTCTCAGCGAGTCCCGGAAGTCCCCTGTGCGGGGGGAGGTATTGATTCTTTTGATGCTTTTGCGCCTCGCGAGACCAACTCTGCCAAGCAGCAGGAGATTGATAGGCTCAAGGTACATAATTTGGTTTTTATTGGATAGTTAGAATGATGGTTCTGTGGAATTGGGCTAACATTTTTCCTGTTTTGCTTTTGTTTGTTGTCATCGCAGAAGGAGCTCGATCGCGTTTCTAAGCAGCTCAATGATCTGGTACGTAGCTCAATGTGTTTCCCTTCCCTGGGAATGCAGACTAGCAATTGATACCATTACTAGCTCAATGTGTTTACCACTACTAGCAATGGATACCTATTTATGGAAATGGCAAATAAATTTCGCTTGAAACTAGGAAGCACTATTGGTAGTTGGATTCATTATGCTGTAGCTCATTCTAACTAGAAATCTGGTTGAAGTTAGTTTTTAGCACATAACCTGATGAACCATTTTAGCACTCTCTTTTGTTTGCAACAATTTCAACCTCTGAATATGTACTTTTCATCCAACAACGGCTGCATTTTGTATCAGAAAAATTCTGAATTTAAACTTTTCCCTGATTGAGGTGAGGAGCTTTTTGACTTCAGGAGCAGGAATGCTCAGAAGTTAAACGGGCAAGGGATGAAAAGGAGGAGCAGCTAAAAGTTATACATTCACGGATCGAAGCTGAAGCGAAAGATGCTGAGTTTCATCACACAGAAAGCACATCGACGTAATGAAACTGCTTAACTATCCATTCATGCATATCAAACAGATTTATTTTGCGTAAATATATACATTTTGTCCTTACATCTTTCCAACTAGTTTTTGTAGTATCTTTTTGTTCTTGAGCTTGTTTGAATGTCTGCTATATCCTAGTCCTGCAGAATTAAATAGCAGAAGTCATCATGAAACTTTAATACTTTCTCATCTCATGCAGTTAGTTATACATTTCAACTCTTGAGAAAATATTTATGCAAACACAACTCCAGTAATAGAATAGCATATCAGTGTATACTAGAGGAGGGAAACTCAATATAATTTGCATCCTGGAGCTGCAAATACTGTACATTACATATCTAACAGCGCATGCTTGATATGGATTTAGGCAATGTTAATGATCTTCCCTGACTTCTTCAATGGCCTGATTTCTTTTGTCTGTGTGTGTGTGCGCTTCAATGGTTACAGGGACCGCTTGATGGCTCCTGGGAGTTCTGCAGCGTGCCAGAATGCTAATTTATCAAACAATCAAGGACAAAATGTAGGTGAGCTCACTATCAAAGTGTTATAGGATGAAGCTATGTCTTCTTCTGTAACTACCCAGCCATGTGCTTTATCCCTTTGCTCTCTCTTTTATAATGATACAATAGGCCATGATGCAGTGGGGATACATTCCGATAAAGCCACTGAAGAGAGCAGCTCAACTGGGCAAAATGGCTATTGTGTATCTGAAAAGTTGATCAATCTGTGGAACTCACACGACCGAGAACTGGGAAAAGTATTGGTTACAAAGTTGTTTGCAACTTGCGAAGCAGATTTTCAAGTGCTGTTTGGATACTTAAACTCTCCTCCAAATAATTCTGACATGGTGCTGGCAATTAAACAATCTCCTGCTCAATCCATAGAAGCTGCAAAAGTATCACATTTATACTCTGTATTGTCCTTGGTATGGCTCTGAATACCTTTGCATGATTTCATATTGTGCCTAAGAACAGTTCACAATATGAGCTACAATATAGCTCTTTATTTTGGTTGCAATAAATCCTTCTTACTCCATAAATTTCTTTTGATCAACTCTTTTGAAAAAAAAAAAAAAAATTTACTTTGATTCAGCTTCATCACGAGCATTTTTCATCAAATAATTATTGATTAAATATGAATTATTTCCAGAGTAGAATTATTCTGTTACCTTCTATATTGCAACTAATCATTCTGTCAGTTCATACTAAAGCCTTTGTCAGTGGATATTACCTGACGCAATTGTTTGGCTATATGTATTGCAATCTATCGAGCTTGGTCTATACACATGGTTGTAATTTACTGTTTTGGTTGCAGATAAGTAATGGTGCCTCAAGATTGGAGAATTTGTTAGAAGCTTTAGTAGATCTTTGCAATCTGCAGAATGTGAGTCTCAAGTCTCTGCCTAATTAAACCATGCCTTGTTGACTTATTGTGATCATATAAGTTAGTTTTTATTTAGATATTTTGTTTTCTTTTTTAGATGTTATTTTTATATTCTTCTACCTAAACCCTCAGTAAGTTGTTTATCTGGAGTATATCAATTAAGCAGTGGTAGTATAAGTTAGTGGAAAAACAATACTCCATATAACAGTATCTTGCTATGTATGTAGACCTGAAATGACCTTTCTTCTCTATATATTTTTCTAAAGCAACTAAGCTCTATTGCAGGTGGTTATCATTCAAAGATCTCTCTGTGTCCTGCGGACGACTTTGAGCAATTTCTTCACTATGAAAAAAGAGTTTGGTCAAAGGTATAAACTCATTTTTCCAATATCCTACCTTAGTATTAATAATTTTTTAATATCATAATTGGGGCTACTAATGTTGTTTATTAATTTGATTTGGATATTTTATTATTGTTATTCGATACAACATTCTATTAAGCTTTAAACTTCGTGATTAAAGTTGTTCCTTTCTTTGGGTTTCAAGTTTGTTTTTCTTCTTTCTACATCCTTGGAGGAGGAAAAACAAAATTAATGAATTTGTAGTTCAGCTGCAATCTAGTTAGGAGCTTTAACTTGAAATTTTTAGTGTGCTATACCAGGGAAAATGTTTTGTTTGAAGAATCTTCCGCTGGAGACACTGTAGTCGATGTGAATGGATGTGGAAATTTGGAAAACAAAAACCAATATATCAAAAATCTAGCACAAATATTTAAGAAGGGCCAGATTCCTGATGGAGTGAATTTCTTGAACAATGAAAATCCTGGCCGTGGTTTGTTTGATCATAGTTTCAGCACATCTATGTCTGTCACTTTTTGGGTTTCTTTAGTTGAGCGCATGTGTCAAATTGCTGTTAGCAACAATAAAGAACAAATACGGCATGAGGTGCTTTTGATCGTGAATTTGATTTTGATGAGACAGAATGGCTATATGGAAAGAGACAAGTAAGTGCATTTTTTTTTTTTTTCATTGTAGCTTTTCTTTCTGTTAGTATTATCGTGTTCTAAATGGCAGCTTTGACACAGGTTTGCTAGGGAATTAGTATTTCAAAGTTTATCCCAATTATTGAGGAGAGAAGCTGGAGTTTCTGTGCAAATCCAAGCTGTTCATGCAGTTCATCTGCTATGCAACTGTGAGTTTGTCTGTGTTCCTGAAAAGCAAATTGTGATCCAACCCATTACATTTGCTCGGTATTTTCTTTAGTTGGTTTTAAATAAGAATCATTGATTGTGATGCAGAATGCCCTTTTGGGGGCAGATTTGGGGTGTGGAACTTGTTATAGCTTAATATTTTGAGAAACTATAGGGTGAGTGGGTTTAGTAAATGAAACGGAATAAAAAATAAATAATATTTTATTTTAAAAACTAAACATTTTTGTAGCTGGATTACTGTGTGATTGCAGACTTGCAGTGTTAACTTCTTTCTAGCAATTGCGCTTCTATATCTATTTCCTGATTATTAGATACTTCAGGTGGAGGTTGAAAATTTTAATCGGTGATTGTTTCTCGCTGTATTCTGCAAAGGTCCTAAAGTTATAGCTATGCTTTCCTCTGGTTCTAAAGAAGATAGAGATCTTTCAAGCTCCAAGGATATCGATGAGAATAATTATTCTACTTTCCAAGAATTGAACAATATCTTAACTGGCTTCGCTGACTGCTTGGCTTGCTATGGAAGTTCAACTGCAGAGGTAATCCTGATTTTCGACATAGCTGAAAACTAGTGGTAGTGCAATCTGTACTCTGTTAACTTCTTTTCCTATCACCTGGACTCACTTGATTTAGTTTATCCTAATTTTATATCCTCGCTCAACTTTCAGGAGATGGTGCTACGAAGAAATGCCATTATTTTTCTAGCTTTTTTAGGATCGTCCGGAAGATCTGGATTTGAAATTTTGCTACATTTTCAGCTCCCAAAGGGCACACATTTCCTTCAAATCATTTTGCAAAGCTTAACATCAGATTTGGATCTCCAGGCATCAAAGCCTACGCCAAGACCAGTCCTCCATGAACAGTAAGTTCACGATGCATGATCCAGTTCAAAATTCATAAGTTAAAAAATTACTTCAGACTATACATTTCAATTTTGTGTATATACTTATCCATCTTCTAATTTACCATTTCCACTCCATTCTCTGTTTGCAGGTGGCTGCTCATTCGGGAGGCGCTTATTTTTCTGAACCGGCTCGTATCACATCCTCAGTACTCCGTCCCAGTCTTACAAGCATTAACAAACACAAGAGAAATGGCGAGCATGACCGTGGACATAGCCCACAGATTGACCCAAAAAAGCAAGATATCCTGGCAGGACGAAATCACAAGAAAGCAAACTAGGGAATACGAGCTCGTGGACTTGGCTTGGGTCTTCAAGAAGAGAGTTTTTGCATTCTTGGGAGACAACATATCATGATCAAACCGAGTCCATCGAGCATCATTCCACAGCCAATCAACCACCCATCCTGTATGTATTTAGCCGCCATTTACCCCCGGTAAGTTTCGCCTTCTCTACACTCCTTTAGTCCTTTCTCTCCCTCCCTCACCTCTCACTTTATCCTTGTGGTTTCTGCCATAGGTAAACATGCCAAAAAGCTTTGAGATCCTTCCCTCAGGAGGCTGTTTTCTATGTAGATTTCCAGGTTGATTAATTCCTGCAGCTATTTTTGGACTACAATTGGCCACAATCATGTGTAAGTCCATTTTGGCAATTTTGCTGCATCTTGTATTGAGGGTCAAGCACATACAAGCTTTGAGTATGTGTTGAATTTATTTAAAAATTGTTCTTTCTACCCATTTTGATCTTAATAAAATAGATTTAACTGGGTCGGGTTATTTTATTTTATTTTTATTAATATTGAATTGGTGGTAATTTATTTGTTTTGAGGAATCTGCTGTCTAATGAGAACGTTATAACCTATGGTTAATACATTTAATTATGAATTAAATTAATCACTTTAGGTAAGGTCTGCCAAACTGGCGAAAGACAAATGTAGGGCCTGTTTGTTTATAAATTTATAAAATTATTTATTAAAAGACTAGAAAAAAAGAGGACGAAGCAGCAATGGTCTCCACGTCATTCCTTGTCTACGTGGCGCATTATGAATAGACGCTGAAGTGGGCAATCCATGAGGTTTTCCACACCGAATCGTAACCCACCGCCAGAGAAGGGCCATATCGTAATTTTATGGAGTTTGGAGGGCAAATGCGGAAATTGGATGTTCTTATTTCGTAATAAAACGGCAAATAAAGCAATACACCCAGACTGTCAGTGCTGTTTCGAACTCTCCCTATATCTCTATTTTCTCTCTCTATCGTGTTTATTATTCGTACGCTGTTACCTATATACATATATATATATATATAACCGCCGCATTAACCTCCTTGGTAACGAGGTTTTTGCTTGAGGAGAATCTGGTTGCAATGAGTCGCGGCAACGATCGTAATCCGTTCGAGGAGGAGCCTGAAGTCAATCCATTTTCGGTACTGGATACTGTATTTTTTTGAAATATTTTTGTTAGATCTGCCTATTTTTAGACCATTTGTGGTGGCTTGTTGTTGGTGTATATCTATGGTTGATTCCTCTCGGTTTTTGTGGTGAATTAGTGATTATTTGATTCAGATCCGAAGCTTGTGGCTATATATATATATGTATGTATGTATATATTTAACTGAGCTGGATTTACGGGTGAATTGAGGTGCGGATACGGATTCGGAAATTTAGGATTGAGAAGCGACGCGGAAGGATAATTTCCTAGTAGTAGAAGGGAAAATAAATTTGGAATTCTAAATAATGTGCATATGATGGGAATTGTTGATAGCATTACGGTTGTTTGCCACGAGCAGCTCCAACTTTGCGGAGGAGCATTTCTAGGAGTGATACGGAGAGCGTGTAGTATGAAATATATATATATATTGTCCTCGTATCTTAGTTTGTCTGTTGTTGTAGTTGTGATTTTTGTTAAAATTAATGGTTAATCAGACTGGTGAAATTTTATATCGGAAAATTGAAGGATGCATTAGGTTTGAGATTTTTGTAGGTTTCTACTTAAACTAATTTATGTTCTACTAAAAGATTCTCTCTCCTATTCAATGGAGGGCCGCCCGGTTGTGATTATCGGCTTGATGCAATACCCAGTAACTCAGTTAGCTGCGTTGGCTATTGTCAATTCAATGCAGCATAAATTGTGCTAGTTTATAAACTGCCCTAGCTCATCTCACTGTCTGGTCCACTCAATTTCAAGTTGAGCTTATAAGAAGCAAGGTTAGATGGCATGAAGTTTAAGACATGCCTGAGTGCTGATAATTATCACAAGTTGAGTGACTAGATTGTTAGCTTGAAAGCTGCCTACACCCATGACCCATCTACTTTTGAACGAAGTAATCATATGCAATGCATGGCATTTGGTGAAATTTTTGACTTGTTGATTTAGTGATCTGGCACAGCTTGTAGCTCCTTAAAATCCAATACATTTTAAAGAGTTCAATCAGCACACAATATTTACCTGTATTGATGGAAGTGCTAAATTTCATTAGGTTCGAATAACTAATTTTTGTTTTGTTGTGCTTTTGAATGTTGATTGATGCTATTGGCCATCTTCTACTTATTTTTATTGTCTGATTTCCCAATGTTGGGGGATTATTGCAGAATGGTGCTGGGTCGAAGTCACGCATTCCTAAAGTGGTTTCTAATACATTCGGCTTTGGGCAGAAACATGATGCTAATATGGATATACCTTTAGACAACATGAATGTAATGAGTCCACTAGTGCTATTGTACGAGCTTCTGCTGTACCAACAGGAAAGTCTTCAATTCTGAATTGTTCATGTTATTTAAACTTCACAGGATCCCAAGAAAAAGGAGAAAGAACTAGCTTCCTGGGAAGCAGACTTAAACAGGAGAGAAAGGGTCAGTTTTTTTGTTAGGGTTCAGTTGCTACAGATATATTCCTGTGAAGATGCCAAAATCTTTGTGATAATAATTTATTGTAACCATACAACTCAACCAAATAGTTCAAATATGTTATGTGTAATTGTGTACATTTTAGTATGTTACGTAATTATCTTGGCTTCAAGTTCTATACATGAGTAATTTTGGCTTGTGCAGGAGATTAAACGGAGAGAAGATACTGTTGCTGGTGGTAAGACAGTTTCATGGCTAGGAATGTTGTTTGCAGTTCCCTTGTTTTTATTTTTCTCTGCTTCTAATTTACCTAATGATTCTTCAATTCAGCTAATATTCCCGTCGACAATAGAAATTGGCCTCCATTTTTCCCGATCATCCATCATGATATAGCAAATGAAATACCTGTTCATGCTCAAAGGTTGCAGTATCTTGCGTTTGCAAGTTGGTTAGGTGCGTATCAATTAAGTGTGCATCTTTTTGAAGCTTCTCAAACAAATTATCTTCCTTGTTTTGAGAGTGAATTAGTCAATTGTTGCTATGCTTATTCAGTGGCAGCCATGCTGTGGAAAAATTGTACTTTTTGGTCTAACTTTTATTCCTGAGTCATGGTTTTGATTAATACAATAGTTATTATCAATCTTAGCTGAGTGTTCCTGTACAGGTATTGTACTTTGCCTTGTGTTCAATGTTGTTGCAATCACTGTTTGCTGGATAAAAGGCGGTGGTAAGTTTTTTTTTCTTTCATTCTTGTACCTGTAGGTTATGATGCATTTCAATGGACATGCTAGTGTTTTGAAACAAAAATACTGATTACTATTTGTAGGAGTCAAGATCTTCTTCCTTGCAATTATATATGCCCTAATGGGGTGCCCACTCTCATATGTGCTATGGTACAGGCCACTGTATCGTGCGATGAGGTATATCTATCATCCTTGTTGCCTATTTTGGCCACTCTAAATTCTGGAAATAATTGTTATATTCTGCTTCTGATTTTAATCAACAGGACTGATAGTGCCTTGAGGTTTGGCTGGTTTTTCTTGCTCTATATGGTAGGCTTAATACTCGACAATTATTGGTGATTTAACTGGTTTTTGGGAGTTGATTTATTTTGACTTATTTGATATCTTGCAGCTCCATATTGGATTTTGTATTTTTGCCGCTATTGCACCACCAATTGTCTTCCATGGAAAATCATTCACGTAAGGGTTTCTACACAAATAATTCTGCTTCTACTTTTAAATTACGATATCCTACCAAAATGTACCTTGAGGAAGTAATTATATACCGTAGTGTACTACTAAAATAGTGGGTGCGGACTATACTTTAGGTATGTGGTGTCTTAGATTATATGAACTAACATATTTCTTTCCTCTTCTGATATCAGTGGAATCCTTGCGGCTATTGATGTCTTCTCTGACAGTGTTTTGGTTGGAGTGAGTCCTCTCTCTTATTATCTGCGCTGCTTTTTAATATTGTTCAAGTACATGATTGTGATGCCTTGTTTTAATGCAGATCTTTTACCTCATCGGTTTTGGTTTGTTCTGCTTGGAGTCACTTCTAAGCTTATGGGTACTACAGGTTAGACGACCGATAATTGCAATTCTACAATACTTTCTGCTACATTTGCTCTATGGGAAATCATTTACACCATACAGTTTCAATTCTGTAAAATAGTCCCGTAACATATATAAAGCTATTCCCGTTTAAGTAGTTCGGTAAAGTTATCTTCTCACCATTGAAGCAACTCTAAAAGATCGACGCCTGCCTGATGTTACTTATCCTCATCTACCGTAAAATTTTTAACTCTTGCGACTAATATATATCGATATTACTTGCTTACATATACCCCTCCTTTTGCAGAAAGTATATACATTTTTCAGGGGAAACAAATGAGATTTGGAAGTGGATGTAGAAGTCGGACGAGGCAGCCGTTTTCCTTGAAAGTAAAGTATATATAGATTTGTGACTATCTATCTCTTCATCATATTCCTATTTGTTTATGTCCATTTTGAGAAGAGCTTTTTGAGATTCAGATTCAGATTCAGATTCAGATATTGTTACATGCTCTTGTTTGGATTGACATACTTACATAATTACTCATGTTTTCTATATGCCTATTTTATGGCCCACATTTTTCTTGCACCTACTGCTAAATGAATTTTTAATACATAAATCATCATTCATATTCATAAATACAGCTTAGGTAGTTTCTATTTTACAATAAATAGACACACACACACACATCCCAAAGTTCAGTTATCATCTGACATTCCTCTCTAACAAACTAAAGCACATACGTGATCACTTCCATGCAATAAAACTAGCCAATACACTGTCGAAAGATCTCAAATTTACACAAAAGTAAAATTATAGATACAAACATGTTGTTGCATATATATATATACATATGCATGTATGTGGTGTGGTGTGGTGTGGTGTGTGTTAGAAAGATCCTTACTCTCACCTCATCCTCTCACACTTACTATCCACACGCCACGTGTCACCCAAATATCATATCCATTTCCCTCCTCCATGCCTTCTCTTATCTCATCTCTAACTACACTTCCTTCCCCCTCTCCTCTTTTTCACTTCAAACAAACAAACAAAAATATCAATGGCCAAAATTCATTTTTCCTCAACAAAAATAAAATAAAATCATATCATCCTCTTAGAGAAATGACAAATCCCCATGAAGTCCTCGCTTCCCTCCTCTCCCACCTCAAAATCCCCTCCAAATTTGTCCGAAACCAGGGGTAGGGGTAGTCACAGAATCTCCCACCCCACCCCCACATATACATACACACTTGTATCTCTATTACCACCTTCCTCTTCCTCTTCCTCTCACCACAACTCTATACAGATAGATAGGGAGAGGAAATTCAACAAGTGGCTCCCCAAAGCTGAAGCTAATTAGCAATGGCGGTTTCCACCATGTACACAGTCCAATCCCTCAACTCCTCCTGCTCAATCCCATCAAAACCCCACCTCGGATTCACCCAAAAACACCTCCTCCTCTTCACCACCCCCAAAAAATCCACCCCCAAAAGGCCCCCCTCTGACACCTCCACCTCCACCACCATCTCCTGCTCAGCCGATCACAAGACCGTCGTCATTGGCCTCGCCGCCGACTCCGGCTGCGGCAAGAGCACCTTCATGCGCCGCCTCACCAGCGTCTTCGGCGGCGCCGCCGAGCCCCCCAAGGGCGGCAACCCCGATTCCAACACCCTCATAAGTGACACCACCACTGTCATCTGCTTAGATGATTATCACTCCCTCGACAGAACTGGTAGAAAGGAGAAAGGTGTGACTGCTCTTGATCCCAGGGCCAACAATTTCGATCTCATGTATGAACAGGTTAAAGCCATCAAAGAAGGGATTCCTGTCGAAAAACCTATTTATAATCATGTCACTGGTTTGCTTGACCCTCCTGAGCTCATTAAACCCCCCAAGATTTTTGTCATTGAAGGTCTTCATCCAATGTAAGACCCAATTTTCTGTGCCTTAATTCTTTGAATTTGTAGGATCATCTTTTAGTTTATTTTTGATTAATTGGTATGGGAGTGTGTAATGTCTTTTAAAGTCTAAATATTGAAAATATCTTGCTTGGTCGTCTCTTAAATTCGATGAATTGGTTTTAGGGTATCTGTTTTTATTTTGATTTTATGTAAATTATGTTACATGTAAGAGATTGGAGTTATCTTTTAATTTGTATGGTGAGGAATGAAGATTGTTCGAAACCTTATCTTTTGATGTAAACTCTGGCCACACAATCCCTTATCCCTGTCGATTAATTTTGGTTGTATTATGATATGAAAAGTATTTCATTAAACAGTGTTGTGAATTTAGTTTCTTGAATTTGATCAATCTGTAGATATTATTTACATTTTGAAGTTGCTTCTTGATCTTCTTTTGTGAAAAATAAAAAATGGTTTCTTGATGGCTTAGGACAATCTTTTTCGTGTCGTTGCAAGGTACGATGCTCGGGTTAGAGATCTATTGGATTTCAGTATATATCTAGACATCAGCAACGAAGTTAAGTTCGCGTGGAAAATACAGGTTAGTTAGCTCCTCGACTTTATTGTTACTCCTAAGTCTACGGCCTATAATTAATTTAATGACTCTCTCATCTAAAAATTTAAGCTAATAAAAAATAGTTCATTAATTATATACTGCATTTGTCCTCCTCTAAATGTCATATTTATATTTTGTAGTTATTCTACTTAACATTAAAAATATTCTTAAATTTTTATAATTTTTTTTTTTTTAAATGTCCTTCTATCAAGTATATGATTGAGGTAGAATTATATATGACTGTTGTTATTATGCTGATTATAATTTGGATGGTCTAATGCAGAGGGATATGGCCGAAAGAGGGCATAGCCTCGAAAGCATTAAGGCGAGCATTGAAGCCCGGAAACCAGATTTCGACGCTTACATTGGTCGCAATTCTCCTCATAATTTAGAAATACATTAGCCGCGGATCATTTCTCGTGTTCTTTATATATGTTCTTATAAACTTTATCGTTGTTCTTGTTGCAGATCCTCAGAAGCAATACGCTGACGCCGTGATAGAGGTGCTCCCGACTCAGCTCATCCCGGACGACGAGGGGAAGGTTTTGAGAGTGAGGCTTATAATGAAAGAAGGCGTAAAGTACTTCAACCCGGTGTACCTCTTCGACGAAGGCTCAACGATCTCGTGGATCCCTTGCGGGAGAAAGCTAACGTGCTCGTATCCTGGCATCAAATTCACCTACGGCCCCGACACCTACTTCGGCCACGAGGTTAACCAAAACCTTAAAACGAACTTGTTAAATAATATGATCATTTCACCTAAAGATTTAAAACATATCATGAAGTCAACCAACATGTTCGTTCACGTGCAAAATTAATTTTTGTCACATACAAATCTTGCACGTAAACAAAATAACGAATAGAAAACAGTGGAACTTGAATACGGAGACATCCCACTTCTGATGTCAGGTTAAATGACTGTTTTACCTAAAAATTTTAAATTTTCAGGTGAAATAGAAAACAGTGGAACTCGAATACGGAGACATCCTACTTCTGATATCATGTTAAATGATCGTTTTATCTAAAAACTTTAAATTTTTAAGTGAAATAGTCATTTACCAGAATTTATGATCAAAGCTTACATATTTTGATGTTAGTGAGAAAAATGTATGAACTTGTTTCTTCTTGTACTCGTAGGTATCGGTGTTGGAAATGGACGGGCAATTCGACCGGCTAGACGAGCTGATATATGTTGAGAGCCATCTTAGCAACATTTCGACCAAATTTTACGGCGAAGTCACGCAACAAATGCTGAAGCACGCCGATTTCCCTGGCAGCAACAACGGGACGGGCCTGTTCCAAACCATCGTCGGGTTGAAGATTCGGGACCTCTATGAGCAGATCATCTCCAACAAGGTTTCGGCGCCGTTGGAAGCTTCCAAGGCCTGAGAATCGCAACTTCCGGTCGCCGGAGCAGCGGCGGAAATGTATGAATGCACGTATGTATGAATGTATGTATGAATGTATTTATTGTTTTTAAAAGAAAAGACTTTCCAGTTATAGAGAAACATGAGCAGAGGTAACATTCAATCTTGAAATAATGAGGGAAAATATTGGTAGAGATATAAATGTTGTAGGTATAAAATGGGAATAGGAACTTTAGGAAAGTCAACAAAAATAGAAATTAGTTTGCAAGACACGATTCATCCGGCATGCCATGCTAGCGAGATATCTCTAGTATCGGAAGGACTAAAAGTGAAAAAAAAAAAAATTCAGACTATTTTAAGACAACCAGTTAAGAAACTTAATACACATACAAAACTAATAATTTGTGTGCATGTATAAACACATACATTAACATACACAAAAATATGTGTAATATCAGAGGGTAATAAAATAAACAACCTGATACTTAAAACAACCCAAAAATGTTCGAACAGTGACTTCCCATAGAGACCTGCCAAAAAAACTTCGATGAGAAAAGAAATTTATTTCTTAAAGGACTACATATAATTTCAAATTCGAATACGAAATATACATATATATATATATATAGAATAATGCCAGGAACTAAAGTTCGAAAGTATCAAGAAAACAAAATTGTCAAAGTAAGAAACTTACGCCATTGCTTCCACAGTAACGCGAGCAAGAAAAGGATCAGAAACCTTCAACTTGTTGCTCGTACGAATGCCGTCGAAGACAATGCATATACATATATATATATATATAATCGCATATCTTCTCCAAATGTCGTCGAACTTGCAGTTTTAGTTCATGTCCAGAAGAGATCACTTTTGATGTATGCAAGAAGATATGAATGTCTGTCTCCACCTTAAGCCTGTAACAGAATTGGTAAAAGGTCATCTTCCTACTACCTCGGAAAGGGTGACTTCATTGATCGATAATGTCGAATCCGTTGAGCTCCTCTTCACTTCTCCGATCACATTATTTCTTGATACGAATGACGGATTCTTTGGATGAGGCAAATTCGCCGTTTCGCTCTTCAACATCATGACTACATTTTCTGAACCAGGTCGATCCGCTACTCGATTTTCGACACATAGAAGTGCAATATGAACGCATCTTTGAAGTTGGTCGGGAACACAAGAATCCTTCAAAACTGGATCCATGAGTTCAAGTGCACAATCTTTTCTCCAAAGCTCCCAGGCCTAATAAATTTCACAGGTTCTGTGTAATAATCGAGAATGGGTATATGCGAAATTGAAACGGATATTACAAATATAAGAACTTACATATTCGACGAGGCTTAGAGGGCCTTCGATGTGGTCGAAGCTATTGTTTTTCTGGCCACTCACAATTTCAAGTACCAACACTCCGAAGCTGTATACGTCAGATTTGACGGAGAATATGCCCTGCATTGCATACTCAGGAGCCATATAACCACTGTCGATCAGACAAGAAAACAGTCCTAGACGTGTGAGATCGAGAATTAAATTCAACCATATGCAATAAGCTGTTACTTACTATGTCCCGACGCGCCTATTTGTATTAGCTTCATCTATGTTTTGTTCGAAAACTCTTGCCAGTCCAAAATCAGAAATCTTGGCGTTCATCTTTTCATCGAGCAATATGTTGCTTGCTTTCAAGTCTCGGTGGATAATCCTAAGTCGGGAGTATTTGTGAAGGTAGAGCAGCCCTTGAACGATTCCCTCGATGATGCTGAACCTTTGTTGCCAGCTTAACTGTTCCCTCATCGTAGAACCTGTAATTCGATGCAGAAGAAGAACTTCACATTTAAATCAATGCTAGAGTACTAAACTTCATTCTATAAATCAAACTGCTTAAACGTAAACTACACTCACCGAAGAGAAAGAAATCGAGACTTCTGTTGGGCATGTAATCGTAAATTATCATTTTGTCGTTTCCATGTATGCACAACCCTAGTAACTTAACCAGGTTCACATGCTGCAGTTTGGAAATGAGTATCAGCTCGGTTTTAAACTCGAGCAATCCTTGCCCCGATCGTTGCGAGAGAAGCTTTACTGCTATATCTTGGCCTGATGAAGTTATTCCCTGTAACATTACAAAGTTTGGTAACATAAGAAATCAAGATCCGGCTCTGGTCGTCTTTTTAGGAAATAACTATAGGATTTGCACTTGTAATAATGCAATAACTTGTAATCGAAATCGCTAATTATCAAGACCAATCTACCTTATAGACAGATCCAAAACCTCCCTCTCCCAATTTATTTTCCAAGGAAAAACTATTAGTAGCAGAGAGGATTGATTCATAAGTAAAAAATCTAAGATCTTGATTCTTGGCTTCCCTTTCTTCATAACCTTCTAGCGTCAGAAGTTCGCGTAATTGTTTATCCCTTCTTACTGTAGTATGATCATCCAAATTACGACCATTAGAAAGAAAACAACAATCGCATAATCGAAAAGAGAATCTACAAAGAAACTACGGCCTTTAGAATTAAACCTTGTTTAATTTTCCTCACAATGATCAGTACAATGACCAACATGATCAACACAACAGAGAATACCACAACAAGGATGATCATTGTATTCCTTTTCATTCCTGCAATTTGCCATGAAAACAATCTGACATTTCCATATTGAATTCATTTGTATCAATGTTTCAAATGCATTACATAAATCGACCAACTAAACTTTACCTGAAGATGGAGGTGAAGATCTCGGGGTTGAAAATGCAGTCCGTCTACTCTTACGAATTCCCCATCAAAAAAGCATTGAAATCAATCAGTGAATACACACATCTTTGTTCAAATCCAATTAGAGAAGTGTAAACTTACTTGGGAGTTCCTGAAGGGCAGAATGTTATGCTGTAATTGGCCTCTTTACAGTAATACATATATTTCTCGTCATGGCGGTAGGTGTACGCTTGCGGACACTCCCTCTTGAACACCTGCGAGTATTCTGAGGGTTTGCACTGATTCGGAGAAGATGAACGGCAGCAGTACTGCTCCTCCAAGAACGACTGGCAGGCGCTCTTACAGGCGATTGCTTCGCCGTTGCTTCCGGTCACTCGCAACTCCACCGGACAAACTCTGTTAAGATCGCCTACGCACTCCGTGGTTCTACAATCGGCGCCGGAGCCGCCGTGCGGCTCCACCAGTATCGGGAGGTTGTACCCGAAGATAAGGTTGACGTAGTAGGAATCCATCTCGTTGTTTCCGGCGAGAACGAATACCGCCGCCGTAGTAGCGGTGGGGACGTTGCGGTGGCCGGCGCATTCCATCTTCCCCGTGCCGCAATCGCCGGTGACGCAGTTGAAACTTCCATTTGAGTCCTCGCTGCAGCCCGTTCTTCCCCAAACACGACCTACCCACGCCCCAAACGCCCTGACGATCTCCGATTCACCGCTCCGCAGAGTGAATCCACTCGATTGAATCCCCGTTCCGTTGTCGGCTCCGGAAGTCGTGAATATCGCCGGCCAGACGGTGAAGTCGCACCTGTTTGCGAAGGTGAAATTCGCCGATGAATGAACTCCTGCAAGGCGAACTGAACAGTAAATCCCTAAAACCATAAATTTAGGGCTTATAGCAATGCTATCGAATTGGCTTGATTACCTGTTGTAGAGCAACTAGAGAGGATTAAAGTAAAGAGCACGAAACCAGACACCTCCATTAAAAGCGCTTCTTCTTCCCCAACAGCGGATAATTCTGCACTTCAGGATTTCCCGTCGGCATTTTCTTGCCTTCACCATTGCCATTGTCGCGACAACTGATGATATTTCAGCGAACCTTCTCGGTTAACCCAAACAAACAAACACGTTAGTTTTTCTATGGTCCACGATTGCCAGCATCTATCATTTGAAATTTCAAACGTCACGTGATCCTCAAGAAAGAAAAGTATGAAGAGCTACGGGAATTATCTGTCTTCCAGACTTCATCCCTTTGCCAATTCAATTCGGAAATTTGTGAGCAAATTCCAATTAGCAAAATTGATCAAGAACAAGCATGTAGGGCAGAACTAAAATAGTCAATTCAATACCCGCTAACTGAAACATCGAAAACATCAGGATTGGACAGCAATGCAGCCTCTGAATCAGCAGGAGCAATATGAACAGAAACAAAATTTGATCTGAACAGAAACAAAATTTTAAAATGTTGCGTGGCTATGTTTAAGCAATACACTTTCATTTATTTTGTATTATTTATTTTTTTAAAAACTATGGTATCAAATATATTTTTTTCTCATAAAATATCAAATTAAATATTAAATTTTTATTTTTTTCAAATTTTTAAATTTTCAAAAATTTCCAAAAATTCTAAAGAGGTTTTCAGCATAATTGGAACCATAAGTAAAATTTTCAACACGTGGTAAAAAAATATGTCTCTAATTAGAGTCAAAAGCACGACAGTAAAACTTTCAACACGTGGTAAAAAAATATGTCTCTAATTAGAGTCAAAAGCACGACAGTAAAACTTTCAACACGTGGTAAAAAAATATGTCTCTAATTAGAGTCAAAAGCACGACATTCAACGCCGATAAAGTTACGAAGCTTTCAACGTCCGGAAAGAGTAAGAGATAGTTATGTGATTTAGACTGAACTCGTAATCATAACGTTATATGTTCGAATTTTCAATACTTATAAATTTTGTCTGTTATATATTATTCGCTTATTGTAATTTATTTTGTCGAATTTATCTTACATATTATACGATTAAGATCATCCGCTGGGGAAGAAGAAGAGCATTAATGGAGATGTCTGTTTTCGTGCTTTTGACTTTAATCTTCTCTAGTTGCTCTATAACAGGTAATCAAGTCAATTCGATAGCATTGCTATAAGCCCTAATTTTATGGTCTTAGGGATTTACTTTTCAGCTTACCTTTCAGGAGTTCATTCATCGGCGAATTTCACATTCGCAAACAGGTGCGACTTCACCGTCTGGCCGGGGATATTAACGACTAAGCGATCCGATAACCGAACGGGGATTCATTCGACTGGATTCACTCTGCAGAGCGGTGAATCGGAGATCGTCAGCGCGTTTGGGTCGTGGGCAGGTCGAATTTGGGGAAGAACAGGCTGCAGGGAGGACTCAAATGGAAGTTTCCACTGCGTCACCGGCGATTGCGGAACGGGGAAGATGGAATGCGCCGGGAATCGCAACGTCCCCACCGTTACCCTTGCGGAATTCAATCTCAACGCAATCAACGGAATGGATTTGTACGACGTCAGTCTTGTCTTCGGGTACAACCTCCCGATACTGGTGGCGCCGCTCGCCGGCTCCGGCGCCGATTGTAGAACCACGGAGTGCGTGCGCGATGTTAACAGAGCTTGTCCGGTGGAGATGCGAGTGACCGGAAGCAATGGCGAAGCAATCGCCTGTAAGAGCGCCTGCCAGGCGTTCCTGGTGGAGCAGTACTGCTGCAATTTATCTTCTCCGAGTGAATGCAAGCCCACAGAATACTCGCGGGTGTTCAAGAGGGAGTGTCCGCAAGCTTACAGCTACGTCTTCGATTCCGACTATCCTACGTATACGTGTACAGGGGCTAATTATAACATAACATTCTGCCCTTCAGGAAGTCCCAAGTAAGTTTACACTTCTTGAATTGGATTTGAACAGAAGTGTGTGTATTCACTGATTGATTTCATGTTTTTTGATGGGAACTCATAAGAGTAGACTGCCTCTAACCCCAGGATCTTCTCCTCCATTTTTTACCCCGGGATCTTCACCTCCATCTTCAGGTAAAGGTTAGTTGGTCGATTTGTGTTATGCATTCGAAACATTAATACAAATGGATTCTATATGTGAATGTCAGATTCTTTATATGGAAAATTGCAGGAATGAAAAGGGATGCAATAATCATCCTTGTTGTGGTATTCTCAGTTGTGCTGATCGTGTTCGTCATTGTACTGATCATTGTGCGGAAAATTAAACAAGGTTTAATTCTAAAGGCCCTAGTTTCTTTGTAGATTGTCTTGTCGATTATGTGATGTTGTTGTCTTTCTAATGATTGCAATTTGGATGATTATACCACAGTAAGAAGGGATAAACAATTACGCGAACTTCTGACGCTAGAAGGTTATGAAGAAAGGGAAGCCAAGAATCAAGATCTTAGATTTTTTACTTACGAATCTATCCTCTCTGCTACTAATAGTTTTTCCATGGAAAATAAATTGGGAGAGGGAGGTTTTGGATCTGTCTATAAGGTAGACTGGTCTTGATAATTAGTGATTTCGATTACAATTTATAGCATTATCACGAGTGCAAATTCTATAGTTAATTTCTAAAAAGATGACCGGAGCTGCATCTTGATTTCTTACTTTACCAAACTTTGTAATGTTACAGGGAATAACTTCATCAGGCCAAGACATAGCAGTAAAGCTTCTCTCGCAACAATCGGGGCAAGGATTGCTCGAGTTTAAAACCGAGCTGATACTCATTTCCAAACTGCAGCATGTGAACCTGGTTAAGTTACATGGATTGTGCATACATGGAAACAACAAAATGATCATTTACGATTACATGCCCAACAGAAGTCTCGATTTCTTTCTCTTCAGTGAGTGTAGTTTACCTTAGCACTCTGACTTATAAAATGAAGTTTCGTACTCAAGCTTTGATTTAAATGTGAAGTTCTTCTGCATCGAATTACAGGTTCTACAATGAGCGAACAATTAAGCTGGCAACAAAGGTTCAGCATCGTCGAGGGCATCGCTCAGGGGCTGCTCTACCTTCACAAATACTCCCGCCTTAGGATTATCCACCGAGACTTGAAAGCAAGCAACGTATTGCTCGATGAAAAGATGAACGCCAAGATTTCTGATTTTGGGCTGGCAAGAGTCTTTGAACAAAACATAGATGAAGCTAATACAAATAGGCGCGTCGGGACATAGTAAGTAACAACTTCTTGCATATGGTTGAATTTAATTCTCGAACTCACACGTCTACGACTGTTTTCTTGTCCACAGTGGTTATATGGCTCCTGAGTATGCGATGCAGGGCATAATCTCCGTCAAATCTGACGTATACAGCTTCGGAGTGTTGGTACTTGAAATTGTGAGTGGCCGGAAAAACAATAGCTTCCACCAAATCGAAGGCCCCCTAAGCCTCGTCGAATATGTAAGTTCTTATAATTGTAATATCCGTTCCAATTTTCGCATATACCCATTCTCGATTATTACGCAAAACCTGTGTAATTGATTAGGCCTGGGAGGTTTGGAGAAAAGATTGTGCACTAGAACTCATGGATCCAGTTTTGAAGGATTCTTGTGTTACCAACCAACTTCAAAGATGCATTCATATTGCACTTCTATGTGTCGAAAATCGAGTAGCAGATCGACCTACTTCTGAAGATGTAGTCATGATGTTGAAGAGCGAAACGACGAATTTGCCTATTCCAAAGAATCCGTCATTCGTAGCGAGAAACAATGTGTTCGGAGAAGTCAAGAAGAGCACGACGGATACGACGTCGTCGATCAATGAAGTCACCCTGTCTGAGGTAGGAGGAAGATGACCTTATACCATTTCTTGCATACATCAAAATGATTTCTTCTGAACATGAACTAAAATTGCAAGTTCATGTTTTGCTTGAGATTCTGAATTGATTTATATATTTGTTTGGAGAAAATATATTTTAGTAGTAATATTTATCGAAAATTGTTGTGAAACAGAAGTTGAAATGAACAATGACTAATGATGTAGAGCATTTATTTTATAAAAATTTTCTTTTGTTGTATTGTATGCTTCACATTCAACACTTTTTATTCAAATCCAAAACCATATAATACCCAAATTTAATTGTGTTCGTTGTGTTCTTATGACGTGACATCACTCTATAGTAATATATTTCTTGATATTTTGTTCCGAGTAACATTTGCTTCTTGTAAACTTAAGTTTTTAAATGAGTAATTCATCGATCAATGCAAGAAACATACACAACATATATTATAACTCAAATTCAAGTTTAATTTACACCAAAGTTTCATCTATTTTCAAGAGGTTTGGCTTCAAACACCGATCCATCGATGCCAATAAAGTCGTAGCTACTTCTCGTGTTCAAGTCGAATTCTACAGAACGCCCTTCAAGCTTGACGACATTCATTTCTCGTGCCTCCACATTGTAACTCGACTCCGGCGCCTTTCCACTCTCAAGTTCCGAGCCATTCCGGCCATCTCCATTAATGGTCTGCATAAAACTTGACAGCGCCAAGTTGAAGTCCGATAACCGAGCTTTCGTCGATTCGAGGCTTTCAGACTGATTCCCGCCGGCTGAAAGGCTGCACTGAGCATTTTCGAGTATCGCCTGAAGATACTTGCCTTGCGCTTCAGTCCTTATTTGAAGCTTCTTTTGTACCTGGTACGAGAAATCGGATATGCTGTAAGAACTTGGACAATTAACAGATTACTAAACATGTCGACTGCCGGACAGACTGACCTCGAGCTGTTCTTGTAGCCTTTTCTGCGCTTCGATCTGAGTCTTGACTGCTTCAGCTACAGGTATATCTCTGTTTTCAGCCATATTTTTTTGAATTGGTTATTAAATTAGTTTCATTACTCGACTACGCATTGAATCCTAAGACAGAGTAGATGAATGTAGTAAAGAGAGCTACCGGTGCTCGCTGTTCGCGCTCCATGAATTAGTGCTCGTGTCGTGCAAGTTGTGGTGACCGTACGAGTTTACTACAACATTAAACACTTACCATTCCTTAGAATTTCGACTCATATATATATATATATATATGTATATGTATATATTTGTTCGATTTAGTCACTCACAGCTGCTGTCTTTGTTTCCTTCGACAGCATTCTGTTTCTTGCCTTCACCATTGCCATTGTCGCGACAGCTGATGATATTTCAGCGAACCTTCTCAGTTAATCCAAACAAACAAACACGTTAGTTTTTCTATGGTCCACGATTGCCAGCATCTATCATTTGAAATTTCAAACATCACGCGATCCTCAAGAAAGAAAAGCATGAAGAGCTACGGGAATTATCTGTCTTCCAGACTTCATCCCTTTGTCAATTCAATTCGGAAATTTGTGAGCAAATTCCAATTAGCAAAATTGATCAAGAACAAGCATGTAGGGCAGAACTAAAGTCAATTCAATACCCGCTAACTGAAACATCGAAAACATCAGGATGGGACAGCAATGCAGCCTCTGAATCAGCAGGAGCGATCTGAACAGAAACAAAATTTGGAGCAATCTGAACAGAAACAAAATTTGAAAATGTTCGGTGGCACCCACTTTCATTCATTTTGCACTATTTATTTTTTAAAAGCTATCACATCAAATATATATTTTTTCTCACAAAACATCAAATCAAATATTAATTTGCGTCTGTACACTCTTCCAACTATTTTATTGTTAAGTCTAGTCAAGTCGACCTCGAGGAATCGAAGAATTACAGATAGCTCCAGAATGTGTCAGTTTACGCTCCTACCTATTTGATTTATGATTTTGTTTAAATCCAGAAATACTGCTTTCTCGTGAATTTATCTTTAATTGCAACCTAGCCCTTGGTAAATTTACCAAAGACTGTTACTTTTTTTCAAACTTTTAAATTTTTAAAAATTTTCAAAAATTCAAAAGAAGTTTTCAGCATAATTGGAACCATAAGCAGAACTTTCAACATGTGGTAAAAAAACATATCTCTCTAATTAGAGTCAAAAGCACGACTTTCGACACCGATAAAGTTACGAAGCTTTCAACGTCCGGAAAGAGTAAGAAATAGTTTGGTGATTTGGACTGAACTCGTAATCATAAGGTTATGCGTTCAAACTTTCAATACTTATGAATTTTGTCTGTTATATATTATTCGCTTAGTGTAATTTGTTTTGTCGAACTTATTTTGCATATTATACGATTAAGATGTTAATTAATCCCAACAATATATAAACAATTATTTCTATGTATTATTTGTATTAAATCATGTATTTTGTAAATTGTTAGAATGTATTTTAAATTTGTAAGGTATCGTAATACATAGGGTGTGAGTGTGGACTATTATAATGTTGCCACTTCTACATTTGTGGTATATTAACATGTAGTTATGTGATATATGTGTGTTAATTATTACATGTAGTTATGTGTTATAAATTATACTTCATATGTTTATTGGTTTAATTTGCATCCTAATTGTTGAAAAAAAAAACCCTCTTAGTCCATTTTAATGGTATTCATTTTGCTACTAATGCAAAGGCTTGGTTCTTTTACTAATATTTCTCAATATATTTTCTTCAAAAAAAAAATTAATATACTATATATATTTATTATTTTTATATTATTTATACAATTTATTATATTTTTTTAAATCAAAATACAAAACAAACATATCCTTTAGTATTTATTTATTTATAGTAATTATGAATGTTACTATATATTTTAGATACATCACATTTATATGTATTCATATTAATAACATTACATTAATTTAAAAAACAAAGTCATTAATACTCCCGTAAATATTCATTTGCTTTTTGCAAGTAATTTTAGAAATATTAGTATTATATTGGGATATACTAGAAATAAAAGTAGAAATGACTAAAATAACCTTATTAGTATGTGTGATATAAAAGTAATGGCATTTGTGTAATATATTGTAAGTTGTAAGGGTATTTGTAATATTAGGTAGATAGTACAATTACTAAAAAAAAGAAATGGATACTTTGTTATGGAACGGACTAAAATAAAAAAAAATAGATACTTTGTTATGAGACGGAGGGAGTATAAAAAATTTCATCTACTAAAAATTAAAAATATTTTAATATTAATATATAATTATTTTTATTATAATCTACACAATATAATATACTTCCATGTAATATAATCCATATATATCAACTAAACTAACACAAAATAATCTACACAATCCTTGCGGTTAAGGTGTTAATTTGATCAAGTTAATGAATCAACATGAAATACTTAGTAATTTGTCATAAAAACAGATAACATAATATATTATCTTAAAATAATACTAGTATTTTATGTAAAATATAACTAAATAGTATAATTAAAATTAAAAAAATTATAAATTATAAATTTTAAAATATAATTAAAATAAATAATTATATTTTTAAAAAACAAATAAGATGTGACGAACGTAAATATAAATAATAAAGTAAAATGGAATAGTATTATATTAATATTTAATATTTTTTTTTTATAGATATTTGGTGACCCGATGTAACAAGAGCAAATATACAATATATATAGATTATTGGGTTCATATGTCATACATAATTTGCCTAGTATAATTTGTCTTGTTGCACCTAATTTACAGGATATAGGTTCCATCGCAATTTAACCAGCACTTTCGGATAGTCACTACAAATTTTCATATTGTATATAAAAAAATTATATATATATATGATCGAGACTACGAATTTTCATATTATATATAAAATAAATTATATATATATATATTTAGATGATCGGTCAGCAAATCGTATTTTTCTTGTTTACTTATAGGCACCTATTATTATACTCCCTCCGTCCAAAACAAGTGCAACATTTACTTTTGGCACGAGTTTTTAGGTGGGTAGTATTAAGTATGATAATTTAGAAATTAAGTGATGTGATGGAGAAGGAAATGTATATTTTATTTTTTTATTTGGATGATGTGAGGGGATAAAGTGTGGGATAGAGATTAAGTATGATTAATTATTTTCTATTTTAAAAATATTGCAAAAGTATTTAGGATATATAAAAAAAAATGTTGTAGGATATTTGAGACGGGAGTAACGTATATCCGACAAAGTACGTGCCTTCAACTGACACATTATATATTAATTAAAAACGTATGCCTCTGTGTCCAACATGGTGACAATTAAGTCTAAGCATCACCCTAACCCTACATCCGTACATTCGACGCTTCTTATCAGATTTTGGAAGCCTTCAAGCACGGCACCTAGACAACTTCTGGGCCGCCATTGCTTTCATTCTCCCTTTGGAATTTTCCGCCAATACTTTTATTCTTACTGATTTCGTCCGCAATTTGCTCTTGTTCATTTTTGCATATTTGGTAGGGCCTAGGGGGGAACAATTTGATCTTGTGCATATTTGCATTTTTTGGTAGGGGCATACTTGAAATTTTGATATACTGACATTTTAGGTATGGTTTTTCGGAACGATCGAATTTTATATATGGTGTGTGTTGCAGCATTTTCATGCTGCTTGTTTACGAAGCATGAGGTGCGACTGAATCATTACAATTTTGTTCCGATCTCTGTTCTCGCGTGATCATGGCAGGAGGATATTCGACAGCCATTCTGAAATCCAGAGGAAATGGAGGAGGAGGAACGAAATCGGTTACTCCTTGGTGGTATTCTCCCGAAACAGGAATTTACAGCAGCAAGTTTACGTCGATTGATCTGCCTTCTGATCATTTTATCGATGTTGTTTCGTTTATTTTCTCTCATAAGCACAATGGTGGTACTGCACTAGTTGATTCTTCTACTGGTCTGTCAGTTTCTTACTCGAAGCTCTCCCTGTTGGTGAAATCCATGGCGGTAGGGCTCCAACGCATGGGTGTGAAGCAAGGCGACGTCGTTTTGCTGTTGTTGCCGAATTCAATTTGCTTTCCTATCATATTTTTGGGCGTTTTGAGCATTGGTGCAATTGCAACAACTATGAATCCTTTGAGTGGTGTGTCGGAGATCGAAAGGCAGGTTTTGGACACAAATGCGAGTTTAGTGTTTTCTGTTGTTGATAGAATTGAGCTTTTGGTTAGCACATTAGAAGGATGCTCTGTAATTGGGGTTCCTGACGTTATTGATTTTGATTCCTTGCCTAGTGATGAATCTGCTTTTCATAAGCTATTTTCGATTTATTCCATTGATTCGAGTCCGGCTCCATGGCCGAAAATTAGGCAGCAAGATGCTGCTGCAATTCTTTATTCATCAGGGACTACAGGAAGGGCCAAAGGAGTTGTGCTAACACATGGGAACTTCATAGCTATGATTGAGCTTTTTGTGAGATTCGAAGCTTCGTTGTATGATTTTCCGAGCACAATGAATGTCTATTTGGCTGTTGTCCCGATGTTCCATGTTTATGGGCTTTCGCTCTTTGTCATGGGATTGTTTTCATTGGGTAGTACCATTGTTACGATGAAAAGGTTCAATGGGGATGAGATGATTAAAGCTATTGATCGATATGGTGTTACGCATCTTCACTGCGTGCCTCCTATTGTGACGGAGTTGACGAACAAAGCGAAGAAGCTTGGCTGCAATGGCCTTAGGAGTCTGAAACAGGTTTCTTCTGGAGCTGCGTTAGTAAGTGAAAGACGAATAAACGAATTCCTTGAGACACTCCCTCCTGTAGATTTCATTCAGGTGTGCTTTGTTCTAACCTTTGAAAAGTTTGTCTCAATGTGAATTTTCGATGAATGTAAACTATGGATTCCTTGCAGGGCTATGGCATGACAGAATCGACTGCGATAGGAGCTCGAGGTTACAATTCCACGAATAGTTGTAAATATTCGTCATCGGGGCTATTATCACCAAATGTACGTGCTAAAGTTGTGGATTGGATCAGTGGCTCTTGTTTGCCTCCGGGATCTAATGGTGAGCTTTGGTTGCAATCACCAGGGAACATGAAAGGTAAAAATCAGTTTGATTAGCCCTACCATGTTTGTCTCAAAATGCATATAAATAGGCTTAATATAAGACTTCATTGAAACAAAAAATCAATTTCGATAGAGAAGATATAACAACAAGAATATCAAATTTGGGTGGCAATTTACCATTCCACATTGGATGTACAGTTGTACCAAAATATCTTGGCATTTCCTTTTCTTGCGATTGAAAATTTGATTGAATTCTTGTATCTTGCCTGATGTATTATTTAATTCACTGAATTTATTGTGATATTTGGAGATTGACTATTCATTCATCTTTGCCGTAGGGTACTTGAATAATAGAGAGGCTACCGAGGCTGCAATCGACAAAGATGGTTGGCTGCATACTGGCGACATCGTATATTTCGATCAAGAAGGATACTTACAAATAGTCGATCGATTAAAGGAGATGATCAAATACAAGGGCTTCCAGGTAATTAAGCTCCATCTCCATCTACTACAAATTAAGATTATTGATTCCAACATTTCCCAATTTTTTTTCTGTTCAGATTGCTCCTGCTGATTTAGAGGCTGCATTGATGTCCCATCCCGATGTTCTCGATGTTGCAGTAGCCGGGTATTGAATGAACCATTTTATTTCTACCCTATGTATGGAAATTTTGCTAATTGGAATTTGCTCACCATTTTTCGAATTGTATAGACAAAGGGATGAAGATGCAGGGGAGATCCCTGTGGCCTTTGTTGTTCTGAAACAGGGGAGCTCAGTTTCTGAATCAGATCTTATGAACTACGTAGCTAAGCAGGTCAGTGTTTTGACTTCTGAGCTTGGTGGATGCATACAAACATGGATACATAATATATATATATATATATGTATATACGTGTATCGTTTGATTGCAGGTTGCACCTTACAAGAAGGTGAGAAAGATGTACTTTTGTGGGTCGATACCAAGATCAGCATCTGGAAAAATCCTCAGAAAGGAATTAAGGAGCTTGTTAACTTCCAAGCTTTAGGATTCTCATTCCTTAACTACTGCAAAAATTAAATTAATGAGTAATAAAGAAAAGCTATGTTGAAGCCTGGAAGACAGAATTTCCATAGCTCTTCATGCTTTTTAATTTCTTGTGTTCGTATTCATTTGTATATTTTCATATATTATATAAAGTAGCCTATTCAAGAAGATGACGCCATGTTTGAAATTTCAAATCATAGCTGCTGGCAGTCTTGGACCATATGATGAATACGGTGAGAAGGTTCCCTGGAACATCAACTGTCACATCAATGGCAAGAAAATGCCGGCGGGGAATCTGGAAGTGCAGATTTAACAATTTTTGTTGAATTTTTGTCATTCCCATTATTTTTTAAATCAGTTATTAATTATTCAGATCATCCGCTGGGGAAGAAGAAGAGCATTAATGGAGATGTCTGTTTTCGTGCTTTTGACTTTAATCTTCTCTAGTTGCTCTATAACAGGTAATCAAGTCAATTCGATAGCATTGCTATAAGCCCTAATTTGGTTTTAGGGATTTACTGTTCAGCTTACCTTGCAGGAGTTCATTCATCGGCGAATTTCACATTCGCAAACAGGTGCGACTTCACTGTCTGGCCGGGGATATTAACGACTTCTCGATCCGATAACGTAACGGGGATTCAATCGACTGGATTCACTCTGCAGAGCGGTGAATCGGAGATCGTCAGCGCGTTTGGGTCGTGGGCAGGTCGAATTTGGGGAAGAACAGGCTGCAGCGAGGACTCAAATGGAAGTTTCCACTGCGTCACCGGCGATTGCGGCACGGGGAAGATGGAATGCGCCGGCAATCGCAACGTCCCCACTGTTACGCTTGCGGAATTCGGTCTCGCCGGAATCAACGGAATGGATTCCTACGACGTCAGTCTTGTCTTCGGGTATAACCTCCCGATACTGGTGGCGCCGCTCGCCGGCTCCGGCGCCGATTGTAGAACCACGGAGTGCGTGCGCGATGTTAACAGAGCTTGTCCGGTGGAGATGCGAGTGACCGGAAGCAATGGCGAAGCAATCGCCTGTAAGAGCGCCTGCCAGGCGTTCCTGGAGGAGCAGTACTGCTGCCGTACATCTTCTCCGAGTGAATGCAAGCCCACAGAATACTCGCAGGTGTTCAAGAGGGAGTGTCCGCAAGCTTACAGCTACACCTTCGATTCCGACAATACTACGTATTCGTGTACAGGGGCTAATTATAACATAACATTCTGCCCTTCAGGAAGTCCCAAGTAAGTTTACACTTCTTAAATTGGATTTGAACAGAAGTGTGTGTATTCACTGATTGATTTCATGTTTTTTGATGGGAACTCATAAGAGTAGACTGCCTCCAACCCCAGGATCTTCTCCTCCATTTTCGACCCCGGGATCTTCACCTCCATCTCCAGGTAATGGTTATTTTGGTCGATTTGTGTTATGCATTCGAAACATTAATGCAAATGGATTCTATATGTGAATGTCAGATTCTTTATATGGAAAATTGCAGGAATGAAAAGGTATACAATAATCATCCTCGTTGTGGTATTCTCAGTTGTGCTGATCGTGCTCGTCATTGTACTGATCATTGTGCGGAAAATTAAACAAGGTTTGATTCTAAAGGCCCTAGTTTCTTTGTAGATTGTCTTGTCGATTATGTGATTGTTGTTGTCTTTCTAATGATTGCAATTTGGATGATTATACCACAGTAAGAAGGGATAAACAATTACGCGAACTTCTGACGTTAGAAGGTTATGAAGAAAGGGAAGCCAAGAATCAAGATCTTAGATTTTTTACTTACGAATCCATCCTCTCTGCTACTAATAGTTTTTCCATGGAAAATAAATTGGGAGAGGGAGGTTTTGGATCTGTCTATAAGGTAGACTGGTCTTGATAATTAGTGATTTCGATTACAATTTATAGCATTATCACGAGTGCAAATTCTATAGTTAATTTCTAAAATGATGACCGGAGCCGCATCTTGATTTGTTACTTTACCAAACTTTGTAATGTTACAGGGAATAACTTCATCAGGCCAAGACATAGCAGTAAAGCTTCTCTCGCAACAATCGGGGCAAGGATTGCTCGAGTTTAAAACCGAGCTGATACTCATTTCCAAACTGCAGCATGTGAACCTGGTTAAGTTACATGGATTGTGCATACATGGAAACAACAAAATGATCATTTACGATTACATGCCCAACAGAAGTCTCGATTTCTTTCTCTTCAGTGAGTGTAGTTTACCTTAGCACTCTGACTTATAAAATGAAGTTTCGTACTCAAGCTTTGATTTAAATGTGAAGTTCTTCTTCTGCATCGAATTACAGGTTCTACAATGAGGGAACAATTAAGCTGGCAACAAAGGTTCAGCATCATCGAGGGCATCGCTCAAGGGCTGCTCTACCTTCACAAATACTCCCGCCTTAGGATTATCCACCGAGACTTGAAAGCAAGCAACGTATTGCTCGATGAAAAGATGAACGCCAAGATTTCTGATTTTGGGCTGGCAAGAGTCTTTGAACAAAACATAGATGAAGCTAATACAAATAGGCGCGTCGGGACATTGTAAGTAACAACTTCTTGCATATGGTTGAATTTAATTCTCGATCTCACACGTCTACGACTGTTTTCTTGTCCACAGTGGTTATATGGCTCCTGAGTATGCGATGCAGGGCATATTCTCCGTCAAATCTGACGTATACAGCTTCGGAGTGTTGGTACTTGAAATTGTGAGTGGCCGGAAAAACAATAGCTTCCACCAAATCGAAGGCCCCCTAAGCCTCGTCGAATATGTAAGTTCTTATGATTGTAATATCCGTTCCAATTTTTGCATATACCCATTCTCGATTATTACGCAAAACCTGTGTAATTGATTAGGCCTGGGAGCTTTGGAGAAAAGATTGTGCACTAGAACTCATGGATCCAGTTTTGAAGGATTCTTGTGTTACCAACCAACTTCAAAGATGCATTCATATTGCACTTCTATGTGTCGAAAATCGAGTAGCAGATCGACCTACTTCTGAAGATGTAGTCATGATGTTGAAGAGCGAAATGACGAATTTGCCTATTCCCAAGAATCCGTCATTCGTAGCGAGAAACAATGTGTTCGGAGAAGTCAAGAAGAGCACGATGGATACGACGTCGTCGATCAATGAAGTCACCCTGTCTGAGGTAGGAGGAAGATGACCTTATACCATTTCTTGCATACATCAAAATGATTTCTTCTGAACATGAACTAAAATTGCAAGTTCATGTTTTGCTTGAGATTCTGAATTGATTTATATATTTGTTTGGAGAAAATATATTTTAGTAGTAATATTTATCGAAAATTGTTGTGAAACAGAAGTTGAAATGAACAATGACTAATGATGTAGAGCATTTATTTTATAAAAATTTTCTTTTGTTGTATTGTATGCTTCACATTCAACACTTTTTATTCAAATCCAAAACCATATAATACCCAAATTTAATTGTGTTCGTTGTGTTCTTATGACGTGACATCACTCTATAGTAATATATTTCTTGATATTTTGTTCCGAGTAACATTTGCTTCTTGTAAACTTAAGTTTTTAAATGAGTAATTCATCGATCAATGCAAGAAACATACACAACATATATTATAACTCAAATTCAAGTTTAATTTACACCAAAGTTTCATCTATTTTCAAGAGGTTTGGCTTCAAACACCGATCCATCGATGCCAATAAAGTCGTAGCTACTTCAAGTCGTAGCTACTTCTCGAGTTCAAGTCGAATTCTACAGAACGCCCTTCAAGCTTGACGACACGTGTCTCCACATTGTAACTCGACTCCAGCGCCTTTCCACTCTCAAGTTCCGAGCCATTCCGGCCATCTCCATTAATAGTCTGCATAAAACTCGACAGCGCCAAGTTAAAATCTGATAACCGAGCTTTCGTTGATTCGAGGCTTTCGGACTGATTCGTGCCGGCTGAAAGGCTGCGCTGAGCATTTTCGAGTATCGCCTGAAGATACTTGCCTTGTGCTTCAATCCTTATCTGAAGCTTCTTTTGTACCTGGTACGCGAAATCGGATATGCTGTAAGAACTAGGACAATTAACATTTTACTAAACATGTCGACTGCCGGACAGACTGACCTCGAGCTGTTCTTGTAGCCTTTTCTGCGCTTCAATCTGAGTCTTGACTGCTTCAGCTACAGGGATATCTCTGTTTTCAGCCATTTTTTTTAATTGGTTATCGAATTAGTTTCATTACTCGACTACGCATTGAATCCTAAGACAGAGTAGATGAATGTAATAAAGAGAGCTACCGGTGCTCGCTGTTCGCGCTCCATGAATTAGTGCTCGTGCTCGTGCTCGAGTCGTGCAAGTTGTGGTGACCGTACGAGTTTACTGCAACATTAAACACTTACCATTTCTTAGAATTTCGACTCATATATATAAATATATGTACATGTTTGTTCGATTTAGTCACTCACAGTCTTTGTTTCCTTCGACAGCATTCTGTTTCTTCGTCTGCTGCTGTCCGAGTCTGTACTTCTGCAAACAACATAAGCTGAGAAATCAACGATCTATAAATTCAAATTGAGTGAATATAAACAAATAATAACGACCCAATTTGAATAATCTTAACAAATTATAGAAAATCTCTTGACACCTGTAAATGGCTCTTGAGATGATACAATGTTAAGCCCTTCAATCCCATTAGTCTCAGAACTGATTTCGGAGTAGCCTCTGCAAATTCAAGAAATCGATCATCATCATCATCAACAACATAAATCCAATTCCGCATTAATGGTGTCTGAAAATCAAATGTTGTCTGTGCATAATTCAGATCCTCAATCATAAACCCTAATCCCATCAAAATTAAGGATCTCCCAATTTTGTAGATCACAGACACACAGAGAGAGACATCATTTGCAGAAACAAAGTGAAAAATTACTGACTGTTAGGGCCTCCAAGCTTAGTTACAGCATCGACGAACCGATCGTGCAAATCGGCAGTCCATCTCAGGCGAGGCTTTGGATCTCTCGTCATCATCGCTCCGCCGCCGGCGCCGCCGTAAGCTCTCTCCATACCCAGTGCCACCACCACATGTATATATATATGGATATAGATATAGATAGACGATTATGAATATATAATCGAAATCAAGAGAGTTGAAGATGTATCCCACGGAGCCCCTAATCTGTCTTTATTCAAAATCCAAACTCTGGAGGGGCAGAAACAACAAACTGATGGATAATATATAGACTGAAGATACATACAGACATGTGTGTGTATATATATATATGTGTGTGTAAGGAAATATATAGAAATTATTGCAAGTTGGGAGTGCATGAATGTTGAACAAGAGAATCTATCACTACTAATCATGTTCGTAAGTTAGTTAGTGTACGAGGAGAAAGTAAAAAGATGAGATCGAACCTCCCATCCACGAGCCACAACTCATCCCAGCCTGTCTCTCTCTCTCTCTCTCTCTCTCTCTCTCTCTCTCTATATATATATATATATATATATACAGATATAAATTGTATGTACACACACTTGACAGCAGACATCCATGTTGGCGTGATAATAATAATAACTCGGCGAGGAATCTGGTGTTAGAAATTTGAAAGCCTGATCGAACGGTGCAGATTCGATCGGCGACACGTGTACGGATGACCGGAATATTCGGCTGCAGTTGAGGGGACACGAATATTCCTGAACCACACTCACGTGCCACGTCTTTCAGACAGAGGACGGCTGAATTCCGTCAATTTATTTATTTATTTCTCACAACAACAATAACAATAAAAACTAATCAAGAGTTTTATTTTATAAATTAAAATAAATAAATCCCAAATAGAACAGAATCCCCCAATCCAATGTAGTATTGATCAAAGAATGTAAATTCAGAAAAACAACACTACCACCACCATCACTCAGCTTCTGCCGGCGGCGGCGGCGGCCGGGAAGAATATTCCGGCGGCAGAATCATGAGAGGTTCGTCTCCGATGACTCTCTGGAAAGCCATTCCCAGAGCATACCCCAAAGCTCGAGCAACAGGGATCGATACAGCATTTCCAACCTGACAATACCTGTCTTTAACACTTCCACAGAACCTGTAATAATCTGGAAATCCTTGCAACCTTGCACATTCTCTAATGGTTAAGCACCGGTCCTGCTCGGGGTGCAGCCATGCCTGAGCTCGAATATGCGGGTACGTGACGACGGTTGACACCGTCTCGTCCCACCAGACTCGAGCATACGGTCGTTTCGACTTACCTCCCTCGAACGTATACACGGAGTCCGGCACGAGGGGCCGTCCCGTCGGCAGCATCACCGGCGTCATTGCCGGGTCGGGGCGGACAATGTTGTTTCCGCCGACGATCACGCCGGGGAAGTCGCGGAAATTGGCGCCCTTGCGGTGCGGGACATGGCAGACGCGGAGGTAGTCGTGCTTCGACAGCTCCAGCGGCCGGTGGTCGTAGAGGACGGTTAACGCCGCCGTTTCGTCGTCTTTCGGGGACCTTATGCTGGCTTGGAACTCGGTTTTCGGAGGGTCGGTGTAGGCCGTTTCCTCGAGCTGTTGATCGTTGGCAACGGCCGGGAGATCGGAGATCGAGTCGCGGAGAATCACAGCTTCGTGGAGGTTCCGCGGCTGGCCTTCTTCGTACGCCACGACGTTTCGTTCGAACTCAAGCGGCGGCCAGTACCTGACGATGACGTCGTGCGTCGGAAGAGGGTACTGTGGCAGCATTTCGGCAGGATGAGCGCCCCAGATGAAGACTCGGAGGCGAAACTGAGGGAGACCGTAGCAGCCGGAAGCCATGGTGCCGAGGCGAGCTTGATATTTCATGTGCACCAGACGGCTTAACGCGTATCGCCCGAGGGAGCCTTTGTCGAACCTTATGATATCCACCACGTTTTCCATCAGAACGTACTTTGGTTTCAAGAACTCGACTATGTTCATGAAGACTATAATCTGACGATTTCTTTCATCCGTTAATGGCGACACGAAGTTCCTGTGACGATTGTAGCCGCTGATTCCTTGACACGGAGGGCCACCGCAGATAACGTCAACATCTCCCTGCAATGTTAAAATGGTTAGTCGAGAAAGCTCGAGAGAATGAGCAGTGTTAAAATATGAACTCACTGGCAGCGGGAGGATCTTTGATTCGAATCCTTTCCTAACAAACTCCTCGATTCGCTCTTCGCAGTTACTGAAAAAAGTATAAAACGAAGAACAGTGTCATCTAGACGTGAATTAAAGTAATGCAAGAATGAAGAGTGTCGAATTCTCACCCCAATCCTTCAACTGGTTCCCACGAATCTTCATCCGAGTCGTATCCCTTCCAACGTACCTTCAGAAATATTGAGGATCGAAAGATTGGTCTAACAAAATAGGCTCATGATCGACGTTGAAATGAAATGAGACCGGCTATTAGTACCTTGAAATGTAGCCCGCGCGTTCCACTTTCAGTCGGATCGCCATAGCAAATATCGAGGAAATGGGAGACCTCATACTCTTCATCACTATCCTCTGTATCCGATTTAGTCGTACAGCTTTCCTCTTCGAGCTGGCACTCGGATTCGCCTTCAAATGCTGTTTTTGAATCAGAAGCAGAATCCGGATCGTGTACATGTTGCTTACACAATTTCTCCCATTCCCTTAACAAGTCTAGAAAATCATCAGCAGTTACATTCCTCACCTGTAGAAGAGAAGTATGCATCGAAATTTAGCATACCATCGCACAAATTGAATAGAGTTGGAATAAAACGACGCATTAGTAAGAAGAAGCGCGCACTTGGGTTTCGGGGTGGTTCAGTTTCAAGCTGTCGCAGGCAGAGCTGCTATAATCGACCGCCCATTTCTGACAATAATGGAGAAATGAGTTACAGCGATCAATACAGATAGTATTCGATTTAGGATGAGAGATACAATGGAAGTCAAAAACTTCAGCATTACCGTCACAAGATTTATTCCTGAAAGTTTTGCGCCTGCACATAATCCGGTAGACATTCCTCCGCAGCCAGAGTATATGTCAAGTAATGCTAATTCTGGTTTCGAAGATTCGTTGTTACTCTGTAAATTTGCTGCCAGGGGAGTCATAGTAAGTGGTTTCTCATCAGGATGCTTTGAACTCAACGAATGAGGGTCGCTCTCTGAAGAAGTTTCTGAAATGGAGATCGACAATGGAAAATTAAATTAAATTCTCAAGAGCAAAGATTCAGCGAATAATTAATGAAATCGCAAAGAAACAGATGGTCTACTGTAACATTACTAACCAGGTTTCAAGGTCCGGAATGTTGAGTAGTCGACACAATACTCCATGTCATAGTAAAAAGAATCGGACGGACTAAGTTCTGAATCCATACATAGCTACAGTTTGTGCAAAACAAACCAATTGATCAGCTAGATCGTCAATCTGGAACGTTTAAACATTTTTTAGCAACATACCTTAGGAGGTACTCTTTCGATGGTGACTTTTGAGATGATGCAATCTAATGGGTTGTCATTCATTATGGTGGAGTAGAATAAACGTTTATTATCTTGGCATGAAGCGACGTCTTTTAAAACCTGGTAAGTGTACAAAGGCATTGATAGAAGACAATAGAAGATAACAGTACTATTTAACCAAGAAAGCGGGTTTTGAAAACAAAACGCAAACCGTATCTTCAGCCCGGAAAAACCATTGAATCCTAAAGTAATCTTCTTCATCTGTTGTTTTGAAAAATTCCAAAATCCTTCCAACATGCTGCTTTGTTCCCTCGCCCTGCAGAATTGTGTACAACGTCAATTTTGGAATAGCTAGAAATTAATGTGTATAGCAATCAAGCCAAGGAAGAAAGCTGTCGCCAATTGGAACTACTATGGCAACCATTCTTCAGAATAGATCATTAGATTTCAAACAGCACCATATTCAGAAACATATGGTAATTTACGAAACAAAAAAAAAAAAATTAGGCAGCCAAAAAGTACCATAAAAAATGAAAAATATACACGGTCCGTGATAGGAGCACGTAACCAGCGAGATGAAACCATAAGAAGACACATGAAAATGATAAGAAAATCAACACTGATTATTGTTATAGTATATTCGTTTATGCTCATAAAGCAAATGATCTGAATATACAATGTGATATTTGAACTACTTGCTGCCGCAAATTTTTTCTGATATTCAAAGTTAAGTGGTATTAGATAGCTTGGTCCTTGAAAGAATGAGATGATAATAATTCAAACCAGTCGATTAAATTAAAGATATCAATGCAGAATCACAACATTGATTTCAAGGATTAAAGAAGCAAAAGAAGAGCGATAAAAGTAATAGTATTATTAATTGCAAAGGTTAATTACCTTCACAAACACACAATCTCCAATATCCAGAAGACAGTTCCCAACTTTGGCTCGACTGTAATGGCATTTCACATTCAAAATGATTTCATCTTCTTCATCAGCACTGTAAGAATGGAAATACAATCCATAAGAATGCAGAGTCACTAGTTAATTTGAAACACAAGGAATTATGGCTACAATATGTTACCCAAGAACTATACGTTCATAGGATTCACTCACTTTATTTTCCATCTTTGACCTTCATTTTTGCTCTGCAGCGTACAAAATCAATCAGTGTCATCAACAACAGGTATAAGAAAACCGAAACTCTTCCATGGGAATAGTAACTATAAAGATACGCCCCTGCTATGGCGAAGGGCAGCTGCGACAGTCCGCTGACCCATAACAAGAGAAGAATGAAAAATATCTAAAGCAAGACCTTAATTGTCTCAATTCTATCCATCATTAGTTTCTAGTTGTAATAGCTTCTCGGTACATGGCATAACCTAGTAGCATGAAATAGGAAGCATTTTTTAAAAAGACACAATATTGACAAGGGACTATAAAAGATGCCGACTTCTCTTGAATGTTACTCAAAATGAAAGGTACATCATTTATTGTGTTTCCAACTATCCCCTTAGCTCCTAATATTTCTCGTGTGTTAAATAAAAAGAAATGGCTTTTCAGAGTATAGAACAAAAACGACACTTGTCATAAAGGACTGTTAGATTGTCAACACATGGATTAGTCACAGAAGATATCGCTAAAGTGGTATCTAATTTATGATCGGAGCAAGTTGAATTCATAAGATTCCATTCCAACCATGGCGAAGGAGCATTAAATAAGCCAATCTGAGTATCGAAAACATTTATTTCTTGTATAGATATCTATATTCATTACGACCATTATAACGTAGCTTGAATTGGTAATCAATTCGCATTTATTCGACGAACACTTAGCACACAACATTAAATTGGATAAGGGATAAAAAGTAAATAAATATATAAACAGAAGGATGCAACTTGAACCAAAATGCATTCATTAAACTAACAGTTGTCTATAGCTTCTGAGTTCTGACCACGCAAAAATAGAAATTTTTCGATAACAAATAACACATAATCGATTATTAAAGAGATAGATCTTATTAGATCAAGAATCAATTACCTTCAGCTCATACCGCCACTGCCACCTGTTATGGGCTACTTCTTCCGGAACTGGCTCGCCTACAAAACAACATATAATGTTCTCCTCTTGTTTCGGTGACTTTACACGATTCTTTGAATTGGATCCATCCACAGAACCATTCGAGCCTTCAACTGAATCCTTCTTTTTCTTGGCAACTCCCTCCACATTTCCTTTCACTTGAATTTTCTTAGACCTTAAGCACTTCACGTTTGTCAACTCCAAATCACACTTTTTACCCTCCTTTCTCTCAGAAAGGTTATTCCTTTCCTTCAAAGTAGACTTTTTTTTGGGAGTATCCGAACATTTCTCCATTGATTTTACACCATTTCCATCATTCTTCGACGCAGAAGCTTCAGGATGATAATCTATCAAAGGAACTTCCTTTTCTTGAGAAATCGAATTCCTCCCATTGTTTTCGAGATCATTATCCCCTTCTGTGGAGGCACTTTTCTCTGCCTTCTGTTTCTTTTTACTCACATAAAATTTCAGATAACTTGAATCACTTTCTCTCTTCGAATGTACCCTGCCGGGAGCACTTTTCAAAGCTTTCTTCCCCACGGATTCATTCAAAGAACCACCACCATTTTTCTTGCTGTGATTTTTCTCATCTTCTCCCACAAAAACTAACACAGTTCTTGATCTCAAGCACTTCTCCCTCAAACTACCTCTACATTGATGCTTAGAACCCGAATTCAGCAACGCAACTAATTGAAGATTTGAATCATCGATCTTACCCCCAGACAGCCTCAAAGAGCTCCTTAGAACCCGACATTCAGAATCCACTTTAGCCTTCTTCACAACCTTCGGTGCCCTAGAATCCTTATCTTCTAAAGAACGGCGCCGTTTCGTCGATTCCTTATCGCAGGAAACCGCATTCCTTTCAACTCTTGGAGTCAACGCCGCCGGCGATAAAGAAATCGAAGACAATCTTGGAGACCTCCTCAATTGAGATGGCGTCAATGCTGTAACCGCCGTCTGTCTGCGGTTGCTCTTTGGAATCGGAGACGTGAACTTGTCATAACTCAATCTTGGCGACGATCTGGGCAAGGGATTATCTTCATCATCAGATGGATGACGAATTTGAAGCGGCTGCGGCTCCGCCACTTCCAATGACAACGCCCACGCATCTTCTGACCGGGATCCAATTCCTGACTTCGAATGTTCTGAAATACGAGCTGAAGAAGAAGCAGCCGAAAGCCTCGGCGGCGAACACTCTGAAGGAGACCCACGCTCCGGCTTCCGTTGCTTCTTCATCCCTCGACGGCGGCGGCGGCGGTGGCGGAGAGCTTAATTGGGCAGATTTAATGAACTTCGGCAGTTCCGAAGGGCCTTCAGATTTTATACCAAATTCAGTGGGAAAATAGGCAGCATTCAAATTTAGGCATAGTTAGAAAATTAATAAATATTATTTTAAGCTTTCCTTAAATGCTCAGATACAGATAATACAACCACGCCACACCATTAATACTTCAAATTAAATATAAATAAATATACATAATTCAATGTTATTTTCAATAAATCATTGTCTCACGCAACGGTCGAATTCTGTTGACCAAAATCAAATCCTGAAGCTATTCCTTAAGAAAAGATGATTAAATTAAAGAAACCCCTAATCAAATAACAAACAACCCATACATCAGTAAGTAAAAATAAACACAATCAAATTCCCTCTTATGACTACAAATCACGACCACTACGACGATTCATTGTCCAATTCTCGATCACTTTTGGAGACATGTCCAGCTGCTTTCGCACCTCTGAAGCTGCTAACGTTCCCAAATATCAGAACCACCATTCCGACAACCCCTCCACAGAATGCTGCTCCGAAAGCCCGACCGACGTTGCCGGGAATCGACGTCGCCACAGCAAATCCGGCGCAGGCGCCGACTGCCCGAGCCCACGAGAACCACATAGAAAACGCGCCTTCTTTCCCGGCTGGGGAGCAGTCGACCCAAAGAACCCTTCCATAAGCATGTAATAATCCGGTGGCCGTGCCTTGGATCGCAGCGAATAGCAGAAGATGGCTTTTGTCCCAAACCCTTCCTTTATAGTAGAATCCGAAACCCGATGTCAGAACTGTTAGAGTAAACCCGAGAAGCTGCATTTTTGCGGCGTCCATTTTCGAGAGTAGCTGCAGGGGGTGTGCGAGGGGGAGAGACGCCAACGGGATCAAAAAGTAGAGCAGCCAGGCAAAGAGTATGATATCCGACTTAACGCAAAGAGATCCGATGGCGTAGAGTATCGTGGCGGCGAATATACACATCGACGCGAAAGACGAAAGGAATATTCCGGCAAGGCTCGCGGCGGCATGAGGGTATTTGAATATCGAGATGACGTGCGTCAGGGGAGCTGAATTCGACTGAAGATCGGCGAAGCTTACGGTGGAACGAACCGCGCTGAAAATGTGGATCAGCCCTAATCCCCATATCAATCCGCTGAAGATCGAGACAACCCACAGCGAGGTGAAGTGGTCCGAGTGGCTGAGCATACGGTACGTGAAGGTAGACATGACGGCAGCGCCTAAACATCCGGCTGCTGTCGAATACAGCGACAGCGAGCTGGCGAACGAGCTTCGGTTGCGGAACTGGTGTCTCGGGATCTTTGCGCCTGCAAAGGCTCGGGTCATTAGGCCAAGGAGACGGGCATGGGCAGCTCGAGTGATCGTGTTTGCAGCGACAATGACGGCGATGTAGAGAGGGAAGATCCACGGCTTCCTGACAAAGCCGGCCGGGAGGCAGAAAAGGGCGCCGATGCCTGTGGCTAAGCCGGCGATGAGCTGCTGATGGTGGCCGTAATCGATCAGGATCGAAAGATAGCCGAGCAACGGGGCCGATAGAATTAGCCCTAACATCCAAGAAATTGATGTCCATTCTAGCGGGGAGAAGCTCTTATGGCCGAGTTTGATCGATCCATGTGCTAATCCTTCGTATCTGTAAATTCAATTTTGCAATTACAATAATGACAACGTTGGCTAATGAATGTTTTGTAAAGGAAAAACAAGAAAAGACAAAGGAATTTTACTACACAATTCTTTCCATTAAAACTAGGCTACTAAAGCACAAAAAGGCACAGCTCGATCTGAACAAATATACCAAAAAAGACAAACTACAGGTTAAGAATTACGTCGATACGTAATCCAACAATCGAATTGACAAACTGTTTCTTACTTTCTTACTCTACTAAGAGTCGAGCTTCTTCTACAAAGTGTTGTTTCTTACTAAAAACCCTAAAAAGTAAATGGCCCAAAAATCAAGAATTCAAAGAAGAATTTGAAATGAGTGACAACATAGACATGTTTCTTCAAGAAAAGCAGCAGCCATTAAAGTACTACTAACAAACCATCTTTCCTAGGTTAAAGGAAGGAAATTAAACTAACAAGATAATGAACTGAAATTTCAAAATTCAGAAATGTGTTCAACTTACAGTTGCATTGCACTGTGCCTGCACTTGAGGCCCTTGTGGCTCACCAGCCACCCCTGCGGCGGCTCCGGCGGATGAGCCACCGTCTGGCTGATGATGAGCGGGAAGACGATGGGAATAAGCACAGTGTGCACAAAATATGAGCACAAGCCATACAAATACCACATCAGAATTTCACACTGTGTAGGCTTGTTGTCTTCAATCCCTCCGTAAACTGCTCTGCAATTCTCTAAATCCCTCTGCATTTTCCTCGACTCGCCATGAACGTCCGGTGCACCCCTCTCAGTCTCCATCACCACGACCTCTTTCGGCTGCTTCTCCTGAATCTGAGGGCCGATATCAGCCATTAACTCGCAGGGCAAAAAAGAGTCAGATACAATGCACGCCACAGAGAGGAAAAAGAAAACACAGAGAAACTTTAGGGCTTCTTGGGACAGACACAGAGAATGGGTTAGAGAGAGGGGGGGAAAGAGAGAGAGAGAGAGAGAGAGAAAAGTTACAGCTGGCTGTGAGATTTCCAAGAGGGCTGGCTGCACAAGCAAAAGTTGTACTCAGATTGTTTTTAATGCATTAAAGTAGTCACCTTTACTAAGACACCCATATTTTGCTAATCTAAGCATCATTACATAAACTAATCAAACACCATTTCTTGATTTCTCCACAGGAGAAGAGGATGGGCAAAGATAGGCCCTTTTCATCTCGGATTCCTCCCTGCATCTTTGCTGCAAAAAATTTAAATATAAAAATCTCCCTTTTGATAAAAGGAATCAAGACTAAGAGGTATGAGTAGGGACAAGACAGCTTGGTAAAGCCAGAGGTTTTCCTTGAAAACCTCCACTCATACCATATGTTTCTTTTGTTTTTTTTAATATCACTAGCCATCAAAGCATAATGACTTCATGGATTTGATTATGTTCAGTTGAGTTTTTTTATCCCAACTTTCTTGAGTGCAAAGTCTAGGAAATCAATTACTTTAATTTTGAATGGAATAGCTTTATCCACCACCATTATTATTGCCATACACGACAACTATAAGCAGAGACTCTGCTCTCATGTCAGTAGTAATAGATTAAGTAGCTAGGGTTTATACAATCATTACTCTCAACTATTGGCTTCTTTCTAATTTTGACCGTTGGGCGTTTGTGTGTAAAGACACATTTGCCCTCAGAAGCATCTAGACTCGGGGCCACATCATTGTTCAATTTAATGTGATCTTTATATCATACGAGGATTGAACATCACAAGCTGTATATATAGCCTTTACTGAGTAAGTAAACCATAATAAACAGTGATCAAAATTCAAAACCAGAGTGAAGTTTATATTCATTTCAATAAATCAAGAATTGTAAGTCTTCACAGCAAAATTCAGCCTAAATTAGGCTCAAAACTAATGTAACTAAATTTTTTAAAAAAAAAAAATAACTATGTTAATGAAATCTATAGGGACCGAATTAATCGCCTAAATTGCTTCAAGAATCCCAAACCTCTAAACCGTTTTTGGATCACAAGTAGGCTCTTCGTGTGGGAGCCAATGTCTGTTGTAGAACCACGAGCAGTCGGTCACAGTACGTTCACTGTCCTGGTTTCGATGCCATGTGAAGAAGGCGTGGGTGCTGTTCTTGATCTCGAGTAATCCATGGCCGAAACTTGCCTCCCGGTAGGCCGAGTAAGCGGGCTGTGGAGATGTGTACCTACATTGATCAAAAACATATATCAATTTATCATCGTAGATTAAACTAGATGCGAGCAAACAACACCAATGTAAGAGTCTCACTCGTTGGCGAGGCCTTCGATGTTTCCGCCATCGCCAATTGTAATATACACAGGAGCAGAGGGATCTCTAATCGGCGTGCTTAGTCCATTTGTGATGTTATATTGCACATTCGATATCCGGTGCTGCATAAATGAAGGATCAAGACAGTTATAGCATGGGTAAAACAGAGCATAGAAATCGAAGCATATTGGGATGGATGCTTACCGAGCGCTCGTAGGCATGGACATGTCCGGAAAAGACAATGTCGACTTTGTACTTCACAAGCGCATCCTCGAACATAACCCTCATCCCTTCGCCTTCCATGTAGTGATGCTCGTTGCTGTTGTACAGCGGTGCATGGACCAACACAATCAGCCATGGAGTCTCGGATCGGTTCACCTTAGGTAGCTCATCGTGAAACCACTGGTATTGAGGGGTGTAAACGGCTGAAGAACAAATACGCAACAAAACTTGTTACACACAGTTGTTTAGTAATACATTAATGATAGCAAACAAGAGCTGATTCTTACCAAAACTCGAGTAGGACGACAACACAATAATGTAGGCCGGTCCACGCTTGATCGAGTAAAACAAAGGAGAGATGCTACCCGAGGCCATGTAAGGAGTATGAAATCGATGCATAAATGGCTTGAATGGTGTATTCTCATCCTGCAAAAACCATACAAACGTATCACTCCAATGTAAAAATTGATGCCAGTAGATGAGAGCTAATATTTTTCTTACGATTTCAGGGGCCATGTCGATTTCATGGTTGCCGGCAGTCCAAATCCAGGGCTGATTTGCAGCACTCTTCTCAACGAACCGTGACCAAATATCCCACCTGGTGTTGTCATGGAAAGGATGATTGTCTGCATACGATAGATCTCCAACATACAGCATTGTTTGGGCATTGCTATGAGACATATAATGCTCCAAAGTTCGATTTGAATCGTATGTTTGCCCTAAGTCCCCTGCATACATACAACCACATACACATAATCCACACTTGTTTCCCAAAAATAAGTCCATGAAACACATTGATTCTACAAACTAGCTTTGTGCAAATGCTCACCAATTACTCCAAAAGTGTAAGGAGCATTAGGTCCTGGTTGAGGAGGAGTTGTGAATGAGAACCTCCTGGATGCGTTTTGGTGCCCAATTTCATAAATATACTTGGTATCATACTACACACAGTTCACAAAAAATTAACCATCAGATTTTCCCTATCGATGAATTGGAAAAATTACAAAAACGAATGACAAAGCCATAATCAACCAACAATCGTCGCACCTTGAGTTTCCTAGTGGTGGCGTGATGAATAAAACCCGAAGTGTAGTTATAATACCGATACGTCGTCGTAACGGCGTTAGACTTGTGAGACTTATGCCTGTGGCCGCCCTCCGCCTCCCAATACGTGACGGCGTTAGGGCTTGGATGCACCGGCGTCACCCACGAAATTATCATGCTCCGCCCATCGTGATCGCCTTGCGTTATGTGCACCTGCAAAATCCCCCAAAAAAAAAAACAACCGCAATACAGAAATTACTAATTGAGTGAATGAATTCAGTGCAGCAAAGTAATTAGGTTACCTGCTCGGGAGCGTTGAATCCGGGAGGCGGAGGAAAGGATTCCTCGGGCATATCAGTGGATCCATTGGCAACCCCGAAAAAGTGAAGAACGCAGATGAAGCAGATGATCAGAAAGCTCCTCATGGCAGCAGATAGATTGTGGATGGAAAGAGCTGCAACGGGCAATACGTACATTATCGATTGTAGAGCATGTATATATATATAGTGAGAGTATCTCGCCGATATATTGAGATTTGATAAGAAAATTGGATCATATCTTATCACTGCATGTCCGGGATTTGTGTGACGTTAGATATCTTCGTTAAGTATATTTTATAAATTATTTTAAATTAATAAACGAATAAAATTATTATTATTATTATTATTATTATTATTATTATTATTATTATTATTTGTCTTTTACTTTTTTAAATATATTTTATCTATTATTTATTTAGTGCGTTGATGCATTATTGATATGAAGATGGCGGGGGATGGATGTTATTTTAGATTTGAGTTTTATTTCAAAAATGCTTTCTAAGTTTTGTACTTTTTAATTTTTTTTAAAAAAAATATATCAATTATATATATATATATTTCATACAATATTAAAGTTTTCAAAAATATATGTCTAAACAAAACAATAACTATTATGAAGTGACTAGACACGTATGATTATTTGTGTATAATTTTACTACGGTGTGTTTGTTTGGGGTTTGAATTTTGAATTGGAATTTGAATAGTAAAAATTTTAAATTTGAATAGTTGTATAATGTGATATAAATAGACGTTGTGGTAATGTTTTGAATGTAAAATTAATTTTTAGTATAATATAAAAAATAAAAAATAGACGTTTAATTTGATTTTTTTGAAAAAATATAAGATGAATATTGTATTTAAAATTCAATCTTCCAAACAAACACACACTTAAGTATCCCCTTAAAATTCCATGCAATTAATCATGTATTGATTTTGTGAATGGGTATTCATCGTTGCGTTTTATCTATTTTTCATATTATTTATATAAAAAAATAACAATAAAATAAAAAATAATAATATTGAATTTTAAATTTTTTTAGTAAATAAAGTATGGGTTTGTTTATCTAATTTTTTTCTTCAATACAATTTTTAATATATATATAATATTATCTTTTCACAAAACTCAATATTTAATATAAAATATTATTTTTTTATATGTATGCATTACTATATGTTTTGTATAAATATATGTACATATTATATTTTTAATAACATTAATTGAAAATGTATCCAAAAATTCTAGTTGAATAAACAAGCCCTTGATTTTCAAAAATATATATCTATTATTAATAAATATTCCTCCGTTTCATCCTATCCGTTTTACTGGATATACAAAAATTTAGGTAAAATATAATTAGTAAGTAATTATGAAGTGTATTATTAAAAATAATTTTTGTATAATAAAACTATATTATAAATTAAAATTTAGATAACGAAATAGTATAATTAAGATTAAAAATTATAAATTATGAAATTTAAAATGTGATTAAAGTGTATAACTATATTTCCTAAAAATAAAAAAGAAAAATAAAGTGAAACAGACGAAAATATAAATTATGAACGAAAAATATGAAACAAGGAGAGTAATATGTTACGTGTTAAAGGTACATCTAACAAGAATGTGTATGTACATGTATTATAATTTATACTCTTTTTATCTCAATTACACATATATTTTTTTTTATCATTTATGTATGTTCGTTTAAAAATATTTATTCTCTATTATAGTAAAAATAATCACGTACTAATTTCAAAATATCATTAATTTTTAAATAAATTACAAACATATCATTACATATACATAAAATACAATGGACAAAAATATTAAAATCATCTTAAGTACTTTCATTAACAAATAAGATATTATTAATTTTTAATTTACTATAAAAATTCAAATTAGTACTTTTGCTCGGGACACGGAAGAAATATTATTTGTATCAAAATTAGATGTCACATATATGGATGTTATTTTTTAATAGTACCTCCGTCCCAACGAAAGAGTAACATTTGTTTTTTGTACATAAATTTTTTTATATTAGTATTATATTAGATTGTGGTGAAAAAGACAAAATTACTTCTATTAATATTGTGTAATAAAAAAGTAATTATATTTATGCAATATATTAAAAAATAAAACACGAAAAAAATATTAAGTACGAAAAATGATGTCAATATAAACATTTTCAAATTATACATATATTTATAATATATATATATATTAGCTCATTAGTTATAGTTATTTTTTTTTCATTATATTTATGATTATCTTTTCGATTTTTTTTTTATAATAATACTAATTATTTTTAATAAAATAATAGCTACTATAGCATATAGTGTTAGTAAAGAGAGAGCCCGAAAGCGCCCAAAAATCTCGAGTCTTCAGTGTTGCCGGCCTAATTACATAATGGTTGTGTTTATTAGAGGGTTGAATTTTAAATTAAAATTTAAATAGTAAAAAAATTTGATACGATATTTTGAATGTAAAATTAGTTTCTAATATAATAAAAAAATGTAAAAGAAATGTTTGATTTGATAAATTGAAAAAAAAAAAAAAAAAACTAATAGTTGATTTTTGGGAAAATATTTGAAACAACACACCCTACGTGTATTTCCCGCAATACTATTGAATTGAAGTGTTCCCTTACTAAATTTATAAGGGTGTGTTTGTTTGAAGGATTTTGGTGGATTTCCACTATTCATTCAATTTTTTCCCTAAAAAAACATCAAATCAAACACCTATTTTTCATTTTTTATATTATACTAAAAATCAATTTTACATTCAAAACATCACATCAAACCCTATTTATATCACATCATACAACTATTCAAATTCAAAATTTTTACTATTCAAATCCCAACTCAAAATCTAAACCCCCAAACAAACACACCCTAAGAAAATTATCAAGGAATTCATAAAAATAGTAGAATAAATATAAAAAATAATAAAAAATTAATTATTATTTGTTAAATTAAATGCAATTTAATTGTAGACAAGATAAAATTGTTTACTATATGGATTGTACATAAATAAGAAAATAATAATAATAAAAATAATAATATAAGTTTGACAGACGCAAAAAATAACTTATTAAGTTTTGTCAAGCATAGATTGTCATACAATATAAATGAATTCATAAATTCAATATATAACATTACTTTTTCATATTACCGATATAATTTTTAATTACTAGTATAAAAAATACTTTAAACCAAAACACTAAAGGGTGTGTTTGTTTTTTGTGTTTTGGTTATTTTTAAGGTATAGAAAATTGCATAGGCAATATACAAATAATTATATATAATATATTATTCTTTTGAAAAATAAGTTAGAGAGAATTTTCACAAAAATAATACACCCTAGATAATTATATACCCTTAATTAGTATGTTTGTATATGCTTTTATTTACATAATTTATAATGTAGTTGATTATCATTTGACAAAATATATTATAGACATATTACCAAATAAATATATGTAGAAAATAAAAGTATAGGTTGGTAAGTTAGTATTCAATTCTTACATTTATTTTGAATAATTTTATTAAATTATTTTAAAATAATTTTAAAAATTAGAAAATTAAAATTTGGGCTGGTCCGGCTCAACCTGGGCTCCCAGGCCCGACATAAAACTTGGCTGGGCTGACCCAAAATTATCACCACTATAAAAAATCATAAAAAACATTGAAAAAATATTTATTTTTATTATTTTAAAACATTTTTGTGAAGAAATGATATATTACTATTAAAAAATACTCCATAAATAAGCCAATTTTTTTTTTTATTTATTTTTATTAATATTGTTATTTTGACAATATTTTTAGTTGAGGAACAATTTCAGGTTTAATACCTCCAATGACAACAAACAAACCAAAGATCGATGAGATGATATTCCAACTCGCGTCATCAGTCTGTCACGCAATTAAGGTTTAATAATAATAACAATTAAAAGGCAATAATAATAAAAATAAAATAAAAAATTAAAAGGGCACAGGAAGTGATGTTAGGTATAGCATTTTATATTGTCAAATAGGAGTAGGTAACCCACCCTTATCATAATTTCACTTTCATTATAATTAGTTAGTTTCTGGGTGTGTTTGTTTGGGGGTTTGGATTTTGAGTTGGGATTTGAATAGTAAAAATTTTGAATTTGAATAGTTGTATGATGTGATATAAATAGGGTTTGATGTGATGTTTTGAATGTAAAATTGATTTTTAGTATAATATAAGAAATGAAAAATAGGTATTTAATTTGATGTTTTTGGGGGAAAAAATTGGATGAATAGTGGAAATCCACCAAAATCCTTCAAACAAACACACCCTAATCAATACACATAATTGACTTACTACAGACTTCATTTTCTTTGATTTTTTTAATCAACTTACTATATAATTTTCCTGTTTTCTATAAAAACATTATATTTAATTATTATTGAAATACAAAATACAAAAAACACAACAATAAAAAAGGAAAACAAAAAAAAAAGTAATTAAAATTAATTATAGCAAAATCCGATCCACATCTCTATATATGTTAAAAATATAAATTTAATTCTGTCACCATATATTATTTGAAGTGCACGTCACGTGGAAATCAAAACTTCCATTTAAAGAAATTCCACAAAATGAAATAAAATAAAATAAAATTCCTCTATATAAACACAATTGTCATGTCCTGATGAATGAACATACTAAGAGCTCAAAATTTTTATTTATGGCTAAAAGTAAGGTTCTTGTCGTCGGCGGCACCGGCTACATCGGAAAGCGGCTGGCGGCGGCGAGCCTGGCCGCCGGCCACCCTACTTACATTCTTCTCCGGCGAGAGATCGGGCTCGACATGGACAAGTTGCAAATTCTGTTTGAGCTAAAGCGTCGCGGCGCGCATCTGATTGAAGGGTCATTTTCCGATCATCAGAGTTTGGTGGACGCCGTGAAGCAAGTCGACGTTGTGATTTCCGCTATGTCGGGAGTTCACTTCCGGAGCCATAATTTGATGATGCAGCTCAAGTTGGTCGACGCTATTAAAGAAGCCGGAAATGTAAAGGTTTGTGTCGAGGTTTTGACCTTTTTCGGATAGTTACAAAGTTATTAAAGATTTTTTTTTTTGATATATGAATCGAACTTATTCTATTTTAATTCTTTTTTATCGATACTTTTTAGTGAAAAATTGAATTGAATTTTAAATTGACGGATTAATGCGAATTTATGTGTATACATAGTCATTGTCACGTAAGAGTTTGTTCTTTTGAGAGTTTGGAATTTTTAATACTCCCCGTGGTATTGAAAGGTTACCATTTTCTATTTTTGTCTGTTTCAAAACAAGGTTATCATTTAGTAATCTAGTAATTGTACTACCTACCTACCTAACATAATAAATACCCTTTCAATTTACAATATATTATATAAATGTCGTTACTTTTATATTACATCGTACTAATAGGGGTATTTTTGTCTTTTTAACTGCAATCCAATATAATATTAATATTCAAAAATCTATGTGCAAAAAGCAAATGTCATCCTTGTTACTAGACTGCGGGAGTAGTAAAATTTTGATTGTGAATATTATTTAATTTAATATAAATAAATATTGATATTATATTTTAAATATAAATTTAATTTAATTTTTGTTGTGTACGGCTTGTTTTCAAATATTTCTAAGTAGGAACAATAATTGAGTTGATATTTTGATATTTTATGAATAAAAACATTTTAGATACTATAGTTGTGTCTAGATATGTTTCACAAAATTTTAAAAACAATAAATAATAAACCAAAAAATATATATATAATATAATATAAATAAATATTATATATATATAATACGCTTTCATAGACATAGATATTTATCGATAAATATCGGAAAAATGATTTGAAAATATATGAACTTGTATTTTCAAAAAAAAAAATTTGTTTCAGTATTAAAAAATGAAAAAAAAGGGTTCATAATCAAAATTAGCTGCTACTATTTTCTTAGGCTATTTTTTTTTTTTTTGTTTTTCTATAATTTGGAATCTGCAGCCGTTATTCGAAAGTGGACACAGAATCTAATACTATAAAATAGGTCTGACAAGGCAAGTCAGGCCAACCATGTGTAACATGTGAACCTGGAGTGGGTTTCAACCTAGAGGCTATTCTTTGAGTGAACACTAAATAATCGATTATTTTATTTCAGCGATTCTTACCATCGGAGTTTGGCTCCGATCCGGCGAGAATGCTTCATTCACTAGAGCCGGGAAGAGTGACCTTCGACGAGAAGATGACGGTGAGGAAAGCCATCGAAGAAGCTCAAATCCCTTACACTTACATCTCCGCCAACTGCTTCGCCGGCTACTTCGTCGGAAACCTTTCTCAAATGGAAACCCTGCTTCCTCCCAAGGATAAGCTCTTCATCTACGGCGACGGCAATGCCAAAGGTAGGATTAAATGACCATTTCACTTAAAAATAATTAAATTTAATAATACGTATTATTTATTTATTTATTTATTTATATAGGTTAAATTGTACAAAATTCATTTGTAGTTTTACAAAATTGTGCAAATCCACACACTTTGAAAACTGCCGTGGTTTTATATAATAAATGAATATATTTGTAATTTTAGTACTCTGAAATTCATTTACATTTTGAGCAACAGAGAACGGCCGAAGGGTTAGACAGCAAAATTTATGAAATCGGATTTGATGCGATTTTAAAAGTAGGGAGAGTTTTCTGCAATTTTGTGAAATCAACGTGTGAATTTTATGCAACTTTGTGAAATCACATGTAAATTTTGTACGCGATTTATATATTATGGAGTCAACTAGTATAATTAATGTCTTAAACTGCTTACAGTTGTGTTCATGGACGAAGATGACGTCGCGAAGTACACAATCAAGACAATCGACGACCCTCGTGCGGCGAACAAGACAGTGTATCTCCGGCCACCGGAGAACATTCTGAGCCAACGGGAGTTGGTCGGAATATGGGAGAGGTTGACAGGGAAGCCATTGGAGAAGATCACCATTTCTGAAGAGGATTTTCTAGCTCGTCTTGAAGGTATATAATTGATTCATTTTTCCATTGATTGGATGTTTTTAATCCGATCATAATTAATGTAATCAATATCGAAATTTGAAATTAAAAAGGGGCGCCATATGCTGTTCAAGTTGGGATCGGCCATTTCTACCACATATTCTACGAGGGATGTCTGACGAACTTTGAGGTCGGAGACGACGAGGAAGCTTCCAAGCTTTATCCGGAAGTGGATTACATTCGAATGGATGATTATTTGAAACGCTACCTGTAATTGTTCAATTTGTAGGGCATTTCTATATGCATCTGATTTATTAAAATTGTCGCAAAAATAGATATATTCCACAATAATTTCAACTGCGACAAGATGACATTTTTCTAGCAGTGAACTTTGGAACACACTCATGTGTATTCATTTCAATAAATTGAATTTGTCAAATGGGATTTAATTCGCTCGCCGACCTGTTTGATAGGAATACGAATAAAAGTAGACACTCAAGATAGAGCGTCACACAAAAGATAATTCAAAACAATACTCGCAGAATACAAACCACTATGTCATCCCTTACTGGACTAATAAATATCTAATCTTTGGGAATATTTTTTCTCCAACATGAACTAGCTACACGAATGTATGTATGCAAAATACCTCTAGAGCTGTATTATGAGACAGCCATTTGTCGAGGAAACAAGTCCGCGTATTGGTGAGACTTATATGTGTCGAAACACTTCAAATAGGACACAATACATTGCTCATCTGCATCATAAATATTATATCAATCTATCAAAGTTAATAATCCAACACAAATATTATTATTTATATTATCGACGAGCAATTTTCCATAGCAAGCATAAAAAGACACTAAACAAACACAAACGAATGGAACTTTAATTACCTAATCAATGGTGAGTTTAGGAATATGGGCTATTTTGTGCCAATCCTCCCCAGTTCCCTCCTTGCATCTCTGTTTTATATTTCGGCATTCCAAAACATCGAGGGATTGGAGATTTGTCATTCCTTGGATACATGAAGGAAGTGATGCAAGATTTGAACAAAAATGGATAGTCAGATGACGAAGAGTTGCCAAGTCACCTAACCATTCTGGCAGAGAGGTAAGCTTTATAAGGTTCTCCAGATTTAGATTTTGCAGTGAGGAGAGGTGTCTGATGGCTTCGGGTATGCACACCATCTTTGGAAGGCCGCTAAGAGTGACTTCCCTAATGGTGTCAACATATTTGATTTCCATCGGCAGGTCTACCAAATTGGTACAGAAGCTTACAGACAAATGTTCAAGAGTTGTGAGGTGGGAGAACCATCCCCCCGGCAAACATGTCAACTTCTCACTGAGATTTATCTTCAAAATTTTGAGAGCGCGTAATCCTTGCAGCCCTCCCATTGGGACACATTGTTCGTTGGCATAAAAAATCTTCAATATTTCCAGATTAGTTAAACGTTCCAGCGAATCACAGGGAATACACTTCATATTCTCACCAATCCATACTACAAGTTTCTTAAGATTTTGCAGCTTTGGAAATGAAGTCAAGCATAAACTACTGTTACAATCCAGTTCCTCCAACTTTTGAAATTGTGAAAACTCTGAAAACACCATTGAAGGGCACCGTGAAACACGAAGTGTTTGAAGATTCGGCCATCTCTGTCCTGGTTCCTCCTTAAAGAATCCTTTTAGATTTTGGAGATTATATAGACATAGTGTTTTCAATAATGGGAATATTATGTTTGCTGCATTCCCACTTGAAACAATGTACTCAACCTCCTCTAGATCACTTAAAGATAAGGTTTCAAGGTGAGGCAGCTCTGCCACTTGAAATAGGTCCAGCAAATTCTTGCATTTATTGATCGAAAGCTTAACTAGTTTATCCATCTTCAAGTTGATCATCCAGTTCGGAAAATGTCTACCACTGAAGCCACTTATACTGAATTCTTCAATATTTCTGTGAGGTTGAAGTGCTTCCAGCTCCTTTTCATCTTTTTCTCCCCTCAATTTGGATGCACTGTCGACATCCCATTTCAAAATCAAATGACAAAGATTTTGTTTTCCAGCAAGATTTGCTTTCATGGCATCTAAGGGATTCTCAACTCTCTCTAGATGCTCAATTTCAAGTACGCCACCGAGGTTTAAGCTCTGCAATTCCTCAAGTTGATTTCCCTTATTGCAGCCCACAATGAATTTTTCCAAAGTCATAAGGCTGGTTAACTCTCCAATTCTAAAGGGTGTCTCCCTTAATGAGTTGCATCCCTTCAAAAAGAGATGGCGGAGATTTTTTAAGTTTCTCATCTTCTTAGGTAATCTTGCAAGATTTTGGCAATAACTTAGATTCAAAACCTTCAAATTCCAAAGACTACATAATGAGTTGGGCAGACTATCAATATAAGACCAGGATAAATCCAAAGATCGCAAATGCTTCAGCTTGCCTATCCTCGATACCTCTGCTATATCTCTTGCATCCAACACTCTCAAACATCTATAGTTTGCCAAGACGAAAGAAATATCCATTTCAAGTTGTGTTCTTTTAGGAAATGCTACATGGCATACTGGCAAGTTCACCTCGCGGATTTTGCTATTTGATGTTTTTGTTGAAATCCTTCCCAAGTTTGTTTCTGAAACTTTGTTTTCCATGATTGATTGTGCGAGATCATGAACAAGATCGTGCAGTGTGACAACATCCATCCTTGGTTCTCCTTTGTTATCAATGACATTTTGGAAAAGTGATCTCAGGATTAACTCATCCCATATTTGCTTGCCAACATCCTCTGCTTCCAATATTCCGTCTGATGATATATAACCATGTGCCATCCAAAGGAGTATCAATTCTTCTCTGTAGATTGACCTGCTCTTGGGAAAGATGGAACAGTAAGTGAAACACTGTCTGAAAGCCAAAGGAAGATGATGATAGCTTAATCTCAAAGAGGGCAATATCGAAGTTTCTTCTTGTGGCAAATCCCACAGCTCACTTTCTTTCACATGAAGCCATTCATTTTCGGTCCTCTGGAATCGTAGAAGACCTCCTAACACCTTGGCAGCTAGCGGCAAACCACCACACTTCTTCACTATTTGCTTCCCGATAGCTTCAAGTTCTGGAAATTGTATTTCCTCTCCTTGTCGGAAAGCCCTCTGCTTGAACAACAACCAACAGTGATCTTCAGACAACTCTTTCAAGTCGTGTTCCGGAAGTGTTCCCATTATTTCAGCAACCTTCTTTTGTCGTGTGGTTACAATAATGGCGGATCCAGGTGAACCACACGTCAGAACATTTTTTAATTTGAACCACTTCTCCTGATTATCATTCCAAACATCATCAAGCACAAGCAAATACCTTCTCTTGCTCAACAACTCGAAGATTCGGCCTTCCAAAGATCCCAAGTGCATCAAATCTGAAGCCATGCTGCTTCCAGTTGCATATTCGATCATGGCCTTCAACAAGGTCTTTTGATCAAAGTCATCAGAGACACAAACCCAAAGCTTTTTATCAAAATGCTCATCTACTCGAGGATCTTGGAAGACTAATTGAGCTACAGTAGTTTTTCCAAGGCCTCCAAGTCCTACAATTGGTAGGATGGATAGTTCTTGATTGTCCTTGGCAGCATGCACCAAGATATCGACAATCTTCTCCTTTTCAGCTTCCCTGCCATAAACATGATCATTGTCATTCAGAACAGCACCCGTCTCGCGTGCAGCAGCAACAATATTTCTTGGCCTCGCAACCTCCATGTGGCACAGATGAAAATTTGTACGCTCTGCCCAACTTGATTCAACCTTTCAGAAACTTGCTTCATCCTTCTTCCAATTCGACTTTTGAACATGATATTCTTCGAGCCACGAATAGGATTCCATCCAGTCTTTTTAAATTTCCATATGGAAACATGAGTAGCACATTCATCCAATACATCATCAATCTCGTAAGTGAGATCATTGAGCTTGATTAACCAGTTGCGTATTGCCGCGCTTTCCAGTTGCTGCTTTTCGGCATCTTCCAGCACAGCTTGGATGGTGGTGAGATTGCTGGCCAGATTCCTCATTTCATCATCCACACCCATAATCAATCCAGTCTCGTCTATGATCAAGGAGCTTAGATTCTTTAACACGGCGGTCAGGAATGCTTCAGCCATGGTGTGAATGGATCAAATCGAAGTTAATCAAAGGACAAGAGAATGAAGGAATGAAGGAAGGAATTAGGTGAGAATAATGAAAGAAGAAAGAAGAATCAGTTGAAGAATATGCAGAGAGTTGCCGTGTCGTCAGTGTTTGATTTGGTCCTTTTAGATATCCTTTAAATGCGTAAGTTCATATTAATTTCATATGTGCTGTCACTATGACAAAAAAGATTCCATGTGGAATCTATGCTTAAAACATGTCCGTGTTATGTCCACGTCGGGTATTGCCAGGTCAAATACGAACATGTCAATATTCAGTATTGAGAAGTTAACAATGACACCTAATGTGAATTATTTTATTTTGAACACGCCAAATATGATTAAAAAATTAAAATGAGACCAAATGTAAGCAATCTTACTTCATAGCTAAACAAAAAAGTGATTTTTCCCTTCCACGTAATATTCTTGCAACATTTGAAGCAAGTAGTATATATATGTTCGAAACAAAAGCAGAAGATTCTAAGAACATACTTATATACTGTTAAAACACGAGGCAATTGTAGCAGTCATTACCAAATAAAAGGGAAACATTGAAATGAAACAACATTAGATAAATTCATATCAAAATTGTAAATTAAATATATAGCAAAATGAAAAGGCTTTCATGGTCACTGCAAGGACATCTACAGGGTCGCATGTTAGAAATACAAACAACATTGAACAGCCTAAGCCCAAGCGCGAAAGAAACGAATAGATAGAATCGATTTACTTATGTCGTTAAAGATTATTGCCAATAATTGCAACTTCATTGGAGTGTATACTTTGCAGGCAAAATAGTTCGAAGTAAATCTAATATTGCGTTATTGTAACATTGAACAAAGGATTATGTGAACTGTAACATTGAACAAAGTGTTTGGAGAAGTCCAACGTCTTGATGCATTGAGGAAGAAAGTACAGAATGCTTTGGAACCTTAATATCTTACCATAAGATCATAGGCACCATTGGAATGTTGACGTTATGTGAGAAAATGGAATATTATATATTAGGAATTGTGTTAGGAAAATTTTGATTGGGCAAACTAACCTACATTTTATCATATATATCCAAATTAGTATTGTTCGGCCAGAGTTTACACAAAGCGCACTCGAAGAGTAGCTGCGGCGGGCGATTCCCACGTCATAAATAAAAAAAAAAAAAATTAGTACCCTAATCAAAATTATTCCTCGATATGGTAAAACATCGAATGATTTTAAATGGAGCAAGTGTATTAAAGGAAGACAATGTCTTCACTTACATAAGTTAGCTTATTTAAACTTCAACCGACCCAGAACAACACAATTAGACAGAGACTGTTTTGTGGGAACTAAAACTTTCAAATCGAGTAAATCTGAACTGTCCAAATCAAACCAGATCAATTAGCAATAATCGAATAATTACACCCCAACATATGAGAGAAACACAAATCAAACTGATTACCAGAGGAACAGGCTGCAGCAAATTAGAAGACAGTGACTGGAAGATGACCACAGCAGCAACTCTACTGCAGCTGGAGGTAACAGCAAGAGGCAGTAATGGCGGCAGCAGGGGCGATGAAGGCAATTAGCACAGAAGAATGAGCAGAGGTATCTGATGGCATCAAATATGAGTTTTTTTTTTTCCTTAATAAGATACATAAATACTTTTTAATGTAAACAAACATTATATTAATGGAACTTTACATACCTATTTAATGTCCAGATTAGGAATATGGGCTATCTTGTGCCAATCCTCTCCTATCCCCTCCTTGCATCTCCTGTGTATCTTCGGGCAGAATATCACATAAAGAGACTGGATATTTGTCATTCTTTGGATACATGAAGGAAGTGATGCAAGCTTTGGACATGAAAGGATAAACAGATGACGAAGAGTTGTCAAGTCACCCAACCATTCTGGCAGAGAGGTAAGCTCTTGAAGGTCCCCCAGATTTAGATTTTGCAGTGAGGAGAGGTGTCTGATGGCTTCGGGTATGCACACCATTTTTGGAAGGTTGCTAAGAGTGACTTCCCTAATGGTGTCAACATATTTGATTTCCATCGGCAGGTCTACCAAATTAGCACAAGATTCTACATACAAATGTTCAAGAGTCGTGGCGTGGGAGAACCATATCCCGGGCAAACATGTCAACTTCTCACTCGAATATATACCCAAAAACTTGAGGGAGTTTAAACCTTGCAGCACTTCCATGGAGATACAATGTTCATCGGCATTCCAAATACCCAAATTCTCCAGATTAGGGAAGCATTCCAGCAACTCATGGGGAATAAACTTCATATCCTCAGCAATCCTAACAGAAAGATGATTGAGATTTTCCAGCTTAGAAAATGAAGCCAAACTTAAACTACTGTCGCATGCCAATTTCTTCAACTTTTTTAATTGCGAAAGCTCCGGCAAGACCAATGAAGGGCACCTGCAAACAATAAGTGTTTGAAGATTCGGGCAACTCTCTTCTACTTCCTCCTTAAAGAATCCTTTTAGATTTTGGACATTATCGAATTCAAGATCTTCTAATGATGGGAATATTATCTTTGTTGCATTCCCAGCTGAAACAATGTACTCAACCTTCGATAGATTCTCTAAATATAAGGATTTAAGGTGAGGCATCTCCACCATTTGAAATAGGTCCAGCAAATTTTGGCAATTCCTTATCACAAGTGTAACTAGTTTATCCATCTTCAAGTTGGTCATCCAATTCGGAAAATGTCTACCACGGAAGCCACTTATACCAAATTTTTCGATATTTGGGGAAGGTTGAAGTGCTTCTAGCACATTTTCATCTTTATGATCTCCCCCCAATTTGGATGCATTGTCGATCTCCCACTTCAAAAACAAATGAGAAAGATTGTGTTTTTCAGCAAGATTTGCTTTCATGGCATCTAAGGGGTTCTCCACTCTTTCAAGATGCCGAATTTCAAGTTCGCCACCCAAATTCAAGAACTCCAATTCCTCAAGATGATTGCCCTTATTACAACCCACAATGAATATTTCCAATGTCCTAAGGCGGGTTAACTCTCCAATCCTAATGGGTGTCTCCCTCAATGAGTGGCATCCCTCCAAAAAAAGATGTCGGAGATTTTTTAAGTTTCTCATCTTCTTAGGAAGCCTTACAAGATTTTGGCAATACTTCAGAACCAAAATCTTCAAATGCCAAAGACTACAGAATGAGTCAGGCAGACCATAAATATCAGATCCAGATAAATCCAAAGATCGTAAATGCTTCAACTTACCTATATTGGATGGAAACTTCTCTATAACTTCAAAACTTGCATCTAACACCCTCAAACGTCTATAGTTTGCCAAGACAAAACATATGTCCATTTCAAGTTGCTTTCTTTTAGGAAATGCTACTTGATGCTTTGACAAGTTCACCTCGCGGATTTTGCTATTTGATGAACTTCCCAAGTGTGTTCTTGAAACTTTGTTTTCCATGATTGATTGCGCAAGATCATGGACAATATCGTGTAATGTGACAGAATCTATCGATGGGTTTCCTTCGTCATCAATGGGATTTTGAAAAAGTGATCTCAGGATTAACTCGTTCCATATTTGCTCACCAACATCTTCCACTTCCAAATCTCCTTTTGATGAAATATAACCATGAGCCATCCAAAGGAGTATCAAGTCTTGTTTATAAATCTTAGAATCCTTGGGAAAGATTGAACAATAAGCGAAACACTGTCTCAACGCCAAAGGAAGATGATGATAGCTTAATCTCAAAGAAGGCAAGATCGAAGTTTCTTCTTCTGGCAAATCCCACAGCTCACTTTCTTTCACATGAAGCCATTCATTTTCAGTCCTCTTGAATCGTAGAAGACCTCCCAACACCTTGGCAGCCAGCGGCAAACCACAACACTTCTTCACTATTTGCTTCCCGATAGCTTCAAGTTCTGGAAATTGTATTTCCTCTCCTTGTCGGAAAGCCCTCTGCTTGAACAACAACCAACAGTGATCTTCAGACAACTCTTTCAAGTTGTGTTCCGGAAGTGTTCCCATTATTTCAGCAACCTTCTTTTGTCGTGTGGTTACAATAATGGCGGATCCAGGTGAACCACACGTCAGAACATTTTTTAATTTGAACCACTTCTCCTGATCATCATTCCAAACATCATCAAGCACAAGCAAATACCTTCTCTTGCTCAACAACTCGAAGATTCGGCCTTCCAAAGATCCCAAGTGCATCAAATCTGAAGCCATGCTGCTTCCAGTTGCATATTCGATCATGGCCTTCAACAAGGTCTTTTGATCAAAGTCATCAGAGACACAAACCCAAAGCTTTTTGTCAAAATGCTCAACCACTCGAGGATCTTGGAAGACTAATTGAGCAATGGTAGTTTTTCCGAGGCCTCCAAGACCTACTATTGGAAGGATGGATAATTCTTGATTGTCCTTCACATCATTCACCAAGATATGCACGATCTTCTCCGTTTCAGCTTCCCTGCCGTAAACATTATCAGGATTGTTTAGAACAGCACCCGTCTCACGCTCAGCATGGACAGTATAGCTCGGCCTCGTAACCTCCATGTTGCGCAGATGAAATTTGTCACGCTCCGCTGCAACTTGATCCAACCTTTCAGCAAGTTGCTTCATCCTTCTTCCCATTCGGTCTCGAAACAGAATATTTTTCAAGCCAGGAAGAGGATTCCATTTCCATCCAGCCGTTTTTAATTTCTGTTTCGAAACTTGAGTAGCACATTCATCCAGTACATCATCAATCTCATAAGTGAGATCAGTGAGCTTGATTAGCCAGTCGCGTATTGCTTGGCTTTCCAGTTGCTGCTTTTCAGCATCTTCCAGCACTGCTTGGATGGCGGTGAAGTTGCTGGCGAGCTTCTTCATTTCATCATCCACCCCGACAATCAATCCAATCTCGCCTTTGATCAAGGAGCTTAGATTCTCTAACACAACACTGAGCAGTGCGTCGGCCATAGTGATTGAATCAAATCAGAAATCAGCCAAAACACAAAGGAATGCAGGTTGTAGGTGAGAAGAATGAAAGATGAATAGTGAATGAATGGATGAAGATGCAGAGGAGAGAACAGTGGTCGAAGAAAATTAAAAAGTTAAAGTTAAGGTTCCATTGGGTCATGGCATCGTATTCTTTTCCCTCTCATTGCCATGGTAATTGCATTTGTTCGCCTATCCTAAACTTGGAATAAAAGCAAGAACCCATAAACGAGGGTGTCTGATCAAAATAATTCTATCCCCCTTCACAAGTTGTAGTGTGGATCCTGTCGAATTTACGTATGATTTTTTTTAAAAGAAAAATAATAGTAATGGGAGGGATTTGTAGTGAAAAATGAACAAAAATAATAATAATAGCTGTGTATGATTACTTTTCCGCAAAAATGATAAAAAGTACGCAATTAAATGACTCAAGTTGAAGCTTGAATGCGCATTTTACATTAAAAACTTTTAGCAAATGCACTATGTAGACACACCCATCACTACAAAAAATTTACTTCTCCATCAGGCGAAATTTGTTTGCTATAATTTCTATTTTGAGATATCCCAAAAAGATTCGCGAGTACCTCGCCTGCTTGATCCTTGAAGAAATCCAAGTTTCTTCAATGAAGGGAACTTGATGATCAAATCCCTGCTAGATTCCTCAAATTTAATGTTTCAAGGTGAAGCTGCTTGTCCAGCTGAAATAGAAGTAACATTCCTTTGGACAATTATGTAAGCATTTGCTAATTAAACCACAAGTGTTCTATTGAACTCAAAACAAAGTACTAAAATACACTTTGATTAGTAAAAAAAGTTTTTGAAGAGTTTAATATACAGAGCAAGAAGGACAAAAAGTACAATACAGAAGCAACAGTATTTTTTGAACCTCAATCTCTCACAATAGCTGCACACCAATCTTTAATAATGCTGCGGAATTTAAGCAAACACTTATTTTAATTTCGGCATGAAATGAGTAAATAGGCAATCATGTTGTTCAGTAAGGGACAATGGATTCTATGAGCTCTTGGAGCGGGGCGAGTTCTTTCCTGTCAATCAGATTGAATTCCTGCAGAACAATGCCGTAGAAAATATATTGAAAGATTAGTCAAATAATTCATATGTTCGAAGACGGGATTGTAGAATACCCTAATGCCAAAATTCAAGAAATTAAAATGACTTACACATGTAAATAGAATAAAATGCTTGAAGCAGGTATTTAGATGAGCTTCCTCCTTAAGGCTGACAATTTTTTGAAAATGGGAGTGATAAATATGTGCATACACGCGGAACAGCCGTTTAAATATTGTCTTCACAACTTCCCTGAAGTTAGGAGGAAACGGGGCACCTACAAATTTGCATGTTTTCATCAGAATTTTACATCAAACAACAGAAAGTAAACAACCAGAATTAGAGGCCATTATTACCGAGCTTTTGAGGAAATATCGACTCGTCATCCAACTGTGCTTCAATCCACTCCATTAAATATTCGACATATTTAGGAGCTGACACTTCAATTGGTTTTTTTATTTGTACGCCGTCTGCCCATCTATATTCATACCTGCAGAAAACTTGTGTTCAGGTGAGAACAGTTTGAACACTTATAATTAACACATAACATAATTGCTAGCAAGAATATGATCCATGGCATACTTAGGTCCAGCAGACATTGTCGGGCAGTTGTCTGCAGTACAAAACTCGGTGAGGGTGCCATAGAGAAGATTCACCTGGTTGAAGAAATCAACAGCTGAAAAATAAAAATCACAGAGTTTACAATTTTGATTCCAAGATGGATCGGAGAAGGGAATCCTCTCAAAGTCTTTTTCTTGATATTTACGATGCGCAGACAACACAGAGAGATTTAGAGAGAGAGAGAGAGTACTATTGACAGCAAGCCATTCATTAATATCTTCCCCGGGAGGTAGCCTTACAGCTTCTCTCAAATTTCCACTACCTAGAGTGGCATCGATATGTTTTCTTAGTTGTGCTCCCTGCAGCAAACATGCATTAAAGATTTTAAGATTCACATTACAGTTGTCACAAAACAATCTGATAGCTAATATGGAAAACAAAAATAAAAAGTAACAACTCTGATCCCTAATCCATATATAAATGAATCACGGCAGATAAGGCAATGAACCAACTTTACTAACTCGTCTACAAGACTGATTAGTATAACTTAACAGAACAAAGAAAATTTGTGAAAAATAAGATCGAGAACTAACAGAGAACCATATATATATATTGATGCGGCAAAGATGGCTACCTTACTCCCTGATGGAGCACTTTTTTTGGGGCGGAAAGTTTTTTGATTCCTGTTCAAAATTTCAAATAAGATGCAAATTAGAATGAACACATAACTGGATGAAACTGAAGAAACCTAAAGTTACCATTCTGCTCCTTGGAAACTTCTTACAGTTAGGTACTAAGATAACAAAACAAATGAAGCCATGAAAGAACCAGTTCCAAGAAAACTGAATCACCACCTCATATAAAGGAACTTGAGACATCACAAACATTCATGTTTTGAATTACCAAAGATGCAGATATAATATACAAAAGGTCACTAATATCACCACTGACCGTTGAACACATCTAATTCAATTAACTTAAAGATAATCAATCACTTTATGCCCTTCCTCCATTAGCAGCATACAGTAACTGTAATCATCAATCAAAAGAGCAGCAGATACAAAAACAAAAACAAGATGCCCAATACGAAACCATAGATCTGATTAAAGCAACCACAGAGCAATTAACTGCAATAATTGAAAGATCCCGTTACGAAAATTACCTGCCGAGGCCGAAGAGACTCATGGGAGCGTCGAACGGTGTAAAGGCGGGGGACTATTTACAAGGAATATGGTATAAAGACTTGTGGGCTTAAATATTAATGTCGTAAGTGTCGACCAAGAAAAAGCTGTGCCTGTGGAGCACCACTGACTGTCGACTGTCGACTGGCACCCCGTCCAATGATAAATACAACACCGCCAGGTTGGGTTCTGAGATTGTGGAATAATCGGTGAATATTATATATATATATATATAAATTCCTTAATTCTCTTGCAATCGAGTTGACTCTGCCTGGCTGGCTCTTCAATTCTTCATCAATGATTCTGACATACTTGCCTTCTTCAGCGTAAACAAACAAGGTGATTCTTGAAACTCTCTGACCAGAGCACTAGATGAATCCTGGCCGTCCATTCTTGCAAGAATGAAGGGTGTGGATCATCCCAAAAATTCGAAATAAATTTGGGCCAACCCATACAGTACCACAAAAGCCCACAAATTTGTGCACTGTATTTTGTTTCGAACAGTCCCTTCATCCCTTCTGATTCACCAAAGCCTGAACAAAAATCTGAACTTTGTTAAATATGATAATGCCCTTCTTGGCGGGACAACTCTCCCATTCGATCCATAGTTTCTTATCGCAAAGTCGAGTCTTGTTGATGTTTTGGAATGGAATCTGACGAAAACTTAAGGACAAAGGTTGCATACTGTGGTCATCATTCAATCACGTGAGGAGGTGTAACATCATTGGACCACCCACCACTGTACAGCACTCACAAGCATTAGAACATTTACACCCTACCCCCACCCCCCACCCCCAAACACACACACTTTTAAGCTCTCCATCAAACCCCACCCACACAATCAATCAATCCCCAGACCCACCTCATACCATGTTGCCTCCCACCGCCCCTCCTGCCCCCTCGACTCTCAGCACACAATAAACCCACCATTTATTCATTCTCGAAGCTCAAGCAAAACCCTCCCAACAAGAACCCCCACAAAAACAAAACAAAAAAAATGCCCCGTAATCGTACTTTTAGGCGAGCAGCAATAGACTAAAGTTTGGGTTTTCAGTCTTTCAGATTGTCGCAGTGTTTTCATCAGTGTACTTGAAGAAAAAAGTTGGAATTTTTTTTTTTTTTTTCTCTATCTGTGTGTGTTTTTCTTTATCTAAATCGAATATTTTCTCTCTTGTCTAAGGTCGTTCCGTCTGTCTATCCTTCCATGTTTGGGTGAACCCTAGATCTGCTTCTTACTAGGTGAAGAAATGCTCTGACTTGCTCTGAAATTGTCTCCGTGTTTGGTGTAGTCGAATGTCTTTTTTCTTTCCTTATTTTTTTTTTCACCTTTGGGTTACGTGTTCTTGAATTTTTTATTTATTTTTTTCTGGCTGCAGCTTTTTTCAACAAGCACTTCATCTATATGCGTAACATGGGCTGTTCCGCCGATGTTTGTTCTTGTTTTCTTTTTCTTTACTACTCCTTTATTACTTACGTTTCCCCAAAATTAATAAAATAAAAATCGCATCTTGAAACCCTTGAATATTTGCCCTCTTTGCATGTGTGCATATCTTTGTTCCTATTTTGTTATTTGCTCACTGAAATTCATGTTGGCTATGGCTGCAGGTTCCGTGGGAAGTGAAGAAGGTAGAGTACGTAATAGCTGCAAAGAATTCAGGTCTGTATTTGTAGAACAAAAGTTAGTGAGCTGTGAGAAGGGAAGATGAGTGGAACTGCATCAACATCAGTGACTGTAGGGGTGGGGATGGGGGCGGGGAGTGGGGTGGAGGTGGGGTATGGGATGTATAAGCCCCCCTTCACTGCAGTGCAATGGCAGGAGCTTGAGCATCAAGCCATGATATACAAGTACCTCGTCGCCGGCGTGCCGGTGCCGCCGGACCTGGTGGTGCCTATTCGCCGCAGCTTTGAGGCCATATCTTCCCGATACTTCCATCATCCTTCATGTAATCATGTCATGTGATGCATTTGATCATCTTAATTGTTGCATAAGTATGAGCTTTAATGCCCCAAATTTGGTGTTCTTGATTGACAAGGATTCGCAGTGAATTACTCTCTCCGTCTGAGATTTTATGAATGCACAATTGATTTTGATCGTAAAGTAGAGTATTTTAGAAACACTAATATGAATTACTCCTTCTGTTCGCGAAATATATGCGGATTTGAGCTGAGTTTAATAATATAGTATTATATTAGTGGATGGTGACATAAAGTAGGGTATTTTATAAAGTATACAAAAGTTTTGACAAATTTAATGTGTAAATGGTTGTGGTATATTTGTACATAAATGCAATATTAAGTAGAAATGGCATATTTCTTGTGGATTAGTTTGTTTGAAAATTGATTTTTTTGCATTGTAGTTCCGGCTTTCGAAAGTTATAGATGTTTAGAAGCCTTTAAAATGTGATTGATCATTATTGTCGACAATCAAGAATGATGTTTAATGATTGTATGTATTAAATTTGGTTGTTGATGCAGTGGGATATTGTTCATACTACGGGAAGAAATTTGATCCTGAGCCGGGGAGATGTCGTAGGACTGATGGGAAGAAGTGGAGGTGCTCCAAAGATGCGCATCCCGACTCCAAATATTGCGAGCGGCACATGCACCGCGGTCGCAACCGTTCAAGAAAGCCTGTGGAATCCCAACCTACTTCGCAGCCTTTGCCGGCTGCGAAGTCGCAGATGTCTACTGGATGTGCGAGTAATGTTGGAAACTTCCAAGGTGGTGGTTCTGGAAGCTTCCAGAACATGCCATTGTATATGAATGTTGGCTCGGAAGGATCGTCGTTTGGGAGCAATGCGACGAAGCTGCAAGTGGAGCCCATCTCTTATGGGATTGACAACAAGGAATTCAGGTGCTCCTTTTTTAAAGATTAGTCAATTTTTCAATGGTTTAGAAGTCGTGAGAATATGTTTATTGTTACTAGACAAGATAATTTATTGCTAGACGCTATTCCTTTGACTTACGCTAGGACTAAGTGTCGTAATCTAGATGGAATGTTTGTCGTATATACCAGTAAGCGTTATAGAAAAAGCATAGCTTGTAAGGAAAATGAACATATCCTTACGATGTTAGGTAATAGAGAATGATCAAAATGTTCGACACGTGTTCCCTTTTTATAACTTTTTATGAAATATTTTCAAATCTAGTAGAACATGAAAAGCAACAATGCATCTAAATGCACTTGGGGAATTATGAACATGTGGCGACAATACGATTTCTTCAGAATGTCCTGAAAATAGGAAAAATATTTGAGTGCATGTATATGAACTGACTATATTTGTCACTAATGTGATCTTTATATTTTTGTATGCATATATCCTTAGAGGTGCTTCGTAGTATCGAACAAATACTGCTATAATATGATGAATAGCTTCTACTTTCTGTTTCTTACATGTAGACATACAAATCAACCCCTCACAAAATCAAAGTTGTCTTATAGCAATGTGTTTCACAATTTTCATTTTAGTAGATGACTTAATGACGTAATCTGATGTGAACAAGTAGACTTTAGTCTAGCCCATGATCTTACGACCCTACACGCATGTAATAATTTGTGGGGACTTCTCTTTGTCTATGCATCTAGTCATCGGTCGTTAGCCTCGCTTCAAAGCATGTAATAATTTGTGGAACTTCCTTTTGTTTATGCATCTAGTCATCGATTTTTCAATATTGTCCGTAAAGCAAATTACAGCTATCTTACAGCAGGTTCTTTCTCGATCTTGATATCATAATCAACTCGATTCTGCAGGTACGTCCACGGACAAACTCCGGACAACAGCGAACACCGTTTCTCTCCGGAAGCTTCCGGAAGTGCCGGGAATCTCGGTTTAGGCTCCAGCTCCGGTACCTGGCGACTCATCCCATCTCAAGTCAATTCAACCTCGATGCTAAAACACAAAGCCGAACCCCACATGATGGGCCCCACCGCAAGCACGACCTGCACATTCGATGCTATCGGCAGTGCCGTGTCGAAACAGCAGATGCATCAGCACTGCTTTTTGGGGAGCAATCCCGGCGGTCCATCAGATCCCATAAAGCAAGAACAGCAGCATCCCATCCACCCTTTCTTCAGCGAATGGCCCACCACTAGAGAGTCATGGTCCGCTCTCGACGACGACAACAACCGATCCAACGCCAACGTGTTCTCCTCTACTCAGCTCTCCATCTCAATCCCGAGGGCGTCGTCGAATTTTTCCTCCGGAAGTGCTTTTTCGCCAAACGGTAAGCCGAGATGATTTTTTGTCCATCTTACGCATGATTGATATGAAATACTTACTGGTAGATGATAATGCAGATGCATGAAGTGAGAGATATGAGCGATTGCCGGAAACCCGATCGGGTGTATCGACGCTTAGTTTTATGTCATCGATGCTGCGGTTAGGCGAATGAACTCTTTGTGTTGTAAAGAGCCATGGACTGTTTTCGATCGATGTAAAATCGATCCAAGTGTTGAATAAAAATTGAGTACTGTGAGACCAAATCAAGATCGGAGACACTATTAGTGTAATAGTGATGCGTTGATAACTTAGTTTCAATTTTGGAGCAAATTTCTGTCGTTTGTTTCTTTTTTCTGGGTTTGTGCTTGTCGTAGTCTCTGTTGTTCATGATAATTGAATCATAATTTGTGTCGTGATGATAATTGAATGTGAAATGATTATTGTGTATAAATTTGTGGATAATAATTATTAGTTTTTAATAAATATTATGAAAAGAAACACATACTCAATAAAAATAAAAAATAAAAAAATAGTACTGATATTTTTCGCAAGACCATTCAAACGAACTACCAGACGAAAATGTAAAGGGCTTGATCATCGGAACCGTACATTGTGAATTTGATCCAACGGTTGACATTTTTCATTAGTGCGCTCTGCATCTCTGTACCAAACGATAAAAAGTTTGTGTGTGTTTGTGAGGAGATGGCCATCAAGGGCAGCAGAGCCTCCGGGAACATACGTGGAAAGGTCCACCAAGTAGGTCCCGGCGAATGGGCATTATAGTAGTTCCCCACCATCAATCATTTCTGCCGCAGCACAGAGAATTCGTCATTGCTGATTAAATCTAGGAAGCGAAAATCGAGTTCATCAATGGCGGAGGCTGCTGTAGAGGTCCTGAAACTGACGATCGATCTCATCCTTTACTCACCAGGATTCGACTTCGAAGGAATCCGCCCCGAAGTGTCGAAGATCAAGCTGGAACTGGAGAGCATGCAGTCGTTCCTGCGAGATGCTGAGAGGTACAAGGACGGGCACGACGGCCTCTCCTGTTGGGCGACGCAAGTGAGGGATGCAGCGTTGAAGGCTGAAGATGTTCTGGACGAATTTCTCTACCACCTGTACAGCGTCAAGCACGGCGGATTCCTAGGGTTCCTCCGCAGAGCCGTCGTCTTCCCCAAGGAGATGTGGAACCGTTGCCGGACGGTGAATCGGTTGAAGGAATTCAAACGTGAAATTAAGGACATCGCGAAGAGAAGCAAGAGGTACGATCTCAGTAACAGAGAAAAAATCCCTAACCACCATCACTCCCTCAATTATGCCCAAAACATTGGGGAAACCTCCTTCTTCGTGGAGAACACCGCCATCATTGGAATCGACGAAGAAAGCCATCAGCTTTTGGAATGGTTGATCGACGGGGAGAAGCAGCGCACTGTCACATCCATTGTCGGTATGGGCGGTTCCGGCAAAACAACCCTAGCTGCTCACGCCTACAACTCCCTCGCCGTGAAGAAATCCTTCGATTGCTTCGTGTGGGTGTCGGTTTCCCAGAAGTACATGATCGAGGAGCTTCTCAAGGAGATAATCAAAGCCTTATCAAGTTCGAAATCGGCTTCCCCTGATTTCGCGACGAACTACAAACAGCTGGTGGAGACCATCGTCAACCTGTTTGAAGGTAAGAGATACCTAATTGTTCTCGACGATGTATGGAGCAGTATTCTGTGGAAGCAGGTGAACGCTGCTCTTCCAGATCACAACAATGGAAGCAGAGTAATAATCACAACTCGTATGGAGGACATAGCATCTTACCCTTACGGTGCAGGCAGCCATGTCCTCCATTGCAAGCCATTGTTAAAGGAAGAAGCATGGAAACTCTTCTGCAACAAGGCCTTCTGCGGTGAGCCTTGTCCTCTGGAGCTTCAGGACATAGCCTCGAAATTGCTCGACAAATGCGATGGTCTGCCTCTTGCAATCCTTGCATTAGGTGGCCTAATGGCTCCCAAGGATCGAACCGAGCTAAAATGGAGGGAGGTATACAACAGCCTAAACTGGCATATAACTGAGAATCCATTGCTGGATGAAGTGAAAACAATCTTGTTCCTTAGCATCAAGGAGTTACCGTATTTTCTGAAGAACTGCTTTATGTATTGTTGCTGTTTTCCGATCGAGCAATGGGTTGGCGCAGGCCGGCTGATCAGAATGTGGATGGCCGAAGGGTTTCTGGAAGAAAGGAAAGGGCTGTCCCTCGAAGATGTAGGGAAGATCTACTTGAGAGAATTGATCCATCGGAACATTCTTCAAGTTGAGAAGCACAACAGTCTGATGAGGCCTAAGCTCTGCAAACTGCACGATCTGATGTGGGAGATCGCACATTTCATCTCCGAGAGGGAGAACTTCTTGTCAATCTGTATTCCGCAAGATCTGGAAGTTGAGATCAAAGCGCGACGAATATCCCTTCATGTTTCTGATTGGTCATCGTATCGTCCAGGGCAGGACATGCGGTATCTTCGCACTTTCTGTGCCTTCAATGTTAAAGATCGGGAGGGCTTCCCACTAGACGGTGTTTTGTCAAATTTTAGACTGTTACGAGTACTGGAACTGATCGGCGCGCCAATTGATAGCTTGCCGAAAACTTTGGGTAAGCTATTCAATCTTCGATACTTGGGGCTGAAGCACACTAAGATCAGCGAGCTCCCGGTGTCTATTAGCAGGCTTCGGAATCTTCAGACACTCGACATCAGAAGAACACTGATAAAGGAGCTCCCCAAAGAAATCGGAAAGCTGCGCAAGCTGAGGCATCTACTCGTTTACACAGGATCCGACGAAGAAGTATTCTACTACGTAAGTGGAATGAAGGGTCCGAACACTATCGTAGAGTTAAAGGACTTACAGGTTGTGAATTGCCTCGAAGCAAATTCCGACCTTGTGCAAAGGATCGGGGAGCTGACACAGCTCCGGCGACTTGAGCTGACAAATCTTAAAGAAGATGATGGAACCGCACTGTGCGCGTCCATTGAGAAAATGAAGGATCTCCATCACCTCCTCCTCGTAGCGAAAGATGAAAACGAGTACCTCCAAATCGGAGGACTATCGTCGACTCCTTTGGTTCTCAGGAAACTCACTCTAGCAGGGCGATTACGCGACATCCCCCATTGGCTTAGTTCGCTTCGCAATGTGATGTATTTGCACTTGCACTGGAGCCAGCTGACGATGGATCCGATTCCATGCTTAAGCAAGTTGCCCGTCCTGGAACGCCTTACATTGATCAATGCCTGCAGCGACGAAATTAAAGAACTATGCTTCGAGACAGGGTTCCTGAGATTGGAGGACTTGTATATCAGCCGTTTTCCGGAATTGGTTGAGATTGTGATCCACGAGGGAACGATGCCAAAGCTTATGCGGATGACTTTGAATAAGTGCAAACGGCTGAGGCGTGTTCCTCCGGGAATCGAATATCTTAGAAATCTGGAGAAGCTCCAGCTGAATCATATGTCGGAGGAACTCATTGCTATTATATATTCAAACAATAGAGTTGAGCTTTCGAAGCTGAGGCTGATTCCCAGCAAAGTCTACGAGAGAACTTCTTCAGTTCTTTATGGAGAGCATAATTGATTATCTGTTGGTAATTTATTCTCCATTTGCTCTTCAACAATTTACTGGTTTTTTTGGATCTGTTGCATTATGTAATTATTTGTATTAAGAAGTATTGCATGCAGAATAATACTATACACTGTATTTATATTTTATGAGGAATATAATTATTGAAAATAATTATTTTATAATATGAATAATTAATAAATTAAATTTAAAATAACTAATTAGTTTAATTAAAATTAAAAAAAATAAATTAAAATATTTAAAATGAAATTAAGGTACGTAATCAGATTGAATAGTTGAATAGAATGCAAGTCCCACATAAACTGTGGGATATGAGACGACAATGAGTACTTTTCTAAAACATTTTTTTTATATTTAAAAAATTTGGCGCGTCTATATATACCTAAATTTCAGGCTCTATTTGAAATCAAATAGGAAGGGGGAAGCTCTGAGATCGAGAGATGAGGAGGCGAGCGACGAGGAAATTAGCAGCAGAGGCAGCGTTTCTAGCATCACGTCGGCCTGAGACGCCAGCTGAAGCGGCGGCGGCGGCGGCGGCGGCGGCAGAAAGTCCGACGCTATCGCCGGCTGAATCTCCTGCATCACAATTCGCTTTAAATTTCAGCGGATTGCGCGATATTGCGGAAGCCTTGAAGAGAAGCAACAAAAATAGCAGTGCAGGTACATCGGGAATTAAGCGGATGCAACCAACTGGATTGTCTCCATCTCTGAAGAGTGTAAACACGATCTCAGATCTGAAGGAAATGGTCTCAACTAATGTGGACTCGCTCAAGCGCCGACTGGAAAGATCGCATTCCGAGATTTTGAAGGATATTGAGGCATCGCACTGTCGCCTTCAGAAACGCTTCAAGGTTGTTGTATGACTTGTCTTGCTGTTGATATAACTGGTAGATATCTGTAATATTGATTCTGTATATAGCAATTCCTTTGTTCTTCGAGTCGTTCTTAGTTGTCTATTTCTAATATTTGGTTGTGATTAATATATGACTATCATTAACTCATTTTTGTAAATCATTTATGATTTTCGAATCCTATTTTTGGATTTACTGTTTAGTTTTAAATGTAGTCCAAGTACCACGTATAAACACCAAACGTTTGCTGCATTTAATTTATTGTTTTCTATGCCTGTGAGTGGACGTCACATGAACAATCTGTATGGCAAAAAGTTTGATGTATCATAAGAAACCATAATCTGCTTTACAGATCAGGACACTCATAGGACCTATTCACTTATTTGCAATGTATGGGAATCACTTTGAGTTGATTTCATTCTTTATTGCAAAAGCATATAACTAAAGTTCACCACAAGCATGCTTTCTGGATGTTGGTTGATCTGGACTTAGATTCGCTATGGTGTTGAACTGTGAAGGAACCATAGAAATCATTTTATTTTATCTTTCTATTTAACCTAAACCTAGAATTCTATATTTTTCTAAATTCATTACAGGACACTACCTGCCAATACCAGATTTCAAACATGATGTTCTGTAATAGGAGGAATTGACTATTTTCCATCTCTGAAACAGATTCAAACTCAAGCTTGTCAACAAGTAATGGATGAAGCCGAGAAAGAGTACAAGAACATGTCTGAACAAATTAATGAAGGACGAAAAGCAATGAAGGTAAGTTGATTAATTAGGTTGCTAGAATCGTGACTTCCAACCATTAACAACTGCAGTTTACATCATATATCCTCTTCTATCTTTCCATCCATCTAATATTGTAATTTTTTCCAGGCTTCATTTGCCGAGTTTATAGCAGATGCTCAGCACAATGCATCTCGTCGTAAGTCCTACTCCTTCATAAGAAAATATGCTGACCATAATTTAACCATGTTATGTAAGCATTGACACCTGAAGTCCAGCCATAACTTGCCCCCATTTCTTTTGTGCACCATTTATCTATCCCTAGCAATTTGTCATGTATGGAGTAAATCTTTATCCTGGTATACCATGACCTTACCAAGCACATTCTATTCTTGACATTGCCTGATAGAATTTCTCCATCCTTAAGCTAACTAATTCCATTCATCTTTCTTCCATTGTGACTGCGCGAGCATTTCAGTTGGCAAAGTAATCATTCCTGAGCTTGCAACAACTTCTGAAAAAGGTATCGAGTCACTTCGGAGTCGGTTTGGGATCTCATCGACTGCACCTTGATTTAATACTTGCTGGAAGCTCCTAAGGTAAATAATCTCTGAAGCCTTCTTTTCTATGGTTTTTGATACTTAATTAGACGGGAAAATTCTATATTGGCATGCAAACTGCTTTTATTTCAGAGTAACTTTGAGCTTGGTAGGGATCATGTGATTGGCAAAGAGCTTTCATGGTTAATTCATCAGTAATGTAGTTATTAAATGGACCGATATAAATGGATATAGATGTCCATGTTATGAGTTTCTGCTTAAACCTAGCCATATAACATTAAATTGTGTGCTAACTACATTATCTTAAACTAGTACAATTATCTTCATAGAATTGTAATCCATAGGTTGGGGAAGTTGTGTAGAGACCCCATTTAAGAGTCTTATTTAGTGTAGACAGAATCACAGTTTTCCCTATATCTTTCGTTGGAAAGAAAACCTTTCTAGATCATTTAGTATGGAACAAGTGATTGGAATATACGAAGCCTGCTAAGTTTAGGGATTCGGAATTCATAAATCAAAGAGTAGACATTTTTTAGGGTTAGTTTGGTAAATGTACCCTGATACGAACCAGATAGGCCATCTTTATGCCACCAATTCTAAGGACTCACTTCTGCCAAGTGCCAACCATTTCAGAATACATGGAAACCTTCTAAACCCTGTTAGGACAAATCATGGGAATCTACACCTATGTAAGAGCACATCCATTACCACTTCCACCTTCATTACCCTCCACCAAACAAAGAACCCAATTCCCAATCCTTTCACCAACACTCTCCAATACCCAATCCCATTTAATCCTCCCTAAACCAGTTTCAGCCACGCTGAATTCCCCCAAAGGATTTGGACCTACCCCAAAGAACACCAAAAAGTCCAAGAAACCCAGAAAGAACTATGACAGTGGAGAAGAAGATGAGGACGAGGGTGAGGAAGAAGATACCAGAGAAGAAGGTGTTATCCCAGAGATTGTGACTAACCGTATGATGAGCAGAATGGCAGTTTCTGTAGGAACCCCACTTTTCATAGGGCTTCTGTTCTTCCCTTTCTTTTATTATCTGAAAGTTGGTCTCAAAATTGATGTGCCCAGTTGGCTGCCCGTCATCGTATCGTTTATCTTCTTCGGGACAGCCCTTTTGGGAGTGAGTTATGGAATTGTGTCAGCCAGTTGGGATCCTTTAAGGGAAGGCTCGTTCTTGGGTTGGAATGAAGCTCAGAAGAATTGGCCTGTTTTCTGGCAGTCATTCTGGGGTGGGGGAGGATCCAAGAAGAAGTAGGATCTATCTATCTATCTTTCGACAACCCTTGATTTTGCCTCTAGTTTCTGTTATCATATTCTACTTCTTTGCTCTTCAATGGTTTCTGTATTCTACTGCTTATATTTGCCCATTTGAGCAGAACATGGATATTGAACTTCTAGTTGAGATAAGCAAAATCTTGTGGTTGACAGAGAAATTCAATAGTATAGAGTGTAATACATAAGAAAAATAACAAATTAGAACTCTAGTCTCTAATCCATCAAATTGATTGTGAATTGCATAGTGCAACACCAGATGTTGGGCTGTGTTTTTCATTTACCAGATTTGATGTTTGATTTGGCATGGATTGAAGTTGGATATAGTTTAATTTAATGGCTTTCGAATATAAATGGTATTTTTGTTCTTGCCTTTTTTATAGCTCCATGTTATTATGTTTAAAATATAGTATTGAAATTTTATATTTTGTTACAAGGGTAAACTGTTTTTTTTCTTTTATCATTTTAGTCCCGTAAGTGAAGCCTGTCGCAAACTAGTCCCATAAGTGAAAGTTTTTCGTTGTTTTAGTCCTTCGGCGCCGGAGATGTCCGCGTGGCTCGCCGGAGGTGACGTGTCCTCCAGGTGTCCCGCCAAGTCAGCGACATCCGACGGACACGTGGATTTACTTTTTTTTTTCTTTTTTTTTATTTTTTTAAATTTTTTTTTTAATTTGAGCAAATAAAAAAATACAAATAAAAATTAAAATCAATTAAAAATAATTTTTTTTTAAAAAAATCCACGTGTCCGCCCGGTCAGCGACACCTGGCGGATACGTCACCTCCGACGAGCCACGCGGGCGTCTCCGGCGCCGAAGGACTAAAACAACGAAAATTTTTCACTTATGGTGCTAGTTTGCGACATGCTCCACTTACGGAACTGAAATGATAAGAAGGTCCAGTTACGGAACTAAAAAAATAGTTTACTCTCGTTACAAAGATGCTAAAAATATCTATTATTGCACATAAGTTGATACCGAATGTGTCTCTAGAGAGTATTATCTTACACATAAGTCTAGCATTAGAAGAAAACGGTTAATTTGTTTGCTTTCTTCATTAGTGCTAATAGGTAGGTGATATATGGTGATGCTCGTCCACTTACAATGGTTAAGAAGAGGTAGGTGTACTTGTTTCTTTTTTTTTTTTAGTTTTGTGTTATTATTACTATATGATTTATGTTTTGAACTTCAAATTTTTATATAATATTTAAATTTTGAATCTAATACTTTAAATCTAAGTAGTGGATATTATTTGTTCATAAAAATAAATTTAAATATGATTACGTAGAAGATAACGATCAAATTATATAGTCCTTATTAATACACTCCTAATGCTTGAAAGAAAGTTGAGGTTAAATAAAAATGTTAACGGTCAGGCTTTGTTTAGATAATAATTTTAAATTTTTTACACATTAATTTTTTTTTTTTCAAAATATCATTTTTTATTTTTTTTACAAATATTACAATTAAGTATTTTTAAAATATTTTTGAAACCATTATTTTTTTTAATAAATTAAAGCTGCTTATAGTCATGACAGCATAAAGGCCCCATATTACCCCCGTTTCCTTTGTGTGTTTGTGTTTAGATTTTAAAAATTTTAAATATGTTATATTTTGAATATAAAAATAATTTTTAATATAATATAAAAAAATAAATGTCTAATTTATTTTATTTTTTTAGAAAAAAAATTAATAAATAATAAAATTTGAATGAAATCTTATAAAAGAACCACCAACTTGTTACAGAGTTACAGTGATTCTGCCAAATCTGCATAAGAAACAAATGAAGAAAGCAAGTCTCACTTTAGACATCGAACTGTGTGTTTTTTTTAGTTTGATTATGTTTTTTAACTTTGAATTCTTTAAATGATAGATTAAATATGATATATTAATTTTCTAAGAAGTAATTGTTGCATATTTGAAACATTGAAACCAAAAGTTAAAATAATAAAATGTGGAATTTTGAAAACATTGAGTAATAATAAATTGTGTAATGTTTTGTGAAAGGAAAATATTCTTTGAAATGGATATATAAATAGTATTAAAAGTAATTTTTAAATATGTGCAAGGGATTTGCTGAAACATGTTTGAAAGTTTTTTATACTAATATATCTAAACAATTGATGAGATATTTAGAATTAAAAAATATATATAAATATAATATTATTTCCGTCTCATAATAAGATTATTTTTTGTTTGTTATGTCATTGTATTTAACATTAAAGATATTTTTATATTTGTATAATTTTCTACAAATGTCATTGAATTTGTATTATAAGAAACTATTTGTATTTACCATTTGTTTTTGTATTTTTCTCTTTATTTGTACTATATATTAATATAATAATTAATATTTACTCTTCTTTTGGAGTGTCGTAAATATTTAATTTTAAAAATGGTATATAGTAAGTAAGATCATCTAAAACGCCCTTTCATATCTTGAAATGGAATTTAGTTGTTACTAATTATTCCAAGCAAACCTATCTTTGCTTAAAGAGAGGTTATTAGCAATCACCACTAGGCGTCTCCAACTATGGAGTAAAGCAACATATCAAAGAACAAAGCATCCAAAACAAAGATTAAAGCTACTAAAGATAATAAGCACCGCCAAGTTAACCAATTATGTGATTATATTTTTTGTAATTTTGGATTAATTTAAAATTTTAGAATGAAAAAGTAGTTTGACTATAACATTTTATGTGCTGTGTTGAAAGTTTTAAATATAATATTTTATGTTAAAAAAATAATAATAAATAAAGACATAAAGGAACAAGCTGTATCTAGTTGCAAGCAAGTTGGGAATTTGTGCTGAAAGTTCTACTGACAATGAAATGTGTAGTTGTAAGCTAATTCTAATTTAATACTCCATCCCTTCACCTCTATCTATCAATTTACTTTTTTTCACTTAAATTTTAGTATATTAGTATTATATTGATATTGGGTATAATTGATATACATAAAGACTAGTATACCCTTTAATATTTATGGTATTAAGTGGTGTTATTTGATGACATTTGTGTAATATTATATAAAGTGTGGGGTAATTTTATATTTTAGTGAAAGGTACATTTACTAAAAAAAGAAAATTGATACATTTGCAATAGACAGACTAAAATAGCAAAATAGATAGATTGATAGTGAACAGAAGGAGTATATATTTGAGTAAAACCATATTTTGAATGATTTAGAAAATATAATTCAATAAAATATCTTCTCTATGTTTATTTGATAGAGTAATAGTAATTATTTTTGTGCGGATAATAATGTAGTATTTTGGTGATAGTATTATGTTATGTTGAATGACTATTTTATCTTTATGAATTTTTATTATGAAATGATATTAAAAATAAATATAATTTGAAGGATATTTGTAATGTGTAGTGTGTAGATATTTAATTTTCTTTAAATATAGTTAAACTTGTGATGTGAGTGGGCAACAAAAGATAAAACAAAAAGATAACTTTAATGTCCGGTAAGGGACAGTCTGGTGATGATGTATGGGTTGAATTTGTCACATGTCACATATGGTTCGCCTAGTGTGATTTTTTCGAATAAACTTTATATAATACAAATAAATAAAAATTATATGTATTTATATATAGTTAATATAAAATGTTTCATTTGTTTCACATGTTAATATCATTATTTTTATTTTTTTTCTTACATCTTATGTTATTTTTTTAAAATTATACTCCCTCCATCCTGGTCAAGATGACCCTTTTGCTTAAGAATACGGTATTTTAGGTAGTGTAGATTAGTAAGTTATTAATAATAAATTATGATATTATCTTATTATTTTTATACAAGTAGTGTTGTTGGCATTTTAAATATTTTTAGCATTATATATCAATAAAATATATACAATATGAATATCATTTTGTAAAGAATAAAATTTTATATAATACAAAAAAAAAATTATTTATTTATAATTAACTTAAAACTAATTTTATTAAAAATAAGAAATTTTAAATATAGATAAAAATATTTATTTATTAAGGAGAGATATAGAAATAAAAGGTTTTTAAGTAGGTCTTATGTAAGAGGTTAGAAATTTAATTAAATTGATTTAAATTTGTTAAATATATTTAAAATAAATAAATTTATTAAAAATAAAAAGAGATCATCTCTAATGGGACGGACAAAAAAGAAAAATAGGTCATTTGTTGTTGCGGGAGGGAGGGAGATGGAGGAACTACATTTTAAAATTTATAATTTATAAATTTTTTATGAAATTAATTAGTTAATTTAGTTTTAGTTTATAATTACTTTTATTATATTATAATAAATTTTAATAATACAATTTTAATTATTTATTAATTATTCTCCTATCTTATATGTTTATATGTGAGATTATATCTACAGAGAGAGTAATTTATAAAAATAAATAAAAAATTTAAGTATATATATATATATATAATAAAAGATCTCAGGTGTATTGTAGTTAAAAATATATATTAAAATATTTTAAAAAATGTAAGTAAAGTGCTAACTTAGGAGACCTTGCAACTAAACAAATCATAATTATATGTGATTCCAAGACGAGTTACTTTTAATTTAAAATTTTTACTACTAGCACTTATGGGTAGGTCCGTACAAACCCTAACCTGGTTTGCTTTTTGCAATAGACTCTAGGACTAGGACTGTTAATTTGACGGGATGCCTCCTGTCACACACAGATGATGCCAATGTAATAATTCGTAAATCTAATAGTTATATGTCACGTCAAGAAATCTAACAGCTTTATACAAAATCACAAAATAATACTGTTTGTAATAATAATAACAATTCAAATTATTTAATTGTACATAACCCATTACTTCGTGATTTGATTGGTCACGTATTTCAGATCAGTTGCTTATTCGGCACACAATAATAAGCAAACGAAACAAAATACTTAAAAAACTTAAATTGATCAGAAGAATATCATTACGATTTGATCCACCACGTTGATTCTCGTCCAATAGCCAAACGCCACGTGTTCTCCCACTACGAACCAGACACGTGGGCCCGCTTTGTCACCACCACCATCCCCCGCCCAAATATCAACCCCAGACGGTGGATGCCTTCACATATCCACGATGCTCCTCGGCGTACAACACATAAAGCGCGACGTACAACCAACCATGCACCAATGTTCTGTTAGATAACGACGTGAGGTGACGGCGTCAAGCTGTTCTATAAATGGGCGCAGCAGAATCTCAGAAGTAGTGTTTCTTCACACTCCTTTGTCTCTATTCTTCGTTTCTGTTTTCATTCATGACGATAGAGAGAGTGCACGCGTTTTTCGATTTTTCATGTGGTTTGGATTCTTCTGCTTATGACGTGTAGGCGCGAAATCTGGAGAAAGGAGTCGTCGGAGGTTTTCATTTTGAAGAGAAATAGAAGTGCGTCGGCGACTCGCCGGAGCGTATTCTCTTGAGGTTTTTGTAGCTTCAATCTGCATGAAGAGAAGAGGAGTATGAATTGAGGATTTGGAGATCATTTCGGAATTATAATTATTCTCTCAAGTCCGGCGACGTATTTTGTTGAAGATTCATCCTCGAGGTAAAATTACAAAACAATTCGGTTGAGAAATATGAATCGCGTGCTTTTATCACTGATATGCGTTATTTGTGCCCTAACTATCGTCCATTTCCTTTAATGTAGATAAAATTAGGGTTTCAAGTTTCCGATTAAGTTCTTTAGCGCTTTCTCAATTTCTAGATACAGTGTTGAGATTGGAGAGAGAAGGAAGTGTAGGTAACGAAGGAGAGCATAGCCATAGCCATAGGCAAGTCAAAACTCGAAACAAGTTTTACGAATAGTACTGACTATTTGAAATTCATATGTCTGTTTCAACATTCGTGGTGAATGTCTCGCTTATTTGTTATGTGTTTGCGCATGTTTTTCTGCTATAAAATAAATAAGTAACCTGGCTTTGAAAATAATTCTTTTTTAAAAAACATGGAAAGGAATTATTGTGCTGTGAAAAGAAGAAAAGGAGGTGATATATAAATTAATGCTTTGGGTTTGTGGTGGCTGATGATATTAAAATTCCTGTCAGAAAATTCGGCAGGAAATCCCTGTATCTTTATTTTTATGTACACCAAAGAGGGGAGCATTGCAGGCCACTCTGAAGGATTTCTGCATTCAATTATTGACCATTCATATTATATATATTAAGATAAAAAGGATCGACCTACAGGCTACAGTTCTTCTTTCTTTACTTTTTGTTCTTTATATATGATTGGTTTCGGCTTTGCTTCCGTTTATAGGGATTGCTAGGAGGGAGAAATGTGTAATTTTTTGGCATTTGCTGATATTAAATACATTCAGGAATATTTTAGTGCTCGTCTTATCCAAATTCATTATGACTTATTCAGGTTATGTTTGTGTATAATATATATATATATATATATATATATATAAGAATGCCACCAATAGTGGTTTTCCTTATGTTTTTATGTTTGTCGTCAATTTGCCATTTTTGATTAGCTTTTTAATAATGAACTTTTGTTCCTCCTACCTTGAAACGCGGATTGCTAATTGAATTGCTTTTATAAATGTCGGAATATGTTTCATATTTTAGTTCAAATATCAAGAATTCAAATGTGTAACTCTGATAGATGTAATCCATGACACAATCATTATCCCACATATATACATAGATATTCAATTCTGATTTCCTTTGCAGATAACCCAAAAAAAGCCAGAAAGTGCCAGATAACAGAAGAAGGTAAAAATGTTGACGTGTATCACATGCTCAAAGCAAAAAATGGAAGATGACGAAGATGACGGAGAGGATGCCCCACGTAAAAAAGACCCTGTCAAAAGCCTCACTACACAGGTTCCATATATATATATATATATATATGATAATATATATGTACATATATGTGTGTGTACGTATATACATTTATGCCAACCTTTTTAATTTGCTAATAATGCATCTAATAGTCAGTCCTCTCCTCTATAAAGCATGTTGTATCACCTGGCACTGTGGCAGGCAGTAGAGTGGTGATTTATCTTTGCTCTTTTTCACTGTCAGGGTTTTCTTTTTATCCTTGCCAACAAAGTGTCCTATATTCACTCACAATCCTTTCTTTGCTTTTCCCATATCCAATGGGCTGGGATCCACACTCAGGCCTTTCTTTTATTTTGAATGAATATTAATCATAATTATGGTGTTTGACTGGTTGTCTTTGAGGTTGGTCTTGTGCTTTTCATGTCTTCTGTTTGGTAAGATGGAGGGGTGGGGAAATTGATAGGAAGGGATTAAAACATTTTAGGCAATTAGGGTTTTCAATTATTGGTTGGGAAATGAGATTTTATAGTTAGGTTTGTGTGTGTAGGAGGGTGAAACGACACCGTATCTGCTGCCTAAACATTACATTAGGGAGGGTTTTTGAGGGAAGATATTGTGGAGGGAGCAAAGACAAAGGACTTTAAATTGAAGGGAGACAAGGGCATGCCAGGCTTTGGATCATGTGTCGAAACCTTTGTCCCAACATGTTTGGTCCTGAGTCTGACTCCTTTAGTTTCCTATCTTCCTTTCACACTTTGCCATATGATGTGTCTGTCATTCATCATTTCAAGAAATTTATGTAAAAATAAAAAAGAATCATAACCATTTCTATATTGGGAAAGGGACAGTTCAGCAGGTGTAATGATAATGTCTTTCTTATATCTGAATATCTGATCAACGTTACAATTTTGTGCACTCTCTCAGTCAATTTAAACTCTCAGATGAGTTCATAATGTGATTCGATAATCTATTTTCAAATTTTTAAAATTGATTATGTCATTCGTTTTGTTTATATGCAGATGAAGGACATGGCATTGAAGGCCTCAGGAAGTAGCCATGGAAAGCCTCCAAGAACTCCAGGAAGCTACAAGAAGGGTCAAAAGTCGTACCCCCATTTTGAAACGCTGTCGGGAGTGATGCAGCCCGGAAGCTCAAGCTCTACGCCGGCCTGGGATTTTACAAATAGGAGCCACCACACTACTCGACCGAGCTCACAATTCGACAGGAGAGACAGCGGACTCGGCCCCGATGACGTGGTGCTGGATGAAGAAGATCACAAAGAATGGACAGCACAAGTAGAACCCGGTGTTCAAATTACCTTCGCATCCCTTCCCAGTGGAGGGAATGATCTTAAACGAATTCGTTTCAGGTATGTATACATATATATCCGTTACAATAGTCATATCTCTCGGATTCTTGAGCCTAGGCTATGTATTAATCTATAACTATGTCGAAAATCTAATATGCTGCTTAAGCCGGGAGATCTTCGACAAATGGCAAGCGCAGAGGTGGTGGGGCGAGAATTTCGATAGGATCATGGAGCTCTACAATGTCCAAAAATTCAACCAGCAAGTCGCCAACACTCCAGGCAGATCTGAGGACGGAGTATGTTTTCTTTCAACTAATTACATTACATTCTCTCTATTAGGGGCATATCCTTTCAAGAACTAAGAACATGTAAATTATTGGTCCGTATGCAGCGAGACTCGGCATACTCAAGACTCGAGTCTGCCCGAGAGAGCCCTCGGATGACTTCGGCATCAAACAGAGAATCAGTTTCCCAATATGGAGGCCAAAGGGGGGAAGCATCATATATGGAATCATCGAGGATGACAACCTCATCATCAGTTTCTATAAGCAATGCTAGTGAGATCGAGGCAGAGTGGATTGAAGAAGATGAACCAGGTGTGTATATTACCATCAGACAACTCGTCGATGGTACTAGAGAACTACGGCGTGTCAGGTTCAGGTAATGTAGTACGGAATCTATAACTTAAATTGGTTGGGAAACTCGTACTTAAGTGTTAAACTATGTGGCAATGATGCAGCCGGGAGAAGTTCGGGGAGGTGCACGCGAAGCACTGGTGGGAAACTAACAGAGACAGAATACAGAATCAATACCTTAGCTAACACAGTGGAGAGAACAAAATGTGTCCTCACACTACAGGATTGCGATTTCTCACGATTTTTTGTTTCATTAAGACACAAATTGTTTGACCAAGAACAAAATCCGACTAAGCAAAAGCTAAAGATGCAGCAAATGATATCTATATAAATATATACACACACACACACATATTTATGTATGTATCATCTCACACAGCATGCTGTAGAAGTTTGTAGCTATCCCAACAGATCGACAAGACAAAAACAACAAATGACGTTCAGACAGGTATGAAGCAGGCAAAAAGAACAGAGGAAACTTACTTGTGAACGTGAAACAGTATTTCTTTAACCACCAAATTTCCCGGTGTGAGTTCTCCCGGGAAAGTGTTGTCGGGATCGTTCATGGAACATACCCGATTGCCCACGCCAGCCTCCCGCCTTCATAGTTGGGGCAGGAACAGAAGGCTTCTTAACCATTGGCCTATCAGTGCCAACAGTCATGTTTGCCAGCTTATCAGCAGCATCGGATGCTCGGTAGACATTCTCCATATAACCATCTGTTTGATAGCCAAAACAATACGATTAGCTGCAGGATTCAATGCATCAACACCACCATGATTGTAACCAAGATAATTGAACCTGCGGAAAATCCAGCAGGAAACTTACTTGGTGGCCTCATTCCAGGTGGCCTATATCTTGGTTGCTGATGCATCATGTTTTTGTCACTATTAGTAGCAGCCTGTCCCAAATAGTTGAACGAGGAGCAACATTAGTAGGATATATGAGAAAATATTCGTTATCTTAACTAGTAGACTTTCCATATTGTTGCAAAAAACGCAACCCAAATTAGCTAGAGTACGTAAAGTAGCTTACTTGATTGTTCATATCCAGCTTTTGTGCACCTGCGTTGAATAAAAAAAAAGTAAAATTATATGATGCTTGTGATAGTCCCGAGCAGGCACAACAAGTAAATATATGTATGAATCACTATTCATTAATGGTAATCAAATCAAATATCTTCTTCATCTCTTAAAACATAAGGGTGTGTTTGTTTGGGGATTTGAATTTTGAATTGGAATAATTGTATGATGTAATATAATAGTAGAGCTGGCAAAAACTGACCTGATACGAAATAATTGGATTTTGGTCAAATATTTCAACCCGATTATATATACGGGTTGACACGAACCCAACACGATAGTAAACGGATCAGGTTAGGGTTGAGGCTCTCAACTCGAACCCGACACGACAACCCGATTATAATATATTAATAATAATTAATATATTTATTATATATGTAAAATAATCATAATTTAATAATTTTCTCATAAATTAATTTAAACTAAGTTCAATTTAATTTGAATCAAGAAATTCGACTTAATTATGTATACAAGTCAACACGAGTCAATCCGAACCGGACACGATAATAAACGAGTTAACACGAACCCGACACGATAATAAACAGGTCGGATTAGGGTTGAGTAATTTAACCCGTTGTATTCAACCCGACACGAATTGATCCATTGTCAGCTCTATATAACAGGTGTTGATGTAATATTTTAAATATAAAATTGATTTTAATATAATATAAAATATAGGTATTTGATTTGATAGAATAGTAGATTTTGAAGAAAATCTTGTAAACTAACATATCCTAAATACATAAATTTTTACTATTCTCAATATTTTCCAAAAACATTATATCTAAACGCTACTTTGAAATTTTGAATGCATAAGAGATAAATTACCAGCTGGGAACCTCCCACTGTTGTTTTGCTTGAAAACTCCGTGTGTTCCAGCTGCAAGAACTCAAAACAGTAAAATAATCAACAATTACTTAGCGAAGGCAAAACATAAAGAGCAGGTCGCAAAACTTACCAAGAGGAGGAGCTCTTGCAAGAGCAGGCCTATTGTGCAGTGATGAACCATAAAAGCAGCTCTGCACCATTTTCATAAAATATAATTAAAACAAAAAATTGTCATCTGATACATTCTTCATTACAGCTAACGTTGATTCACTATATTTCATCGAATGTTGTAACATAGTTAATAAAATTATTCACCTGGAAGAATGGATGTTGAAGCACCTCCGAGGCTGTTGGCCTCTTGCACGGATTCCATGAACAAAGGGACTAAATTAAGCACACAAAGAAAGCGCAGTTCATAAGATTCCGTTCGTTATTGAGTCAGAATGAGAAAATCAGATACGATTAAAAGCATTAGTTCTTATAATTGCTTACCTTGATAAGATTGATTGCATCCTTACTAACACCTGGCATCAGCCCAGACAGAGGGACTCCAGCAACCTACCATACCATCACATAGTAGATAAAATAAATCATAATATATGATAATAGATTAGGAAAGGTGTTATCCAAAACAAATAATCGAAATTAATATAGCACGCAAATAATGGAGTGATGGACTCACTTCTGGAAACACATAATTCATTGCACGCGCAAGTTTATGTCCTTCAGGCCATTCCCAGTTTTTTGGACTGCCTATTACACAGCATATCTTGTAAATTTCGTCAGGCTCGCTACACCCACAAAATAAAAATGCTACTTCAAAAACCTTTCAAAATGCTATACAAATAGAAGAATTGAAAGCAGTATCTTAAGAAACTGACTATTATGTGAACTCGATAGATTTTACACATTAATCAAGACCAGATATATTACTCGTCAACCTCAAAATTAAGAAGCAAAAATTAAACAAGGACCTAACTATGACGATTATACCTGTTACCCGGAAATAAAGGGCGCAGTGTGAACAACTCAGCCATTATTGCACCCATTGCCCACATATCTAAAAGAAAAGAACATATCAAAAAATTATCCTGAAAATAGTTTGTAAGTAACTTTATTATCTCCTCACCAACTGGAGGACCATATGCTTGTGATTGGAGTAGAACTTCAGGAGACCGATACCTGATAGTAAGATCATAATTCATGAATATGTAGTCACAAAATAACATAGGAAGCAAGTGAAGTGTGAAACATAATGTGGTAAAGAGAAAATCACCAACCAGCGGGTTGAGACATATTCAGTGAAAGGTGGTTGAGAGTGAATCTCGCGCGCAAGACCAAAATCAGCAATTTTAACGGTATCCTTGGATATCAACAAGTTCTCTGTTACAAGCATCAACAACAAAAGACACAAGCTGTGATTATATGCAGAAAAAGTAGCAGGCAAAAAATAAATAAGCACGCATTCATGGTTATAAATGAGAAGTAAAGCAGAATGATCTCCAATCAATTTGATCACAATCATACATTGTAGAGAAAGCAACATTAGAATCCAGTAATGTGTTTGTTACAACAGGTATATTCATGCACTTCTAAAGACAGTAGAATGGTAAGTTAGTTCCCATAAAAATTCCGCATATATTTAAAATCGAAAATTGCATAATTCAATTTCAAGGTAAATCCAGTTTCTAAGGCATTAGGCGAAACATCCAATCTATAAGGGGTAAATTTGGAAAGAACAAAAAGAAGTTTTTTTCCATACTACAAATACTCATGGTGTGAAATAAGATGCACAGTAATCATATATAAAGTTGGCATTCAATTTTAAAATAACCTGGCTTGAGGTCACGATGAAAGTATCCACGTTGATGGATGTGTGCAAGACCTTTAAACACTTGGAAGCACCAATTTCTAACTTCATCTTCCGAAAAGTAAGTTCTCCTGTCTTCCATAAGCTGGTATAGATCACATTCCTAGAGCAATCATAGCACATCATTAATAAATAAGAAATGTCATGAAACTATTAGAAAGAAAATTAGCATTATGGGAAGCAATGAATACCATGTACTCAAACACAAAATATAATTCATCATTTTCTCGAATAACTTCTTTCAGCTTGATTACATTTGAATGATTCATTTTTTTGAGTGACTGCAAAAAAGAAGTCCGTTATTTGTCTCTGAAAAAGGTCAGCTAATAGAATCAATATGGAAAGGAAAAGAAAGTACTTATTACCTTCACTTCTCTAAGGCTTATACATTCTTCCCATGAATAAAATTTTTCCTTCATTTTTTTTATTGCAACCTGTAAATAATAATTCATTAGACTAGATAAATTTTATTATATCAAATCTCCAAGAACCAGATTGTTTGAAATGAATTTCATTCAAATCAAGGTAGGTATTCAAGTGATCATATACATACCACTTCACCAGATTGCTTGCTTAGTGCACGCCAAACATTTCCAAAAGTGCCATTACCAACTTCCTTAATGACCGTGTACCTGCAGTTTGCCATTATAATAGCCGAATAAACAGAGAGGAAACTAATCGTGGTTGTAAATTCACTAAGTTGCAAGCTATCACCTTTCCATTCTTGTACTTCAACAGCTGCGTCAACAACACTTATTGCAAAACAGAAAAGAAAGGAAGAAAGAAACTCAAATTGCTATACTTGTCTAAATTATGGCATTCAATAGCTAGTAATAGATATGGCTGATTTGACCAAATCCATCTTTAATTCTTCCAGTGCACTGTCCTTCAAAGCAAGCAAACCACTGAGATCGTGATGGATGGCAGTCACAGCCTTATTCTAAGGTACACTACGACAGTTAATCAAAGAAACATCACACGATGAGAAGGTAGCAAGCAAGTGGAACTGCAGAGTGCAGAGTATCTTGATACTGATCAAGAGAAAGACGTTGTCAGAGCCAAGACAATGTCATCCAAAAGCTCCAGACATTATTATGCAATCAAATATGTGTAATCTGATGCAACCCTTAGGAAATCTCATCACTCTGAATAGAGATTTGTAGTGAGAAAATATGATGGATGTTACAAAAGTCTGAAGTCTGAACAAACGGTGCTAGTATGTTCAATACTTCCAAAACCCAGAGATGTGGTAAAACTTCTCTGAATTGACGCAGGCTTCAGTCCTGGTAACAAATTTAGATGACACTCTGATCATTAATGAAATAATAACAATAATATACTGAGCATAAATAATATTAAGTACCTCACAATTTCCTCTTCAGAGTATCTCAAAACAGATGTGTCATCAACCATACACTATAAACAATAAAAATTGCAAAGAAGAGTAAAATTTTATATCCCAAACTAGACAGCATACAGAAAATGACATTATGTGCAACTTAGATGTAAGGTCCACCACAGGCTTAACATTTATGCAAGTAAAAATATGAATTCAACCTCCTGAAGTGATCACTTACCAAAAACCTCCCACTAGGTGCAATTGATAAAGGAAACAAGAAAATCTTCTGAACTGAAAAATCGCCAGTCGAGAACTTCTTGGAATGATAAAATCTGAGGTTCGTAACAATTTGACCAGAAAGAAACCTGCTCCATGATCTAAATAGTGCTATTTTTTTCAAATCAGATGCTAAAGCAACCTGATAATATAGAGAGAAAGAAAAACCAAAACAAGAGTGTCAGACAACATTAAACAGGTAAAAAAACAAAACAAAAACAATAACAATCTAGCTTCAAACAGAAAACCATCAGATCATGATAGACATGATTATCAAATGTAAAATATGCAACAAAATACAAATAAATAGATCATAATAGGAACTCTATCTTCCAGCCTCTTTCACGTGATATATTTTATTTAACATTCTTCCACACACACAAAAACAAAAAAATCGCATCATCTGCATCAAGCAAAAACTCACTACCAATATGCAGTATATTGTCATTTGTAATAAATTTTGAAAGAAAAATTCCTCAGCAATCGCATCCCTTAAAGAACAAAAAAACAGGATAATTCATTCTGATCCAACAAAATCTACATAACGGAAGAATGACAATGGCAAAGATGTAGATCTCATACTATAATTCAAACGCAGAAACATATAAGGAACTGCATAATGATAATGGCCTCAGATGCGATATGCTCAAAACAACATAATAATAAGATGTACAACACCGTACAAAGACAACAAAACAGATTCATTAGCAACAGAACACCAAAATCCAGCCACACCTAAACAATTGTGTATTTGTATATGCCTGCAAAAAAATTTATTCCTATATAACTCCAAAAAGTTCATCTAAAAACAAATACAAAAAAGTTCAACAAAAATTCGAAGGACAAACCCTAATCAAAATCCATATGCTTTTGATCCTTCCAAAAGTATATATATTCCATCACCAAAACTATAAACAAATAAAATACGAAATATCGCGCGTAACCATCATATCATGATCATGATGAAGCAAAGAAATCGATACTCAACACACGTCGATGAATGTTTTCCCCAAACTAAACAACAAAACACATCCCCGAACACAAATCCTAAATCAATACAAATCAACTGCTAAACTTTTCGCATAGGAAAAACTGATCAAAACAAACACACAACAACTAAACCAAACACATACCAATTATCATGTAATATACATATAATTTACATATTACACACAGATACATCAAATCAGATAAAAAAAAAAACAAAACAAAACAAAACAAAACAAAACAAAATTATAAACACGCAGGGAGAAACAAAAAGGAGAAACACGAGATAAGAAAAACAGAGGATTACCGGTAGAGTAAACGGCATAACCAACGCAGACGAAAGCCAGGGCAGAACTACCAGTCTTCGAAATTCTCCCAAACTCCCTTTGAATAATTCTATGATATTTTGGCCACAGGACATGGATTTATATATGCTAGATGATGGTGGCGTATGTGGACATAACCACATAAAAACACCTAGGGGTAGAATAGGAATTTCCCTTGCAGAAAATATGTTAAAAAAGTCGTCAACATATACGGGATATTTTTATCTAATTTTAATGAACTATTAACAAATCCTTGAATAAAACGACCAATAATAGGATTTTTCTAACTACCAATATTAATTAATGCGTATATTAAACAAATCGAAATTATATCCACTTAGAATCGAATAAAATAATATAGTAACGAAAATTCAATGCATAAAGGTGAATCTGGAAATAAATATATATATGTATAGTCAACAATTTTGAATAGATTATACCTGAATTAATATTACTTTTAACAATAATGATAATAATAAAATAGACTAAATTATAAAATAATTGGATATTAAAATTTTGAATAAAATTAATTATCTTGGAAATAATTATTAAGAGGGAATCCTATCTATAAAGAATAGAGATAGAGGTGTGAATCGTGTTGTTGCTATGGGATCTTAATCGAATATTTAAAAGAAATTCTAAATTGGTGCAGACTAAAGCATATACGTTGGATAATTAGGTACGTGCAACTGTAATATCAAAATGGTTATATGTAGTAATAATTATGCAAAATAATTTTGACTGTTATATTTGTATCTGTATTTTTTTTTTTTTTTTTAATTTTTACTATTTATCATTTTTTTTTTTGAAAAAAAAAAGAAAAAAAAATATTATAATATCCAGTGGCTTCTAAATAGATGTGTATATAAAGAAAACAAATATCTGTATTATTCCATCTTTCTTGTCATGTTCCCAGTCGAACCCCACCCAAATTGAAGTTCCATTTTTCTTGCATTGGATTCTTAGTATAATGGAGTATATGAAAAACGTTGTAAAAATGGCTCCCAGATGGATTGATTTTCTTTGTACTACGAAAATTGTATAAAAAATATAAAATATATTATTTTAAATTGAATATTTTTTATTTTTTAATAATTATTTGATTTAGATTTTACTTGTTTTTATTTTTGTAAAATATTTTATGTATTATTTATTATTATTGTTTGGAAAGAAAAATTGTGTTAGGAAAATGTGGCTAAACAAGTTGAACTTAGGGTGTGTTTGATTGGGGGTTTGGATTTTGAGTTGGGATTTGAATAGTGAAAATTTTGAATTTGAATAGTTGTACGATGTAATATAAATAAGTGTTGATGTGATATTTTGAATATAAAATTGATTTTTAGTATAATATAAAAAAATAAAAAAATAGGAATTTGATTTGATGTTTTCTGTAGAAAAAAATTGAATGAATAATACAAATCTTCACAAATCCCCTAAAAATATATATATATATATATATATATATAATGAAAGTCAAGAACAAATAAAGCAATGATTGAATCTAGTTGCCCATCCAGTTTGGATCAAACCAACGGTTTTGGTTTGATCCAAAAATCGCCATTAAACCAGAACCGAAATTCCATTAGTTTAGAGATTGTTTGGTTTTGTGTTAGTTTTAATTTGAAAATAATTTATTTAATTAATATTAGATCCAAAATGGTTTATTTGTATTTTTATTTAAAAAATACACCAAACAAGACTTCGAACTGATTTTCTTTATAAAAACAAAAAAAGAAATGAATTTTAAAAAAATGTTAAAGAAGATTGAAAAAAAGTAAACATAAATTGACCAGTTCTAACCATATGAACAAAGTCTAGATTGAAATCAACAAGCACTTATTGAATTTGAGTAAATTGCCAGACGTGTATATATATAAGTTTTGATAAAAACAGCTGTGACTTACAGCAGCACCCTTTGACTTAATACATTTTGACAGATTGAAAAAAAGGGTGCCAAGGGAAAACAAAGAACACCAAAAAACAATCCAACAAGGAACCATACATAAACATATATATTTCCAACCTTGCAAAGAATTAATAACAATACTGTAAAAAACTATGTTGATTAATTGATACCTTAATCTGACTCTGGTTATTGTCGAAGATTCATTAATCTCATCTGCTCTTCAAACTTGTGTAGAATAAATAATAATTCCTCTTTTCTCTGTTGATAGTATAATGAAAGCCTTTTCTCTTCAGCTATGGCTGCTGCTGCTGATCTGATCCGATCACCTCTACCTATAAACGGCGACGTGGACGACGACAAATTCTTCGGTTCGTATCATCGCGAGCTTTGCTTCGAGTACCACAGCTTCTTCTGGCAGATCAGCAGCTTCTCCGTTTCGACGCCGTACTCGGTGTCTTCTTTCCGACAGCTCCATTTCATTCCTGTCGCTATCGTAGCTACCGCGTCGACAAAGTGACTCGATTCCCGGATGATCGCATGCCCGTTAGGCCTGAGAATTCGATCCATTTCGAGCAGAACATACGTCATTTCACACCTATGGCTTTCGGCGGAGAACAGCCCGTCTAAATGGAGAAGATCGTACGTTCGAGGATATGTCGAAAATGCCTCGCACCTGTTCGACATCGATTGCAAGTACTCGTCAGCTAAAGAAATTCAAGATGTACGAATTTTACGAATGCTTATCGTTACGTACCAATCGTGATAGGTCCCGACGAGGCCTCTATCATACACGACGGCGAGCGTGTTCGGGGAGTAGGACGAGACGACGTTCATCACCCAGAGAGGGTAGTCGACGAGAGCTGCGGCGAAGCCTCCGTAGAGAGTGTTCATATCCATAACATTTCTCACTTTCTCCGATCCTATCGCCGGCAACAGCTTCTTGTAGTGCTTAACACGCGTCTTCCATTTTCCGTCGTCGTGCTTGAATGCGCCGTCGCTACCACCACGAACGTCAGCGACGCGCTCGGGAGCAGCGTGCAGCCGTTCGGGCCACTTCGGAAGGGCCTTCAACGCAATCTTTTTGTACTTCGAATCGGGAGAAACGACACACGCTCGGATAGGAGTGTACCACGCAGAATCAGGCTCGGTCCCGTCGTCACACCTCGGAGGATAAGTATCGGGAGCGTCGAGCTTCTTGTAGCAGGCATTGTCTGAGAGCTTCTGCCAAACGGCGATGTCGTCTTTCTTGTTGTACAGCTTGAAACACATCGACGTTAGAAGTTCTTGGAGCTTATCATAGTCCGATTTCTGCTCTTCGATCGTCGTGTTCCATCCCTTCCACCGGTGCTCGTAGTTCACCGGTGGACCAGAGAGAACCCAGAACCCGCCGGGTCGAAGAATACGGTGCACTTCTAATAGGTAAATCCCTCCTGTGAAGAAAAACGATGTTTTTTTTTTCACGACAAGAGATCGAAAAAACACGTCGAAAACTTCTTAAAAGAGCGTAGCTGTTACCGAATTCGGTCCAAGGAATAAGGCATCTTGAGCAATGAGCCATGTCGAAAGAGTTCGACGGAAACGGGAGTCGCTGCGTCGAGATGATCCCGAGAATCGCAGGAATTCCGCGCTCGAGCGCGAACTGAACTTGAGCCTCGTGATTGTCTCGCGGAGCGAGAGAAACCGTGAGTATTCCCCGGTCGATCAGATCGCCTCCCCAGCTCGCAACCTTAACAATCAAGTGACGAATAAGAAGTCTAAATCATTGTAAGAAAACTCGAATTCGTTACATCCTTGTATTCGAACTCACCCCGCATCCGGTGTCGATGGCAGTTCGAATAGTCCCGTCTTTCATTCCCGGGATCAAGTCCTGCATCAGATCGACGTAGTGACTAACGCCGTTCGGGAACATGGTGCCGCCTCCGGGGAATAAGAACTTCTCGCCTTCTTTCTTGAGCCAATGCTGGTTCGATTTCTGCTTGTTGATCCAATCGTACGGTACATTTCTAACAAGATCGTGTAAAATTTCTATTACAACATATTCATCTTGTTATAAAAAAATTAACCTTTTAAGTGAGATAATCATTTAAAGAATTCTTCTGTATACCTGTACCAGCATTCATCTTTGCTCTTCGGCCATCTGATAGGCAATTTATAGCCGTCGGGAGGAGGAACCAAACACTCCTTCCTTTCGAACACCGGAGGGCAATGGCGCTCCATAAACGAGAGCCGGTGAAGGCTGTACTTCCGCCACCTCTGCATTTGTTGAATTCTTACAACAACGAACAAAACAAAATCGTCGAACAATGTAAGGATATCAAAAGAGTACCCTCGGATCAGTGCAAGGAGTGTAATCCTGAAAATCAAGGCCACAGTCGGGAAAGTTCACAGCTTTGATCTGAAGCTTCCCCTGCCCTTTAGTCGATGTTTCCTTCGTAGTTTTGACAGCTTTGCTCGTCTCCGGGATTATGTATCGGTTCTTTTCGGAGCAGAAGATTCCCCCGAGGTAGAATGAAAATCCACACAGCACAAAGAACATGATCGCCATTGGAACAGTTCGAGAGCTTTTATCCGGCTGAGGAATCGGCTTCCCATCTTTATGCTTCATGATGGAAACTTTAAAGAATCGAATCAACTAAACACTGCAAACAGATAACACAAAATGAGTCTAAATTTGACAAATTCAGCAATGTTAATTCGACTAATTCGACGAAAATGAGCAGAACAGAGTTCATGAATCATGATCTCACCTGCAAAGAAGAAATACACAATTGAAGAAACTCATAAACTACACATATATATATATATGTGTGTGTGTGTATGTATGTATAACAGCAGCAGATCAAACAGTTTCAGTGATAAATATGAGCTAGAGAATTATATAGATCTGGTAATCAAGACAAAGCTGCAATGAACTGATCACTTCCAAGACATCAAGAAACTGTAAGATCTGATCTCTGATAACTACTGGACAAGGAAACTTTTCTATCCCACTATATATACACATTTATATATATAATGACCAAAGTTTCTAGTTTTCACATGATGGGGAGGGGGGGGGGGTCCCCATCCAGCACCACTGATTCAGGAAAAAGATGAGAGAAGAAGTTGGAAATCAATGCCATCAATCCCACCTAATTGAGGCCATGCAAAAGAAAACAAGAAGCCCTAAAAGATACAGCCACTATTTCAACAAACGAAGCTTTTTCCAACGCATAGAAATGCAGCCAAAATGTTTCCAAGAAAATTTTCAGATCTGCTACTTCAAAAATTAGGGCAGAAATCCCCAAACCCCAAAATCAAGATCTGACAAGACACAGCAGTCACTGAACAAGATTGAAGAAGAGATAGATTTGTTAAAAGATTAAGGAATGTAATGTAAAGTACCTTGTGAAGATATACACAGTTGGGGAATTGATTGCAAGTAATAACCAAATCAAAATTGAAGAACTCGACCAATGTATTGTTTGAAGAATAGAGAAAGAAAGATTTTAGGGGAATGGATTCCCCTTCAATGGTGTATGTATTTATATGTATAGTTGCAGAAGGGGGGATGGATAGGGAGGTGAGTAAAGAAGAAGATGTGATTTGGGCTCACCCACATACATATATAGCAATTGCAGGCAATGTCTGTGAATTATTTTGAGTTTTTTAACTGAAGGTTTTAAATCTGCTCTGGGAATCTGTTCTTTCATAATACCGTGTGGATTGCTAGCTGTATTCTTTCTGGTTTGGTTTTTTCTTTTCCTGTCTGTCATCTTCAGGGACACCTCTCTCTCTCTCTCTCTCTCTCTCTCTCCCCCTCTCTCTCTAGATAAATATATATAAATATATATTTGATTTTTTTTTTTTAATTAATTTGATCTGGGGTGAATCCTATGCTACCGTGTATTGGGTAAAAAGGGCATAAAGGTCAAAAGTGTTGACGGCTTCACCAGGTATGGTATGGATATGTTGTTTTTGTGATTATTTTGACTTTTTTTTTTTTTTTTTTTGTAGGGTTGTTTTGAATTTGTGATTAATTTGACTTTATTTTTGTAGGGGTTGATTGGTTAGTGGGTATAAATTTTTTGTTTTTTTTATTTTAGGGAGTATAATGTGTTTGTTTGCCCAACGAAAATTTTTCTTTAACACAATTTTTAATATATATAATATACTATATTATATTTTTTCATTAAAAAAATTAATATATTATATAAATATTATTTTTATATTATTAATATAATTTTTAATATTTTACATTAAAAGATATATATATCTTAAATTAAAATACTTATGCAAAATATATCTTAAAATTAAAATACTTATTGTGCAAAATATGGGTGTGTTTACCAAATATAGTACATTTAAGCTAAAAGAACAAGTTCGAGTTTACTGTTCGAATTTTATTTTATTTTATTGAATTTTTAAATGTAACAAAAATATTATTTTTATGTTATTAATACGTCTTTTATGTTTAATATTAAACAAAAAAATAAAACATAAAACATAAAACAACCACTTATTTTTACATAAAAAAAATCAAATAAGAAAATGAGTATAATTATTATTTTATTTTTTTTATGACGTGAAAACTAGCTATCGCTACTGAAAATGCGCATTGAGTAAACTTCCAACCGAATCTAACACCCTGCAAATCAGGCCCGACATATCAAAATAATTATTTTGTTGACTGGACTAATGGTTTTATTGAAAAATAAAATAAAATAGTACGATATGCAATTCAAAGTATTTATTTGTTTATTTAATGAATTACGGGGTATTTGGAGTAGTCGTGATTGATAATGGAAAGCAACCCTAATGATTGTAGCATATGTAATGATTCAAAATTAATGTAATTTAATTGCATAATTTTGTTAGTGACGTTCACGTCGTTATCTATCTTCACCGGTTGGCCTGCAATTCTGATTACTTATATTTTAATTATTTTCATTATCTTATTTTTTTTTTAAATAAATGACAGGAATTTATTTTTTTAATAAAAGGATCCAAATCTATTCTTAATGAATAAAATAATCATAGTAATGAAATTATTAATTTGTGGAAAAGACGAATTTGTTAAATTTTATGGCGTCACGGAAATTGATAATGTAACTAATCTTGTGACGGTGCCAACTGACATTATTTAATTTATTGCAATTAATTAAGAATACTGATAAGTAAATGAGAAAATTTTGTCGATAAATATTTTACGAGTAAATGGAAACCCCTTATTTTTACATATGTTTTCATTGATTTTCTGTCGGCTAATATTATTTAATTATGTTCAATCTGAAAAATAAATGTCAAGACAAAAAAAAATAATAAAAAATAAAAAAGAAGAATAAGGATATTCATCTATTAGATTATTTTATTTTATTTTTAAAGATATGAAATATATAAGCCATGGGTCAATCAAAGCAATGACACAAGAATAATAATGAGAGAGTGTATAATAAAAATATTATTAGGGATTTACGTAGTTTGATGTGAAATAAAACAAACACAGAAAAATAAAAAAAAATAAAATTAATATTGATTTTGTATAAATAAAATTTATGTATAGAAGTGGATTATGACCCTTACAATAAGAAAATTACATATTTTGTAATAATTTTTTTAACCATATGAAGAAATAGTAACATTTTATTAAAAAGCATGTACTACCCTTATTATTATTATTATTATTATTATTATTATATTGGTAGTGAATCGTGGCGAAGTAATTAATGCAAAACAAACTTTACTCACGTTAATTTTACTAGGTAATTAATGCGTGAGGAATTAAGAATAATTAGAAAGGACAAAAAATGCGTGTTTTGACCGCAATAATAAATGAAGAGGACACAATTCTTGCCAGAGCTTTTTAATTATTACTGATTAATTATTTAATAAATAAACCATTTTATATATTGTTTGCTTCAACATTAGTCGTACTACTAATCGGTCATGCGTGTCTCAGGGAAGTCTAAATACTTTTAATTTTATATTATTAAATAATTAATAAATTTCTTTCATTGTGTAATTTATATATTATATTTATTGATTTTTAATAAAATGAATAAATATAATATTTAATTGAGAAGAAAATTAACAAACTGATTTAATAATGTTACTATTTGTGTGTCGCTCACATATATCTTGTTCTGTACATATATAAATGCAATGATAAACTTGTCATATCATATTTAATATATATGTGTGTTTGATTGTTGAGAAATAAATAAATAAATAAAATGGAACATGCAAATTTAGAATAGCTATATTTTTGCATGTGTTAGCGTTGCCCCATCACCATGAACTGTCCACCACATGAATGCATAGTAACAAGGTGTGTTTGTTTGGGGATTGGATTTTAAATGTACTATTTATCTTATTTTTTTTTAAAAAAAAATATTAAATCAAACACTTATTTTTCATTTTTTATATTATACTAAATATCAATTTCAAATTTAAAAGATCACATCAATACCTATTTATGTTACATTATATAACTATTCAAGTTCAAAACTTTTACTATTTAAATCTCAACTCAAAATCCAAATTCCCAAACAAACACACCATAAATGAACTACTCGTCCAGCTACAAAGTATACATATTTCTATTTTGGGATGTCCAATTACAAAGTAACCATTTTATTAAATACCTTTTTTTTTTTCCACAAATACCCTTATTTTACATCACATCATTAATTTTATATCAAAAAGCAATGGCAAAAATATCATTACACTACTTTTACCTACCCACCATAATTAAAATACTATTATTTTTTAAACTTCGCGCCAAAAGTAAATGTATACTTTATCCGTGAACCGATGGAGTATAATATAAATGATCGTCTCATTTAAAAATTTAAATTACTAGGAATACACATTATTTATTTATTTATTTACAAATTGAAATCCACCAACAAGAAACGATCATATATATTTATATCTTGTTTTAAGTGTTGGTAATAATATCCAATGAACAATTTTTAATTTTTTTTTTTTTTTAAATCCCCTTTAATATTTATTTTTTATTTAAAATAATATATTCAAAATATACTTTCTATACAAGACATCAAATTTGTCGTCTCTAGAACACTAAAATTTTCTCTATTTTAAAACTATCTAAGGTTTTCCCATATGAACGAAGCCTTAATAATGGAGAGCAATAATTATAATTATGGAGGCAAAAGAAAGTCATGTTCCATGTCGCGGTACATCACGTCATTAGGCACAAAAGCATGGGCCCCACCAATTTTTTATTAATAAAAAAAATAAATTATTATTTTTTAATAATATAAAATATCACAATGAATTTATACAGTGATTAAAATTATTAAACCCAACTTGTAGAGCAATTTAATCAATTAAAAAAAAATAAAATTCATTTACAATATATATATATATATGTATCGAATTTAATAATGCACATGGGTGAGAGTGATGTTATTATGAATAAAGAAAAAAAGAGAAGTGGGATCACCGACATATATACATACATTATACATACATATTCCTCTAGTCCGAACCACCTGCTGCTTTATTCGTTGCTTGTCCGCTGTCGTACTTTAATTTATTGCTAAAGCCACCTATAGATACATACACATATATGTATATTAATATTATACTTTTTTTTATTTAATTGATAATTATTATTTTTTTTTAATTGACTATTAATTTAATATGCTAATATTGGTTTTGTAAAGTTCCTCTGACTGTTTCTACTTTCTACACAGACATACATAAATACGTACATGTATACATATACGTACGGCACACGTGCCTGATTCATAGTTTCCTACCGACTACGTGCATTGCATTTGCATACACGAACAGCTCAATCTACGTGGCCTCTATTTTTAATTAATTAATTAATTTAATTAAATCCTAGTAATGACTAAGATACATAAATACGAAATATCATTCAAACGAGAATTAGACGCAATTTCTTTTGTCCTTTTTGTTTTCCTTTTATTTGCTTTTGAGTCCCCCACTAATCTGCTATTTCCTTTTTCAACCATACATACAATTTATTAAGGCTATGGATTCGTTGCATCTCACTGTTTTTTTCTATTAAGAGTAAATTGTATTGTACCAACAAAATAATAATAAGAACATTTTAATTTATTGTGATTAAGATGGAAGAACAATATTATAATTGAGCATAATTAATAATTTTATTTTATTTTAAAAATGTTAAGGAAGAGTTGAATGTGATCACATGATTAGTTAAACAGTACAATATATATAGCGATAGAGATATCAACTCCATTTGGGGTTTTGGGGGCCAATAAATGCTCTAACTACTAATGCTAACAAATTTCAATTGGAAAAGAACAAACACGATTATTCGTTTATTAATAATTGCTGAGACCAAAAACGCGTTTCTTCCATGTGAGAACGCGACAATTGGCTAATTATTAGCGTCCGCAATTGCCCCTTACCTCTGCACTCCTCCGCCTGCGCCACTCCACATTTATTATTTCATTATTAACCGACACTATATAATATCCTTAATTACCAAATAATCCTTAAATTCCTTCCTAATTACATCCTTATTCGTCAACAATACGTTTGCTAGCTAATCTGTGTTTATAAGTATTACAGATAACATATTATATATATTAATATAATAAATATAATACATAAATTGACAGCAAATGTTATAATCACATGAAATATAACAATTGATTTTAATACATGACATAACATATTTTGTATATAATAAAAATATGTATTATTTATATATATTATAAGTGTTAGATATTAAATTTTCTAAATCTAACACTGTAACTATTCTTTAGCCATACATATATTTAAATACCCGTTGACTTCATCAAAGTCCAATTTCCTTACTTATATTGGGCCGACTAGTAAATTATATATATATATATATGTGTTATATATCATTAACTCAAATAAATTAATTTATTGTACCATGTTATAAAACAAGAGTTGGGTCATTAACGGTCAATGGGCTAAATGGGCCCATTATTATGCCATATGATGGGCCGACCTAATGGGCCCATTATAATAATTAGGTGGGTTTGGTTCAGGAGTTTAGGTTAGGCCAACAACCCAAGATGACCGGCGATAGCAGGTAAGGCGCCAAATTTGACCTTCTGATCAGGTCATTACCACGTGCGACGTGTGGAGCGCTCACAGCTATTCAACCAGAAAAAATCCAACGCAATAATTCTCTCTCGATTCGTGGTGTTCTGCGTTTGTGCTCCCCACGCGTCTCTCCTACTGGCTTAGCTACGCCGCTGCCGCTGCCGTCGTCCTAAGGTGAAGCTATAATCGATTTTCTAGCATTATTCGTGTGGCTTTTTTTTTGTTCGATTCCGATTCTTTGCTTAGAATTTTCGGTATAATTGCTTCTCCTTCGATTTTATTGCTTGGATTTATCGATTTGTGGTTGTTGTGTATTCGGTGTTGGTTCTTTTGATCAGCATGGGGGATTTGATTGGTTGTTAATTTACTCTATGATCCTTACGCTGTCGGAGCTGACGCCGTGTTATTTCGTTGCTTGATTATGTGCGCGCTTTCCAATTTAGGTTTAATCTGACAATTTATAATTCGGTGTTTCATGTGTGAGAACGCAATGGACTCAATTGTTGGCCATGTTTTTTGATTTATGGTGTATGACCTAAGAGTTGGAACTCATTAAAACTATAACCATATGATTGTCGAAGTTACATTCTTTCCTATTAAGCAAAGTTATGTTCTCACCACTCTAACGCTTGGTATTAGATGCTCCTGTTGGTTTTTTTGGTAGACATTTGGTTCTCTTTTACTCCCTTGAAATATATAGATATTGCAAGTGAAAGGAACAGTTATTTTTTACTGTCTCCTCTTGTTGGGTGTCTTCATGAGGCATTTCTTGGGAGTTTGTTAATTTTGGTGAGCTAACTACTGACTGATTTCAGCATCAAAATTTTCATTTTCGATGACTCATGACAAGGAGTTTTAAATCTTTTAAGCACTAAATTATACTTATCCTCTATGGCAGGTGCATAATTCCTGAGAAGAAAAACAAAGGCAATGGATTCATTGTTCAAGCCACTGAACCAGGAGACATCTGATTGCTCTATGGACGAGCAAGATATTCGGAAATGTCCATTCTTGAGGAATATTAACAAGCCAACTAATTTATCTTTCGGTTGCCTGAATCTTCCCAATCCTGTAAGTATTAATCTTCACATTTCTACACCATGGCTTTAGTCACTCTAATCCTAGCTGCATTATTCTCCTGCATTTTAGTTGCCCCTTTCCTTATTTTCTCATACTTCTAGTTTGTCATTCTAATAGATCTCCTTTGCCAGTTTGATTCTCAGTCCAGGGGAGCGAAAGGCCCAATTTTTGAGGATGGTCCCAACTTCGACTTGGCCTTCAAACTTTTCCATGGGCAAGATGGGGTTGTTCCTCTCAGGAGAAATTCTGAGTTTTCACCTGACAAAATAGAGAGTGAGGTTGTCCCACAATTCAATCCTCTAGCATCAAAAGCTGCAACTATAAGTCTATCAGCATTTGGACCAGGAGGACCTTTCGGCTTTAATTCCTTCTTCGGAAACACACCAAATAAGAAGTCTGAGTCTTCGAGAAAGAAAGAGCATTCTTCTAAGGTATATATAATACCTATATATATCTAAAAAATTTGGACTTCTGGATTGAAATGTTGTGGTTCGAAAGATGTGAATAATCTTTCTCTCTTTTATGTGGATTCTTTCTGCAAGTTGAGATCAATTCGTTAGTGATAAACTATTCTTCATCATAACCAATGTTTTTTGGGGTTTCAGAGTGATTCATCATCAAAGCACGAGGCACTCGGAAATGAGTGGTTGGAAACAGGGAACTGTCCAATTGCCAAGTCCTACCGAGCCGTAAGCAATGTCCTTCCACTCGTCGCCTCAGCTCTCCGACCACCACCTGGAATCAAGCTCAAATGCCCGCCTGCAGTAGTGGCCGCCAGAGCTGCCCTAGCCAAGACAGCCTTTGTCAAATCCGTGCGCCCACAGCCATTGCCTGCAAAAGTTCTTGTGATCGGTGTTTTAGGAATCGCAGCCAACATTCCATTAGGTGTTTGGAGAGAGCACACAAGAAAATTCTCACTCCCCTGGTTCACTGCAGTTCATGCCGCAGTCCCGTTCATAGCCATGCTAAGAAAATCTGTGGTGATGCCCAAAACTGCCATGGCACTAACCATTGCAGGCTCCATACTCGGGCAGATGATTGGGTCAAGAGCCGAGCGCCTCCGTCTTAAAGCCAAGACTGAGAGAGCAAACCTCACGGCACAGGCGACGCCCACTGCAATGGTTCTGGAAGCTAGCTCAACCCCGGCAGACTGCATAACTGGTGGTCATTGCGGGAAGCAGGGGATGATGTGGGACCCTCTACCCCCAACGAAGATGGCGAAATCTTCGTCTTCGCCAGCTAGCGTGTGTTACTGAAGTCGAAAGCGAAGCGCGTAACAAGGTCAGTCAGTCGAAGCATGTTCTTGAAGAAATAAAGTCTTGATCAAGGTTCGAGACAGGATATGTGTAATGTGTAATTTGATGTTTTGTGATGAATTGTAGTGATGTGTATGTAACCAGCCATTTGTCCTGTTTATGTTGAAACTCAGAGAACATATATATATATGTGCTTACAGTTGTTCTAAATTTCCTGTTTATTTGATCTCTTTTGTTTCATTGCTTTCTGTCTGTTTGTTGGGTATTAGATAGGCTCTTATTGCTTTCATATAGCACTGCAAGTAACTTCACCTCCTGTTTTAAATATGGACTTACTAGCTTCCTAATAATATGTTAATCTGAATGATCATCAAGAAACCAAGATTTAAAACTATTTTAATAGCAACAATAATTTACACAAAAAGTAAAATCCTAGAAGTTCCCATTTATTCTAACACATAACACCACATAAAAATTAACTACTAAACCAGAGAGCCATTGTGGATAACATACCAGAAACTAGCTGTACAAAAACCACAAATTGCATAACTATTCATAATCAAAACTTGGCTCTACCAATACTGCCTCCATTTTCTTCTTCCTTTTTTTTCACAAAAATTCAAGTCATATTTGCAAATAATACCTCTCATCATGCTTAAAATCCCCCAACATGTTGCTTTGCTGCCATGCCATACCTCCCGGCCGGAGCGCCGCCGCCGCTGCCCGTCCCGGGACAGTCCCTTGCCCAGTGCCCGAATTGATGGCATTTGAAGCACTCACCCGATCCGCCGCCCCCGCCAGCAGCTGCTCCTGGAGTCGACTCGCTGAGATTCCCCGTCCCAGGACAGTCCCTAGCCCAGTGCCCGAATTGATGGCATTTGTAGCACTCGGAAGATGCACCATTGCCAGCGCTCGCTCCTTGGCGATTACTCACATATGCCTTTCCTGGACTAGCCATAAGGCTCGGGCAGTTTCCGGGGCTATGCCCAGTACCACCACAGCTACTGCAACTAGTGTATCCAGAGCCAATCGGAGGGTATCTTGAGCCACCATATTGATTTCCGTAGGAATTCATCTGACTCGCCGGGATACCGCTGGAAGTAATGGTCATAGTCGAAGCTTTGCCGTAGGAATTCATCTGACTCATCGGGAGACCATTAGAAGTATTGGTCATAGTAGAAACTCCGCCGTAATTTGTACCCAACAAAGTGGATTGTCTCCCACCAATGCTAATTCCAGGCGTTGACATGACATTTTCAGGTTTTGAAGGTATAGATCCCGAGTCCTCGCCTTTGAATTTACCTATAGAATCGAGAAGATACCGGGTCTCGGTCTGGAAATTTATCTTCTCTGCTTTCACCACTGTCGATTTCACCCTCTGCTCATCGCTAAAAATCTCTTCCTTAACTTTCAACTTGAACAAAAACTTGGTAAAAAGGACCCCTCTCACCAGCTCGGAGAATTTCTCGTCGTCTTGTTCTTCATACTTCATGTAATACAAGTCCTTCGCCGATATTCCCATAATCTCCTCTCCAGTCTCCTGAAATGCAGTGACCCAGGTTAAGCCAGTGTGATCCTGGATTTGCATCTGGAGGATGTACCGATAATCGCATTCATCGACAACCTGATCGCACCTCTCGCATCGCCATTTACCATCACCATTATTTGTAACCTTTTTGTTGCATTGCCGGTCCCCAATCATGATAGGGCATGCCGTATAGCAGAAATTTTCGCCTTTGACAAATGTTAGAGTTGCAGAAACTGTAATCCAATCTGGCTTCTCGGAGGTCCCTAGCTTCTCGTCTTTGATCTGAGTTATAGCCTTGCGTATATCTGCCCGAACAATGTTGGTTTCCCTTGATATAGATACAGTAGGAGTGTTCTTTCCTTCCTTAAGAAACCATTCCTTGAGATTTCGGGCCTCAGGAAAATCAGGCTCTATAAACAGCTGGCTACTGGATATTGTTCCAATTGATTTCCCGTTAAAATCATTCACTCTAGCAGATTTCACTGCCAAAACAGGATTTACCCCAGAATCGCAAAAGTTCTGCAAGTTTAGACCTTCAGCATTGCAGAAATTTCCCCAGAAAGTAAGCTCGACACTTCGCCCAGACATGTCCTTCAGCTGCATAGTACGTTTCTGAGTTTCAGTACCATTTTTTCTCATAATGGAGCTTGACGGGCTGATTGAAGAAACAACTCCAATCACATCTATAACACTGTTGTTCTCCAAGCTCTCGATATCACTGATGGGGCGAAAATGAAATTGCAGCTGCGGAATAGATTTATCATCCTCATAGCAAATTTGAACAGTCGAAGTGTTGTCCAGCATAATTTCATGATCGTTGCGCAAGTGATTGAAAGCCTTCTGTGCGGGTTTGAGTGTTCCTTTGGAAATCAAATACACTCTACCAGGCTCGATTTGATGGTAAAACTGATCCGCCACAGCATTGAAGCAAGTCACCCTTATCTCTCCACCATCCGAGTCAAGAAGATCAAAGGAGAATACTTTGCCATCACCTCGAGGATTATTGTAGTGTCTGATCTCTCCCTTTGACGTCACTCTGGCCTTAATTGTCCACCTCCCTTGATATGGATTCAATGCTGCAATAGGCAAGATTCTTGGAGGAGCTTCATTTTTCGCCACTGGGCCTCTATTGGCATACATTGGCGGTGGTTGAACATAGGATGAATGAGGCGGTGGGGCAAAATTATTAACAGAGGGCCGTGGAAGACTAGAGCCAGTTTCTGATTTTGGATACACCGGCATTGTGCTAGAAGGGGTGTATCTTCCTGAGTCCAAAGTGCTGCCATAAGAGCCACCACCATAAGATCGTGAAGCCACAGTTGGGTCATCCCCGAATTGAGGCACATGAGTTCCACCATCCATGGGCCTAGGAACTCTACAGCTTGCAACTGAACTACTATAAGATGGTGAAGGATTGTTAATTCCGGCGGATGTCTGATTCAATGGCGGACCTTGCGCAGGTGCTCTAGGGGGATTCCCATCAATCTTGTGTGGAAATGGCTTTGGTTCGCCTATGGGTTCGCATGTTTCCATAATCACATTCAGATCAATGATGATGACAATCCTGCAGAATGTACATTAGGAAACGTATTAAAATATAAGGTGCAATTAATAGTGAGCAGCAGCAAAGCCTAAATACATCAATTTGTTCATCATGTAATATTCATATTTCTACCAAAGAGGCAAAGATGATGATCAAGTGCAGGGAAACTCACTCTTTAGAGAGAGTACAGAAACAGAAACAAATCAATTATGTAGCTTCATTGAATCTGATACAACCAATCTAACGACTAAATGCTTCAAGAAAAAAGTTAGAGACTTGAAAATTCAACACCACTAGTTTTCAAGAAGGGACTATCTAAACAAATATACAATCAAATGCAGAAGATTTTAAAAATCGAGACAAGACGGATAGAAACAGATCATCCAAATCGATTTTGAAATTTTGAACACTAATAGCAATAGCTGAAGAATTGAAAGTTCGAGAAACCAAGAAGAACAAAGTACCCATTCAAGAAATAAAAATCAACGAAAGCATGAAGAATAACCAAACCATAATACGGCACAAATCTGCAAACAAAGCACTACAAAGACAATCTAATTAAACACCAAACCCTCGAATCACGCCAAGAACATTAAAAACAAAAAAGGCTAACATATTCGATTTTCAACACCGCAAACAAAAATCTAACACTCACATTCGGTTCTGAATAACGTTACAGACGAACTGCGTCAACTGAACAATAGATCCCTTCTGCACCTTCTGGGAGCGGACCAACTCGTTCCGCTGGGTTGCGAGCATACCCTGCTGAGTGAACGAGCCGTCGGAAAGCAGGATCCGATACCTCTCACTGTTATTCTGACTCTGAGTGTTGACAAGCCGAATATCGACGACCTGCAGCACCGGCTTCACATCGGTAGGCTGTGTATCGCCGCTCGAGAGGATCGCAATCGCCCCTTCCGTCAAGGTAACCGGAGGCATAACTCCGAATCTGAGGCTGGAATCCGGAGGATCTACCAAGAAACAGACACGATTTGGAGAGTGGGAGCGCCAAAAATGGGAGTGGAGGAGTTTCGAAAACCCTAGGTGCGAAATGGAAATGGAAGAAAGAGCGCCAATGGAGAATTTTGGTAATTATTTTCTACCCGCGGCTTACATACACCAGCTCAATTGGGCCGGGATTAATACAACGACAACTTGGGCTTATGGCAATATGGCCTATTCGAAAAGCCCATTAAAATTTTAATTCTACTTATTGGGCCGACCCTTACCATTTGCTCTTCCAACTGTATTTTTATTTATTGTTAATTAAAATGTTCTTCTATTTTTTCTTTGTTCACCCAACTAAAAAGTAATTTTTTCCTCCCACTTAATTTGTAATTTTTTTTTATGAAATATAATTATACATTTTAATTATATTTTAAAAGTTATAATTTATATTTTTTTATTATAATTAAATTATTTAGTCATTTTAATTTTAATTTATAATTAGTTTTATTAAATGATAATTATTTTCGGTAATACATTTCTTAATTATTTATTATACAATACCTAAAACTCCGTACTAGATGAGACAATTTAGTTGGGACGGAGGGAGTACTTTATATTTTATTTTTAAATTAAAAGTATAAATTTTTTACTATAATAAAATTAATAACATATTAATAATATTAAAATACTATCAACTATATAAATTATAAATATATAATATATTTTATATTTTTCATACAATTGTCTGTAACATATCAAAAATCAATTTATCTAAAAACGTTGTGTAAACAGAGCCACTATTAAATATTTAAACTTTATTTACATATTGATAAACAATTTTTTATTTTTTATTTTTTATAAAATACCACAATAAATATATATTTTTGTTTCTAATACTAGATCAAATAATATATTTATAATAAAATAATATAAAATATAATAAAATAATATATTTTTATTGAAAAATATTATAATTAAAAATAATGAAAAAATAAAGCTATTTGAGCTCAATTCATCTAATTTATTTTAAAATTATAAAAGTATCTATCTAAACCGAATCATGTATACATATACGTACTATATACAACAAACTTTATTCATCTTAAAAGTATGCCCTTAATAAATGCAATTCGTTAGCTCTTGGTAACTGAAATGGATTGTGGATTTAGTTGATTTTTATAATGCTGTGTGTTTTTGTTGTTAAGTATGAAAATTTACAATTGTGTTACAAAATTAATATTTTATATTAAATATATTTGATTTAAATAATATTTTAATATGATATTTTGTTATTAAAAAAATATTATATTTTTATATTAAAAAACTGTGTAAAATAATAATAAATAATTTTTGGAACTATTAAAAAATTTTCTCTCCAACATATACCACGTGAATTATTGTTGCTATGATTAATTCTGTTGAAAGCTTTGGTCATTGTAATAATTGCTGGCACATGAATTTGTTGTCCTATTACATGCCCATAAATGATAACGAATAAACATTTTTATTAAATTATACTCCTTTCCATTCAAAATTATAGTCTTAATTAGGTTGGATATAAAATTTAAAAAATATTAATATTATATTAGTAATTGGTAAAAAAAATATAAATAAGAGATTTTTTTGCCCTTATGAGTTTATTAGCGTAAAAATTAGTGATAATTGTGTTATAAAAATGAAAAAGTAGAAGTAGTTTTACGATGATATAGTTATTTATGAAAATAAAACTATTGTTTTAGGACAGATAAAAATGATAAATAAAACCATTGTATTAGGACGAAGGAAGTAGTACCATATAAAAAAGTACTCAACTATAGTAAGTAAATTAGTGTTCAAGTTTAATTATATTACATCCGTACGGATATAAAATATACGATTGTTTTTTCGGGTTGATCTTTCAATATTAATTATAATATCAAAATACACTACAATCAAGAGAAAATAATAAAAATACTTCTATTATTCTTTTATAATACAAATAGGATGATATTTGTTAAATAAATTATTATTAATATAAAAATATAAAAATATTTTTAATGTTAAGTATAAAAAAATAATTTTATAGTTTTTTTTTTAAGTTTTGTTTATAACGAACAACTTTATATATATATATATTTATGACATGGAAATTCTCGCTACCCGAAAGTGCGCAATGGATAAATTTTCGGCCGAACCTAATACCCTGCAAACAACTTTATAATATTTGTTGGAGGGCAGGAGTATATATTAATGCAAATATAGTTAGACATTGATTAAGAATAGAATATTATTGGTAATTGAGTATGTAATAAATGTTTAGTATTTGCTATTAAATATGGCATATATCAAAGGCAACTAAAATGATTCGACACTCAACATTTAAGTAACTCTCCAAATTATTTCCCGTGAAGAAAGTAAAATTATGACTGAGATTATCCATTCAAGGATTTTTTTTATTTTTTTGAGACTTGATTTGTTTTTTTTTTTTTTTTTTAGATTTAAGATAAAAATACAAATAAAAAATATAAAGCAGAATTATAATCAAGCAATAATTTGGAAGGAATAAGTCTTAGTAAAAAATGATCTGATAGTGTGAGAATGAACTGACCGTGATATCATAGGTACGAATGTTCTCCAAATTTTAGAATATAGTAATATATAAAAAAGATTCTATTGATGTACTATCTTCGTTTCATATCTATATATTCATTTTTTTTTGCACGAAGTTTTATAAATATTAGTATTATATTGAGATAAAGTAAAAATAAATGTAAAAAGACCCTATTAGTATTGTATGATATAAAGGTTTGTGTAATATATTGTAAATTGAAATAGTATTTATAATGTTAGATAGATAGTACAATTACTAAAAATGAAATAGATATTTTGTAATGGGATTGACTAAAATGAAAAAAATGGATAAATTGTTAAGGGACGAAACGAGTATTAAATAAGTCAAATAGTACATATATTTCCAATCCTATCACTAAATTTTACTAATTTAGAATGAAAGAATTGGAATATGTATATATCTTTAAAATATTACAAATAATAATTTGATATTATGGTAATTTGCTTATGTATACGTATTATATATATATATATATATAACCATTTTATTGCACAATTTGCTTTGAATGTGCACACAAAATTTTATTATATCACTATTAAAAAAGAAAAGAAAAAGAGAATACACAAACACATTTTAACAAATCGATGGATAAATATATCTAAATCATCATAAAAGTGCTCATATTCTATATATTTACATCACAATCCAACAAAATCTCTAGCAAATCTATATAAACAGCTCATTAATTTATTTCAGATTTAGATTATATTTTATATATGATTGAGCCATGAAAAATAACCATTACTCCATCAGTTAAACCTAAAATATCATTTTTATTATTTTCGTCTATTCATTTATCTTTTTTATATTTTTAATAAAATTAATTATACATTAATAAAAAAATATATTTAATTTTTACATAAATTACAAATATATAATATATATAATTATTTTATATATAAAATAAAAAATATCAAAATTTCTTATATATTTTGATTTAACCAATAAAAAATTATTATTATATAATTTATGCAAAACTTCAAAAAAGTCCATAGTATGAAAATAATAAGTCAATAAAAGGGAAAGTTCACGTGGCACTAAATATAGCAATAATTGTAAAATAACCAGATAGGAAATAAACATTAAATCAACCTGACCAACTTACCTGCCTCCCACCAAATTGACTTACCAAGTGATAAAAAAGTCGTCGTCAACCACCACAAACACACACGATTCCCTCAATTGGTTGGGAATTTAGTGCTGTCTGTCCTCTTTATTACAGCGCCCTACAAATACAAATACAAAATCAGTCACGGGTCGGCCGACGACACCCGACCCGACCCGATTTATTACATCACAATAATAGACCACATCACAACATACACCACAAAAAACCACATTCACACATTCCCCCCTCTTACAATAATGGTGACGACCGCCGCCAAGCTCATACCTTTATTGACACTCGCCTACTTCATCCACGCCGGAAATCTCTCCCCCGCCGCATTGCCCGTCGACGCCGCCTTCAAGCTTCCGGCGCCGCTACCCAAATGGCCGCCAGGTCTAATCATCATCCCCACACCCACCATTCTTCATTGCATTTCCAACTTTCTTACCTCTTGTTTTTTCTTTTTCTTTTTTTTTCAGGCGGAGGCTTCGCCGCCGGCGAGATCGATCTCGGCGGGCTGCAAGTCCGGCAGGTGTCGGCATTCCGGCGAATCTGGACCGGCTACAAAGGCGGACTCGACGATAAAGGCGCTTCATTCTTCGAGCCTGCTCCGATCCCTGCCGGCTTCTCCATGCTCGCCGCCTACGGTCAGCCGAATTCCCGCCAACTCTTCGGGTGGGTGTTGGCGGGAAAATCCAACGCCGGCGATGAATCCGGCGCAATTCTCAAACAGCCGACGGATTACACGCTAGCTTACCAATCGCCGGGCGACTCTCCGGCCTACTTCTGGCGGCCGGCGCCGCCGCCCGGCTTCAAACCCGTTGGATACATCGTCACCGCTTCTCCCGACAAGCCGAGCCTCGACAGCATCCGGTGCGTCCGCGACGACTTCACCGACGAGCCGGAGATCGAATCGTGGATTTGGGGCCCCGGCGACGGCGCAAACGTGTACTCATTAAGGCCTAAAACGAGAGGAGAAAATGCAGAGGGTGTTAGTGTAGGTGCATTTTATGTAACATCTAATTCGAGCTCGGACATATCCATATCATGTCTGAAGAACAAGAATTCGAAAAATTCGACAATGTTACCGAACCTCAGCCAAATCGAGGCAATGTTTAGGACATATTCCCCGCAGATGTATCTTCACCCCGACGAAACTTTTCTTCCATCATCAGTGAACTGGTTTTTCACCAATGGAGCATTGCTGTACAAGAAAGGCAAAGAATTCAATCGCAGTGGAATCGATCCAAACGGGGCAAATCTTCCGCAGGGAGGGGACAACGACGGGCTGTACTGGATCGACCTGCCACAGGACAAAGATGTTCAGGACAATTTAAAAAAAGGGAATCTACAGAGTGCAGAGACGTACCTCCATGTGAAGCCAGTGCTTGGTCGAACATTTACAGACATTCAATCGTGGATGTTCTATCCATTCAACGGCCACGCGACGGCTAAGCTGCAGTTAATCAAACGGTTCCCGTTGGGGAAGATCGGGCAGCACGTGGGGGACTGGGAGCACGTGACCCTCAGAATCAGCAATTTTGACGGGATGCTGTACAGTGTTTTCTTCGGGCAGCACAGCAAGGGGCAGTGGGTGGATTCGTCCCACATCGAATTCCAAAACGGCTCCAATAAAGTCGTCGGCTATTCGGCGCTGAACAGCCACGCCAGTTATTACCAGCCGGGGCTTGTATTGCTGGGGGGCAAAGGGTTTGGGATAAGGGACGACACTGACCGGAGCAACCTCGTATGGGATACGGCGGCGAGGTTTTTAATAGTGGCGGCGGATGGGACCACGGCGGCGGCGCCGCCGTGGTTGAACTACAACAGGGAGTGGGGACCGAACCAGACTTATGAAATTGGCGATGAAATTGAAAAGGTAAAGAAACTTTTGCCGGGAAAATTGAAATCTAAATTTGTGGAACTGATCGGAGAGCTGCCGAGTGAAATTCTCCGGGAGGAAGGGCCGACTGGGCCCAAGATGAAGAACAATTGGAGTGGGGATGAAGAAGAGCTTAGAAGATAAGTATACTATTTTTTTGGTTATGGAAATTAAGTATTCTTCTTCATTGTTTCTGAAATAAGGCAAAAGTGATGAAGCATAGATCCTGAAGGCAATGGTGATAGCTATGGTTGTTAGTGGACAAGATTTGAGGTTAAACGTGATTTACAAGATAATATACATCAAAGGCACATCTCATTATGCTAGTAACTTAGCAAGTTCATCTACTCTCAGAGTTCCCTTTGAGGCAATGTTGAGATGGTCTGCTTGAATATCTTTCTGTCGGTTGATTCGGGGAGTTTTTTGATCGTCTCTTCGGGTAGGGATGGTGATTTCTAACGGTAACGGTAAACCTGTTGGAGCTTCTTCTTTAGGCCTTGAATCAGCACTTCCTCGTTTTTTCTTTTCCTCAGCTGCTGGTTTTTTAGGACGGGGTGGGAAGACGGGGCCGGTTGGAGCTGTCTTTGCAAATGTTGCTGCCTCTTTGAAGACCGCGTCTGAATCAAGAGTATTGTCCAGGGCGAGTGCCATTCCAGATTCTATGGCTTGGTTTCTGAGAAGCAGAATTTCCTGCGCCGGGATCTTCATTTGTTGTTCGTCATTCACTCCATTAGGCAACTCCTCCATGGATGACACATGAGCTTCAAGATTAAGGCTGGAGTCAGGGAAAACAGGAGATTCATCAAAGCTATTGCCGTCTGCATCATCAGCTTCAGACAAATCATCTGCCCCAAGTTCAATCAATTCATTTCTTCCCGGAGATTCCTCAGTACAGCATCCATTAGAAGATGAGTTTGTTTCTTGATCGACACAATTTGGCTCCACCATTGGCAAGCTTTGAGAATTTGGTAATGGAGATGATAGTACTAGCTCCTTATCATCAACAACAGCTTCCACCGAGCCATTGGAACTCTCATTTGGTTCCATTACAGAGGACTTCCAGTCTCGTCCCCTCCATACGAGTATGTGCTCAAGTTCAAACGACAACAATACACAAGGGACAAGATCCTGCAGTGAAGAATTAGGAATATCAGATTCCTCTACAGATTTGATAAGATCATGTGAATGTATCTTCGATTCCATACCTTTAATTTTGCACCGATTTTTTTGTAGTCACTTGTATGCAATCCTTGGCAATTGATTCTCACTAATTCACAGGCTTCAAATGCCTCCCTTACATGTTTAACAAGATCACAATAAACACCATTTTTGCCTGCAGGAACCGATGCATATATCAGAAAGTTTTGATATAAATAAGTACCCTTATCCATATCATGGAAATTGCCAACATACCAAGCTTGCATATTGGTTTCAGGTCTCGCGCCTTTTTTCGCATCTCCGTCACTTCTTCTAGAGTCAAACCTTCTGGGACCTTTTTGATCAACCTCGGATATACTGGCGAGATAGGTTTCCATAACATGAGAGGAAAGCGAGGCCTATTTTTGTAGTTATAGTTTCTTCCCCGAAACAGGTATATGACACCACCTCTATTGAATATTATCTTCCCTCCACTTCTTTCCTGTTCCATATTTTTGTAAAATATTTCGTCAAAACTGCTGGTATGTGCGAACAAAATCAATTAGTACTCAAGACATCTTTTCATACTAATTTTAAAAATTTTCCATGGTTTTTCATGGCAAATACTCAGAACTTTAGCAAAATAAGAAATTTCAAAGCCAGACTATAAGAAAGTACTTTCCTAGTTAACAAATTGACAGAAATCTAGCTCAACATGCAAATGTCAAAATTGAGTTCATATAATCAATCTGAATATGCATAAGTATCTGCTCACTAAGGTTTTAACTGCTTTTCCAAGAAAACCCAACAAAAACAAAAGGATATCAAATACTCCTTAAAGAAGAGCAAGTAGACATACTAACCTCCAATTGTTGGCACACATTATTCATGTCTACTGTGCATACTCCTTTGCACTTTATCTTGCACACCCTCCGCCGCTTCCAGAGATCATGAATATTGTCCAACATGTTATGCGTTAGGCCATCTCTTCCTGAAAGTAACGGTGGAATCATGAGAAAAAAATTCAGAATACATGGTCAAATTAACACATAGAATTAAGTTGTTCTCCGCCAAGTGGCAACCTCTTATAACAAAGAGCAACATTTACCATTCAAATTGAATAATCAGACTTAATAGGTAAAACTAAATAGAATAGTCAGAAAGCTCAGTTTGATTTTAAGTCCCAGCATCACTAATCTCAATCAACTATATATATACTTAGATGTTTCATCACAAAATTGCTCCAAAATTTAGATGCAACGGAACAGAATTTTCTCAAATTACCACAAGTGTAACAAACTTATGAACTTCCATAGCAACTAAGAAGGCAAGCCCTTCATTTTGTCGATAATCCACACGGTCATTGTCATTAAAGTTTAATTAAGCAGTTGAGTACTCAAACAACTATTCAAATTACCAGATCAAATAATAATTTCCAAAAGCAAAACTGATCTCTCTTAAGCTATCGAGACTCTTATCTTCTTACAACTACATTATCCTTAAAATCTTTCAGAAAACCAATCAACTAAAAAAATGATCTCTTAAGCTCCCAAGATTTCTTATCTTCTTACAACTACATTATCCTTGAAAGCTTCCCAATAACAATCAACTAACATAGCAGGAAGCACATCATCGAAAACATAAAACCTCAAACAACAAGCAATTACAAATCTAAGACCAAAAAAACTACCATAATCCAATCTAAAACATCAGTATACCTATGTTCAATTGGCGGCTGGATTTCTTAACCCCATTAATCAGTTCCTCGATCTCCTCCTTACTCAATGGCGCTCCAAGGATTTCCTCCCTGGACCTCACATACTTGGGCCCCGAGCCAGGTAAGAATGGCCCCGGCGCCTGCACCGGTTTCACACCCTTTTTATGCGGCGGTGGCAGCTGAAATGAATCGAATTCCGGCAGCTTCTTCTTGCTGGGAGGGAACGGTTTCCGTCCGAGCCACGGCTTCGCCATTGTTGTAGGTCCAAATGGAGACACCAGTGGTTCCCGCAACTTCACGGGCTTAACCTTAGGTGTCTCCGTGTAACTATACTGATACAAAAACGGTGCGTCCGCCATTTCGTACGAAACGCCATTTTCATCTATTCTAAAATTAGGCGACGAAGAAATTGGGCTCCTATCTTCATCCACGGGTAATTTTTGGGGCTTCATGAGCGGCTCGAACGCCGGGTGCGTTTTTTCGGGCTCAGGGGGTTTCGAGTACTTGGACGATTTTCCGGGGATGGAGGGGGCGGAAGGCGCAGAAGGAGTTCCGGTGGATTTGAATGTGGTCGGATTGGGTGGAGCGGGGTTGTAATTGTGCGCGATGGATAGGGCGGAATCGTAGCGCTTCTCCGTGCGGATTTGGTCCTCGTACTCTTTCTGAAGGCGCTTGGGGACGACGAATTTCCTGGCGTTAGCGTTGTTCCACCGCGAGAAGCGGATTTCAGTTATGGGGCGGTGAGTTTCCGGCCGGAGCGGCGGCGGCGCAAACAACGGGAATTGGGTTTTAATGGCCGCCATGAAGAGGAGCGATGGCTTCGAAATCCCCTCAAATGGCTAGTTCATGTTAGGGTTATTATCGTCTACGTGCACCTTACATACGCCAAGATAAGTTCAACCAATCAGTGAGCTGTATGGCGGGACTGGCCAATAATTAAAATAAATAAATAAATAAATAATTTATTTTTGCGGAAAATATTGATTATACGGTGGAGTCTCTGCAATTAGCAAATTCCCAAAATCTGAGAACCCTAGAAGCGTTTTCTCTTCCGGAGCTCTCTACTGCAACTGGAATCTGTGAAAATTCCCTGGAATGATGCTCCAAAGATCTCTTTTGGGAGCGGCTGTTCGAGCGGGGGTCAATATGCAAGCTTCTCGGCTCCATGGACCTTCATCCTCTCGACCTATCCATGGGTTATCTCAAATTCCGCGAAATGCAAATATCTGTTCAGGTTGGTTTACGGTATTCCGTTTTTTCAATCATTTGTACTATTTATTCTTCTATTGATCTGCAAAGTTTACTTTGTCCGCTGCTAGTATTTTGTCATCGTTTCTAATTTTGCCGTATGTGGTGAAATGCTGCGATCGATATGTATGGAGATTGTAATTATTTCACTTGTGTAAGCCTTGTCGTTGGTCTCTGATTCGTATTATCTGAAGAACATATAGAGTAGTTCAAATGAACAAGAAGTGAGTAGATAGATGGTAGTTCGTTGTACATTTACAGCGAGAACGTATTTGAGTCGCGGATCTGTTGAGAGAGAATTCAGGGATTAGTTCATTGAGTGAAGGTTAACTTTATATAATAACCGAGTGCTGCAGTTACTACGATGATTCTCATGTTTGTATAAAAGAGGTTTCTTGCCAATTATCTTCAATTATATCTGATCATAGCTCAGGATAGTTACAGTTTATGAGCATTGCTTTGCAACTTTGAAACTTGTAGCGTAATATGTGGAATCTATCTTTCAGGCTACTATGTGCCATTTTGTGTGCTTAATTGTACTTTTCCATATCAATTTTTGCAGCTTCACCTAGAAATTCAAATTTGGGAATGATTATGAATGAATCAGCAGTTTTTATGCTTGGTTTCGAGCTAAATGTGACATTTTGCATTCTTAATTGCTCCTTTTCAAAACATTGTTTGCAGCTTCAGTTAACAAATTCATTATCGAATATTATTGTGAATCCAGTTTTGAAGAATACAGGCATGAAACTAGGTTTGGGAGGAGCTACAGAGAATGCCACTTTACCGTACTCCCGGTATTTTAGCAGTTTCATACAATATGGAAAGCAACCTGAGGCTGCAGATGGGGTGGATAGGGCAGGAACGGCATCTGGCTCTATGGACTACATCCAGGGCTTATTGCAGGACAGAAGGATCGATATGAATGATCTTCCTCGACCACTTCATCAGCCTCTAGTCGAATCAAATGCTGATGTTGTCCACATAAAGCTGATGCGCAACAATGCCTTTGTCACCTTGACAGATTCTAAAGGAAATAAAAAGATCGGAACCTCTGCTGGGAAATTGGCTGGAAAAGGAGGCAAACTCACCCGATACTATGGGGATGCAGCTGCGGAAGAGATAGGCCGTAAAGTAAGACAAATGAGGACAAAATCAGTCGTCGTGAAAGTGAACGGATTGACATTTTTCAGGAAGAAGAAGGATGCGATTCTCAGCTTTAAAGATGGCTACTCAAACTCACAGCCGAATGTGAATCCTGTCATTTACATTGAAGACACGACCCGTAAACCACACAATGGGTGCCGTCTCCCAAAGAGACGCCGCATATGATCATCTTCTTCTAGCCGATGTGCGTTCGATGAGGATGGGGATTGAGGCAGATTGTCCGAGGTCAGTTTCGACGGTGTTATTGATCTTTCACTTGAGAATAATTCACAGGTAACATATAGATTTTGCTTAAGTTTTGTAGCAACTGTGGTAGATCGAAAAGGACATAAGATATTTGTTTCTTGAATGGTAATCTTTCAGACATTTCATTTCAAAGAGCTATCTACTAATGATTCTCAGATTTGTCGAAAGTCTTTTGTAGAAATAACTTGTTCGATCCCGGCTGGACATCAGTCGATTAAAGTTTCGCTCTCATGAGTGACGCTACGAATGTCGGGAAGCCCCGAACTCGCCGAGAACTTAACCCATCGTTTCCTTTCAACGAGCTTGATGCACGGTCGTAGTATCAGCCCGAGTAAAATCACGACTAGGCCAACCGTCGCAACTTTGATCGACGACAAAGCCAGAACGACGCAGATAAACAGAGTTGGCGGGATACACATAAGCGCCGCGCCGACTGTCCCCACCGGTATTCGGTACGGTCGAGTTGCAAACGGTGCTATAACTCGAAGGCGCACGAATGCCGCGAATTCGAGTATCATCCCCAAGCTGTACAGAAAGTTGGCCGCCGCTACTATCTCGGCGAAGCTCAGCCACGACAGAAGGACCACTCCGGTGGCCGAGAATAGGATTCCGGCGAGTGGCGTCCCGTACTGAGATCTTCTCGCGAAGAACTCCGGCAGCATCCCCCGCTCAGCCATCCCGAGCAGCTGGAAAGAGTCGCCGCCCATTTCAGCCAAGAACATCCCCATGTTCGAAGCGGCTGCCGCCGCCTGCACCCACCATCTCAGCCACGGGCCGCCGATCACCTCCGCCACTTCGGCGAAGTACCCGTCCGACCACCGCTCCTGTTGGAACGGGATCGCTCCCGTCCCGCTCAGGATCGGGAAGAAGTACGCAACAACGACGAGGATCACCGCGTAGAACAACGCCTTCGGAAATGTCCTCCGGGGGTTCTCGATCTCTCCGGCGACCGTACTCGCCCCGTCCCAATAGTTAAGATTCCAAAACAGAGTATTCATATACAAGCTCCAATTGACATTTCCGGCGTCCACGACGAACCACCGCCGCGGCCGCAGCTTCGGCATCGAAATGAACCACATTGCGACGAAGGGGAGGACGGTAAATGCCCCGAGCGCCACCGCGATCCATCCGACGATCGAAAGCCCTCTGTAGTTCAAATAAGTAGCCGTTATCGTCAGGGCCAGCACCGCCGCGGCTCGCGGCGGGCCGCCGCCGACGGCGGGGATTGTCGACTTCAGATAGTCGAGAAACAGTACAGGGTAGAGTGCATTGTCGATAACTCCGGCGAGCCACTTGGCCCAGCCGAGCTGGAACCCCCAGAAGGGTCCGAACGCCGCCGTCGCCCAGACGACGTAGCCGCCGTTTTCCGGGAACATGGTGGCCATCTCCGCCGTGACCAAGGCCTCCGGGATGCTCCATATGAATGGAAATACGAGAAACCCAGCCATGGCGAGGAGCGGTCCGGCGGCGCCGACGGCGTCTTCGACGCCAAAAGGGCCGCCGGAGACGCCGTAGAAGATGAGGAAGACGAAGGGGAGGAGGGAGAGCTTCTGGCCGCGGATTGGTGGTGAAGAAAATTCGTTGACCTGTGTAGAATTAGGGTTTCTGTTTTCTCCCATTGATGGAGGTTTGGAAAGCTTGGGAGAAGACTTTAATTTGGGATTTAAAGGGAATATGATCAAAGATTAATTAACAATACATGAAATGGTCCCCTACAATATGTTCATAAAATATTGACACACAATACATATATATTAAATGAAAATATGTATTCATTTTTTATTTTATATGTACGAGACAAATCAATCAGCATAGTTACCATTTTCGTTACGATTATAATAAAATAAATAATAATATTGGACTATATCTTCAATGATTTGCTGTTAAATTTGTTATTAATATTTCAGATCCATGTCTTCAATTGCATCGTTGAAGCTAAGCTGGTATTAAAATATTTAGGTTTCGTTTTAATTATGAGATTTTGGCAAACTTCTATAATTTATTAAAAAAAAAAAATTTACATCGTAATATCAAATTACACTATTATTTTTTATTTTTCATTATAATACATATTAATTTTATATTAAAAATATTATATTAATATTTATTTAAATCACCTTATATAATTATTACAAACCAAAAATTTGACTTTTCAAATCCCAAAAAATCCAAAGCAAAGCAAACCAACCCTTAATTTTATTTCTTGGATATTGTGCATTTAACTTCACCTTCAATTTTGGATGTCTTTGTAAATTATCTCTCACTTATCCTTTGTCGCATCATCACCATTTAAAATAATAATATAACAATAATTGAAAGAATTTTACTTCCCAGCACGTATAGTTATTCCTTATAATAAAAAATACAGTTATGGTAAATTTATTATATTAGATTACTTTTAACAAAAAATAAATAAATAAATATTATTCAAATTTTAAAAAAAATCTTAAAATTTTAAATTCTAAATTCAACAAAACATATCTATAAATATATTTATATTAATAAATTATTACGTTTTATTCATCATATTTAAATTTATTTTTAATGTTGTAACTTTCTATATTCAATTTTTAAAATAGTAATTTAAATTCTTTAAATTATTAAATTTATATAGATTAACATTTAAAGGTAAATTATGATATTATATAAAAGTATTATTGGATAATAAAAATATATAAATATAAATAAATTATTACTATATTATTATATAACAAAATATATAAAAATAAATAAATTATTGTGATACTATAAAATAGTAAAATAATAAATTAAAAATGATTTATTATTAACTGGTGATAAAAAAAAAATAATAATTAAAGGATGAGATGAAAATAATGTGAATATGAAATATAAAAAAAATAAAAATAAAAATAATAATTATAATAGATGCTCTTAGTTAAAATAATATATCTTTTTAATTAGGATATATAATAGTATTGTTTTTTATTTGGATCAAAATGAAACAAATCCATAGAGTATCATGGAAAAGGTGTTTTACTTTGATTCCGGGACATAAAAATTGTTTTTCTAACAGTCCACCCTGGGCAAAATTATGTATTCCCTCCCCTGTGCAAGATTTTTGTTATTTTTATACGAGTAAATTTTTTAATATTACTATTATAATAATTTTTAATAAAAAATAAAAATACTTTTATTAGTATTGTGTAATATAAAAGTAATAATATTTGTATAATATAAAAGTAATGACATTTATGTAATATAATGTAAGTTGGAAATGGTATTGATTATGTTAGGTAGGTTGTACAATATGATAATCTTATTTTGAGATGGACAAAAATCGAAAATGATAATCTTTCAATGGGACTGAAGGAATATATAGATTTGTTTACGCTATTTTTCATTTTCTTAATATTTCTTGTATTTTATTATTTATTTGTTTTTTTTTTTTTAAAAAAAAAATATTACATTTAGATTGTGTTTTATAAACAATACTGACCTATTTATATTTTTGGTAACATTTATTAGATTAAAATTTATACTTAATAAATGTAAATCTATTTAATTAACTAAATAACATATAATATCATAATCATTAATTTCTTTTAAAAGTATTTTATTTTTATCTTTCTCCTCATATAAATAAGTATTTTTATCTATATTTAAAACTCAACATATTTTATAAAATTAATTTACATTAATTATTATTAATAAAAATATTTTTTTATTACTTGTATTATAGAAAAAATTATTCTCTATAAAACTATATCCGTATTGCACATATTTTTTTTTATTGCAATATAAATTTTAAATTATTTTAAAACCTATTTTATTTTTTTAATCAGGTATATTAAATTTATTTTAAAGGTATTAATATTATTAATTATATAAAAATAATAAAATAATATCATAACTCATTATTATTAATCAATCATCGTTTTTCTTAGATATTGTGTCTCTAATTAAATATGTCAACTATGTTGGGACGACTATAAATTATCCATTTTCTTTCTGTCAGATTATTGTATAGTTTGTTACTCTATATATATACTATTTTTTACTTTCCATATAAATTGTTTATATTTTCTATTTCTGTATATATCATATAATATACTCTCCCTTCGTCCCATATCAAGGTATCTATTTACCTTATGCGTCATTGTACTTAACGTTAAAAATATCTTTATATTTGTATAATTTTTTTTATACAAATGTCATTATATTAGTATTATAAGACACTAATAGAAATATTTTTGAAATTTTTCCTTAATTTGTAGTACGTTTTGATATAATAATTAATATCCAAAGATCAACACACAAAAAGTAAATAGATACTTAGTTATGGGACGGAGGGAGTATCATTTTTTTTTAAAAAAAATATAATTATATATATTAATCATATTTTAAATTTCGTAATTTATAATTTTGTAATCTTAATGAAATTATTTAATTATCTTAATATGTAATTATTTTTATTGTATAATAATTATTTTTATTAATATATTTTTTTAATTACTTATTAATTATACTTTAACTAAATTTGGGGTATTTTATATATATACATAAAAGTTAATCCTAACATCATTGTTTATTGTTGTAATACTTGCTGGTTATACTCTACCTAAAAGTATTTATATCTAACAAAAATGATTAATTGCACGATTAATCAACTAGAGACACAAAACAAGCCTTCAACACGAATAAACAATACTTTCTCCGTCCCAAAAACCCTGCAACATTTCTTTTTTGGTATGTCTCAAACACCATACAACATTTCCAAAATAAGAAATAATTAACCCCACACTTATTTGATACTACCCACCTAAAAACCGATGCCAAAAACAAATGTTACACCTTATTTGAGACGAAGGGAATATATACTACATAATTTTAGGACTATTTTTCAGTGATATATTAGTAATAAAATTACAAAAAATAGGAACGAATAAACTAATTAATCCAAACAATATATATATATATATTAACAATAAATTTGCTATAACATAGGAATGAATAAAGTAACTATCTAAACAAAATTATATTGATATATATTAAAAATATATAACTCGATTACAAATAAATAAAAATAAACAAACGCAATCCATCTAATCTATACATAATGATATATTATAAATAGTTGCATGGTTAATTTTACGTGCCAAAATTAATTAATTAGTATCCTATAATTGTAATTATTTTACGGAATGGTTACAGAAAATTTAAATAAACTTACTTAATTGGATAAATTATAAATTCATGTAATGATCCATTTTGTTACTCAAATTGCAATATATATATATATATATATGTATAATTCATTTATTTAGGTCAAAGTATCGCTACTATGATGGCAATTTTCTATTCGGAGAGTGAAATTACTTTTAAGGGCATCTAATGTATCTATATATATGTAGCGTAAAGTAATGCAGCCAAATTTGGTCCGGCTGCCCAAATCTTTTGAAAATTACATCCGCGCCCCACCTCCGTCTTCTTCCTCCTGTTCATCTGCATTCTTCTACTACCTGACTTCCGCCGACAGATGTAAATTCCATGGATTAGTGTTAATCCTGACTCCTGCTGCTGCACTCGTTCACAAAGTATTTATTTTCGAGCACTCTGTTAATGGCGTCCGATAGCCGCGGTTCAGAGCATCAGCTACACGTCTGCGGAGAGGTTCCCGCCGGCGATGGAACAGTTCAATCAGCAGAAGCTTCTGATAGAGAAAGTCAGATCTGTCGAAATCTACAAGACCAGGTAAGAGTACACGCACTACAAGTATGCTTAAAAACCGCCATATTGTTTGGGATTCAGTTTTCTGATGCATCAATTTCTACTTTTATTGTTATTATTATTATTTTATTAAAAAAACAAAAACGAAAATTAGAAGGTCAAATATGGTAAAGATGTGGTGTTGATATGGTGGATGAATAATGAATAATGAATAAATGGAAGTCTGCAAGTCCACTCCGCCAAAATTATTTATTTGTGGGGACGGTTCGTAGATAAAAGTTATTATCCAGTTGATTTATGAAACGAGTACTACTTTTTGTTCAAAGTGAGTTGAATCTGCATTGATACGCTGTGATTAAACTATTAATATTCGAAAGTAAAGCTTTCTGCAGTGTCTCCTTTATGCGATAATGATTATTCGAAGCTTTCACTGTTGCAGTTGTCTCTCACCTTTTTTTCTGCTTAGTTTAGTATGTCCAGTATTGTCCACTGTCCTCTTCTTAATCTGTTTCCAAATTTCATACATGTCTTTGTTGCTCTAAACCTTCCATTGGCTGCTCAATAAATTGATGATCCTGTCGTTGATTGATCGAGTTTAAATTCTCATAAACTGTAATATACATTGGCAAGATGATCCTGATTTGGATTGCCTAAATTTATTGGAAGATTGCTTGAATCTGAGCTTGTGATTGCAGAAACAGCTTAATGCATCATCACACAATGTCGAAACATCCATGGCGGTTGCAGTAAACATCGCCGGCAGCGACGAAAACAACAACAACAACAATGGAGGTACTAACACAGAAGTTCCTTCTTCTAGATTAACTCATGGTAAGAAAATATCGATCCTCCCTCTCGTTTTCCTCATATTCTATGAGGTTTCGGGAGGACCGTTTGGGATCGAAGACAGCGTCGGCGCAGCCGGTCCTCTGCTCACGCTGGTCGGGATTCTCGTCTTCCCGTTCTTCTGGAGCATTCCGGAAGCTCTGATAACCGCAGAGTTGGGGACGATGTTCCCTGAAAACGGTGGCTATGTTGTTTGGGTGTCGTCGGCTTTGGGGCCGTTTTGTGGCTTTCAGCAAGGGTGGTTGAAATGGCTTAGTGGCGTCATCGACAACGCCCTTTATCCGGTGCTTTTCCTCGACTATTTGAAATCGGATATCCCGGCATTGGCCGGAGGATGGCCTAGAGTCGTCGCAGTGTTGGCACTGACGGTTGTTCTTACTTACATGAACTACAGAGGCATGACGATTGTCGGATGGGTTGCGGTGGCGCTCGGGATCTTCTCGTTTCTTCCGTTCGTCGCGATGGGGTTCGTTTCGATCCCGAAGCTCCGGCCGAAACGATGGCTGGCGGCGGATGTTCGTAACGTCGACTGGAGTTTGTACCTCAACACTCTGTTCTGGAACTTGAACTATTGGGATTCGATTAGTACTCTCGCCGGAGAAGTCGAAAACCCGAAGAAAACGCTGCCGAAGGCGCTGTTTTCGGCGATGATCCTCGTCGTGCTCGGGTATTTTCTCCCGTTGTTGTTCGGGATTGGCGCGATCCCCCTGAATCGCGCGGCGTGGGAGGACGGGTACTTCTCCAACGTGGCGAAGATCATCGGCGGCGCGTGGCTCGGCTGGTGGGTCCAGGCGGCGGCGGCGATGTCGAACTTGGGGCTGTTCATGGCGGAGATGAGCAGCGACTCGTTCCAGCTGCTCGGGATGGCGGAGCGCGGGATGCTGCCGAAGGTTTTCGCGAAACGGTCGCGGCACGGGACGCCGCTCGTTGGGATTCTGTTCTCCGCCTCCGGCGTCGTGCTCCTGTCGTGGCTGAGCTTCAACGAGATCGTCGCCGCCGAGAACTTCTTGTATTGTTTCGGGATGATGCTCGAATTCGTAGCGTTTGTGCGGCTGAGGGTGATTGCGCCGGCGGCGGCGCGGCCGTATAAGATTCCGATGGGGACGGCAGGGGTGGCGGCGATGTGTGTGCCGCCGACGGTGCTGATGTGTGCGGTGTTGGCGCTGTCGTCGGCGAAGGTGGCGCTGGTGAGCTTAGGGGCGGTGGTGGTGGGGCTGATATTGCAGCCGTGTATGAAGCATGCTGAGAAGAAGAGATGGATAAAGTTTTGGGTGAGTTCTGAACTTCCCGATATTGGGGCTAATATTCGGACATGATCATACCTTGATCACAACGACTTCACGTGTGATTGTGATTCATGTTCGTTTTTTTAGGATTTGTCAATTTACAAGTAAATAAATACCTTACCATTCTTCATAATTTATTTTTTTAAATATATTTCATCAATTAATTTACCATAATTATTTATAAGTATATGGTTTACTTAAAATATTTAAATGTTATTTTATTTTATTGGGTTGGGTTGGGGTTAAAATTTCAGCCCGTTAACAAATGGGTCGGCCCGCGGGTCCAAATCCAATTACATTCCCCCCTCTTCTCCCGTCTCTCGGCCTCGATCCACTCTGTTCCTTCTGCTTCGTCTCCAACCGCTGCACCGCCGTCTGCCGCCTTCGTCTTCTTCTTTGGCTTCGTCGGAGGCTTTGTAAGTTCAATAATTGCACTCATTTTGAATGTGTTTTCTGTTACGTAACTTGTTATTTCGTTTACAATATATATCATGGTATGGCGGATTGTTTGTATATGGTGTCATACTATTTCAATTTGAATTCCCAGGAAATTCTAAGTGTTTGTTGTTATGTAAATTCTATTCATATTAATTTTGAGTTTCCTCGAGTGTCTGTTTATGTATTATTTAAATTCCAATTAATATTGCGTAGTTACACTGATTTATGCGCGATATAGATGTCTTTGCTTCTATTTAAATTTCAAGTTGAAAGATATCCTGTTGCTGATTTGGCAAAACTGTCTTGTTTCTAACTATTTGCTGTATGTGTTAGGCTACCCTTGATGTGCTTCTTGTTGTTTTGACTTTCGAGTTACATGGAGCCGTTATCATTCCAAGTTACGCCAATTTTTTTTTTTTTTTATAGAAGCACCTTTTAATTATTTGCAGATTTGAGAAGGCGGCCGGGGGTGGGGTGGGGTGGGGGGGGGGGTATATGGCATCTAAATAATTTAAATCAAATTATTGGTATGGGGATGGTAAATAAAATTTGAGGATTATGCTGCTTAAATTTTATGAATTAATGTGGAATTTTGTGTGTTTGGAAAGAAAAAAAACTTTGAACTTTATGATGCAATTGTTTTCAAAACTATTTTGGGTGGACGTTATGTATCACTGTTATCGATATTTGAAATATAATGTACGAGAAGTATTGAGAATTTTAAAAAGGTTTTTTAACATGTGAGTTGGCTGTTCTGGTTCCTGTTTCAACATTTTCCTTTTTTGACTTATCTTGCAAATTGAATGGATCTAATGTTTATAATGTGCACATCTACCCAATGTATACCTGTAACCAAGAAAAACATGCTTGGTGCTAAAATCAAGTTAGTTTGGTTAGTAAATTATTACCTAAAATTAATGGAATCAAAAACATATTTATTACCGTATGATTGAAAATTGATTTAATGGCTTCTTCTGATGCATTCAATACCTGTCATTGGTTAGTTCGCATTTCTTAAAAGACCTTTGTTAACTGAGTACTATTGAGACTAGATTCCAACTTTGATATAAAATTGAAGAAGTCTTGATGCCATTTGAATGGATTGTGGATGCAACAATTGCAACTCAACATTGAGTTTTGGTGATATTATATCGTAACCTTTCATATTCTGGTGGTTTTTGTAGAATAATTATATGAATTGGAATGCTCTCGGGTATTGTAGTGTATTAGTTTTCTTATGGATTTTGTAGAAATAGGATGCCTCTTTCTCCTTCACTTGGCTTCTGACGATGAACCTTTTTTCTTTTCTCATAATAAATCCTCTTAACAATAATAATAATAATTTCAGACAGGAATGAGTTGCCAAAACACAAGCTCCTCCGCCTTGAAGCGGAAAAGACCTGAAACTGAACCACAAGGTCTGGTAGAAGCTGAGCGAACAATCCTGTATTTGATCAAGACTAAGAAGGATCTTGGGATATGGGCAAGAGACATCAAACAAGAGACAAAACTTCCTGACCCTGTTGTTAACAAATTTCTCAAGTCATTGATGACGAAGAAATTGATTAAAGAGGTAGTCAACATTCAAAATAAACGAAAGAAACACTATATGGCTGTTGAGTTTGAACCTTCTAAGGAAATCAGCGGAGTTGGGCGGAAAGTCAATGAGAAACTTAAACAGCTGTGCTTCTTGTACTTGCGTGATCAGGAGGTTGCCACTCTAGAGAAAGTCCACACTGACCTGAAGAATCATCCAGCACTGGAATCTGAGATTTCTAGCAGCGAAGTTGATGAGATACTGAATTTGATGGTTTTAGACAATGATATCATAGAGGTCAAGAGCACAGGGTTGGGAGATTATCACTCAATTCCCATTGGTAAAACTTGTTATAGAATTGGAAGTGGTGCCGGGTCTGTGAAAGGTCCAAAGATGGCTGCATTTGCTTTGATCCCTTGTGTTTCTTGTCCCCGGATTCGTTTGTGTACACCAGATGGGGTTCTCTCCCCAAGTACTTGCATGTATTACTCCAAATGGTTAAACATTGATTTTTAAAGTTAGATATGATATGTACAGAACTTCTGCAAGTATTTTACATAATCTATTGTTTATTTCTTGAGTTTGTTGATTTGATTTCTACAATAAAGTTAAATTTGTGATAATTTCCTGTGTAAATTTTCATCTGTTCTTTCTTTGTTATATTTTCATTCATTGCATATCTTTAATCTTCTTCACTCTTTCAGATACAGGTCAATTTCACAATGCCACACATCAGTGTATCGGTTTGTGGTTCAACTACAATGCAACAAACTGTGGTCTTATTCGTATGGCATCTGAACTTCAATCTCTGATGATTCATTCTTCTTGGCCTTCTCCTTCTCAAGTAAGTAAGCTCTTTCTGCGTCTGGCATTAATAATATGATAGTTTGCAGCTTTGTGTTCATCTCTTCAATTTTATCCATTAATCTGTCATTTGTGAACATGCCGAGTAAGACATTCTGAATTGTTTCCCAGCTTTCGATTAGTGGTAAAGCAATGATCACTGCTGAGGCAATTGTTCCCCAAGCTATAGCTATAACTGACCAAAATGTGAAGTATCCCTTGTTGAATTGCCCTACACAGTTGAAAAAATTCATTAGATACAGTCTATACATATATATATATATATTATATGTAAGCTAGGTTCACCCGCTGGTAGTGTAAGAATAGGCCACAAGACAGCTATGACTAGAGTGAATCCAACACCCCATTTGACAATCCATCTCTTTGCTCTAATTAGTTTTTCCTCTTTTAGCTCATCGAGAGATACCTCGCTCTTCTCCTTCTCAACCACAGTGATCTGTTTAGTCGTCTCCCAGTCATAGTTTTGTGGCCACATAAAACTACACAAAGCATGAATACCACCACCAACTAGTATAGAAACTAGGTTGCCTGTGAGCATAGGTGCATTTCTTCCAGTTGTGTCGAGGTTCACCCTTCCATACTCCACTTTAGTCACTGTCAACCATGATATAACCCCTAGCACACATCCTGTAATCGTACCGAGTATTGCACCCATCGCATTAGCTTTTCTCCATAGAAGCAAAAAAGCTATAGGAACAACAGCGGATCCAATAAACACTCCCATTGCCAAATACATCCAACCCAGAGAAACATTAGCTTTGTTCAATATCACCGCTAGAATTCCCATTAAGCATCCAAACACTAGAACAATAGTCCTCGACACTCTTAGTATCTGTTTTCCATTTGCTTCTGGATTGATGTATGTCCGGTAGATGTCATATGTGCACAATGAAGACACGGCTATTAACTCAGAAGAACCAGCCGATGTCACAGCCCTGAACACCATCAATAAACCATCAGTTAAAGCACTGGTAGGAAAAAAAAAAACGATGGAAATGAAAGTAGTTAGGCCATGTTATTTTCTTGTAGGTAAATTAAGTATTACATGAAAAGCATGGTGAGCAGGAGAACTGAGCCTCCTCGTCCCATCAAAGCAATTGCTGTTGCAGGTGGGACGAGGCCATGGCTTGCCTCGCCTGCAGTTATTGGTAGATCGAGCGCTAGTGCTCCTAGACCGAGCGACGTTGCCAAAGAGAATGGCACGGCAAACCACACCAGTCCTCCCAATAGGTAGCCTTTATGTGTTGATGATGGCCTTGCTGCAATAGCACTTACCCAATATCCCTGTAGTTATTGTTATGTTAGTATTTTGACAAGCTAACAAGAAGTGGAGAGCTTTATATTCAGACACATACATTGTCTACGAACACTGTCCCGAAATTTCCAACAATGTTGATAATGCCGAAGACCAAACCTCCGGAACTCAGCATTGTAATGTAAGACCCTTGGTAGTTCCCATTAACTGGACCACAGGATTGCCCGGGATGAGAAACTGGTTCTGTACAGATTCTTTTGCTACTTTCGACCTTGAGTAATCGATTGTACACGACACTGGGGCTGCCTAGTTCGCTGCTAGCAACGTAGACTAGATATGTGAATATGAGGAGCACTATGTGCACTGCAATTTAGAGAAACAAGAAAGGAAACATGGTGGAAAGTCAGCAAGATTTTTTTCTGTCTTTCATCGACTTAGATTGTAAGAAACCCCGTTGCGTTGTTGTCCAACCTATTACAGAGTGAATGTAACTTGCGAGGAATGTGGCTTTTAGCCCTCCGGCGAGTGTGTACACTATGACGCCGAGAGGAATGAGGAAACTCGCGGCATAGATATTCACCCCGGTGAGGGCATTCACCACAGCTGATCCTCCGAGAAGAAGCATTGCGGTGACAATAATATTTGTGAGGAAACAGAATGTTAGAAAGACAACATGTGCAGCAGTTCCCCATCTGTAGTTAGGAGAAAAACGATAAAAGACCTTGAAAACATCTGAAATGTGAGTTAGTTAAGTTAGTAGATGAACTAACCTTGCTTTGACAATCTCACACACAGTATGAGCATGAGGAGCCTTTCTTTTGATCTCAATTGCCATTACACCAAATAAGAGCACCTATTTAATTACACGGATGTCACCATCCAAACTAGCTAGTCAAGTCAAATTGAATCGAATATATATAGCAATTGATGTTAGGACATGCCTGAATGGTCGCCCCACTGGCGTACCAGAAAGGGCCGCTGATCCCATATTCCCATGCTACATTCGAGCTCTGTAAGATCGTAGCAGCCCATGTCCACTACACCAAAAATAGATAACGATCCTCATCCTAGTCTGTCTATATATACATAGAGACGTGCTGTTTTGTAGCTTGAAATTGAGCCAAGTCCAGTCCAAAGATTAAATCTAAAGTTCAATGAAGGTTTATAAAAGAAAAAAAAAAAAAAGAAACATTGAAGGCCGTTGAACGATTTGTTTGGTGGATTTTGTTTATTCTTGTTGCGGTGTTCTCAGTTATTTTAGTGAGTATTGCGTTGATGATTAATTTGTAGCAGTCTCTCGTATAGGAGACAATTGAAATGTATGTTAGTCAATTTGTTTCGCTATTCGGAATCTCTTAGGCTACCTATTTTATTTGGAATCTCCTTCTGATAGTGACGTAGAGATTTATTTCAAACTACATATTTGTTTCGAATCACATAAATTATGTCCCTTTAATCTTTAGCGTAGATATATATAGATGGATACTTAGAAAGTTACCTGGGATACGATGACACTGGCGATGAGGCCTGTCTTAACATTCCTACCTGCTGTATTGAACCATTCGGACGTGTGCCGGGAGCCGACATATCTCTTCTCCAGCCACACCTAATCCATTAAGTTTGTAGTTATACATAGAAAATTAGTAAACACAGCATCATCATTCATCAAACTTACTTACTTACCAAGAGAGAAGTGAAGACAGCAAAGAATGCCCCGAATCCTAGAATTACCGAATATCCTACCCCCTGATTGAGCACCGGTTTCCCACCGAAGAAACTGGTTTGCCGGAGACAGCCGCTGCCGCTGTCCTGGCGGTAATACCTGCCGGAGAATCCCAACGGTGGGCAGACTGAAGAAGACATGACAGTTGGGGAAGAGAAGGGGATGGGAATAGTAGAGAGTGAGGATATTTTTGCTGTTGAGGAATATAGTAAGTCAAACTAAGGATATTTTGGAGAATCTCTTGGTTTTGTCCCCAGGAAAGAATCTTGGAATATTCAGTCCTTCTCATTATAGTCATCGATATATAATCAGATGTTTTTAAATAAGTAGTTGTATTCAGTAATTATATTTTATTTAAAAGATGTAGTATTTAAATATTTACTGTGTTTTTTAGTTTACATTTTCGAATTTCAAAATATGGTGACGCAAATAAATACGCCATTGACAATTGAGTTTGTTCCAAGTCAATATTTAGCTAGGTTCTGCTTACGCAATGATATTTTTTTTTTGTATGTCAAATATATTCTCTCTCTTCCAAAATATTACACTAAAAAAGTTTACTATTTTAGGGATAGGGGTCGGAAGAATTGCTCAGTGGAACTTAATTAAACTGAATTTTGTGAGAAATTTATATTTGAATACAAATACTATTATATATTTGATATTTGTTTGTTTATTAACAATTTTTTTGGTTAATCGAATTAAATTGAATTTGTTTATATTATTATATTTTTTAAAATTTTCTTTATTAGTTATAATATATACATTAAATATTAGTAATATTTGTTTAATATATTTATACAGTTAAATATGTTTACCCTTATAATTTGTTTCAATTTGGAATGTTTGTAAATATAATTGATTAAAATCAGAAATTTTGGTTATTTATTAAATGTATTATTTCTTAAACTTGATTTGATTCAAATTATTTGCAAATAATGGAGTAGTTTACAATTTTAAATATTTGTTTAGTTATATTCGATACCAAATATTTCTATATATTTACAACTCATGCCTAACTATAATAAGCAACATTGTTGATAATGAACAGCTCATGGAATGCACTAACCACAAACCATTCGATGATTACTATTCATGCCTGCATAAATTTTCAAAATTTAAATAATAACACTAATTAAATGATAATTGAATATTTCTTTTTTACTGTAAACAAATGATGGGCAGCACAAGTTTTTGAGGCCCAATTTACTGGGTCAAATACGTGACATTGTTTCGGAGCCCATTGAAGGAATATAATTTGGGCTTGGCGGGTCTGGATCACCTCAAACCCGACCCATTTTGATCCATGTCGATAAATGGATGCTCCTTGTTCATTACGCATTAAAGGTTGTACAGTGATGGAGATCCCCGCGCCAAATCCCCAAATTTCCTACAAATACCTTAGCCATGGCGCAACAAACCCCAGAGTTGGAATCAATTTCCCCCTCCATAAACCCGAATACAAACCTCCGAAGCCGGCGAGGATCAACGCGCCGCCCAATCGACGGCTGCCGAAGCCAATCACGACCTCCTCCGACGTCCTGCGCTTGTTCGACAGCCTCAAGTTGCCGATATCCATGGACGTCTACACTTCCCTCATCAAAGAGTGCACCGAATTAGGCGACCCTGTGAAAGCCGTCGAGCTTCACCACCACATCGGAAGGAGCGGCCTCCGGTTGGACTTGCCGGCGCTCAACCGGATGCTGTTGATGTTCGTCTCCTGCGGGTGCTTTAATCGTGCCCGCCAACTGTTCGACCAAATGTTTCTGAGAGATTTCAACTCATGGGCGGTCGTGATCGCCGCCTGTGTCGAGAATGGAGAGCACAGAGAAGCTCTTAATCTGTTCCTAAGAATGCTGATCGAATTAAACGTCGAAAGCTTCGCCGATCGCCGGAATGACTTTCCGGCCGCCGGAATACTCGTCTGTGTTCTCAAAGCTTGTTTATATGCTCCCGACGTCGAATTCGGCTTCCAATTGCACGGATGGATATCGAAAATGGGGTATTCGAGAAGCGTAGTATTAAATAGTTTCTTGATTAGTTTCTACGGGAAGCTCAAGTGCTTTGACAATGCTCAAAGTGTTTTTGACCACGGCGACGATCGAAACACGGCCGTGTGGACATCGTCGATCGTGAATTTCATCCTCGACAACGACTACGACGGAGCGATCGGCGTCTTTAAGGCGATGGCGAGGGAAGGAGTTAGAACAAACGGCTACACGTTCTCGACGGTTCTCAAGGCATGCGGGAGGTCGAGGAACATAACATTCGGTCGTCAGATACACGCTAGCGCGACAAAGCTAGGGCTCGAATCGAATACGTTTGTGCAATGTGCATTAGTGAATTTGTACGGTAACTGTGGCTACGTAGACGATGCGAGGAGAGTGTTTGAAGCCGGTAGAGAAACGAGGAGCGTTGCGTGTTGCAATGCGATGCTTGCGAATTACGTGCGACACGGGTTTTGTGTCGAGGCCATTAGAGTTCTTTATGAAATGACGTCGGCGGGCTTCTCGCCGGTCGAGTCTGTGGTCACCGAATTGAGATCCGTTTGTGGGGGCGGAGAGTTTTGCGGAGTCGATCGGTAGAATGCGAATCGAATGTTGTATTCGATGAGTGTCTGAAGTCGGACAATGTTGTCACGGTGCTTCCGACCGGGTCGCGGGATCCGGCGCCGGAGTATAGCCGATGTCGTGAGGATGTTAGAATTAAGACCAAATCTTTCAAACATCGAACATAAGGTTGTCCTAAAGCTGCCTCTTTTAATGAACTCAAGGTAGTTACTACTTACTATAGTCTATATGTAAATTACAAGGTACAATTGCTACTATTTGTATGTATAATGTATTGGGATTTGGGTTTGTGTATGTGTGTATATAATTAATGGCTGCGATGTTAAGTCTCGAAACGGTGCGTTTCTTAACCATTAGAATTTTTAAGTGTAACTGTAATCAACACATTATAAGTTAGAAGCATATAATTTATAATAATATAATACATAATTTATAATAATATAATACGAATATAATAAATTAATTAATAAAATAAAAAAGAAAAATAGTTCATTCGATACATGTTATTATTGATATCAAATATATTCGTCCAATTTATAAATTTTAATTGTCATTATATTCTTATAACCAACACAACATAGAAATATTGCCCCTTTATTTGTTACATGTTGGTTAGGGCCATAATAAGAAAAAAATAGGAATGAATTTGGGTTAGTTTATCTATGATTGATTTCAACTTATTCTTGTATTATTTTCTTAAATAGAAACAAAAATATACTTATCAAATAAAAAAAAAGGCGTTGTAAAAAAAATTTATGTTCTGTTCATATAACTTTTTTTAGAATAATAAAAAAATAATAATAATAGTAGAAATTTGTATGTTTAATATTTTTATAAAAATATAAGTATTTTATATAATACTTTTCAAAAAATAATAGAATATCATTGATAACTACTGGTATTAATTTCTTTTTTTCAAATATCTATATAAATAATTTTTAGATAATAGTATTTTTATATTTACAATGAAATACTCTTGATAGCATATCTTTACTTTAAAAAATAAAAATAAAAATAAAAATGCAGTGTAATTCATTGGTGAAAATATATATATATATATATACATAAATTGAATATTATATTATCATTATCTTCTCTTTTTATTTATACTTTTCATGAGACATAGGATAACGCATTGTTTAGCCAAAAGCTTTAAAACTTTCAAAATTGTGTTATGACTCATTCATATTTTGTACGTGTCATTTAATTAGGTTATCAAGACATCACATACGATGAGTAATCATGTTATGAATTGGCTATAAATAGCCTTACTTTGTAATAAAGTTTTGAATGGGTGGAATGAAACACACGTACATATTTATTTATATATTCTTATATATATATATATATATATATTTTGTTATATATTTATAAAAAATTGAAATTTTTTATAATATTTTCTATCCCATCACAATATTATTTTATTTTCATATGAACAAGTCATTTCTATTTTGGTATGTGCCATAACAATTAATATATTTCAATTTAATAAACTATTTACCATATAATATCATATGACTTATTCGAAACTTTTTTATTTTTATCTCTTTTCTCAAAAAATAAATATTTTTAGCTACATTTAAAAGTATATATTTTTTATAAAATTCATTTATGTTAATTATAAATTTATTTTAAAACTGTCAATATTATTAATTACACAAAATAATATCATAATTCATTATTATTTAAAATTTCAATACACATAAGCATAGCAATCACTATCCAAAAATGCGCTCTGAGTAAACTCCCGACCGAATCTAATACCCTGTAAACTAAACCCGACAAGATAAGTCACACTAGGCGAACCATGTGTAGCAAATGGAATTGGAGGCGTCGGGGTTGAATGCATAACCTCACGGTGACAAATCCAACCCCTACGCAAACAAACTCATCCCTTATGGGTTGATTGATACTTTGATAATATGGGTGTGTTTGTTTGGGTTTGGATTTTTAGTTAAGATTTGAATAGTAAATTTTGATTAGAATAGTAATATGATATTTTGAATATAAAATTAATTTTTAGTATAATATTTCCTCCGTTTCAATACAATAGTCTTGTTTACGACTTTTGTTCGTCCCAAAACAATAGTCTCATATCCATAAATAATCATATTATCATAAAATTATCCATACTTTTTCATTATTATTACACAATTGCTACTATTTTTTACACTAATATATTCATAAAGTCCTTATATTTTACCAACTATTAATATAATATTAATATTTTTTATATTTTGTGTCCGACACAATATGACTATATTTTTAAAAAGAATGAGTATAAAAAATAAAAAATTAAGTATTTGATTTGATATTTTAAAAAGAAAAATTTGGATAAATAATAAATATCTTCACAAATCTCTCAAACAAACACGGCTAAATGTATTTTAACTTGATTCACGTTCCACTTGCTACAAATGGATAAAGCTAGAAGTTGGTAGAGCTCTAAGTTCATAATTACGTCCTGGATTTAGGATTTGGATGCCTAAATTTTCAAATATTAATATACTATGTGTATGTTCGGGGGTTTGGATTTTGAGTTGGGATTTGAATAGTAAAAATTTTGAATTTGAATAGTTGTATGATGTGATATAAATAGGTGTTGATATGATGTTTTGAATGTAAAATTGATTTTTAGTATAATATAAAAAATGAAAAATAGGTGTTTGATTTGATATTTTTGGGGGAAAAAATTGAATGAATAGTAGAAATCTTATTAAATCCCCCAAACAAACACACCCATAGAGAATCTCCAACAAAAGATTGTATGAGCCTACAATGTTATTAAACAAATGTAAGCTCCATTAAGATATGAACTTAATTTTCAAAACACTATTGATTATACAATTATATACTTTTTTTTTTTTTTTTTCACTAAAATAAATTTATATATTCATAATTTTATTACTCTTATTTTAACAAATAACCAAATATGTCATTATTTTTTTCTATTTATATATTTTTCTATTAATCCATTAATAAATTTCATATAATACTCTCGTTATACTTTGTAACATACTTTAATTTAATATTAAAATATCTTATTTTTAATCTTCGTATCCAATTAAATTTATATGATTTTACCTGATAAATAGTGTATAATATTTTATAAAAAAATAAATTTAAATAGTAATTGAATAAATGAGCCACAAATTTACGTTACACATGTATCATGTCATATCCAACTTGAAATCGAAAGGATCTTTCAATAAAATGTGCACTCCAAAGGATAAAATAACATTAGCAATAGTTTAGTCCCGTAAGGGATGACCTAATGGTGTAAGGATTGGGCTTGTGATTATGAGATCATGGGTTCAAAATCCAAACGCCTCAGGTCACCTGCCACACATGATTTGCCTAGCCTGACTTTCCGATCAGGCCTGGTTTGCAATAGTTTGTCTAAACTATTAATCACTACTGACTCAATCATTAAACATGTTTGGTTGGTATTTTTTTATTTTTTATTTTTTCTTTTGAATTTTAGTTTTGAATGATCGTTTGGAATATGTGAATGTTTTGTAAGAATAAATAATATATTTTTATAGAGAATCGTAAAAATTGAATATCAACAGTTTTAAAAAAATATGTCCGAAAGAACAAATTGAAAAATTAGGGCATGTTCTCGTTTCTATTTAGTTGAATCTAATATATATATATATAATTTCTTTAAAGAATAATAATATTAATTGTATAATAAAGAAATTGTAAAAATAAAATAAAATGAAAGTGCAAAGCTTTACTATACAAGGAAAATAATCTTCAAAATTATAAACGAGCAAAATACTCCATCACCCACTCATAAATAATACTCCATATGTTACATAAAAATATGCTCTTTTTCATTTTTATGTCTTTGTCATAATATATTTATTTATTTTTAATAATAAAATTAAAAATAATAATATTTTATTAATGAGTAAAAATATGTAATATAATTTTAATATTCTACTTTTATATTATAAATCAAATTAATAATTTTATAGACATTAAAAGTATTTTGTTGTTTATAAATGAATTAATACATTTAAATAAACATTTAATTTGGAAGAGAGAAAAAAACATACAAATATGAAGTAAGCATATCTAATTTTAATGAACGTTAAAAAGTAGAATAAAGTATGAAAAAGTAAATGTGACAAGAAAAATCAATATACACAAGTACAACTATCGTAAGGTTATGGGTTCAAATCCCTGACGCGGTCACCTGTCACACATGATTCATATAGTGTGTTTTTTCTATCGGATAGTGGATGCGAAATCCCATGTCATAAAAAAAAAAAAAAAAAAAAAATTATTGAAAATTTATCAATATATACAAGTACAACAAAAGTCATTTCCCCAAACAATACACATCATCATTCCACCTACAATATATAAATTCACAAACAAACTTATTAAAGATTTGTTTTTTTAACCAATTTTTTTCAAATTTTATTTTTAGTACTCTACGGGACTTTGTATTTCTCATAATTATATATATTTTTTCTTTTACATAATATTTCATCAAATATTATTTTAATATCAAACTCAAATAATTAATTAATTAATTAGATAACTTTCCTTAACAAACAATCCATGGAAGCCATAAGGCACTCTTCCGGGCAACCTTACCTTAGCAACAATGTCTAAATCCTCACTTTTTGCGTCCATTATTAACAACCACGACTCTTCCCGGTGTTCATCGTGCATATATGTCACTAAGTACCCGTCGTCCTCCGCCGCTCCCGGAGTTTCAGGATCCCTCGCCACGAATTGGGGCTCGCCCCCATAGCACCCTGGACCGTACACCCGGCTAGCCACCGTGCAGTCCGGCCACGTCGTCGGGGACTGCAAATCGAGCTTCACTATTCCAGCTGCCTTTGGCATTTCTTCTATTATTGCAGCGTATACGTATCTGTAAAAAATATTTGGATCCATAATTAATAAGGATATGCATTGGCTATATATTCTCAATGTTTCACTTAAATATTTTAGATTAGGTACGGAGTTTTAGGTATTGAAAAATTGATAAGTAATTAAGAAATGTATTAATAAAAATAATTATAGATTACAATTAATTAAAATGATTAAATAGTTTAATTAAAATAAAAAAAATTATAAAGTATGAATTTAAAAATGCATAATTATATTTTTTTAAAAAAATTACCTGTGACGGACGAAAAGAGAAAGAATGGACAAATTAAATGGAACGAAATATATATTTTAATTTATGTTAGTTGTAGTATTAGATTGTTAATAAAAAAAATAAAATATTTTTTATTGAAAATTATTACTTTTTGTGAATATATAAATTATATATTGTGTGAATTTATGTATATATATACTTTATTATTCATCTGCATTATAACTTAAAAAAGATAACCTTAAATATTTATATTTATTATTCTTTCCGTTCCGCATAATTTGTTTTTATTTTTATTTTTTTCTCTTCTACATAATTTATCTTTTTTTTCTAAAAAAAATTGATTATACACTTTAATCATATTTTAAAATTTAAAATTTAATTTTTTAATCTTAATTAAACTATTTATATATCTTAATCTTAATTTATAATTATTTTTATTAAATAATAATTATTTTTATTAATACATTTTTTAATTACTTATTAATTATATTTATTATCTAGAACGCAGGGTGTATGAAACATTGCCTTAAATATTATGGGTGTGTTTGTTTGGGGGTTTGGATTTTGATTTGGGATTTGAATAGTAAAAATTTTGAATTTGAATAGTTGTATGATGTGATATAAATATGTGATGATGTGATATTTTGAATGTAAAATTGATTTTTAGTATAATATAAAAAATGAAAAATAAGTGTTTGATTTGATGTTTTTGGGAGAAAATTTTTGGATAAATAGTGAAATCTCGTGCAAATCCATCAAACGAACACATTAATTTTCAAAATATCAAAATTTCTAAAAGTTCCAAAAACCATAAATAGAGGTTATATAAGGCTCCTTTAGATAAACAATTTAAAACTCTTATATATTTAATAAATATATATATATATATATATATTAATTGCTGATGAATAGCGTAATTGACTAATTGTTTGAGCATGCCTGTTAATAATTTATACCGATTTTGCTTTCCGGCGTAAGCCGGATTGATGACTCCAAACTCCAAATTCATCTTCGGACACAACGCCTGTCTTCCCACAACCTCCTTTGTCCGTACATCAATGGCGACTCTTTCCACCACCGACCGGAACGAACTTATCCTCTCCAGACCGTCCTCGATCGACAAAACGTTCGGCGCCACCACCACTACTCTCCCGCCGGAATCCTCGTCCCACGCGTTTATCACGTGCATCATATTGAATCCCGGCGCCTCCACCCACACCAGCTCCCTCTCGTCCTCCGCCCGCCGCGGCAGAATTCCGACGCGCGGCCTCTTCCCGCCGTCGTACACCACCGGCGACCTCCCCCTCACGATCTCCGCCGCCCTCACCACCACCTGAATATCCTCGAACACGATAAACCTTTCCGTCACCGCGAAATCGTGCACGAACGACGGCCCCGCCGTGGAAATCGCCACGCCGCAGCCGCCGCCGGCGGCGACGGCGAGCTTACTCCGCCGCGAATCGATTTTGAAAAATGTCAGAAACGGCGGAAATATGTCGCAGCTGAAGGCGAAAGTCTCTCTCGTCGCCGGATCCGTCTTCGGGTGGGCGGTCATCCTCAACGGCGGATCTCCGGCGCCGGAATCGAAACCCTGCCGGCCGCCGGTGACAATATCCCCAGCCGGCGTCACTTTCACGGCGTACGGAAGGTCCGTCTCACACAGCGCGAAAAGCCTCCCGCCAATCAAAGCCAAGCTCGTGTTCGCCGTACCGAACCCGGTTCGCCGCGGATCGAAAAAACCGGCGGCGGCTCGGGCCACCGCCATCGCGGATCGGGCCAAGGAGGCCCAAAGCCCGTTGAAAGACGAGAACGGGCTCGGCAATATAGGGTGCCCTAGCTCCATCTCCACCACGAATTTATGCGTCCGTACATAACGGCTACAAAACGTCGCCGTTCCGTCGGAAATTCTGACGCAGTGAAGCATCCCGTCGCCGTCGAACAAATGGTACGGTCCGGTCGCCGGAACGAACTGAGGATTCGGCCCGTTGCGGATGTACGCGCCGTCGAGAGCCGCCGGTAGAGCGCCGCCGTCCGCCACTCGGCACGGCGTCGGCGGAAGCTCTCCGACCGGCGCAAAATTCCCCGACAGGACGCGGCGGGGGTCGATCGACGGCGGCAGCGGCGAGGCGTCCATGAAGGTGCAGATAAGGTCGTCCATGGATTTGAAGATTGTGGTGAGCAGAGAGTGCTTTGTCAGAGCGGTAGAGGTTCTTATGACAGCAGCAGCAGTAGCATCAATGGCGGCGCCATTGATGTTTGATTGGTAGGAAGAAGACGAGGATGTCTGAGCAGTTAAATTAGTTGGAATCTGAGGGTTTCTAGGTTTCGGCAATGGCGGAAAACTGATTGGAGGGGATGAAGAAGAGGAAGAAACTACGTACATCATTTTTCGTGCTTAGATGTGTGTCTAAATATGCAATTAATGTCTGTGTTTATGTTGTATTTATAGTACGGCTCATGTGGTTTAACATGTGTTTAACTGTTCTTCAGTTTATGTTCGTACTATTTATTTATTTATTTATTTTCAGATTTATGTAACATATGGATTATTACTTAAATAGTAGGCTAAGGTAAGATTTTTTTCAGATTTATGTAACATATGTTTCTTCACTTTGAATATTTGTTTGGTTACTTGGCATGATAAGGGTATATTCTTTTGCGATTTTATATTGAAATAATAATATTTATTTTGAATCATTTTTAACAAAAATATAATATTTATTCTCACCAAATATAATATTACAATACTATTTAAGCAAAATCTAAAAAAAAGTAATAAAAAAATATATTTAATTAAAATCAAAATTCAATCCGACAAAAAATCTAAATTAAGTAAAAACAAATTACTTTCAAAGTAATTACTACTTCTGTACAATATAAAAATGAAAAAATAATGTATCTTAACTAAAATTGGACAATAAATACACTCACAGTGTGCATATATATACATATTATATATTATATATATCATTTCCATTTTCTGAATTTTCCCATATGTTTCCCAAATTTACCGTGCTTGAACTTACCATGCTTCTTGAATTTCCCTCCAAAATGCCCTCCCATTCCCATATGCCCATAGTGTCCATAGGGCCCATGATGTCCATGGTGACCGCCGTGGGCCAGCGCCGCCGCCGCCGCTGCCGCCGCACCGCCGGCAAGTATTCCTCCAAACCCTGCTACCAATGCCCAATTTATGTAGAAAACTCAAAAAACTGAATTAAAAGTAAATTTATATTCTCAAATGTCAAAATAAAAATAATGATATTTTGATATAAAATAAGTTTGGTAAAAAGTAGACTGCTACCTCCGTTTGGCTTTAAAGTCTCATTTACTTTGTACGTGTTGATATTTGAATATTAATTATTATATCAAAACGTAATAAATTAAAAAAAAATTGTAAAAATACTTCAATTAATGTATTATAATACTAATAGAATGAGATTTCTAAAAAATATAATATAAATATAAAAATATTTTTAATAGTAATCACGTTGACGCAAAAGGTAAATGTGACTCCTAGAGGCGAACGAAAGGAGTATAAAATATTACTTCCTCCGTCCCAGCTAATTTGTTCCATTTATATTAGAAACGGAGTTTTGAATATTATGTAATTAGTGAGTAATTAAGAAGTGTATTAATAAAAATAATTATAATTTAATAAAAATAATATTTAATTAAGATTAAAATGACTAAATAGTTTAATTAAAATAAATAAATTATAAATTATGAATTTTAAAATATGATTAAAGTGGAATTTTTTTTTTTTAAAAAAAGACAAATTAAATGAGACAAATAAAATAGAAATAGTGAAATTAAGTGGAAAGAAGAGAGTATAAGAAATTTATTAAAATATTAATAAAAGATAATGTGATTAGTAGAAAAAATAGTGATAATTTATTATTATTTGTTAAAATAAAAATAATAAAATTACGAGTGATAGAATTATTTATTATAAATAAATTATATAAAATTAACAAACAATAAACAATTAAAAAAAAATACGGTATAATTGCAGCGGACGGGGTGTACAAAATATTTTATTTATTTCTAATTAAAGTAAAATAAATACCTTTATGTGGATTAGAGGAGCCAGCATGGTAGCCTGGGGCTGGGTAGCCTGCATTTGGAGGGTATCCCTGTGGGTACCCTGTGGGAGGGTACCCATGAGGTGGGTAACCATGGTTGGGTGGATAACCATGAGGTGGGTAACCCCCGGGTTGTGGATACTGATGAGGATACCCACCCTGATGAGGATAGCCTGGATAGCCTGGTGGTGGGTACCCTTCCGGAGGATAGCCACCAGGCGGCGGGTAGCCACCGCCGCCGCCGTACGGTGGCGGAGGGCCTTGGTGGCCGCCGGAATAAGGGATCATGTTTTTGTCGGATTTTCCATCCTCTCCACCTCCCATTTTGTATAAGTGCGTAGTATATCTCGATTTTGACTTTGAACCAAGAATATATATATATATATGTATGTGTATGTGTATGTATATGAGTGATAATAAATTTGGTGACCTGAAAATGTGCATGCAATGTGAGGACATGCACAAATTTCTGAACATCACTAGAAATATTATAAAACAATATATAACTAGAAATAATTTTAGAAAAATTTAAAGATATAATTCAATTATAGTAATTCATAATATTAAAAACAAATTCATGTAATCAGCATGAATTCCGTGTAAAAATAATAGTCGGATTACATTATTAAACGAGGTTGATCACAAATTTTTACTCAAGTTCATAGTAAAAAACAGTATAATCTATAATTAATTTGAGCAAATGTAATATATTCATATAATAAATTATATAATTTTATTGAATACTTTATGTGTTGTTAATGTTCGGTGTAATGTGGATTAAAAAAATAATATGTATTGGAAAAGTAAAATAAAAAAACAAAAAGATAATTGAAAGAATTTTTGAAAATTTAATGAGTAATTAAAAATAATAAAAATAAATAATATAAATAATTGTATTAAATAAATATTGAATAAAGAATAATAATTAAATAGTATAATTTTTTTTTTATCAAAATTAATAAACAAAGCCGGAAGAGCCCAGGCATACGCTTATTTTAAACGGTCTAATTCTGGGCTGGATTTAAATGGACCGGATCAACTAGCCCATTGGATATCTGAAATATTTACCCAAGCATGTGTACGGAAGCGAGACCCAAAAGCATTTTCCGGGTCGGGTTATGTAATGTGGGCCTATAGAAAAATTTGGGTTAGCTTCTGAAGGTTGTACTTCTATTCGGACTGACCGCTGAATTACCGTTTTCCGTCGCCGTTGAATGCCAAACTGATCCGCAGATCTTAGCTGGGAACCGAATCCAGGGAAGGTTTTGGGAATCGGCGGACGATATACGTGTAGGTGTGCGTCTGTAGGTTGCCGGAATTTGGAGAGGAGGGGAGGAAATGGGGACGGCAACCGCATTAGCGCCGGGGCTGTCGCGGAAGCTGAAGAAGGTGTTGGAGACTCGCACGGACGCCCCCGATCTGCTCACGTCGCTCAACACTCTCTCCGAATTTTATTCCGAGAACACTGCTCATGGCCGCAGGAATCTCCGATCCACAATCGAGAAGCGTGGTCTCTCCATCAATGAGGAGTTCCTTGCCGCCTCTGCCTCCGCACAACAGGTGCGTGCTGAAACAGTTTACAGCTGCCTTTATGCTTCTTTGAAGCGTCTGTTGATCTAGTGTAAGTTTTTATTGTAACTGCATTATCAAACGAGGACTTGTATGATCTGCTACAATAGTAATTGCACTGCTGCTGGTACCTTGTTGTAGTAGGTAAGCTGATGTATCAAAATGTTTATTTAGAGCTGGTTATATTTGGTTTGTTAGTGATTTCAGAGCATCTGGGAGATAATTGAACTAAGTATTAGGAGCCTAGTGTATAGTTCTTCCTTTATTTATATACACAAAATGTCACTAAGTAAAATAAACAAAGATTTTCTTGATCCAAATTTGCCTCTGTACAACAGTCAAGCGTGTCACCACTTCAAGCCACAACCACCTACTAATTGAAGTAAATCCCTGAAATTTTTTGCTCCTTATTGTTAATTAGATTAAGTGATCCTTGGATTAGAGTATTATGAATGGAACTTATGTTTTACATTCGTCACAGTTGCATCAATTACATGGTTGCCCGTCAGTATCATTTTTTTATTGTTTTTCTTCCCCGAAAATTATGTATATGAAGAGAACTTGTATATCAATACTCCTAGTGAGTAGGTGCCATCTACTTCTGTAGTTTGATCATTCATCAGATGATATAATTTTATTGGTCACTGTAGGCAGTGGCTAGTTATCTTTTTCTCCTGTTATTTATTTGTTTATTTTGGTTGGAAAGCAATCTTATTGCATTTTGCTTGTTCTTTTTAGGCTTTGGACTGTGTTGAGGAAGAGGTCAACTCCCTGGCTGAATGTTGTGATAAGTATGGATTTCATTCTCGTAATTTTTCTGAAATGCATATTTTTATCTTATTTTTGCCATCTATAGTGTTCTCTGAGGTGAGCTAACCAGGTCCAGGTCCAGGTCCATAATTTTGCTCATGTTCTTGAATGGTGAGAACTAGTAATTGAAATATCTGTGCTAGAAGATTGCTGATGTGTAGATAATGAAGTTAGGTTTGGCAGAGGTACATAATTATTAAGTAAACAGTCTAGGTTATAAATATGTCAATTATTTTGAAAGCTTTAAGCCTTTGAGCCTTGTGTTGTTTCTCCTTGAAGTGGGTTTATTTTATCCTTTGGCTTCATCTACATTCCGCAAAATGTTCTTTAATTCTAGCCACTTATTCTAATAAGTATTATTGCCCTTGAGCATTTCACATGCATTGCACATGAAGAAAAAAGTTTATATACTAAGAACAGATAACAGGTTCATCAGTTCGTCGCCTGACTTTTTACTTTCTATTCTAGGATTGCAAAAGCTTTAAGCAATTGTAATGCTACTACTGGTGATATTATCAGTACCACTGAGAGGCTTAAACAGGAACTTGAAACTACTATGCAGAGGCAAGAGATAGCATCATGCTTTCTTCGTGACTATCAGCTTTCTAATGATGAAGTATTGGCCAATGCTCTTTGACCTAAATCCAAAATTTGAGTTCAATTAAATTGATTATATTCAAATATTCTTTCTTGTAACTATTCTTGTTAGATAAATGCATTGCGAGAGGAAGAATTGAGCGAAGACTTTTTCAAGGCACTGGCTCATGTTCATGAAATACACGCAAATTGCAAAGTATTGCTTAGGACACACCACCAGGTTTGTCATCATTACCCCTCTTTCTTTGATTTATATTCTTGCACATACTCACGCATATATACTCACAGAGAATTCTATTCCTTGACTTTCCGAAAAGAAGATACTTCTATTAGTTGCCAATTTGTTTTCAATGATGTCGATATGATGACTCCTAATTAAGTACACACGAACACATGCATATATTCTCTTATTATATGAATCTTTAAATATAAAATTTTTGGACATTAATTTTGCAATAACATCCTGCAGAGGACTTAATGCCTATGAGAATGAAGACCATATGGATGTATATTGGGTCCACACTCCATTCATTACCACCAAAAAATAAAACAAAACAAAATAAAATAAAAACAATTCGAGTCATTAGCGCTCATAAGTCATTGCAGACCTGAATTTTCATTGTGACATATATCATCACAATCACATTATTGTGGGTCCATTAAATATCGTGCTGATTTTATATGGCAATTGAAATGTTGGAAGTTTTGATAGCATGAGGTTAAAGTTGTTGATGTCCACTACCAGTGTACTTAAAGTAAGATGGAAGTAATTGTAAGATTTTAAATTATGAATATTATGGGCCATTGCAGAGATGGAAGTCTACAAATGGGAGTAATTTGTTTTTAATGGCTTTCTTGCCTTATACTTATGAGGTCCCCAAAATTTGATGTATTCTTTGATGTGTTGCTTTCTAAATAATAATTTCAGCATAAAATGAAATTCATTTTAAGACTCTTTACAGCGAGCAGGTTTGGAGCTTATGGATATGATGGCTGTCTACCAAGAAGGCGCTTATGAACGACTATGCAGGTAAACCTTGCAGTTGCTGGGTGGCTTGAAACACACAGACACTTCTTGTAATAATAAGTGTGTTTATATTTATTACTATATCCTTACAATAACATTATATTCTGCTTATGTGGTTCTGGGTGCATGCATGAACATCATATGCCCTGTTTTTCCTTCTTTTAAAAAAGTATAAAATTGGCAATAAACTAAATGCTGCATTTTATTACTTGCCTGTTTTAATGCTATTGCTTTCATAATTTTGTCTTCTAATACTATGATAATTGTCCATCATTTTTGCACTCAGAAGGCAATTGAATTCATAGTAGTATTTAGTAATAACACGATAAATCAAGTAAACAAATGAAATTTAAAAGATTTATTTATTTATTGAAGTTTATGAATCTGTGACTCTATCCCACCTTTTACATTAAACTTCTCCATCTATCCACTTGGAATCCTTTTGGCCTTGGAAGTGCCCTACCCTTGCCCCTGATTTAGCTTCTGCTAATTTTCTTCTTTCTTCTGATTTCACGACATATATCCCCTTTTCATGGCAAAAAATTAAGCATCAACCTTTTCTCCAATAGTAATGGATGACCAGTATGGTGTCACTATATGTATAGTTTAGTCTGTAAGCATGCATGAGAATTAGCATTAGCAAACATGATATTGAAAAGGCATTGTTAGATAATAATTGGAATTGTTTCTAGAACATCTTTCTAGACTTTGAGCAAATAAACTAATGTGTTAAAAATTGCCCAAGCATAACCATGTGATATAATCTTTGACTATAATAAGCATTGCTTCATTTATACTTGTGTTAATACCTTTCGATTCTTCTTTTCCTCGTATCTAGGTGGGTCCAAGCTGAATGTAGGAGACTTGGGGATATTGATAATCCTGAAGTTAGTGAACTCCTAAGAACTGCTGTGCGATGCCTCAAAGCAAGACCAGTACTTTTCAAATACTGCGCAGAAGAGGTCGCAAATATGAGACACAATGCACTCTTCAGAAGATTCATCAGTGCCCTTACTCGTGGAGGACCTGGTGGATTACCTAGGCCAATTGAAGTTCATGCTCATGACCCTTTAAGATATGTCGGCGACATGCTAGGATGGCTGCATCAGGTAGGTTTATGTAATTTATTAGCCATTTAGTAGCTGTATTCATTTTCCAAATTTGGTATTTTACGCTTGGTTATTTTTTCCCATTTCTTTGGCTTACACAGGCCTTGGCATCTGAAAGAGAACTTGTCTTAGCTCTGCTCGATCCTGATTCAGTGGCAGATACCGGACCAATTGCTCAAAGGTTCTTGAAAATCTCAGAGAATGATTTGGGAAAGACAGAACCAGACTTGACGTTTGTTCTAGACCGTATCTTTGAAGGAGTTTGTCGGCCATTTAAAGTGAGAGTTGAACAAGTTTTGCAATCACAACCAAACCTTATAATTTCGTACAAGCTTAGCAGCACTCTGGAATTTTACAGCCACACAGTGAGTTTACTCGATTCATGCCTAAACAGTTCATGCTATTGTAACTGTTGTTTTTCTTATTCTCCGACCTTAACCCGTTGCCTGCAGATATCAGACTTGCTAGGAAGGGAAACTGCTCTCAGCGATACACTCTGGGCTCTCAAGGATGCTGCTCAAAAAACATTTTTCGACATACTAAAAGCCCGTGGAGAGAAGCTTCTTCGATATCCACCACTAGTTGCTGTCGATCTTTCTCCACCTCCAGCACTAAGGGAAGGTGTTTCAGTGCTCCTTGAAATAATCGAAAATTACGACAGTATGATGGTTCCTGTGTCCGGGAAGAAGCCTGCCTTTGAACCCGTTATATCTGCTTTGCTGGATCCTATTATTCAGGTGTGTTTTAAGTATCGCTTTTTGAATGGCTTTCCCAGCTGCTGAGCTCCGATAGATTATCTTCCGATCTTTGAAGATTGCCTATCTGTTGTCTGATTGATTCGATAGTGAAGAATCTGCGTAATTAACATCGATATCTAACTTTGTTCGGCACTCATCGATTGATTTACTGTTCCTTGTGTTCAGATGTGTGAACAAGCAGCAGAAGCACACAAATCCAAAGGCATAACTCCATCGCCGAGAAGAATTAAACCAAGCCCCGACGCATCTCAACTACGCAGATCGTCTATAGACGCCATCTTAGATAATGGCTCGTCTGCCCTTTCGACTCAGGTATATATATATGTATATGTATATATCCATGTTCGATTTTCCTACACTCTCAAGCTATTCAACCATGCATTTGCTTCTTTCCCCACAGATCCGGGAAACACCTTCGAGAATCTTTCTGATCAACTGCCTCTGCGCCATCCGACAACCATTGCTAGGCCACGAGGTTGCCTCCGACTACGTGAAGAAACTCGGGTCCATGATCGAAACCCACATCCGCGGTCTTGTCGAGAAGGAAGTCGACGCAATCCTACGAAAATGCGGGCTATCAACCAAGATGCCTCACTTCTATGGCTCATTCAAGGATGGCGACCGGAAACCACTGGCTGAGACGGAGGGCATGTCCCCGGCAGCTCTCTCGGAGTGTCTCAAGGCTTTCTTTGGCCTCGTTTTGGGGAGTGAAAGTTCCCTGCCGGAGTTTGAACAGATGCAGGTGCCGAGCCTGCGATCGGAAGCGTGCCTTCAGCTGGCTAAGTCTCTGGCCGAAGCTTATGAAGTCATTCACAAGGCGATCATGGATCCGGAAAACGGGTACCCAGATCCCCGGACCCTGGCCCGGCATCCTCCCGATCAGATCCGGACCATTCTGGGAATATGAATACGAAGGTAGAATATATGCATACATGTAAGTCATTCGCCGTTATAAGTTTTATAGCATTATTCGGTGTATTTAGGACTTCCATCATGTTGTGCTTGTTTGTGATATCGATCTTGCTTCTATGCTATTAGACAATTTATAATAAATATTTTTTTTTATTATAAATAATATTGTTAAAATATTACAAAACTTTTTACATTTGAGAATATTATTAGGCTAATAAGTTTGGAAATGAATTGAATTACGGAAATTTGTATGATGTTGGGCTTGGCTGGTGGCAGCTTTACTGAATTTTCTTACCATTATTATTACTACTATTTGAAAGTAAATAATTACTTAAAATAAAATAAAATAAAACATTTAAAATATAATTATAATATATAATTATTTTTTATAAAAATAATTTATTTAAGATTAATCGAAATAAAATATTTTATTATCTAAAATATGTATAAGTTTATACTCTCTTCCAAAAAATATTATTTCGTCTATCTCAAAATAATAATTTTATTTTTATTTTTTTTAATTAATTTTTTATTTTTTTATTAAATTATCCTTTGCTTTTTGCAATAATTATATAAAATAGAGTAATTTGATTTTTAGACACTTTTACACCCACCTTTCGTGCCCAATATTTTTTTATTAATATTATGATGAATTTTTTGAATAATATTATTTATAAAAAAATTATATTTAAATATATATATATACAAAGAGAGAAATAGCAGGAATTTGCAAGGAGAGAGAGTTGGAATTTGTAAGTTGTAACCCTAGGCAAGAATCAAGACCCAGTTGGGCGTGTGGCCACCACCGTTGCCGTCTTCACGCCCATTCTCTTTCTCTCTCTCTGGATTACTCGCATCACATCTCCTTTCCCTCTTCTGCACGCCTCTTCCTGATATCAAATCTTAGGGTTAGGGCTTTGATTTTCATCGATATCACTTGAATTGGGAGCGATGTCGGATCAGAAGTTGACTCGTATTGCAATTGTGAGCTCCGACAAGTGCAAGCCCAAAAAATGTCGTCAGGAGTGCAAAAAGAGCTGCCCTGTCGTCAAAACAGGTAAACTTCCCAATCTGCGAATCTTTGTCGGCGGTTTCGCTGCGCGATTTTGTTTCCTGTCTCTTTGTTGTCGCGTAATCGATTGATTTTGTGGAGTAAAGTCTATGTTAATTCTTATTGGTCGAATAAATTATTGCACTGCCTTCATGATGTGATTGCACACTGTCTTCGGTTGCACCTTCCAATTGAGGAAGGTGTAGAAAGGATATTTTTGGTTGAATTGATGATTCAAGTTAGAAACTAGTTTGTATTGACCTTATGGATTGCTGCAGATGAAAATATCTGTTACTTAGTGCTATGAAGTTAATCAATTCCTTTCCTATTCTTTTTAGCTGTACTGCTGTATGTTTCCAGGTAAACTTTGCATTGAGGTGACTCCTGCAGCGAAGATTGCTTTCATCTCAGAGGAATTGTGCATTGGATGTGGTATCTGTGTCAAGGTACGATTGAATCCAAACATTCATTAAGAACATATTATTCGAACTCATCTAGATATGATGTTAACTGACATTTTCGAGATGGATCTTTGGTTTTCCAGAAATGCCCATTTGAAGCAATTCAGATTATCAATCTACCCAAAGACTTGGATAAGGACACTACCCATCGATATGGTCCAAACACCTTTAAATTGCACAGGTTGGATCAAACTGCAGTTTTCCTTATTGATTGTTGTTTGGCTGCTTAGTTATTGGATTGCCATACGTATTTCTTATCAGGTTACCTGTTCCGAGACCTGGGCAAGTTCTTGGCTTGGTTGGAACAAATGGCATTGGAAAATCAACTGCACTCAAAGTGTTGGCTGGAAAGTTGAAACCGAACTTGGGACGCTTCAATGTAATTTCCTTGACCTAGTAAAGTCCATACAATATTTTTAGATGGAACCTATTGCTGAATCCTGAACTTATTCTGAATATTCATCTTCTCCAGAATCCTCCTGATTGGCAAGAGATTTTGACATACTTTCGAGGATCTGAGCTGCAAAACTACTTCACTCGTATCCTTGAAGATAATTTGAAGGTAATTTTCGATAAAAATGTTGAGTCAGAATCCCTCGATCATATTTATATTTTGTTTCATTCAAGCATTTGGTGCTTTATTTGATAAAGACAGTCGCTATCTAGAAAATTTTTTTCGATATGTTTAGTTTGGTTGTTTAGCTAATAAAACTGAGATTAGCTTGGTGGTTCCTCTTGTATATTGCAACCATCGTTGTCTGTAATATGTTAAAGTGAAACGGAGTAGAACAATGTGAGCTGAAAAAAAATAAAATTTGTTCTTTTAGCTTATATTCAAGTTCAAATTAATCTTTTATAATCTCCCTCTGCCTTCTAACATAAAATTTATACTTTGCATAGACTACTGCTTATTGTAGTTTCTTTGTTACCTATTCTGTTATATCACATAGGCAATCATCAAGCCACAGTATGTTGACCATATCCCGAAAGCTGTTCAAGGCAATGTTGGTCAAGTCCTTTCACAGAAAGATGAGAGAGAGGTAAAAGAAGAACTTGCTGTTGATCTTGAGCTGAATCAAGTTATGGACCGGAATGTGGGAGATTTATCTGGTGGAGAGCTTCAGAGATTTGCAATAGCTGTTGTCGCTATCCAGAATGCAGAGATATATATGTTTGATGAGCCATCCAGTTATCTCGATGTGAAGCAGAGGCTTAAAGCTGCCCAAGTTGTAAGATCATTGCTCCGGCCTAATAGGTTTGTGACATCCCTAAGTTCCTGATTATAACTTTTGAAGCTTCAGCACCATCTGAATCTGGTCTTACATGTTCTTTGTTGGCATTTTCAGCTATGTGATAGTCGTGGAGCATGACCTTAGTGTGCTCGATTATTTGTCTGACTTCATCTGCTGCCTTTATGGGAAACCTGGTGTGTATGGGGTGGTAACCCTTCCTTTCTCTGTTAGAGAAGGAATTAATATATTTCTTGCTGGATTTGTCCCGACTGAGAATCTAAGATTTCGGGATGAATCACTTACATTTAAGGTAAACCCAAATTCTATTATTTATTGCATTCGGTGGAAAGAACCAGCTGATTGAGATTTTGAGAATAACTAGCTTCCTTTTCCAGGTTGCTGAGACTCCCCAAGAAAGTGCTGAAGAAATCGAGACATATGCAAGGTATAAGTATCCGACCATGACGAAAACCCAGGGAAACTTCAAGCTTAAGGTCATGGAGGGTGAATTCACCGACTCTCAAATAATTGTGATGCTTGGTGAAAATGGGACGGGGAAGACTACGTTTATCAGAATGCTGGTATATGTTTTATATCTCTCTCTATATATATATATGCTTGATAATCAGTTTGTTTTAAAATTGCTAATACCCGTCTTAATGGTAGGCTGGCCTTTTGAAACCTGATTCAGTCGAAGGATCTGATGTCGAAGTCCCTGAGTTCAATGTCTCTTACAAGCCGCAGAAGATCAGCCCGAAATTTCAGTCTACTGTTAGAATGCTGTTACATCAAAAAATCCGCGATTCCTACATGCATCCTCAGTTTGTCTCAGATGTCATGAAACCTCTCTTAATCGAACAACTGATGGATCAAGAGGTTGTGAATCTTTCTGGTGGAGAATTGCAAAGGGTCGCCCTGACTCTCTGTCTTGGAAAGGTTAACTTTTATCTTCGTATAAATATTCTTGTCAATTCCTCCCTTTTACAAATCGGTGTTGCTGAGTAATAACATGATCTTGTCCGATCATTAGAATATTCTAAAGAAAATGAATGATAAACGATTGATATATGTATGGATGCGCTAATAGTATATTTATTATCTACTAATATCGATTTTCACTGTATTGGTGTCTTGCAGCCGGCCGACATATATTTAATAGACGAACCAAGTGCATACCTCGACTCCGAGCAACGTATCGTCGCTTCAAAGGTTATAAAGAGATTTATCCTCCACGCAAAGAAGACGGCATTTGTTGTCGAGCACGATTTCATCATGGCAACATATCTCGCTGACAGAGTGATTGTGTACGAAGGGCAGCCGTCCATAGATTGCATTGCCAATTCACCTCAATCGTTACTAACCGGAATGAACCTTTTCTTATCCGTAAGCTTCCAATCCCTTAGTTCTTACACAATGTTTGTATTTTGCCCGTGTTACTAATGCAGTCCTTTGATGTCGACGCAGCACCTCGATATAACATTCAGACGGGACCCAACTAATTACCGCCCCCGAATCAACAAACTGGATTCGACCAAGGATCGCGAGCAGAAGACCGCGGGATCGTATTATTATTTGGACGACTAACGAGTGTTAAAAATGTCGGAAAACTGTTCGACCCTCTCTTCTTCATATCAGCTCGTGGATGTTGATGGATAGCGAAAATGTTTGTCGTAGTTGACGTGGAAGTCGAGGGTTAAGTCATGCACCGGAGGTGGGTTTTTTACGGGACGGCGTGTGGACATTTGTCGCCTATTATTGGTAAGCTTTCCGGTGAGTTCTTTCGTGTTCTTTTCTCGGCCTGTTTTGGCTGTTTTTATATGATGAGTAATTTATTACACACAGGATTTGGCTTCTCGGGATATAGTTGTCCCCGGTTTAAAGTTTTGTTAACTTTTCCGACTGAAGTATTGGTTTTGTTTTGATTTGATTTTGTGAATTGAGGACTACAGCTCGTGTAAAATGCCAACCCGGATGGATATGTTTAAGATGTTTTGAGACACACTATATTTTTCGTCCTATGAACATTAAACTTGGGTGGATAATGTGTTGAATTTTTTTCTCGAATAATATTCCCTTAGTTTTTATTTTAGTTTACGTATAAATTTTCATTTTAGTAATTTTTTTTAAAAAAATTCTATTTATGGTTTAGAACTGCTAATGAACTGAGCGAATTGAAATTTTTATGTTTGATCTCTCTACTCATCTTTGTTTGCTAGAATATACTAGCGGAAAGTTTGGTTTGAGCTCATCATTATGTATTTAATTAATTTGTCTAAAAATTGGAATTAAATATAAAAATATAATATATATATATATGTGTGTTTATTAAATTTAAAACTGTTGATTTATTTTTTTAACAAATACATAGTAAGTTAAATCAAGCGAGCTTTTAGTGAGTTTTCAAATGAATTGAACTCAACTAAATTCACGAATAATTTATTTATTTTACTTGATTTTGTTATTTAAATAAGTAAGTAAGAAAAATATATATATATATATATATTATTAAGAAATACATCCAAATAATAAAAAAATTATATCGACACTGAAAATAAACACAGCCTTGTGACTCGATTTTGGAGGATTTGTTGGATTCAAATTTGACAAGTTCTTGAGGGTACAAAAGCACATCACGTATGAGAGAGAGAGAGAGAGAGCCAAAATGAAAGAAAATTAGATTACTGTCTGCATCATCTCATCGGTCTGTATACAAACAAACTCAGTGACTGCAAATATCTATAAACAAATTATACCTCTACTCCAATTGAATTGAATCCGTGTTGATCGCTCTACGTCTTCGCCTCTTAATGTTTAAAATCCGTGCTTACAGCGGGGGATGGTCCTCCGATTGGTTCCGGGGTGGCATTGGCTTCCAACCCGGTTTTTCGTCCCAATATATGTCGTAATATATGTGTCCCGGAGTAGCTGTTTCGACGCAACACCATATTCCCGTGTAGTGCTTTACGCGTCTCCTAAATCTTTCTTCTCTAGTCTAGACATTGCATATGTAGTTTTGAGAAGAAAAAGTCGAAAACATGTATGTGAAGTCGAAAGGGTCGAGAAAAGGCAGCTTACCTTTTCGGAGAATCCTAAGAATGCATCTTGCATTGAGGAGAATTGGATGACTTTGACATCCTTGAAGGATGAGAATGTGGTCTTCAACTGTTTGGAAACGACGAAATCGATCAATAAGTATGTCCTAAATCTTGCATATATATATACTCTCTCATGTAAAAGTATGTCTATTTGACCGGACATGGATTTTAAGAAAAATAGGTAAAAATAAAAAAAAAAAATTTATGATAAAAAAAGTATAAAAAATAATATTTTTTACTAGAAATAAAAACAATAATAAGTTTGGATGACAACCTGAAGAAAAAAAAAAAAAAAAAAAATTACGAATAAGTTTGGACGAGGGAGTATTACTTTTGAGTTTATTTAGATTTTTTTACTATATAGTTCTATCGTTTCTAATAGAAATATACTCATTTTCCATTAAAATAAAAAATAAAACATTATGTTCAACTTCTATTTCACCTATAAAAAAAAACAACAAAAATATAGAATGAATGACCAAATCACAACTATAGGCTCAATGTATTAACTATTAAGCTGTAACTTCTGATAAAATGCAACGAGTAAATGACTTTTGAAAAAAGATTACATTACCGTTTCTTCTGTACTCCGTTTAGGAAACTTCAGGCTTTTCACTTGGTTTGTGATGTTTGAAACTTCACAACCAGGCGAGCCTTCGCGACAGAGATGGACGTCAAGCCAAGAATCCTTCACCTGAAGTAAATAGAACAATTTAAGCTAGGGGTTAAAAGAATTATGCAATTTTGGTTCCATTTAGAGTGAGATACAAACCTTCCCGGGCATGCGTGGATTGTCAAACAGAGAATATTCCCTAAACCTGATTCCGGGACCGAATTCCTCCTCTGGTAACTTTTTCAGCATCACATTGATCTGCATTGTGTGCATTTGACGATATATAGTCAGTCCTAAAAACCAAAAACAAATAAAAACTGAGCATCGCTTATTGCAACTAGTCTACCGAATCTTTCTTGAAATAAATCAAGAAATACCAATATTAGGAAAGACAACTCCCTATCTTAACACAAATAAGGATCACTTATTGCTGGTGTCTGGTAATACATAACTTGGTTGGATACAAGTTTGTCGCGACCCAAGAACAGAAAATGATGTAAACACAATTTTGTGACTTTGCTTAATTTTGTGCCACCAAATAAATGGATCCAAATATTACCCTCTTTTTTAAAATCTTTGTTATATTGATTTGATATCAGTGCAGTTCTATGACAGCTGATGTTACCTCAAAAACATGATCCAAAGGGCATATGAAAGGCTGCCTGGTCAAAGACCCCTGCAAAACCCCAGGATGTCCGAACCACAGTCTATCCAACCTGCACCATAGTGGAGGCATTACCTAAAATCACAAACAAAGATCACAACATGAACTCCAAACAAACAGATGTAAGAGACTAGATGAGCTCGATAAGGGTATCAATTTTTTTGAAAATACATCAAAGCTCCTGTACAAAAGATCTCATTTAACAATAGAAACTTATATGTGGTGACAAAGTGACTATTATCCACCAGGAGTAGTTAGAAATATAAATATCATCATCCATGCATAAATGCAAATCGTAGCAATGAAATTACATTTATTCAGTAATTTGAATTGGAATTGTGATCGGCGACTTGAAAATTACTCACTTAAGATTAAGATATCGAAGAACAGTACAAGGTTAAGGTAGAAATGATCCTTACCAATGTACGATTCAGCAATGAAGCAATGGCAAATGCAGTTCGTATCTGTTTAATCTGAATACCATGGTTTGTAGTTAGCAAATACATGTATGATGAAAAATCACATGACAAAAATATATATGCACAACCACATACTTGGTAATTCATAGCAGCAAAGTGTGATTCCACATTATGCGTTCCATCTAATAATAATCTCTTTGGAATATTAGGTTTAAATGTCAGAAATCCTCCTGCAAAAAGATTGTCAACCACAATCAGAAATCAATTAGTTATCTTGATAAGCAGAAACAGAGGCAATCAGTTAAAGAAATAAATAATAATAATAATAATAATAACAACAACAAATCAGAGAGATTATAAGAAACATTCTCTTAGTTATTAAAGACATGAAGTGGAGATGAAAAAGAAAAAAAGGAGAGACCTTCTGGATCATAATATTCTGGTGGATCAAAGAAAACCATAGCCTCACGCAACCGATGTCTTTTTCCGTCAGTACCAGCATACTGAAATGTGGTATGCACAGCATAGGGCTCCAGTCTAAGCTGTTGGTACATGGCCTGGCAAAAAGAATTCTTATCAAATACCTATGTAGGTTTAGTTAATAAGCTTTCCTTTGCAGAATTACAAAACTTGTTTCGGTCAAGAACAAGGCTGTATAACTAAACTAGCAAATCTGACTCTTAAAAAGATTTAATATTGAACCAGGGCATACGACAGACACAAAAATAAGGAGACAAAAGAAACCTGCACAAAGTAGGTGTGTCCACTGCAAAAAATGCTTGCTGGAAGAAGGCCAATTTTAAGAGTTCCATCATAGGCATACACAAGTCCACTGTCTTCATCAACAGGTGGGCCCAGCTGCCTGTGAACAAGCTCATTGAAACCATTTTGATCCCATATCTTATCATCATCCAGAAGCATTTTCTTCCATTCTTTTGCTAATTTCATCGAGGCCTCAGTTGGCCGCCAGTGAAAAATTCCAATGTTGTAAGCAGCACCAGCTGTTCAAAGTGGCAAAAAACAGGGGCTGACACACTAATGAAGGCAAATATACAAACCTAAAAATTATAGTGGGAAGATTGGTATTTGACTGTAGTTAAGGCATCTTATCAAACACAGGGAGAACAAGTGAATTAAGAAAGTGTATTAGATTCTTTGTTGGATATGTCTATGTTCATTAACATGTTAATCTCTTTGATTGAGAACTGAAAGGAAGAATAATCTGTATGAACAGAAGGGAATTTATATATTTCCAATACAAACCACATGAATATATATAAGTCAACATATGCGCGATTACATCATCAACATATATAAGCACCTTATATTAGTTTAATACGGCTAAAATCAAAATGTCGTATAGGGTAATGTATTTTTAAAAATGTTATCTTGACTAAAGTATTAAGTGGCATATGTGTATAGCACTATTGTCTCCTATTGTTTATTAAATACATATGTTCAGAAAAATCAATAATAGGAAACAATTAATGAATGTCAACAATGGCAGAAATCAATCTCTAAACACACTTCCTTCCAACCCAAACTCATCCATGTAAAAAATTCTATGCTGAATGCTATTAGGACCACTACTTGGGTTTATTGTCAACTGATGCAAGACATTACGACTTTTCAATTATTGGAAACCCCAACAAAGATTTGCAGGACAGTTTTCTTTAAATTTGAAAAGGGAAAAAGGAGATCTACAGAACCAAATATTTTCTGAGGATGTTTTACCTTGTCTCCAGTCATCCAATCGGTCATCAACTACAGTTGGTGAAACTTGATCAGTGGAAGTCAACACATCAGCTTCAGGAAAGCGAGCAAGATAAGGAAGGGGGTTCTGTGCAAGAGTAGTTGCACAACGTTATAAATTCAGCAGCAACAAACCTGGGCCTACTTCTTTACTATGTTGCAAGAGGAGAATTAGGAATTAGTATGTCTGCTCATGGTGATTTTCGTTTTGGTTTTTTAAAATGATGAGTCAAACATGAGAGTTAAAAAACACAGCAACAGCAGCTTGTGCCAATGTTCACTGCCGCAAGTGAAAATATATATAGTCTCCAGCAAGCAATTGTAATTCCAAAACACATCATTATGGCCAAGAATTTTACACATGCCACAGCACATACTACCAAGTGAAAACTTCAAATTCAAATTTTGATGTGAATGCCAAGAACACAAAATTCATGGTTGTAGCTCATGCAAGCAACGGAATATGTGCCCTTGCTTTCATTCTGACAAATATAAGTAAACTAAATGCAGCTTGAAAACACCAATATCAGGTTATATTTTTACGAACCCCAATATTTCACACAGCTTGAGAATCAACACAGTGCATTCTACGTATGAGAGTTCAGAGCAACCAAATGTCTAAGCATTAACCCACATCACCGAGTCAAAACCTAAAGGTTCAAAAGAATCTATTACTGTAAACTCCAGCAAACACAATCTCATTTGTTTTCACAGAGAGCCAATATTTACTACAACGAATATGTATTTCAAAGTGGAAATACAAACAGACTGGACATGTAGAATCAACCATGGGGATAATGTGTTAGAGAATCATAGCAACTAAGAGTTCACAAATGAAGAATACCTTCAACCAGACCATGTCGGTGTCGCACATCAGCAATTCAAACCCAAAAGGTAAGAAAGAATCTATCAAGATAACTTTCTCTCTGCCCATCTTGTGAAATGTTGGCGAGCCCCAACCAACGTCTATAGTGCTCATATGACTACCCATGTCAAAAACTGGAATACCTTTCCAGTAGAGAGCCTCCAACAATTTTGTGTCCATTGCACCTGTGAACAAAACTCACTTATTAGAAAACAAAACAGTTCCATAGAAAAAATCCTTTTCACATAAGCTGAGAACTCACCAACAAGAAGATTATCAACACTCATATCCGTCAAGTGTTTAACCCAAGTCAGTATGAAATCCATGAAAGCAAAGTTACCAAATGTCACAATTATGACATTGTCCTTCACTCTTTGCTGAACCAGTTCTTTTGTCAATCGAAAGTTCTCCAAAGGAGGCAGTTTTGATCCAGAAGGTGCCTTCCAAATAGGATCCAGAACCTTTCTTTCCAATTCAGTCGACGGATCTGGCACTCCACCCCTCACTACTTGCTGGCTATAATTAGATGTTCGGCTGATTGTTGGCGAACTTAGTTCTACCATATACATTAAATAAAACAAAATAAATTAAAATCATAGAGTAAACACAAGATTCATGGCATAAAATGCGATCATTCATAGCTCTGAAATGCACAAAAACAGTTTTTTAAAAAAAGGGATAGTACTGGCAATTGAAATCTAACTAATGAATAAACACAAAACATGCAACAAAAGAAACCGAAATGCGGAAAGTGATATGATCGAGATTCTAATGCGAGCTTCAAACATTACACCAAATTTAAAAGCCTCAAATCGATGTGCCAACCACTTTACATATAACCAAATCTCACATTCAGCAAGTACTGAAAAGAAGTATACTTACTTTCACAGTAAAAACAGAAGAACCGATTCCACAACAAACACAGTGCACTAAATTGAAGAATGAAGAACTTCACTCACCTTTACGGCCATCTCCGGAGGCAAATGTCACCGAAGACCACGGAGAAGACAAAAAATTCGAACTGGAGAAAACCGCGGAAAATACGTAAAACGAAGACACCAAAATCCCGATAATCACAGTGGCGTAGATGGTCACGAACAATGGCCTGGAATTCGCCGCCTCCTTCAACGAATTACTCCAAGCCATTTCTTCCTAAACAATCCAAATCCTCCAACTACCCACACAATATATATACACACAAACACACAGCCGCAACGTCAATTAATTTACGAACATGAACAAATCCTAATTGAAAATCCTCCTCCTCGAGCTCATGGCGGCTACCTCTCTCAACAGCCCCATGAAATCCGGTGGCAACTCAAAGCAGGATCATAATACACATCCAGAAACAGAGTAGTTGATGTCTAGATTAGCAGCAGTTGTTGGACTCCATGACAGATTAAATGAATATTCCTCTTTTTAATACTACATCAAATCCACCCTTATGCATATGCCATTGTACCTTCATACCTCCCAAAGGTTAAAATTGTCCAAAAAGTACAGCACATCAAAATCTGATATGGGCCGTACTGTGGGCTAAAAGCCCAATTTCAGGCCCATTTGAAAAGTCAACTCTCTCTTAGCTGTCAATTAAAAGTTTCCACTTAATTAATTAATTTTATTACATTATTTTATTGCCGGAAGAAATAATGCACTGAGAGTGGGTAGCCATTTTATTTTTTATTTTTTATTTTTAATTTTGCAGAGCAGGTAATAATTTACTATTTATTTACTAATTGCAAATTTATTTCAATTTGATTGGTGAGATTTTAAATTAATGATTTTAGTCAATCAATCTTTGTAATAAGTCAATAAATAAGCCTTTAGAAATATAGGGTATGTTTGTTCGTGTTTTATTTATTGTGTTTATATTGCATACAATATTTTTTATAAAAAATAATTAATTATTTTGATTCAAAATATTATACTATGTATTATCCCCCTTTATTTGTTTTTTTTTTAAAAAAAATAAAATTAAATGCAACAATTTATTTGTGGTACGTTGAAAAGGACAATTAATTAAAGTTACGAGTGTAAAGTTGAATAATTTCATTTAAACGCTGGCTAAAGAAGTTAGGCCTAATTTAAATTTGCAAGTCCAATCCTTACCCATAAAGTCTTAATTAATAAAAAATAATTCCAAGTGGCAAGATTTAGATATCAATTAAGAAGTTGACAAAATGAGTTACATATTCCATTCCACATAAGAATAATAATAATAATAATTTCCATAGATATACTTTTCTTTAGCCCAACATGGCTCAAATTGGAATGGGCCCAAATCATGTAACAAAGAGGTACAATCTTCGTCTCAAATCTTTTATTATTATAGTAATTTTAAATATTTTTAAACTTTTTATAACTTTTCTGTATACTTAATTTTTGTTCTTTCTCTTTAAATATGACTTATAAAAAAAATTAATCGAAGAGTTATTAATGCTACTTCTATCCCAGTCACATTTATTTTTTTTTAAGTACTATATTTGAATATTAATTATTATATCAAAATATAGTATAAATTAAAGGATTTTTATCAACGTTTTTTATAATATTAATATAAGAATATTTGTAAAAAAAATTATATAAATATAAAAATATTTTTAAAATTAAGTATAACGAGGTCTTATAATATCATTACTTTATATTGTGTTAATATATATATATAATTAATTTCAAACCGTGTATGTAAGGGAACGCTAAGCATCAACCTAATGACACATCACCCATCAGTCACGACAAATTCCATAATCCAATTTTATTTTTTATTTTTTATTTTTTTTTAAAAAAAAAACACAATAATCATAATTTGGCAAGAAAAGGACAGAACTAAGACCCTTAATTCATTACACACATAAAAACCCTACAAAATGGAATTTAAACAGACACATCGAAAACCTCCAAATCAATGAATCTTGATGATCCATATCATTATTATCGATCCATGGAGGGGTCATATCATTTCTCATCATATCAATCACCACCGATCTCACAAGAACAAGAAGAACAATTAATATCAATAATTAATAGTAATTAATAATCATTAATGTGGCTCATAGGTAATTTGTCCACGTCAAGTACGAGGACATACATTATCATAGGGGCCATCGCGTTCCTCATTATCCTCACCATCTGTTTAAGAAAATGGGCTCTTCATTTAAATAAACAGAAGAAACCCGACGCGCCACCGCAGCCGGCAGACACCGCCGCCGCCGGAGGATGTGCAATTCGGACATATTCTCTGGAGGAGCTGAAAATAGTGACGGCGGATTTCAGTGTACGGATTGGCGTCGGGGCGACGTCGTACGTGTACCTGGCGGAGCTGGGCGGCGGCAGAAGGGGCGCCGTGAAACGCGTTATGGAGGCGCGTGGCGGCACGCAGAAGATATTCCTGGACGAGGTTTCGGTGCTATTAAGGATATCACATTCCAACGTTGTCGCCTTGCTCGGATTCTGCCTGGATAAAGGTGATCTCGATCGCTATTTATAATTAGTGTAGCTCCTTAATAGCAACAAAAGTTTCAATTTTCTTTTCTAATGAAATTATACATCTTCTTTTATTTTTTTTTTACTAGAAAAAGTAGAAAATATTCAATGTACACTCCGAGTTAAGCTTTTCTTGCTCAACAAAATTATATTCATTTGATATTTATTTATTTTATAAATAATATTATACCAAATACTATTTTTTTTATTTTTTTAAAATTAAAAATAAAAAATCATGTCTAAACAGAGCCTAAAATTGTCCAAAAATCTGAACATATGTTTAGATAAAGAAAATAATATACTTTCTTTCGTCCTATGTTAAACTTTTTATTTGTTATGTCCAAATTAAAATTTTTCATTTATTTTATAAAAGAATAATAATAACTTTCAATTAAATATCAAAATAATTCAATTTTTTACATTAATTTTCAAAGGTAAAATAAATATTGCGTTACTTTTTTATTATACTATAGTCTACGTATGTATAAAATACTAAGTTATTTTAATTTTGATGCAAAAATCAAATAAAAAATTTACTAGGGGAAGGAGGAAGTATATTTTATTTAATATTTCCTCAGTCCATTTAATAAGTTTACATTTTATCTTTTATATTATTGTATTTAATATTAAAAATATATTTATTTTTTTATACATTTTTATACTTTGGTTATTATATATGTATTATAAAATATTAATTATCATTTTTTAAATTTATATTACATTTTAATATAATAATTAATATTTAAATATCACAATAAAAAAAAAAAAAAACAAATTTATCTTTCAAAATGGAAGTATAATATATATTTGAGTTAAATAAAACTATATAGACATATTGATATGTTTCTTAAACTGAAATTAATTGTGATTTGTGATCTTATATTATGTAATGTGACTTTATTTTCTAATTTTCTATTATGTTAATATAATTTATGTCTTGTTTGTTTTTATTTATGGTATATTGTAATTGTATTGTAATATTAATGTAATTTATATTTTGTTTGTCTATATAATAGAGTATGTTTGTTTGATCTCTATGCTAATTAGTTGTACTATATAACACTGTCATGCAATTTATTACTGTCTGCATCCCACGTATCTTGTCTGCTACATTAGATACATTATTTTAGGAGAAGTGTAATTAGAAGATAATTAAAAATATATTAGTGAAAATAATTATTTTATAATATAAATAATTATAAATTAAGATTAAGATAACTAATTAGTTTAATTAAAATAAAAAATAAATTAAAAAAAATTTAAAATGAGATTAAAATATGTAATCATTTTCCAAAAAAGAAAAATAACATGTATGTGAAACGGACAAAAATAGTAAGGATATGATAAATGGGACGGAGAGAGTATTATTTTTTTTTCATATAATGTAAGACTTTGAATTTATTTTTTACAACAGGTGAACAGCTCCTGCTTCTAGAATACGTCCCGAACAAAACCCTCTTCGACCGGCTGCACACCCGGTCCGCCGCCGGCGGCGGCCGCCTTTCGTGGGCGGAGCGCCTCCGCGTGGCCCTCGACATCGCCTACGCCGTCGACTACCTCCACTCGGTGGCGGACCCGCCGATCATCCACCGCGACATCAAGTCGTCGAACGTCCTCCTCACCCACGACGGCCGCGCCAAGCTCGCCGACTTCGGCTTCTGCAAGCTCGGCGGCGCCGCCTCGGGCGACAAGTCCGCGCCGACTCCGATCGCCGTCAAGGGCTCGCTCGGCTACGTCGACATTAATTATCTAAACACGGGGATCGTCTCCACCAAGAGCGATGTCTACAGCTTTGGAGTTCTGCTCCTGGAGCTCGTCACGGGACTGAGGTCCCTTCAGGGGTCGTTTACCCTGCCGGAGTGGACGGAGGACCGCCGGAAAAGCGCCGACGTCGGCGTCGTCGCCGGAATGGTGGATCCGAATCTCGACGGCGACGTGGATTTGGAGCAGCTTAGGGTTTTGGTCGACGTCGCGAATTTGGCTTTGCTTTCGGATTCTGAGGCCAGGCCTGATATGGCGGAGATTGCTTATAGAATTTCCCAGTGCCTGGAAACTGATCCTGGCCGTCGCCATTGTCGTCTTCAACCAGAGCTCCCTGTTTAAAATTGTATACACATATGTGTATGTATATATGTAGATGTCGCGTTTTCCTGTATAGCGATTCTTTCTTGTATATAGAAAAGTCGTGTTTTCGAAAAAAATATGATGCTAATACTGTACATGTCAAAATTATCTCAGAAACAAGACAATTAGACAAAATTCTATATGAAATAATTGAAGCATCTTCGGGAAACCAACTCGATAATAAATGGGTTCAGATTTCACCCCTTTAAAAATTTCAACCCGAAATTGAATAATTGTTCCTTCGTTCGTTAACTAACTACTCATTTTTTCATTTCGGTTCATCTCATAACAAATCATTTATTTTCTTTTTTAGTAACGGTATTATTTACTTAATATTACAAATACATTTCTATTTACAATATATTACAAAAATATCATTACATTTATATTATACAATACTAATAATTACATTTATATCATACGATACTAATAAGATTACTTTAGTTTTTTTACTTTTATTTATACTGCATCTCAATGTAATACTAATATTTTTAAAACTTCCGTGAAAAAAACAAATGGATAGATAAATATGGGATAGGCAGAATGTTCTAGACTTTCTATTTTGTTTTGTAAAAAAACCTCAAATTAACACACACATATTTTTTCGAAAGCCCACACACTTATACTTACAGGTTTTACAGTGGGCTGGAAGCCCAAATTATGCCCTTTATACATTTATGGGCCATTGCTGTGTCAGCCCATTCCATGTAATTTATTATCAGGCCCATCATACTAAATCTCTATTTTTTACTATTATTTAATTGAATAATAATAATAATATGTAGGTCAAGAGGACAACCAGGAATCTTGATCTTTAATTTGGGATCACAGTGAAGACAGAATTAGTTAACCAAAATCATGTGTGCTTATTTGACTTTCATTGGTCATTCATCAATAATCTGAACTGATTAAAGCATTTTTTAATTAATTTTGACCAATGTAATTAATGAATGAGCCACGTCATGCATGTTTGACCAAATATATATTTTAATAATAATTTATTTAATCTAAGAACGACCCCTGGCAGTGCTAATGGTTGCCTCTTCTGCAATCTAACGTTGTTCATTAACAAAAATAAATTTATATTCAATTTAATTAGGATATCAATATGTGCTGTTTACACTGAGGTTATTTAAGTTCTGTAATTTTGAAAAATTAAAAATATTAATAATAATAATAATTTGATATTTAATATGATATTTTGCACAAAATAATATTGATGAATAATATCAAAATTTTTAAAAATATATATGTAAACAGAAACATAATTTTAAATTAAGTATATAAGTTCGCAATACCCTTACATTCATAATATTTTATTAAATACAAAAAAGTACCTTCTCAATTAATTATAATTTAAACACAATATTTTTTAATATTATACTAAAAGTAAATGTGAATATTTTGGGTGGACCATTGAAGTAAATAATTTGAGCTCAAACTCTTGAACAACATATTTTTAAATTAATTATTATTATTATTATTTTTTTTTTAAAAAAAAGAAGGAATTAAAAGCCACTGTCTTTAATTAAAAGTCAAAATGAATATTAAAGTAGATATCTAATCATGCAATTACTACAAAAGATGGCCAACTGGCGACTCTGTTGCCAAATTAATTTTTAAAAATTGGATTAAATAAAATAAATAAATAAATAAAAGTTTCCACGTCAGCATGTGGGAGGAAACATCGTATAAATGTACGTACTATGTACGTACTTACATGCATGAACCCGTACCTTAAAATAATAGGCACGTACGTGTCCGCAGCTGATTGCATGGAACCCGCATGCAATAAAGATTAAATACAGTATATATTATTTTATTTTTTAAAAAATTAAGAATATTGGCAGATGAGGCTGGGAATGACGTAATAATTTAATTTAACTTGATAAGATTATTTAATTGCACTGCAAACCAATTGTTTTAATAAATTAATTATTTAATTTAGATGTGTAGGGTAGGTTTAGAGTAGCATGGGACACGTAATACATGAAAATTGAAAACACAGCAACACATTATCTGTAAAGTAGAGCAATAATCACTTTGAATCAAAGTCATAATTTTACTTTATTATTTTAATGAATTGTATTATTTCCAAGTATGTGTAGACACGAAGGGCCCTCTCCTCGTAACAAGTCCATTTTTATAAAATTTAATTAAATAATATATATATATATATATATTAAGAGTAGCAATTGGATTTGATCAATATATATAATATGAATTATACGTGTCACGAAGACATATGTATATATATATATAGTTCAATGATATTAGGGATGTGTGTTTGGTTGATATTTGTTAGTAATATTTTTTTTTATTTATTTAAATAGTAGTTTATGTAATATTTTGTGAGATAAAATTTATATTTTAATAACGAAAATAAAAATTGAAGGTTGAATAGTAAAAGAAGTTGTTAAGCAAACAAAAACTTTGTTTACATAACATATTTTGGAATTTTGACACTTTTTTTAAAAAGATATTATATTAATTTTTATTTCCTATAAAAATATGATATCAAATAGTAACTTTTGAATATTTTCAAATTTTCAAAGTTCAAAAATTCCTAAAAATCTCTTCTAATGCATTTTAAAATTTTATGAGTTTTATATTAATAACTAGATAATCTATTTTATACTCAACAGTACAATATATATATAAATAAATATGTGTATTTATTTGTACATTCTTTCTGTAGATTATAATAAAATATTGTTTCTCGTTTACTTTTTACACAAAGTTTAATAAATATAATATTATAAGACTAAATTTTGTATGTAAATTTATTTTTTTGTCATTATATCGTACGTTTATATAAATATTTATAAATTTTGAAGGTATTTGTAATGTGTAAATGATTTACGATGATTAAAAAATATAAGTATATTTTATATTTGGACGACGGAAAATATCAAGAGAGTATGAAAGCGAGGAAAAATGAGAAGTTGGGAGTGACATCCACCCCACACATTACCCAACTTGCATTTTAATTTTTTTATTATTTTATATATGCAGAAACACACTTGCCTTTTCGGTTTAATTGCATAAAGGTTTGATTGAATTAAAAGCCTTTGCCGTCGTCTGTTCTGTCTCATTCCAAATTAAATTTATTTTATTTTATTTTATTATATATATATATATGAGTGTGTGTGACATATATATATATCAATTATTGTGGTTGTGACACTAGTCGATCAGGCCCATACTCGACATTGAAAATTAATAAGCCAATGTATGCATATGTGAGTATATATATATATATATTATTAAATGGATTGATTAAAAAGTGGTGGTGGTGGTGATGGTGGTTTTGCCTGGCACATAGTAATAGTGTTGGTGGATTTGGATTTATTGGCTATTTTATATAATAATCTTTTTAAGTATGTATATATATATATATATTGTGATGTGATGTGCCTGCCTTAAATATATGAATAATAATAATAATAGTAATATTATAAAAAGCCATACTGCTGTGCATGTCACATCAATTATGTATCTGCACTGCAGAACAGAATTCACAAACCACACAGACGTGCATGTACATATATATAAATATTTGTTTTAATTTGGGATGCACTAGTAGTGTTATTAATTCTTACTTAAATTGAAGTATAATATATATATATATATATATGTGTGTGTGTGCACACTGTATGTGAGAAATGGCATGGGCACTGGCCAGTAGTTTCCAGCACTACACTTTTTGGATGTAAGCTTAGCTGATCAATATTACTTCCAATCAACACATACTTTATATAAAGTATTTTGCCTTAAAATAAATACTAAAAAAGGATATTTGGTAATTGGTGGTGCATGTATATGTTTGTTTCAATAAGAACAAAACAAGTAGAAAAAAAAAAAGAAAGAAGATCCAAAAATATTGGGAACTGGTGAATGGGCCAAAATATCCAAAATTGGTTCTTACATATGAAAATCAATTCTCAGAAAATAAATAAATAAATAAAAAAATAAAAATTAGGAATGAGGGTTGCAATTTCCAATATATATTCTATTCCCTGCTATTCCATCCCTACACCTCATTAGTAGGTAATATAGCTGTAACCAAGTATGGGTTCTCTTGATTATTAAAACTTACAACTACAAACACAAAATAACAACAGCTCCATTATTAATAATTAATCTATTATTTATTTCCAAATAATACACATTGCTTCTACTCAACTGCCTTTTTGTCATATCAGACACACTCAACTGTTGAATGTATTAAACTATTGTTGACCAATTCAATAATCAAGTGTTTAATTTGACTTATATCTGATTAACACAAGCTTCAGATACAACCTCAAACAATTTTCCTTTTTTACAAATTTGAATTTCAGAATGTATAGATAAATTTAATTCAGAAAAAGTAATCCAGTAAATTTTCACATATAATCACTTTTTCTATCAATCATGACAAAATAATGAAAAGTTAAAATAGAAAAAATGATCAAACTCGTTTATAGAAAATAATTAAATAAAATTGAAAAACCGTGTGCGGCTAAGGAAGCTGTGAGTGACCAATAAAGACGTACCCTACCCTACACTCATTAAAGCATAAGTTGATAATGAATCCATAGCCAACCTATATTGACACTGAACATTCCCAACCAAGTATCAAAACATTATCCATTTTCAAAATTAGTTTAATTCTTGATGTTACATAGCTGAACACAGTATATGGAAAATATAAAAATAATACATTTGACTTATGAAATTATTAAAAATAACAATGACTTCCTTCTTAAATAAATACAAATATATAAAATAGCAACGAGTTATATATAGTAAAGGGATCAAAATCAATCCATGGATTGTATCATTTCATTTTCAGATTCAAATTTAGAATTCTTAGTTGAAAAGGTAGCCTTAAGGAACATGTCAAAACATTCAAATCAAGAAAAGCTCTAAATTCGGAACCCTGTCGAAAAATTGACATTTTTCTCAGATATATCTTCCACCCAAATTTATTTATGATCTTAATAATCACTTTGACACTATCAAGTCCATGCAATATTTAATTATTATTATCATTACTACTGCTTTATTTTATTTTATTTTATTTTTCCCTAATAATATTTAATCCATCACATTCACACAAACCAATAAGGAACTTACCCATTCTGTCCTCCCAAAGTATAATATTTATATTTTCTTGCAAGTTGGCAAAATATCATGAGAACCCACAAATAAAGTAAGTCCCATCAGATGTACGGAAGGCAAAATTCATCCCCTCTTGTGCCTCTTTCCAACCCTTTTTCCTTTGTTCTTGCCTTGACCAAAATGGTCCCTAATTCTTGGAACTCCATGGAGTCCAACTCCCTCACATAATCAACACCGTACACGGTGTGGGCTCATGACACAAACGGAGTTGATTGAACTGGGAGCTCAAGTCCAGGACCCCCCAAGAAGGAATGAAATAAGGACTGTTACCTTCATGACTCAACTAGATCAGTAACGGTCAACCCAAACCTCCCCACACGCCTTGCCCATTTCTGGGTGATTCTAGGGGGCACCATGGACCCCAGTGCCGGGTAGATCCACACCCTTTATTTCTGGGGGTCCTACAAATGAACGGTGTGGATCAGCTGGTGGTTTTATGGTTTAAGGACCCTCCAAGACTTCTCCCTGTTTTCCTAATGCTCGACTCATCAAACTTTTACTTGTCCTTGTCACGATCACAAACCCCACAACACTTGAGGGAGTACATACATACATATATATGTATGTATATGTATTCAAAACCTCTTCCTGTCTTCTGTTCTCAACCCATGAGCTGGAATGTTGATTCTGTGTGTGGAATTCAAGCTGTATTTGGGAGGGAGGGGGGGTACCCTACCCACCCTACCACCACCCCGCTCCCGCCCCCACCCCACCACATATCATACCTATATATACCCCTTCAACACCACTTCACTTCTTCAACCACGGAAAAGCTACATCTTGTCACTAACCAACTACACAGAATCAATCATCCCATCCATCATGGCATTCATCTCCCTGTGTTTCTTGTTATCAGCCATCATCACAATTCCCACATTCTTTCTGCTCAAATATCTCTCCTTCAAACAAGTGAAATTGCCACTCCCACCAGGCACCATGGGATGGCCTTACATTGGAGAAACCTTCCAACTCTACTCGCAAAATCCCAACACTTTCTTTGCCTCCAAAGTCAAAAGGTAAAAGTTAGTTATAACTTATAAGCAATCAAACAAATTCAATAAATATATGATGATATGATCTCTCCTTTCCTTTTCCTTTACCTAACAAAAGGGGCTTCTTGTCTCAATTCTAACAGGTATGGTTCGATATTCAAGACTCACATATTGGGATGCCGTTGTGTGATGATTTCCAGCCCCGAAGCAGCAAGACTTGTCCTGGTGTCCAAAGCCCATCTCTTCAAGCCTACATTCCCTGCTAGCAAAGAAAGGATGTTAGGCAAACAGGCCATATTCTTCCACCAAGGTGAATACCATGCCAAGCTTAGGAAGCTCGTGCTCAGAGCATTCATGCCGGACTCAATCAAGAGTATCGTGTCCGACATCGAATCAATAGCTGTTAACTCGCTACAATCCTGGGAAGGCAAATTGATCACCACTTACCAAGAAATGAAAACAGTAAGTTTACCTTCTATTGCTCAGAAACAGGGCAAACAGAGCACCCCTGTTTTTTGATATTGACACTAATTAGCTTCATTTTGGACTGTGCCTGCAGTATGCCTTCAATGTGGCATTACTTTCCATACTAGGAAAGGATGAAGTTCTGTACAGGGAGGACTTAAAGAGGTGCTATTACATTCTTGAAAAGGGGTACAATTCGATGCCGATCAACCTTCCCGGGACACTCTTCCACAAGGCCATGAAGGCGAGGAAGGAATTAGCACAAATCTTGGCCAAAATCTTGTCACTTAGAAGAGAAACAAAGCAAGACCACAACGACTTGCTGGGCTCATTCATGGGTGATGCAGAAGGTCTAACCGATGAGCAAATTGCAGACAACATTATTGGTGTGATTTTCGCTGCCCGCGACACCACAGCCAGTATCTTAACTTGGATTCTCAAGTACCTAGCTGAAAATCCAAGTATTCTGCAAACAGTCACTGTAAGTTTCGAAAATCTAATAAATTTAAAATCTCAACCTCTTTCTACTCAAAAGTGCAAATTCTGACCGGCTGAACCCTCACACACAGGAAGAGCAAGAGGCAATAATAAAGGACAAAGAACAGCGAGGTGAGGAGAAAGGTCTGAATTGGGCAGACGCAAAGAAGATGCCGATTACCACGAGGGTTATCAAAGAAACTCTCAGGGTTGCCTCAATCTTGTCCTTTACCTTCAGGGAAGCTGTTGAAGATGTCGAGTTTAATGGTGAGTTGAAAAAGTCAAAACTTAATATACTAAAAAAAAAAAAACAGAAAGAAAGAATTGCCGTTTTCCTTCCAAAGATGTTGTTTCTGATTTGTTTTATGATATTTAACAGGATATCTAATTCCAAAAGGGTGGAAAGTTTTACCTCTGTTCAGAAACATTCACCACAGCCCCGACAATTTCCCAGAGCCAGAGAAGTTTGATCCTTCAAGATTTGAGGCTGCACCAAAGCCCAATACATTCATGCCATTTGGCAATGGGATACACTCGTGCCCAGGGAATGAACTGGCCAAGCTGGAGATTTTGGTTCTATTACACCATCTAACCACAAAATACAAGTAAGTGAATTTAAAAAGACTAAAATATTTCCTTTATCAATGTATATTATTATTATTTTATTTTTGCCAGTTCCTAAAAATAGCTCCCACTTGTTCTTCCCCTGATCAGTTTCTGTTCCATTCCATAATGCAGGTGGTCTATGATGACCCCACAAAATGGGATCCAGTATGGACCCTTTCCTCTTCCCCAGAATGGATTGCCCATCAAAATCTACAGCAAGAAATAATATCCCAATTCATGTTTCCGAGCCTAACCCAAGTTTCCAACTATAGTACAGAGTACTATCCAAGAAACAATTGTTCATTTTCTTTTCATAAAGAACGATGGAAAATGAAACATCCAAAGTAATGGGGAAATTCAGAAGACACCCCCCCCACCCCCCCCCCCCCCCCCCCCACACAAGCACCAGAAGAAGATTTCTGGTTTACAACAGCAAGGGAAAGCCAATTGTACATAAGTTCGAAGAATTGCCTGAGAAAAGAGTATAGCCCACATATTCATTTTCTTTATTGGATGAGAAACTCAAGGATTAAAGGATAACAATTAAGCTAGCATGTAACTAGGCAATATTCTTTTTGTCCTATATGTTCTTTTTTCCTCGCTTCGGTTATTTTGGTACTTAATCTAACATGTAAAAAAGTCCGCAAGGCAAGGAATAATATAAGAAAATCGACCGACTTTCAGAGTAGGTAGATGTCACATATAGTTAATGCGTACAGGTTGCGTAATGACTTGCCAATATTGTGAAGCACGAATTAGGAATGTTAATTTTGTCAACTTGTGGAGTATCAATCAAATGGCTATTCATGAGGTATGATTTCTCTGTTTTTAGCGCAAGTGTAAGCATATGAAAAAATGTTAAACAATTTAAGAAACGTCAGCACACTGTCTCATGACCTCAATGATCAGCCACAAAGAGTAAAAGTCAGCTTTTGTGGAATACAGTTATCTCCAACAGATCATCGGTTTACTAGTAGCAAGTCTATCCTAGTTCACAAGGACAAGTACTGATAATTCAAATGTAAATATTTGCTGAAACTTCAAATTCCCTAACATGGTAAGATTCATTTGGATCAAGTCCTAGTTACAATAGATTGCCTAAACGGGTGCCCGTAAAATTGACTTACAAAGTAATATATATATTCTTTCATTTGTTAAAACCTTACATACAAAAATAGACACATATACAAAACAAATTAGCTTTTTTTTTCTTTTATTTATATATTTCATTATCTTCCAAACATTAAAATTAGTAAACATTAAAATTACTAATTTTATCAGTGGTCATGAAATCTCAAGCTACTTCGAGTATATATTTTTTTGTTTTATATATAAAACAACTCCCAAATTAGGTGTAAATGAAAGTGAACTTTGACATAACAAATAAAATAATACAATATGATATGCTTGTATTGTCTATTAAGTAATAGTAATGTGTGTTATCAAAATATTACACACATCACACATATATATATATATGCACACACTCCACACACGCAATTCCATTATAAGATGATGTTTCAAAAACTTCCTGATAGATATCAAAAGGTATTCTCAAAATCCTCAAAGCTATACTCAAATTCGAAACAGATATACACTTGTCTAAAACACAAAAATCAGACGCAATTTATATTTCAGAAAAACATATTTAAATACCATAACAAACCTTAGAGATTTGATACAGGTTATGACACAAATAATTCATTCCCATCAACCATTATACTTTATCAGAACAAATAGAATAATAAATCTCATTGCTATTTTATCCAAGAACTCAAAAAATGACACTATGAACCAGGCAGAGAGACTCAGTAAGAGTTCATCACATCATCCTAAGCTTGTGTATTAAATCAAATTACGTCACTCAACTGGTTATTCCAAAAAGTCAACCCACAATAAATTCTGAAAAGTCTAAAATAATGTGATGAACAAAAATGTAAAACCTGTCACTGACCACAGTTGTCTCGGTGCCACCAGCTGCCAGGCTTTCACAATTCATATCTGTTCATCAGAGGCTACAGATTGAGAGTTAAGGTCAGCTCTGACCTCTAAAATTAAAAATCATATTTGGAAAACGTGAAACATTGCACCAATTCCTGAAGTACGATGTGGGTAGATATAGTGGAACAATAATGGGCTGCTTGAATCTAAATCATAATATAATATAATAAAAAAACAATAAAGAAACTCCTGAGATGCTCAGCAATCATAATATTTCAAATATTATTTTCTAATAATGCTACGTGCACAGTAGATACGCGTTACACGCCTACAACTAGAATCTCATCATGTACTTAACTATGAGATGGAAAGATGTTCACTAACAGACATGATCCGAAACTTAATATAAAGAATAGCAATGATACATGATAACAAATTCAATCTAAAAAAAAAAAAACCAATGATGCATTAATTATGAGCAGTGATTAATAAGCACATCATAACAATTCTACTGGATGCTAGAACAGGTCCAAGAACATAAGAAAGTATTCATTTTCTGGCATAATTAAATGTAACTGAATGCACTTCTTCGGGTGACACCTATGTGACTCAGCCAAGCTGTTTTTAGATGTCATCATGGTGAGGTGTAATGCACTAAGAGTGCTGTTTCTCTTGTCAACTGCATTAGAATAATTTAGCAATTTGTACAAATATTGCTGAAAAATAACCAGAGGAAATAGAAAATGCAGCAAACTGATCAAAACCTTACAGAACTTTTGAGCTGTTTTCAAAATTAAGAAATTGCAAGAGATCTTGGCTGACTGTAAGCCTATAACACAGTATTGAAAAGTTATAGGTCAGGATAAAAAGCTAGTACAAAATTAACAGGAATTCCGACTAATGGAAAAAGCATCTAGAGAATAAGAATCCACAGATCTGACACCTTCTTCATTCCAAGTAATCTCAAAGCTTCAAGGGAATGATATGAAAATTACATGCTCCAGAATCAATTCATGCCTAGTAGATCTCTAATTATGTGAGTTTTGGTCCAAAGCTTCAGTTTAAGTAGAATACAACCTTCAAACCATGTTGAAGGATTACAGATTAACCTGACTTGATTGGTAGCCGGTCTCATAGTAGGATATCCCAGTATTTGACGGTTTTGGAATTTAAAGGATCAAACCCATTTACAAGGCTTTCAAGATAAATCTTCTCAAAGATTCAGAAAATATTCCTGACCTCGGGAACAATATTTGCTCCTCCAGTGAAGTCTTGTTTCTCTTTCTTGAGGAGTTCGATGTGTGCTTTGGTTCTTTTGTTATGTTCCTCTGCCTAATAAATGTATGAATAAGATAATAAATAAACAAATTGAAAAGGTTATCTTTAACTCAAGAATAAAAACAACAGAGGAACTAACACATGGAGACAAGTTGGATGGGGAAAAACCCATAATATGTTTGCCTTGAAAATTTATGCAGAAGACGTAGGAGGTAAAGCACACATGCCCTAAAGTTCAAAGTGGAACTAATCAGTACATCCGCTTTTACAAATGTTAATAAACTAATGTTGATGAATAATAGTGGAACTATGAGTACTTCTTGTGACAAAATCATTACTGTTGTGATTCTAGCCTTTCATGTATCAGTAACTCCACACTATACAAAATCTTCAACAACCTTTATATTCAATTGCAATTTACAACAGCAAGTTAACAATTACAAATAATTTTAAATATTTCTGATTTTCTGTAAACATACAAATAAGTACCATGTGCACAACATACTTGCAGCACCTATCAAACGAGATTAAATTATAATTTGGCTTGTAGATTTTACCATAGTGAGCTTACCTTTTCCAGGAGTGCCGTCAAATGCTTAAGCTCATTTTTCTTTGCTTGAGACAAATTTTGAGCTGTTTCACCTACATTACTCCTGCAAGCAATTGTTGACACGTAGGTAGGAATTATAGGTAGAATTTGAAAATCTAGCAGTAACATGTACTTCTATAACGATTTTGGCACTATCAAAGTTGCATATATAAATACACATAAGAAAAGTTCTATTGTTAAGCTTTTATTATTGCATTAAAAGACGACCTTATATGACATCTAAACACCTAATTAATTCCAGAGAAGAGATTCTACAATACAAAGACAATTCTTGGACAGAAGCAAGTATACTTTGTTGAAAGGAGCGGATCTAGATTATGCTCTTCCACCAGCTCCTCTACTTTGTCAAGAACTGTTCCTGCCTGCAAAGTAATGAAACTAATTGATGTGAACACCGAATTAACGAATATGTACTTCATATATAGTATATACATTACAACTTAGAAGAATAACCAAATGGAAATAATAAATCATATAAAATAGTATATGAAATTGAAAGAATGTGGTATCTTTAGTTGCTGTGGTACTGAAGAAAATGACCAAGCAGTCTTATGCTCCAGATTTAACAGTAAGATCCGATATATACCTTTGTTTCCAGAACTATGGACTCAAATTCTTCCTGCAAATGTTCAAAAAGTGTTGCATCACTGTTACCGAACATTTGCAATTTAACAAACAAAAATTTCTCATTTAAGAGAAAAATAGTCTACAAATATGAGGACGCTGCACACTGCAGAGTAGTCTGAGCCACAAGATTTCAAATATCAGCAGTACATAGAAATAATGAAATTGACCAAAGTCCAAAACAATTTTTTGAGGATTACATATTAGGCTTCCCTTGAGGGCGATATGACGGTACTAATAGATTATAAGAACATAAGCGGTAAAATGTTTGAAGGTAATATGTTACAAACAAACATGCTATATCAAAAACTCATAAATCCACCAAACTTTAACCATTCAACACGAATGTAATCAACAAACAAAACAGATTGCATACCTCTATATCTTCATGCAAAGAGGTGATAACCTGAAAGTTGTAAAACCATAATGCTGAGTGAAACGATTGAAGTGTATGGATAGGGACATGGAACATGTTTAATATCAGAGCTTCATAACAGATACTGAAAGATGTGTTCCAAATCCTATGAGTACGGTCTAGAAACCCCTCCCCCCCACCACCCAAAAAAAAAGAAGAAAAGACACGCCGGATGCGTAATGACAATAACAAAGAAAATTGTAAGAATTTTCATATCAATGGAAATTAAGCATTACCATTTAAAGGTTCATTTATTCCTCTATAACATCTTGTTGTTGCACCAAAACATAGAAATGTTAACTAATCTGGCTAACAAGTAATGAGAAGATTTGTCCTATATGTGCAAATCGAAGTCGGGCGGATCTTTACCAGAGTAGAGCATAAACCTAGGTTCCCAGCATGTATATAGTATTAGCAAACAGGATTTCTCACTCAAGCGAGTTTCCAATAAGTAAAACATTGGTTTCTATGGGAGGGTTTAGGGTTTCAACCCTTACAATCAAGGCACGATCATAACTATATGCCCTCTTTAAGTTTTTAATACACATTCAAGATTCCAGGACTAGATCTATGACAGTAAATAATTTTATATTTACCAATATTAAGAGAGCACAGTGCCACTCTTAGTTCTTAAAATTTATGTTCATCTACCATCTCAGATATTACTAAGTAATATTGTTAAAAAAAAAAAAAAAAAAAACCACTCATATTCATAGCACCGATCCGATAAAACATTTTCCGTGGAAAATCAACAATACATAATACAACTAAACAACATAGATTTCCTTACTGAATATTAAAAGCTAATATTAATATGCATTCCGAAATTTGAACCGAGAAAACAAGGATGAATAACAATTTTAAAAACAAACTCGCAAATTACCTGAATGAAGAGTCCGTGGAGGCGGTCCTGCTCAGCTGCAGAGAAACTCGGGAAAGCTTTACGAAATTCCTGATTTCAATAGAAACCAAAATTTAAAAAATAAAATAAAATCGAAGAGGTAGCTATTAGTACGAACCAAAATTCCTTCAACTCATCGTAAAACAAAAACCCTTACCTCATCGGAGCATGCAGTAAGCAAGGAACGCAAGCCGCGGTTGAAGGATTTCTTCAAATTCAGTTCCCTAGAGCTTGGAATTGATGGCGCGCCCTCCATTTTCGTCTCCTTTCTCCCCAAGCCAAACGGTGAATAAAATGCGTTTGAAACCGAGGTTGAAAATGCACCATTGAAGAAAAGGCGGGAGCCTGAAAAAATTGGGCCGAAAAAGCCACATTATTTTATTTATTGGGCCTAAAGGCCTATTAATGTTCTTTCTAGGCCCACGATCATAATTGACTACATGCCCTTTTATACAAAATAGCTAGGGGTATGGTTGCGTTTTCAGGCGTGTGTTTGTTATGTATGTATTATTTCATAGATGTATATATTATATATTTTATAATATTAATCGAAAAATGTATAAAAAAAAATTAATGGACTAAACAAAGTCGTAGTTTATTATGCAATTTTTACCATCTATAATAAAAATATACTGAATACAAATATTATATATACAAGGGTATTAGGTTCGGCCGGGGTTTACCCAATGCGCAGCTGGCGTTCCCACGTCATTTAGAAAAAAAAAAATTAAACTTTTTTTTGCAATTTTTATAAAATTTTAACAAAATATATTATTCATTTTTTATAAAATATTACATTTTTCTTTTTTAATAATTATACAAATATCGTTACCTTTGTAATGGAATATTAATAGAGTTAATTTAGTCATTTTATTGTTTATTTATACTTTATCCCAATATAATACTAATATTTTTAAAACTTTCTTGTGAAAATATATAGACATAGGAAGGAGGGAGGATATCCTAAACATACACAACCTCAACCTTCACAGCCTAATTATGCATATGTTTCCAACAAATTTCAAACTGCAAAAAAAAAAAAACGTGTAAATATATAAACGCATATCGCTCCATAACAGAGAGATAACAGAACTGAAGCAGAGAATAAGAACCCAAAAAATTATTGCAAAAAGTGAGAATTATACAGAAACAAGGTTGGAAGAGCGAAAGTATAAATACTCCAGAATGTTCCAAAAATTGGGCGTTCAAAACATGCACAATTAAAAACAGCTCTATAGGCCATAGGTTCAAGAACCTACATTGTCTTTATATTTCTACACAACCATATAGTATCAATCTTAAACAACCATCACAAATTACGCACCAGTTTCGACCGACATACCTGTCTTCCCGGGCACGCTGTAGTTCAGGCAAAGACACAAGTCCAGAGATCATCGAGAAATCCATCCGAATGATCTGTAATAAAAAGTACGCGCAATAGCATTAGCCGAGCAAGTCTTTGAACAAGTTCGGGTTCTGACCGGATGGAGTGAAGCCCATTTGTCGAACGAGCGCATCCTTCTCCAACGACTCCTTCAAATTCGGCCCTTTGTTCAAGTGCTGGATCGAGTGTTCCGCTGCACTAGCTCCCACGCCGTTTGTGTCGAGCAGATTTGATCCTTGATTGGCGTTACCATCGCCGGGGAGGTTTAAGGACATGTCTGCAAAAATAGATGGAATGTCAGAGGCGCCGGGATTTGCAGGAGGCATGTCCTGCGCGAGATCGAGAAGGCCTTCTAATTGCTTGAACGGATCGACTGAAGGTGCCATGTTGACGGATGATGGTTCGCCCAAGTCGAGCAGATCCGGAGGCGGTTGGGATGTCTTAACCGCAGCAGTGTCGGACGACGTCTTGGCGAGATGAGGCTTGTCGGAAGACAGGTTCTGAGACGACAAAGCCCGCTGCCTAGACGGCGTTCTTCCGTCCGATTTCGATATGCCCCCGAAGAGTGAAGCAGCCAGTTTCTGCTTTTCCGGCGCAATCTCCGCCTGCTGTTTTCTTGAACTATACGATACGTCTTGCGCTTTCGAGGCGGAATTGCTTGCTGAGTCACGCTGAGTTGTGTCACTCGGAGTCTTTATAGAATCAGAGGTCGGTGTCGTCTGTGTTGGAGGGGAGAAAGTCGGCCGTCCCCACTTCTTTTGAACGCCGTCGAGTCGGAGCTTGAGTTCTGAGGGGCCAGTGTTTGAGGTGGATGGAGCAGATGTCGGAGGGTGGAACGTATCTGCGGCATATGATGATATGTCTGGGACCGGAACAAGTTCGTTTGCGGATGACAGCAGCGGTGGAACAGTTGCAGCCACCGGGGCTTTCGGCAGCTCATATGCCTCAAACCTAAGAGCATGTGTGGATGGTTCGTGATCATCGTGATTCTTGAAATTGCTAATGCTTGATGTTCCCGAGCGTTGGCTCTCAGGTATGTACGGCTGCGCGCCATTTTCCAGAGCTCGTTGGACATAGCCATCAAGAAATGGAAGGTCTCTGTCAATCTGAGGGGAAAGAATTACGAAACGGTTAATGATTGTATTAGAAGAAGCAACCAAAGGAAAACAGCAGTCGACAGGCGAGATTAATTTGAATATACGGTTATACAAACAACGCAGACTGCATACATTATAAGAATAACCCCATAAGGTTCAAAAAAGGCTCACACTTGAACATTTTCCAATATGAACCGATATCAGTAAGGATGCAAAGTTCATCCATTAGTGTGCCGAATGCATCACATTTCAAATCCAATTAGACTTTAAATTTAAAAGCTAAGAATAGTCTCATGGAAGGATCAAAATAAACCCATTGTATATCGAGCCAGCAATTAGTGATAAACAAATATTGTTACGATGAAATTATTACCTCAATATCCTCGCAAGTAGCATTCACTGGCATCACTTGTTTGGCAGCTTCAGCGTTTAAGGAGAGGATTGACTGAAGCTCGTAGGCCCGTTGCTGAAGGTCTGTTGAGTGAGATGCTAACAGTTCATCAATCAGGGATTGACACTGTAGAAAAGACAAGTTGTTAGCAGTATGAAAACCATTTTTACTTGAAAGTAGCTTAGGACAGAACTTCCAAGACAACATAAATATATACCTAGACAAATCGATAAAAATCTCAAGCAAATCTATCAAAATTTTGATGTCTTATACTTGAAAAAACACAGTTGAGTAAGTAGCAATGAAGTCCTATCACACCACTGAAGAAACAGTTTAGCTTATTAATGTATTTTGAATCACAACTATATAGAAACCTGCCAAAACTACATAGCTGGTATCACAATCATATTTAGTGCTCCACAACCTTTTAGATATTTCAATTTTCACAATTAACAAATAACGACCAGTATGCCCATAACTCTAGAATTGTTTGAGAATCGGACCAAATCATCAGTTGGAAACATTAAGGCATTCAATGCAAAAAATTTACTCAAGTCTCAACATACAGATCACAATCGATACATATGAGAGTTTGTTGATGTAATTTATCTCATACATGACATCTTTGCAGGATTCATTCAAACTGTTCAATATTCCTTCACAGCAAGATGGACAAAATTAGAAGGGAAAGCAGATGGATTGAATAGTATTGAAAGAGATATATTGATTACAGACAGCTGAACACAATTTTGCACATATTCAGCTCATAAAGGTGAGTGATGTTATCAAGGAAAATAATGACTCTTTACTTGTGTTTGCATTTTTGTTCTCATATTATTTATTAATTATTAAAAAAATATATATATTTAAAAATATCACATCAAATATCTATTTTCACCATCTAACTTTTTACTACTCTCAAAAGTCAAAACAACAAAAGACACCAGAACTCTCCCAAAGCACAAGTAAAGAAACACAACATTTATACAACAGCTCATGTACAGATCAACTGATATGGGCAATAGAGGATGGACATACTCAAGCAGGAAAGTATGAACTATGAAGTGTAAACAGATGGTCAGAATCTACTCTATACATATATAATAAACATTTACCTCAGGCAGCATGTCCACTGTTTTCCCGGCCGCAATTTCGAAACAATATATCTTCATTAGCGCTGACACTGCATATGCCTTCAAACACAAGCACGAAAAGGGAGTCAAGAATAATAAGAGAATATTGTTTTTAAGTGCTCTACCAAAAACATAAAGATATATAAATCACTAACAAACAACCCATTTTCAGATTCCCAAAACTTTAGTGCAACAAGGACAAAGCTTTCCAAATATCAATAAGCCAAATTTCACAACAAGAATTAGTGAAATTGCCATGCCGAATATAATTGCACCATAAAAATCATCTGCATTCATAAACTAGATACCCACTTTCACTGTGTTGTCCTCCGGATGTCCCTCGGCCACATCACACAACTTCCCAGTAATATATGAGGCAGAATACTTCCCATCTGCAGTCCCATATTCCCCAAGGACCCAACAGATAACCTATGGCATAAAACAGGTAAAGAAAACACAGTGTGAGGCCATATAACAGAAAATTGAAAATGTGTCTACATCTAGTACAGGCAGAACATAATATGTATGTATATATATATATATATATAAAGAAGAAGAAGAAGTGGTGTGACAACACAACCAAGACTTCATGCACATACTTGAAGAAAGGCTGATGGAAGCTTTGGCTCGCCCATAATCCGAAGATATGACTCCACCTGCATTCAATAGATAAAAAAACTATCACAAATTTTGATCCATCATATCTATACCAAGTAGCAAGCACGATGTTAATATAGATAATGTTGTTTAGATTTGTTATTAACATATATACCACAACACGAAATTAGGAACATGTGCAAACTAATTTTTATAAAATACATAATCGAAGAAAAGAGGTAACAAAATTTGAGAAATCAAAGGAAAACAAGGGTCACTACTAAGTCAGGATAGTAAAAGTTCTCTCCAGAACCGAAAGGACATATTTGTCATCGTGTGGAGAGGGCATGCCTTCAGGCCGGCATTGATGCCCTTAAAATTGAACTAAAACAACTTCCAAATCAGCCAAAAAATTCAAAACACTTGCTTCAGCAGCACATTATTAAATCACAAACTCACAATCAACTTGAAGAAAACACAAGGGGTTTCAATATCTCATCGTCGCATTCTTTCTCTTGACCTATCCTCACTACAACCATTTTAACCCCAAGAACAGAGAGTATGCATTGAATCATACGTCCTGTAGTTACTCATCAAGCATAACATCTACTCTTGGATATCCCGTGATACTTTTCTCATTCCCCAAGGCATTAAGTAATACTGCAACTTTTCAGCAGTGATGGGTAAGAATTCCATCCCTACTCAAGCAAAAACTGATATTCAAGTTTTTTTCAAGATTCTAGTGACAACAGAGTAAATTAAAAAAAAAAAAAAAAACAAAAAGAAGACAAGAACTAACCAAGGTCTAATCAGTGAGAAAAAGAAAAAAAGACTACCTTACTCTTTCAATCATTAATTCAATACTCTGACACACAATGTTGAAATGAAAATTGATGACCAGCTAAATGGTTTAATATATTACTGCTAATATAAAATTCAACAACCACAGCCAGGCACTTATAAATCATGTAAATGTGTTGCTCTCCTGCCCAGAGTGCAATCACCTATGCTCTAAAGGAGAAATGACTCTTTTGACAAACCAAATGTATGCATTTGACCATATATTATAACAAAAAACAAACACACAATGCAACTTCCAAACGGAATACCATTCTTAATAGAATGGAAATAGGTAGCAAAGTAATGATTGTAGATGAACCTTAAACATCCCCCAAATTGCGAGCAATGTAACAACATAATACACAATGCACTTAAAAATTGAAAATGGTATCGCAAAGGCATAAATGCAAACATTTCAAAGGCCAAGAATGAACTCAGAATATAAATGATACCAAACAATTCAAAAGGCAAATATATGGATCAGAACCAAACTTAGAACTAAAATAGAAATACATACAGCAGATGATCTAAGCTGGCTGTCTGCAGTATCATCATCCTCCCCAAATCCTTCAGCAATCAACCGCATTAAATTATGCGCAACTTTAGCATTAACAAGGTCCCCTGCATGCTCAAATACTTTGTTCATGGTCTGACAAACAAAAGATAGGAAAACAAGTAAGTAGAAACCCCTCAAATATTCACTCAATATGACAAGAAATCATTTAAAAGGATAAATCGTTGAAAAGTATAAACCAGTGAGCTCACCTGTATGAACCATTGGTTGCTAGGAGCAAATTGTTCCGCAAGCTCAACACATCTAGATGCAATTTCAGTTTTGTAATGACTATCATTGATGCTTATCATGTAGTCAATCATACGATCAACAATTACTTCCACATTTGAAGACTTGGTCATCTTATACAGGAGTTCAAATGTCTTTCGTTTTAGGGTATCATCTGGGTCCTGAATAATAAAGTAAGTCATACAATGACATCCAAGTGAAAGAAAACAACAATCAAGCATGCCATTACCCTCAAACTATAAATGATTTCTTAAAATGTAACAATATGAAAAACATCTCTTAAGCCCAAGTCTGTTTATAGTTTCAAATCCTGCTTCGACTCCAGCATTCAACATCATGTCCTTCTCCTTCCATTAACTCCAATGTTACACAAGAAACTAGTTTTCCTTTGTTTTCCATATCAATGGTAGTAACAGCATGTCAAAACCTACTGTCTACTGGTTTAAAGTTTATACCATAAATCAAAATACCATATTTCTCACCTCTAGGCAATCAATAACAGCCAGCTGATGCTGTTCAGCAACCTCTGGGCTTATTTTTATCAGCCGACTAAGTGCATCGATACCAAGATATTTCAGGTTGTGGCTATCACTCTGTCCAATAGAGTAAATTAACATTAAAATAATGCATCATAAAAAGGAATGCTGAAAAGATAACAGCAAATTACACAATACCAACTTTCAGAAATTTTGCTATGCCATCAGCAGCAGCTTCAAGCAACTTCGGGTTGGGGTGTAACGAGGAAACACAGCAGATGCATTCATAAAGGATGGCATTCCCAATATTGGTTGTTGAATCAGATCTTCTCATAATGTCGCCCAAAATTGTGTACATTTGTTCGCTTGCACGTTTCTCGCCACTTCCCAGTAGGGCAAGAATTTTCAACAATTTGATCTATTAAAACAAGAGAATAAACTATCTTAATAACATTGAAAAGATACAAAATAAGAATATATATTGAGGAAACAATCCATTCTTCTAAAGGCCGGTATCTGTGAAGCACCCAAATTATCTGGCTCAGTTGAATGGATGGTTAGCAAATGGCAAGAATTTTCAACAATTTGCTCTATTAAAACAAGAGAATAAACTATCTTAATAACATTGAAAATATACAAAATAAGAATATATATTGAGGAAACAATTCATTCTTCTAAAGGCCGATATCTGTGAAGCACCCAAATTATCTGGCTCAGTTGAATGGATGGAGCAAATGTGTATCACTTATCTCACCAATATCATGCAGCATTTGTTTATATCTTAGGACTATATTGTCATGCAGAAAATACAGAGGGGATTAGGGGTGTAGAAATCAACTACTCAATCAAGAAAGCATTAGTCAAACCCGCACATGAAAATAAGCAACTGCATTATAATTTGAAAAGCATGCTCTAGAAAGTACAAAAATAATGGACAAGGCATGGTTGTAACACTTACTCTTCTTGTATCTTAGAATGAAAATCTCGTACAAAATTTCCATAAACTACATAAAAACTTAATGAAAAAACAAAAAACAGAAAAACCGTGCTTGCCTGAATGAATGGAGCAGGCATCTGATGGTAGTCATAACTCTTTGGTAGCTTGCGTTCAGATATTTGCTTAAGAATATTAACAAAGCTAACCACCAGATCTCTATATGCATCACAATCAGCCACAATAAGATCATAAAGTGGGCAAAGTGCTGCACCCATAACACCAGGATCATTATCACAAAGCCTCTGCAAGCAAAATTTAGTTGTTGTAAGAATAGAATCAATTAGTTCTGGAAACAAGTAAATTTTCAATAGCACATAAGAGCAGCAAATTTAATGGCTCACAAACATAATTACAAAATCTACATAAACACCCCAGATACTCTCAGTTCATTAACAAGGTAGAAAGAACAAGGCTTATCACTCCATGCACCAAATTCACAAATAGATTATAGAAATTTAGAACATATAGGTTAAGAACATATAGCTAATAACTGGTTTTTCATTTTCTTCTAGATACTCAAGACTATATCAGAATACCAACAAACCACATCTGCACTTACTATCACACTGTTTGAAATAAAAAGGGATATATATACATATCTATATATAAAAATGCATAGAACAGTGGTATTATCGAGTAATAGAAAGTTTGCACCTTGCGGAAATTGGAAATGAGATGGGAAACGGACCCCGGAGCCTTCTGATAAAATCTGTGGAGCGCCATCACTGCTTTCTTCCTCACAGCTTCCTTCGAGTGCCCCAATAACTCCACTACCTGTGGCAAAACTGCAGGGATCGTCTCCTCATTAATCAACCTACACACTGCATTCAACGCAGCGCAAACCACCAAATAATTATCGCTCTTCAGGTCCTTCTGTATCGTGTTCACAATCAAGATAATCAAATCGTGATCTTCGTTCAGAAACAAAGTAACTGCCAAGTATCCTGTTCTTTTCAGCACCAAATTCTCGTCGTGCGTCATCTTGACGGCATGAATGTATCCAAACGAAGCATCGTGCCCCAGCATCTCGACATAGATGAGGCGGATTATGTACTCCTTGAGCTTGAACTTAGGGTTATTAGGGTTCGACAGCCGAGACTTAAGCGTCTCGATTTCGCGCAAGACAATGCGGTCTTCCTCCGATTTGGATCGAGCCTCGCCGATTGACTTGATGAGATCGAGGAACTCCTTGGACTGCCCAAATCCTACTTGGGAGCTCATTGCGAGCTCCCGACCGATCGTCTTCAACTGCTCCAGCTTTGAATTGGTTTGCAATTCAAGAAACTTGGATCAATCCCGGACCAAATTGATCCAAACTCGCACCGCTAATGAGAAATTCGGGTTCTGGGTTTCGGAAAAAATCAAGAAATCTGCACGGAAACTGACGGCGTGGGGAGGAGAAGGATTGATATTATGTGAAATCGATCTGCGTGTTAATTGTGCACGCATTGAAGGAAAAAAATTTGTATAAAAATTATTTTAGGTCCAGAAATACAGAAGGGGAGGAAGACGACACTTTAGGGTACAAGTAATGCTGCAGAGAGTACTGCAGATAATTCTGCACTATTGCGTCGCTTTCATTGTTTTTAATTGCACTTTGATCCCTTCAATTATATGTATTTCTAAGTTGCATTCACCGCTTTCTGCCTAGTATGTGGTTTCTTTTGTTGATCTATTCGCCATTAATAAAAACAGAAGTGATTTTGTATTTTCTATGGAAATATTCTGATGTTAGGTATTAAAAATTATAATTAAAATATTTTATATTATTGTTAAATTTTTGAGTTAATTTATCTTACATTTCTCTATATAGATTATCATCTTACTAAATAAAATAATATCCTACTACCATTTATCTATAATTCTATTTTTTATATCAAAAGTATATTTCACCGGTAAGAACCAGTGTATAAATAAACTCATGAATTTAATAATCAATATTTTAAAAATAATACTTCATCTTTTCTTCCTATGAGAAAGAAATTGGTAGTCATCTTTTTTTTGCAGATCCAGTATAGTCGAGAAAGAAACCTAGTGCGTGGGGATCTAGGGGATCTAGGGGGAAGAATGAGAATTTACGGAACACAAACCCAACCTCGTCTACGATTGCCCTTTCTCTCTTTAGGCAGGGACAGCTGTTTAAAGAAAGGGATCCGTCCGCATTCACGAGCTTCCTCCGATAAACAACTGAACTAAGGCTGCAAAGACAGCTATCTTCTCCTTGCTTGCTCCCTGGGGTTGTTTTGAGGGAGGCTGCTTTGGGCCCAGGAAGCGAAGGGAATGAGCTCGGCGAAAAAGTAAGTGTTCATTTGTTTTTAAAAATAATACTCCATCTGTCTCAAAAGTAAGTGTTCATTTGTTTGTCAACCTAGTTTTAGAAATATTAATATTATATTGGGATATAGTAAAAATAAAGTATAAATGACTAAAATAACGTTATTAGTACGTGTTATATAAAGGTAATGACATTTGTGTAATATATTATATGTTGTAAGAGTATTTATAATGTTAGTGGTACAATTACTAAAAAAAAAAAATTTGATATTTTGTTATATGACGGAATAAAATGGAAAAATTGATACTTTGTTATGTGACGGAAAGAATATATGAGTTTTTTTTTCTATTAGGTGGCATTTGGTATAGATAATTGAATTTCAGATAAATTAGAGTAGATAATAAAATTGGAGATAAATAAAATTAAGTAGAATTAATTCTGTAAATCATACAATTCAGTTGAGAAATATAAAAAAAATGCAAATATAAAAATTGATCAATTGAGAATAAATGATTAATCGAATAAAAAATTAGTTTTAATTAATAAAAATTCATGAAAAATATTTTTGGTAAGTTTTTTAAGATTAAGTTTTAGTACAGTTTCTTAAAAAATCTTTAAAATTAAATATTTTAACAATAAATTTAATTTATTTTTTGTAAAATTAAAATAATATACTTTTAAAAAAATATAAAAATTAAATAGTAAAAAAATTAAAAAATTAAAATATATATTGCAACGTCATTTATCTCTATCTCTTCATATGAGATATAAATAGAGAAATATAAATGATTTATTTCTTAAATTTTATTTATCTGACTCAAACAAACAAAATAAATGAAGTCATTTATATTTCTCTTGCCTCATTTCTATGTACCAAACACACCGTGTTTGTTTGGAGATTCGAATTTTGAATTGAGATTTGAATAGTAAAAATTTTGAATTTGAATAGTTGTATGATGTGATATAAATATGTGTTGATGTGATGTTTTGAATGTAAAAATTATTTTTAGTATAATATAAAAAATAAAAAATAGTTGTTTGATTTGATGTTTTTTTTTGGAAAAAAATGAGATTGAAGAGTAGAAATCTAATCCAATCTCCCAAACAAACACACCATTTGTGTTTTAGTTTAGATATTTTTTATGGGAGTTATGAAAACTAAGTCGGTAATATAAAATAATATTTACATTTAACGTTAATTTTTTACGAGATTATATGATATACTATATGATATATATTTCGTCAAATTATATCACTTTTTTTTTTTATGTGAAATTTATGTACATTTAATTTATAATTAATAATTTTATATATCCACAATTCTAATATTTTAATTTTAACAAGTAATATCTAATTTTTAACTTTTCCAACTTTTTTTTATTAACAATTTACTAAATTTTATCTTATTTTTTAAATACTCACTTTAACATTTAAATATCAATATTTTTAAATATATATTAAAAATTGTATCAAATAAAAAATAACAAACTCCATATATTTTCCTTGCTAAGTATTATACTATTAAACACTAAAACATATACTTTTCTATTTTTTTGAGAAATTAAAGAATTTATTTATTATTTATTATTATATTAAACTAAAATTGATATTATTCATTATGGACAATTTTAAATAAAAATATATTATTTTTTTACAAAATATTATATCTGATTATTTATTAAAAAAACAACTAAACTAATCAAAAAACTTATGATGTGTTTAATACAGAAAAATGAAGCTATAAAAATAAAATGACCTCATTTTTCTTTATTTGATTGAGTCAGATAATGGAACGATTAAGAAATAAATTATTTCTCATTCTCTAGTTTTATTTATTTGTCAAGTGCAAAAAATACAAAAAATTGAATATTTTATTTATTATTATTTTTTTTAATTTTTATACTATTTAATTTATATACGTATTTTTAAATTATATTATTTTAATTTTACAAAATATCATATTTAATTGTTTATTTAAGAATTTAAATTTTATCATTAAAAAAAAAAATCTACACTAAAATTTAATTTTACTCTTTATCTAATTCATTAATTAATTATTTAAACGAAAAAGTTAACCATAAATATTTTTTTGGTTTGTATGTTCACCCGATAAACTTATATGTTGCCCCGATTAATCATTTATTTAGGTTGATCAATCTAACTATAGTATGTTTTTTTTTTTTTTACCTTTTTTCAGCTAAATTTTATTTTTACCGAATAGGAAATTTATTTTAATTATCTATTCAATTTCTATTATGATTTCGCTGTAATTCAATTATCTATACCAAACGATCACTTGGTAAATTCTAAATTGAAATCCACACGGTTCATTTTGCATAATTTTAATATAAGTATGTATTTTTTAATAAAATATCATAGGTGTCTTTATTTGGGGATTGAATTTTAAATAAACTATTCATCTATTTTTTTTTTCCAAAAAATATCAAAATCAAATACCTATTTTTTATTTTTTATATTATACTAAAATTAAATTTTATATTCAAAACATCACATCAACACTTATTTATATCACATCATACAACTATTCAAATTCAAAATTTTTACTATTCAAATCGCAACTCAAAATCTAAACTCCCGAACAAACACACTCTAAAAGTTCAAAGCAAAATCATATTATTGTCATTTTAAAATAAAAAATAATATATATAATTATATACAAATTTAAATAAATAAATAAATAAATTTATTTATTCAAATAATTAATCAAATTAATTAATATTTATTGAAAAAAAAAGAAGGAGATACTAAAGGAAATAACAAAATGTTTGAAATATTAAAGGAAATAAACAGAATCAGAGATGTTTCAATTTCCCCACCTTCGGAATTTCTGTAACCGTTGAAAATTGCAGAGCGGGAGTCGAGGCTCTGCCGATTCCCATTTTGGCGCACCGACACTGAATTCTTGAATCCATTCCTGTTCTGTTTCTTTTTCATTTATTCACATACTATTTGCATGTTATCTGAAGGTGATCCGTGTGTATCAATGGAGAAGGAGCCTTCTAGTACAAGCAAGAATACGACGTCGCCGACGCCGGATTCATACATCGGATGCTCATCAGCGTGACGTCGAAGTCAGATATTCGTTACGAGGGATTTATCTACTACATCAATCCTAAGGGATGGTAAAACCTTGACCATCTTCGCACTCTGTGATACTGTCTGCATTTGTTTGTATGATTTATGATGTTCAATCGAGGATTAGTATGAATTTTCGTTTGTATCTGATTTGCTTTATGCATGTTTCGCTGAAGTTATTTTCCGCGAATAGAGAGTGGCGTTGCCAATATGAGAAAACCTTAGCGTTTTAGTGAAAAATGGACCTCAAGTTCAGCGGAGTGACAAGGTGTATAACTACATTATGATTCGTGGCAGTGACATTAAAGTAAGTTATTATGCAACTGCTAAAAAACAGATTGCACAAGTCTTGTATAATGCTCATTTTGTGTGTTTCATAGATTACATGAGTTGATAATTGCTAAACATCATGTCATCTGCTCATTTTGTTACATTAGAGACAACGTTGTCGGCCTGTTTATTATTTTGTGACTGCACTCTACCTGTTACTCACTACCCTATTTATCGATTAACCATAGTGAAATCTTCAGTTTCGTGCGCTTTTTTCTTTTTTTTTTTTTTTTGTTAATGCTACACTTTCAGGATCCTGCTATTATTCAAGTGGTCATCAAGATTGTGATCATTAGTATTCCCTGAAAACGATATAATATGTATATAATTTTTTATTTTTCAGTCCAACAACCATATGGAGTCTTCGAGTCCAATAAAGTCTTTCCCAGTTGCAGGCGATTCATCAACTAAATTAAATGTGTGCAGGGAATATTCTGCACTGAATCCAGGATCCTACCCAAGCACAATTCCTGCACACCATTTTGAGAGAGAGCTGGGAGTGCCGAGTTCTTCGTTATAAGAGCATACTGTTTCATCAACCCATGGCATGCCAAAAGGCCCGACAATGTGGCAGGGTTATAGTGAAACCCCAGGCAGGTTTACCGGTGTTAATCAGCACTCTTCACCATTAGCTACAGGGTCATATCCCTTGCTGAATCCTACTCCTCAAATGATGATGAGGGAAAAGCTACAACCATCTCTTCCTTTCATCGTTCGGCATTAACAAAGTCTAATCTATTGACTATGCCTTTTTCAGTAAACCACCCAAGCTTGATTAATCTAGAAGATCAAGTTGCTAATCAAGCATTTTTTCATCCTGCATCATCAGTTCCGGTGCAGTCCCTACCATATTCAACATCATGCGTTCCTGCTCCAATATCAGAATCCTTAGTAAGGGAACAGCAAGCATTGCAGACACTGAACTTGGCAGAAACCAACTTATCTGAACATTCTTCAGCAAGAAATATGTACCCTGCTCAAATGGATGTGGCTGGTTTATGTTCAACATCGTTGAATATCTCATCTTCAGCTTCCCCTGCATTTCAACTGAATCATTTGCCTCTGCCACCAAGTTCACAAAAGGTTAATGTGCTTGATTTATTTCTTTAATATTATTGTTCCTTTTGTTTAGATCAGATGAATTACGGATTGTCTAATGTTATTTGTTAATCCTATTCCATGGACTAAGCTCCTGCCTCTGCAACCAAACTGACTTTAGATTATTCTAATTTCAGTGTTGGATATCAAATCCCAAACTCTTGTCTAGGCTCATGATTTGATGGGATTTGCAAGCTTGGATCCGTAGATGTTTTGTTCTGCTTGTTGCATATTTTTGTTTGATCATTGAGCAATCTGCTTTGTTTTCTAACTAGATTTGCAGAGTCAATGCCTATCCCACTTTAATGATGAGTTTGATAAGGAAGCAATGCGTGGTAAATCTAAGAAGGATGAGGTTTGGGGGGATCTTGGGAAAGCATACCGGCACAATAAGGTGGAGGGTATACAGGAAAGTGGAGCATGCAGTCAGGTATCTTGGAATGATACTCTGAATCGGTATCCAAGATTAACACAGAAGTTCAGTTATGACAATTATTGGACATTTGCTATAAAAATGGATTCCTGTACTGTTTTTGAGTATTGTTCTCTATTAGTTTTATTGTAAATTTATCGGCGGGAGTTATTCTTTTATCTTCTTAAAATGCCCACTGAAATTCAAGTGGTAGCAATGAAAGTTCTTACTGTAGCATTAGTTTCTTACTGAACATTTCCTTGCAGCTTCCTTCGAAGTTTACTTAAGAATTTGACTTCCAAGCAATGAACAAGAAGTTCTATAAACACAAGATTTGGGAAGATTTTGGGAAAGAAAGTTACAGAGATAAAGTGGAGGGCGTACACCAAATTAGCACATATAGCCGTGCCCCTGAGATGCTCCTGACTTACAGAATGCATTTCCATATTTTGATCTAACATTTTCCTCTGCCTGCAGCCTTCCTATAACAAAGATGACTTCTTTGACACCACATCTCGAAATTCCATCACCCGTGGAGCTAAGAGCGGTAAGAATTGATCTTCCAAGAGACAGAAATTGAACCATAAGGTTTGTTGGTACTCCACAAAGAAACGTTTCTGTTTTTTGGGTGACAAACTATTTCATTCCATGAATCTTTCCTTGACGTAAAAAGACAGTTTCCCTTTCTTTCATGCACAAACTCAGACATTTGGCGATGTTCAACGAAGAACTCAATCAGGTTTTGGCAGGCACAGAGCTGAACAGCGTGAGTATCATGGACAATACACTTCGGGATGGCAGTATAACTATCATAGAGGCTGTGGGAGTCATCGCCAGAGACACATAGTTGTCACAGGTTCTATATATATATATATATATACACATATATGCTTTATAAAGCTGAACCTGAAAGGATAGCTTATCAGCCATTGCTGGATCTTTTAGGAATCGCCCGAGCAATGATTTATGGGATTTATGGGCAGGTTCATATGAATCGATGTGTCCAGGCAGCATAAGTATCATCCTTTTTTGTTTTTTCCATTTATTTTGCTTATATAATAATAAAGTAATTTTCTATATATAATGACCAGTTTCATGGTGTTCACTAATCAGGCAGCAAATCTTTTTACTATTTTTAGTCGGTATTATTCTACACATGAGATAATCACACCCTTAGAGAAATGGCCAATTTTTATTGATACATAAATTCTTATATCATTTTGATGGTATTGGTTGACTCCCGATAAATAAATAAATGATATTAATCCCTAATAGCTTAAGCTTTTTGGGGAAACATCAGTTACATCACACTTAATGCTGTAAAGCTATTATACACTTGTATCTATTGCCATATCAGAAGTATATGAATGTTGGGAGAGACTCATTTATATACTATAATCTCTCTCTCATTACATGTTCTTCCACGCCGGTATCTGAATTTTTATTGTTATTATTGTTGACCTTTTTCTGATCTTCGGCTTTCCTTTTCCTTAGCACAATGACGGCAGAGCCAACAGTTGAGAACATAGCTAGCAAAGAAAGCACCGCGGAGCCAATGTAGACTCCATCTTTAACCAGGTAGCACTCGCCGTCTAGCCATCCTTCTCCGTAAGCTTGGCTTCGGCTCATGCTGGTGGCGCAGCTTATTAAGACTGTGGCGACTGCGAAGGTGATCCTGTGACATCATTTATTTTTCTTTGCTCCCATCAAATTTGATGTTGAAAAATTAAATTTATTACTAAAATTCATATACAGCATTGATTTTTACCGTGATTTTAGATGCAAATGAACCTAGAATGATTCAAATAAATTCAAGTTGCTAGCATGGCATTGTCGATTGTTTTTGACCCTGTGATATCATTTACTTTTCTTTGCTCCCATCAAATTTGATGTTGAAATATAAATTTATTACTAAAATTCATATAAAGTATTGATTTTTTTTTACCATGTTTTTTGATGAAGATAAACCTAGGATGATTCAAATAAACTCAAGTTGCTAGCATGGCATTATCGATTGCTTTTGCTATTTAATTCAAATGGTACTTAGCTGTCTGTCCATGTGATGTTTTATTTTATTTGATTTAATATGCCAATATTTGTTTTGGGAGAATAGAATAATGTTTTCTATAGAATATAAAAATCACTGACCACGACAGAACGGCCAAACCGCATGGAACTGTAGAATTGACGACCCTACAACGGCGGCCGCGCGCTCTTGATCGGAAACGTCCGCAGATGAATGAACTTCCGATTACTTGGCTGATCGAGAGGCAGATTAAGGCAGCGATTCCTAATTCAAAGGCATGGCTTCCGGGCAAGTAACACAGCTTTCCATCGAATTTGAGATCATTTTTCTGAAAGAGAAGAGCACGAGCAGAACCTGAGATTCGGCGGAACCTGTTGAATTATGGTGCGAATTAGATTGTTAAACCTACCTTCGATTTCTTGAATTCTGAGGCGACGCAGAAGGCGGAGGAGAGGATGGCGGAGGTGGTGATGGCTGCGAAGAACAGAGCATAACCGTATTGGCTTCTTCTTTCCATGTAGATGGCATCTGATCTGATTGCTTGCAATGGAAAAGGAAGTGGAATAATTAGAGGCGGCGAAAGGAATGTAGAAAGGAAGGCGGCTTGGAGTTTACTCAAAGGGAAGAACACTGCATTTGAAACTGTTGCTTTATTTGGGCTTCTCGTTTTGAAGAAATATCCCAGTGTAGACACCAGTGGAATTTGGAGAAGAGTCACAATTCTGAAGTTTATATCATCTTTCTTGGTGAATACCATGTGGGGACGGAACATCTCCAGACTGTATCAATGGAGTGGTTGGGACAACTGTAAGGAGATATTATTATATTTACTTTTCATGACCCATTACAGATGCAGAAAGGCTCTTAAGTCATCTCGGAACACTCTTTCCAACTTATCAGGCTACATGGTTTGATATACAGAAAAGGATCTATCAACTGGGCTATAATCCTTCAGAAATGCTGCACTGCGGAGGTAAACTGATGGCAGAAGACATTGATGTTGTGTTCATTCTTGTAGCTTAGACAGCAAGAAGAGGCAGCCGGAGGAGAGGAGCACTGATGCAGAGAAGCAGAGGAGGTCCAGCGGGTTATTTATGGCTGCTTTCTTGCTCTTGTCGAACAATCCAATGAGGAGAAGCATCACTATGACATGGCCAAGCTTGGTTTTGAGCTCGTTCACTGTTTTGATTTCCAGCCATCGAGGTCGTTCCTAATTAGATTGCAAACCCAAGACATCAGATTAGTAACAACATGGATGCGTAGGTAACCTGAGTTAGAAGAACATATATTTGGAATGGCAAATAAGTCAGACCTTGAGGGTAAACAAACCAAACAAATTTGACCTCCCATCAGACATGGATTTTGCCTTGTCGAGATTGCTGATAAAGAGCTCATAAAGGCCCATCCCAAAGACCAACATCACAGTCCCAAGCAGGTACACATCTATGTCAATTAACGTAAGTTAGGATCAGCTAAAAGGTTTGTCAGTGCATGCCAACATGTGATAATTGTTTCCTTAAAAGACCCAACTAAACTATATTTTCTGCAGTTTACTCTTGAACATACTAAGCAGAGTAGCATGAGGACCACAGATATATTATTTGAGTTGAACATTTCATAAAAAATCATGTATAGAATTATAGTACTTAAGGATCAATTGAGGCCCTTTTAAGATGCTATAACTATAGGAAGAGTGTGTATCTCATTTCTGGCTTTTTACATATTCATGGCAATTTCTGACAGTTGGGATAGATAATAAGCACAGCACGTACCAGTGGCCTCGACTAGTGAAGTAATCACTTTCCCTCGATCTATGAAATAATCATGAAATGAAGTTACAACGTAGACACAGCCCTACATATGACGGAATCCATTGTTAGATATCTGCACAACTCTATTCAACATTCGAATAAGCCCAAAATAAAAGGTATAGGCAATGAAATCATAAAATAGGCAAGGCATGCATCAATAATAATGCATCCCCTAGTAAAAGAACTAAACTTACTTTCACAGGACTGTGGGGCGATGAGATTACTGAATGCCATTCATGAAGTTATTGTTCCCGATATTTATAGAACTGCCTACACATGCAGTCGGCATGTGCACAAAATGGCTATATGCTGCAAAGGAATACTTACTTGAATCTTGATCTCAAAATGCTAAAGGGATCTCCATAGAATTTCTTCACAGTGTTAAGTGTTACATCCAAATAGTAAAAGCAAATGGTAAATTTAACTAAGATTTTAGTCACAAAGTGCTATATTTGAGGTCATGAATAGCTTGATCACTATTGCAAGTTGAGCTCAAGTTATGAATAAGTGTGCTTCCAGAAGCTAATGCTGAAGCAACTATGATTATGGTCAAGAATTCTCATAAACTTATCTAGATTGGGCAGTCGACCCCAATTTTTAGTGTTTGGGATCAAGACTACATCAAGTTCCCTACATTAAGTATCCATATAGCATATTGATCTTGCAGTGTCAGTTACTGTTAGAGTAAGATAAGACCTGATGAAAAATTGCTACTTTCTAGTGATTGTATTGTTTTATGTTGTCTGCAGAGTGCTCAGGTTTCCTACAGCTAAGTGATATGTTCAAGTAGTGAGCACACAACAATGTGGAAGAGAAGCATGGAACTCTACGAGGATAAAAAAGGGTAATATAATTGTGCTTCAATGTCCATAATGTTACCATACTGAAAGCAAAACACTATGAAGGACTTATTCTCCTTCAAAGCAAATCAATGAATGTATTCACCTTGAAGAAGCAGAGGAAAGATCCAATCAACGACCCCCAAACTCCAAGAATGGCAAAGAACCTGCATCCATAGATGACCTACGCCAAAAGAACACAAGAATGCTACAGTTACAGAATCCATAATTAATGTTACTAGCTTCAGGCGCTTTATGTTACCCAAATCATCACCTTCTCTATATTCTCTTCTACTTTCTCCAATTTATCTTGTTCTGGATAACGCGACACGCCGGAACTAACATCTGATGCCACTGCAGGTACTGAATCAGCGACTCCTGGTCGAGCAGCGTGCCTGGCTTTGGCGTGGAAGAAAAGAGGAATCTTTGCGCGGAAATTGCATGATTTGATATTTGGAGACAATTCCCTCGCCTTGACGCAAAATACGGGCGTCGGGATTCTGGGGAAGGTTTTGGTGGGGTTCATGGCGATGTGAACCAACGCGCAGAGGTTTGGTTAAACGATCTAGAAAAGCGAGGTTTTAATAAACAAGATGAGAGATACATAGTTGGAAATTTGAGTGAAAGCGCTTCAGCCACAGACAAAATCGAAGGATATTCCCTTGGCCACGTTGATCCCAATCTTTGATTCAAGATTGTCGCTTTCCCGCAGTTGTCCCGCAACGGCTCCAGGCAACCCACGTAAGTGATGAGATATTACCGTGCAGCCATGGAAGTGTTTATCAGAAAGGAAATAACCGTGAAAATACGGTGTAAATATCACATGTCACGTGTCTATGAGTAGAAAGGCAATACAAATTGGAAAGGTAGAAACTATTAGGGTCGTGGGTATTCGGATCCGGGTTGTCGTCCGATTGTCCTTCGACTTTCACTCTTGGCCCAATTTTGTATACCAAGATTTCAAGAATCGCCAGGATCAGGGGTGAACCGTGAAAGCTCCTCCGGGGCAGCGAAAAATCGAAATCTTCTGCTCGGGTGGAAACCCAAATTGATGGGTGGACGCTGAATTTCCGCTGACGAGGGCTTGAAAGGAAAAAGCACGGATTGAACTCTGTAATGGCGGCAGAGAAATCGAGGCCCTTTACTCCAGTAGCCGCACCTCGCTTCCCGACCTATCACACCGCCTCGGACCTCCCCCCTCAAGCTCGAATCATCTGCGAGATTCTTGCCACCACTCCGGTTCACGAAGTCGAGGCTCGTCTAGCCGCTGCCCAAATTCAGTTGACGCCTGAGATTATCCCGCGAGTCCTGAAATTGTCGTACAACAATCCGTCGACTGCCGCCAAGTTCTTCCGGTGGTCGGGGCTAGCACTGCAGCACACAGGATATTCGTGGAATCTGATGGTGGATTTACTCGGGAAGAATCAGCTTTTTGAACCTATGTGGGAGGCAATTCATTCTATGAAGAAGGAGGGCCTGCTCTCCTTGACGACTTTCGTTTCCGTCTTCGAGAATTACTGCGTCACAGGGCGGTTTGATGAGGCGGTTATGACTTTTGAAGTCATGGAAGGGTATGAACTCCGTTTTGTATTTTTCTACTTCAATTCAGAATATTACTTTGGCTATTTGTTTGCATCAGTGAACATTTGTTTGCTATTATTTGGATTTTGTTATTTTTGAGCACTCTATGCCTTTTTTGGTGGAAAATATTAACATAAGGAAATGGAAACGTAACACGAGTAAACACAGTCTATATTTTGTTGTTTATGGTAACAAGTTGAGCCATTCAGTAGAGAAGTTAGGATCTTGTAGTTTCACCACCATCAGTTAGAGCTGCTCTGTATTAATGCTTTATCTTGTAATGATTTGATCTGTTATTTCTTCCATTTTTTGATACTTCATTGAGCGTTCAGGTGATTTAGTGTGCAGGTATGATGTCCAACCTGATACCGTTGCAGTAAATTCTCTATTGAGTGCCATGTGTAGAGAAGAAAACCAAACAGTGAAAGCACTCGAGTTCTTTGAGAGAATAAAAGCAAAAATACCTCCAGATGCGGACTCATTTGCAATCTTGTTGGAAGGGTGGGAAAAGGAGGGAAATGTGGCCAAAGCAAAATGTACTTTTGAGGAGATGGTGATTTGTGTGGGTTGGAGCCCGCAATATATGTTTGCTTATGATGCATTTTTGAATACGCTTGTGCGCGGATCAAATGCCGATGAAGCAATCAAGTTCTTGCACATTATGAAGGGGAAGAAATGCTTGCCAGGTTTGAGATTCTTCTCCAATGCACTAGATATTTTTGTGAAGCAGAATGATTTGGCTCATGCAGTTGCAATGTGGGATGTAATGACGGGTGGCGGGGTATTGCCTAATCTGATGATTTACAATACCATGATTGGTTTGCTAACCAGAAATAATGATATTGACGGTGCCTTTCGCCTCCTTGATAGCATGGCATACGATGGTGCTTTTCCCGACTCCTTGACATATAATATGATTTTTGAGTGCTTAATCAGAAATAAGAAGGTCCGTGAAGTGGTAATGTTCTACAATGAGATGATCAAGAATGAGTGGCCACCTACCCCACAAAATTTCACTGATGCCATCAAGATGATGTTTAGTGGAGATGATCCAGAGATGGCAGTTGAGATGTGGAAATATATGTCTAAAAACAATATATCTCCCCGTGACGATAGCGCTAATGCTGTGCTTCTTGGATTATGTAATTTAGTAAGACTGACAGATTTAAGAAGGTTTGCCGAGAAGATGATTGATGAAGGAATCATAATATGTGAATCAACAATGACTAAGGTGAGGAATGCTTTCTTGAAGGAGGGAAGAAGTGGACGTGAAACTTATGACCACATTTCGAGCAAGTGGAAATCTGCATATCTTAAGACTTAGTCACCTTTTCTCTATAGCTCCATAATGCTTGATATTGCCTTTATGATCAGAAAAAGCTCTGAATAGATTATGTTTTTCTGTCTTTGAGCAATGAATATTTTGCTCTCTTCTATTTGACGAGCACTGAGTAATTTTCTTTTTCAGTGTACTTCTTTTCCTCTTTTATTCTGGTTTTTCTGTGTTTTTTTCTTTTCATTATTATTATTTTTCTAGCATCCATCTTTATCATGTTTGTTCTTTCCTTTTATGTTTTGGTTCTGAAGGTAGGTGGTTGATAATTTTTTTATTTATACATTGTGGGGGAGGATGTAGTGCCATCAAGAGTAAAAGCAAGTAGTTTAACTGAAGTGCCAATTGGTTAGCCAAAAATAGAATTCTACACTTTTGATGTTCTAATGTTTAATTTTGCTTTACTATTGTTGTTCTCTCTCTCTAGCTCATAGTTGGAAGTGAGGCACCACCTGTATATTTTGCGATGTGATCAACAACGGCTGATGGCAGATCCAAGTGAACGGTCGCATCTGTGAGTTAATTGGTTTTTTTTGGCTGGAATGAATTCATACTTTTTAAACGGGTATCTTGCTTATTTATGGCTGGCTAAATAAATTTATAGTTTGCTGGTGGAGATTCTTAAGCAAAGTTTAGCTTAAGTTAGCTCTGCTGTTGCACTTATTTGTTTTGTTTTATCTCAATATCTGCAACCCGGCTAGCGGAAACCTGAGAAACAATGTTGGCCAGATTAAGTAGCACCCCACTTTATTCCATGTCCGTGAGTTATCTATCACTTACCATACGCCTTGCTGTTTTATTACTACGCATTGATGTTTGCTTCATTTACTCAAATACACAATCAAATCAGAACATGTCGTATATTTCTGCAGGGTTTCTCTTTGATACTGAATAATGCATTGTTCATTTTCATTTCACAGATTCATCCTTTCATATACAAGGAGTTCCTATTAAACTAGTATTATGAAACCGTGCATTCATTTCAATAGTCGTCATCAGATGATTTCAGGCTCTGCAGTCGCAGCTTAGATGGAGAATGAGCATCCTGATCAATGTTGTAAGTTGTGCTGCAGTTACTGCTCAGTTTCAATTATACTTTTATGCTCGATCACTTCTGTATATATACATATACATACGCATATATATACGCTGTGATTTTGTGCAGGCACGCGTACATTGATTAGTGATTATTTACCGGTTACAGAATTAATAGATCTTTCTGCAGGTGAAATTTAAAAGCCCCAGAGAAACTTCAAGTGACAGTCACCAAAGTTAAGGAAGACATCAAGAATATAGACAGAAGATGGCTTTATTCCTAGGAAAGGTAGATATACCAAAACCTTCCCCACCCATTACACCCAAGAACCCTTCAACACCCCCGCACCCCCCTCTCTCCTCCCCCCCTTATATTTCTCTCACCAAAAACCACCCCTAAATTGGAACTTGCTGTGTTCCTAATGCCTACCCCCTCAACCCCACCATTCCAATGCCAAAGCCACATAACCACACCAACGCCTTCATCTGGTGTGCTGGCATCCTCTGCGCCATCATCGCCGTGGTGGTGATCATCTCCGGCATTGTCCTCTTCGTCGGCTACCTCACCATCAAGCCCAAGATCCCGGACATCAGCGTCGCCACCGCCCAGCTCGACACCATATACTTTGACCAGTCCAGCTTGCTCACATTGCAGGTCACCGTCGTGATCAAGGCTGAGAACGACAACACCAGGGCCCGTGCAACTTTTTACAACACGAGGTTCTCCCTCAGCCTCGGCGGCGGCCAGAAGATCGCCTACTTGCACGCGGGCACGTTCAACCTTGCCCCGAACAAGTCCTTGGAGCTGAGCTACATGCCTCAGTCCGGCGCCATACCGTTATCCCCCGAAGAGGCTGATGTTGTGAGCCTGTCGATGAGACGGGGTGTGATGAATTTCGACCTCACCGGGACCTCTCGGACTCGATGGCAATTCGGGTTTGTCCACTCATTTAAGTTCGTGGTTCGGGTTAATTGCCGGCTGCAGCTGCCCCTTGATGGGTCTGCTGTGTACCCAAATTGTAGCTCCAGGGCCAAATAAGGCTGCTGCTGCTGCTGCTGCTGCTTTAATCTCCTCTGGTTTCGTCAAAATTTATTTTTTTTTTTAATCTATTTTTGGGAGATCTTGGGGCAATCCTAATTGCCTCAAAATCTGTAGTTTAAAAGTAGTACCCTTTTTTAACAGATTTTGAATAAAACGCCTATAACCAAGCCAGCCAAAGCAAGAGGAAATTGGGGGGAAAAAAGGTAGAAAAAGAAAGTGATGTTTAAGGGTTGTGGTTACGGCTTTGAATGAGATTATTCAATAATATGTTGCAGAAGAATTAAAAATAGATAGTGGTAATGAAATTATGTTAATATAATGCTTGATTTTAAATATGAAACATATGCTTATACAATACAATCTTATAATAAGTTGTCTGTGGCGGCATTGGAAAATGGAAGATGATAAAAGCGCATCGGTCGAGGTTGTGGGTTTGACTAGATACAGTATTCTTACCAAAATATATATATTTATATATGTATATATTTATATTTAATTTTAATATTTTTATTTTGAAAGTACAATAAAAATTAAATAAAAATATTTATTTTTATTATTATTAAAAATAAATATTTTTAAGTAATACATTTGAATTAGGATAGAATGAGTATTACTTAATTTAATTACCCTACCCCTCGACTCCGCGGCGGCCCAAAAATTGTTGCTTTCTCGTGTTTTCACTCTGCTCATCGTATTACGTATAGGCACACATTGAAAGATCAAAAAAAAATAATAAATACTCCATCCGTCCTACTTATTATGTTTACGTTTGTCCCACATTTCATGAAAAAATAATTATATATTTTAATTTTATTTAAATTTTTTTAATTTATTTTTTTTAATTTTAATTAAATTAATTATATTCCTTCTAAAATAGTATCTACTATACAGCAAGACACAGTGTGTGAGACGAGGGAGTATATTATTATTACTATTATTATTATTATTATTATTATTATTATTTTTGATCCTCATCTCATTCTCATCATCTCATCTCTAACTAGAAACTATCCTCCAACTCCTCCACTTCACTCATTTTCCATTCTCCCCACGGTTGCACTGTCACTGTCAGCAAACGTGTCAGCACCCCGCACCGCCGACGTGTCGCCGCCCTTCAACCCTAATAAATAACCCTAATATATATACACACACATATATACATACACAATGCTTACTTCACTTTCTACAGAGCATAGCAATTTCATAGATGCAGCAGCAGCAGGCGAGGTGTTAGTATGGCGCAATGGCTCAATTTCCTCCTCCGCCCCTTCCGCCTCATCAATGGAGCCATCGACTTCGCCACAACCTTGCTCTTCCTCCACTTCATCGTCCTCTGGAGAATCGCACTCATGCCCCTCGCTCTCCTCTCCCTCCCCATTCGTGCCCTAGCTGCACTCCATCGCCAACGCCTCGTAATCCCTAACCTAATTTGAACTTTCGATTTCTAGATTCTGTAATTGCAATCCTCTCCTGTAATTTCAACCTAATTTTTCATTTCTAAGATGATTTGTAGATGGAGATGCAAGTGCAGAGGTTGAAGAAAGCGCTGGAAGCCTCCCTATGGGACCGGAAGGATCTCAAGGAACAGCTCGACCGCGCTCTCCACCGCCGTAAAACGGCGGAGATGATGCTCGTCGAACTCGACGCCGAGCACGACGAGGCAATTCTCCAAATCGAGCTTCTCCTTCAACAGGTATTCCAAATTTCTGCATCTCAAATTACACTTCCTTATTAACATTACAATTGTTTTTATAAGGTGTTTACTAATTTCGATATAGATCGAGGAATTGAAGGAAGAAATCGAGAGATTAAAGCGCCTCTCCACAGCGCCACAACTTCCCGGCGATAATGACAAAGAGCCTCGCCGGAACACTGCCGGAGATACAATCTCCGGCGATGGCGCCGTGGCAAGGCATAGAGCGGAGGCTCTCTCCCGGAGCCTTTTTAGTTTAACTTTATGGCTCGGCGTGGGAGCAGTTATGTGGCAATCTCAAGAACCTTGCATCCCTCTCATGGCTGCGCTTTTCTCCGTCGTCGCAATGTCTTTGATGAGCGCCGTCCGATTTTTCTCGGCGTTCGAGCATAAACCTGCGCTCGACGCCGCAGTCCTCTTGAGCTTCAATTGGTTTCTCGTCGGAACTTTGGCGTATCCGATGTTGCCGAGGATTGTCTGGTTTGTAGCTTTACGCGTTCGAGAATGTACCTAGCTAGTTTTCTTTAATGAGCCAAGCCAGCCGAGCTGAGCCGAGCCAAAGTGTTTTATAAATCAAGTTTTTTTTGGAAGGATAAGTCGATCTGAGTTGAGTAGAGTATTTTTGTAGAATATGGCTCTAATGTAGGAAGTTTGTGTAGCTCTGTTTTTAACTGTGGGGAGTATTTGAACATGTTTTTGTGTAATGGAAATGCATGTGATATGATGTAGTGCACTAGCTTTGTTTATCTTCCCGCACATTTTTATTTATTTTTATTTATCTCTAGTTCATTGTATTTAATATTAAAAATATTATATAATTTTTTTTATCATCTTATTTTATTAGTATTATAAAATATTGATAAGAGTACTTCGCATTTTTTCTTAATTTATACTAAATATATTAATTAATATTCAAATATCAATATAAAAAAATAAATTAAACCATAGAGGCAGAGCCGAACAGAAAACTAAGTGGGGAAATTCTCAACCCCTTGAGATTTGATTCCCATCCGCCTGGGCACCCACATTATCGTTTGTCGTTTGAGCCATAGCTTCGGGACTGGGCAACAGCTTCGGGTAGGGATATAAAAAAAACGAACCGTATTGTCAAATCGTTGAACCGAACTGAATCGAATCGAATTTTTGGTTAATCGAGCAAATTCGGTTCGAATACAAATACTGCATATTTGATATTTGTTCGGTTCGATTCGGTTTCGATTTTTCATATTTTTTCGATTCAGTTAACCGAACCGAATATATTTATGTATTTATATTATTATATTTTAAAATTTATATTAATAATTATATACTGTTCGGTTTCGGTTCGAATATTTGAAATATTTGCAATTTTTTTGATTTAATTAGAATTTTAATTTTTTTAATATATTTTTTCTTAATTTCGGTTCGATTCGAGTTATTTGCAAATATTACAAATATTTTCGGTTAACCGAAATTTTCGATTCTAATACGGTTCGCGATTTCGGGTATTTGTTCGATTCGATTCGATTCGATTATCAAATACCTGCATATTTGCAAATAATCGAACCGTGTCTACCCCTAGCTTCGGCTAGTCCCCAGCAAATATTTTCTTTTTTTTACTTTTAAATTTTTTTTAAAATTTCAAAAAATGTCCAAAAACTACTGATAGGCTTAATGTAGTAGAGAAATGGAAGTTGTAATAACTAGGAAGTGATGATGAATGATAAAAGAATATTTTAATGTAGTCTAAACCGAGCCTGTTTTTTCCAAAATTGTTGTTTACGATTTCATCCATCAGCTAAAATGAGTATTGTATTAATATTTAATTTATATATATATATATATATTTTGACATACTACCTCTATATAAATTTTAAAAAAATCCACTAAAAACTGGGCCTAAACGAGCAATACGGCCTATGTGGATCGGCCTTCAGAAACGGCCCAAACCCTAATCCTAATAAGGTTTAAATTTTTTAATTTTTTAAAAATTTCACTCTCCGTCACCAAATTCCAAGTCGACCGCGAACCGCGACTTCCGACACTCGTTTCTTCCGGTGGCATCGACGAGCCGGCGACGAGGCCTCTGCCGTCGTATTCTGCTTGGTTGGAGTCGTCATCTTTGCGTCTTCTATGTAAGTTGAATCCTTACACTGAAGTTTGAATTATTTATTTAAATACACTTCAATGCCTGCTTCAGCTTCTCGCTATGGGAATTTAGGGTTTGAGTTATTCGGTGTTAGTAATTATTTATTTTAATCACATATGTATCTTTGTTAAAAATACTTAAGACTTGTATTGTTTGCCATAACCGTTTTTCTACCTGCTCCAGCGGTTCCTACACCTCTAATCATACGTCATTGGATGTTAAATCCTAGTTGTAGAAGAAGACATAGTTTACGTAGGAGATGGAGTACTTGCTAGGGTTTAAGGAGGCTGTATCAGACGAAGTCTTGGAGGGGAAGTCGAGCAGCTTCAAGTTGGTGCCATGGATGGGTTGGGATGAGTGGAAGTCCGTAAGGCAGTCGTTGTTCTCATCCTTTCCTGATCGCGTTGCCTTTGCCCTGCGGCGAGTAAGGGGATGAATATGAACCTGAATGCGGATTTCTATGAATTTCTAGGATTTCTTGGCGTTTATAGCAACTCTTTCTCGTTTCGTGGCTCGTTGTAGGTAGTTACCTGGAGGAGCAGAGGGTGCATTCCCGTGGCGATTGATGTTACTGCTTCCCTTGTTGAAATTCAGCAAAAGGATCCTTTCTTCAGGTTTCTTCTTGATAATTATCTTGTTATCTTATGTCTGCGATGTTTGGGAATTCACTGTTTCAATTCACCATTGGTTCGGTTGGAACTTTATTTTTATGTTCTTGTACTAACTGTAGGAATGACTTGAATGAAAGCAGTTCAACTTCAGAGGAAATGCTGGCTATGCTATATAGTATGGCAATCATGAGGTGATTGTTCTTTTTTTGTAACTTTCAAATCAATTTTTTGTATTGTATGTATGTTGTCATGAGATTTCCCCTTCTTTCTGAATTTTCATCTTTGCTTTGTAAAGGCTTGTTAATGGTGTTATTGAGAAGACTCGTAGAAAAAATGAAATCTCAATTGGGGAAGCAGCAGATGGCATTGGGATTCCGAGAATGCTTATTGATATTCGACATGGTGAGACTCAACCTCTAATTTTTTATGCAACTTTTTTTTTTTTGAATCCTAAAGATAAGATTACCTCTAAGATGCCTCTGAATACTTGCAGAGGGTTCTCATCGTGATCTCCCATCAGTTCGATTGCTTCGTCGTGCATCAACTACGGTACTGATTTGTGGTTTATATTACTTTGGCTTGTAGGGTTAAGTATCATATTAATTTACGTCACTAGTGACATGAGTTTTTAAATAGGTAGTAAGTGCTCTAAGTGCTATAAGTCTATGATAAAAACATATGTGCAACCTTGTATGTTGTTTCTTTTGATACATTATTGCCACATTAAGTTTCGGGCCTCAGATAGATCTTTTCTATCTCATTATAATGCCATCATGTTCCTTGGCCTTGCTTTCTCCAAACATGTGCTTTTCCATTGGTGCTCTATTTTCTTGACAAAACCAATTCTTTTAATCTGATGGTGCCAAAATATCTTATAGGAATGGCAGCCCAGGAGATCGGGTAGTGAGATTTTTTTAGTATTTCTTGTATTTGTTTTTATCGGATTACAAGAATTTCAGCGGACATCACTGTTAAGTATATTTTAGGTTGCATCTGGACTTTTTGTTCTATGCTATCATTGTTCTTTCGGAATATCTATTAGAGACTTAGAGTGGATTTGTTGCTTTTGAATGTGCAGGCTCTTGAATGGTTGGTGTCATATTATTGGGAACCTCAAGAACGGATAATACCTGTGCAAACTGAACAAACTGCCAAGCTCCGGAAAGAAATCAGGAGAGGATTTAACGAGGTTTCTCTTTGTCTAAAAGCAAAGCAAGCGGATAAATCCAATTCTTCACATGCCAAGGGCAGACGTAAGTTTAATTCATGTTACATTTTATGGAAATCACAATTTTTGTTGCATCGGTAGATATCAACTTCGTGTCTCTAAAACTTTCTTTAATCCCGTACTGGTGGGCAGAGAACGTATTTTGCTTAAAACTAACTGCTTCTTTTCAAGGATTTATTTCATTTTCTTTTTCTCTCATCATGGCAGGCGTTAGACAAACTGAAACTTTATATGCCCGAAAGTTTCTATTCCTAGTTGCTGGGAAGTCGTCACATTCGAGCACTGCCAGTGAGTCTTTTTCAATCCCATGTTTTGCTTTTTCTGCTGTGTTCCATATGATACTCAGAATCATTTCATGATACTTGTTGACCTTACTTTTATACTTCAGGCCTTAAGAAGCAACTCTCCAAATCATTGAGGAATATACATAGATTATACGCTTTGGCTTCCCCGGAAGTAGTGTATGTTCTTACCGAATATTTGCTGATTGCATTACACCGGTCCAAGTCGTCGGAAAGATTAGAGAACACAGTGTTTGTCAACAGTAATGGAACCGAACAAACCGCATTTGATCATTGGAAATCAGTTGTCTCAAAACTATCGAATAAAGAACCAGAATTCCTTCTAGTACTCACTCAGGCAGTTCTTGAAAAGCTGGAGACCGAAGAGATTACCAATTTTACTACCGGTAAAATTCTATCAATTCTGTTTTACTGATATATAAATCCCTATAGTTCATCTGAGAATTAATGTCTTTTTCGTTATGAATCTTCTTCGGTAGGTCTCCAGCCCTCGGACGGCGCTGCCAAATCTCGCCATACTGAATTACTCCCATGTCTGTTCGACCATCTTATCGGCAACCTAAAAATGCGTCAAAAGGAATTTGCAGAAGCCAAGGGTTCGAAGACGGGGAAGCCTCTATCCAAGCCAACTTTACTCGGATTACTCCGGAGATGCCTTTTGCTGTCTCGTTTCGGAAACAAGCATTTACTGTCGTCGACTGTCGCGCTTGCACAGATGACGGGAGACGCCTCGCTGTTACATAAGCTCAAGAAGCTTGCTTCCCTCCATGTATGGAATCCTGATGATGAAGGCAGTTCTGTTGTATCTTGCGACGACGCTCTTCTTTTACAGAACGAAGATTCTCTACGCGATGCTGAAGAGAAGCTCCAGATTTTGAAAAAGCTCCGGTCGCAGCAGAAGAATGAAGATAAGCTGAAGCAATCGGAGCCGGGGCGTAAATGCAGATGGCCTGTTGCGAAACAATGGAATCCATGTCCCATTGGCATGCTGCCTGATACTATTGGCTTCTCCGGCCGGCTCCCCGGCTTGGACTGTATCGATCAATGCAGCGAGAGCGCGACTGTTCTATTTTACGAAGATAATGCTCGATGCTGTAAACGGGAAGCTGAGATTGGAACCGAGGAAATGGACACCTCGCCTGTCAAGAAAATAAAAACGATCGAAACAGACTCCTCGACGCAGCCTAATCGTAACGACAACGCAGACGCAGATGCTATTAATGGTCGAATGATGATCGATGGGGTGTGGAGGAATGTCGGAGAAGACGAGCTACTTGCCCTTACATCGGCTGTAAGATTACTTATATAACAGCAATCTTACCACTCATTTTATCGATTGTTTACAGACAAAGGAAGCTGCAAAACGCCATTGAAGGGGAGCATTTCAAGAGCTGCAACTCATCTTCTCTGTGTAAGTTACTCATTTATATTTGAACTGTACTGTTTGATTCCAAAATGCTATATATATATATATATATATATGATCGATTCTATTTATTTTTTTAAAAAAATGATTAAAATAAACTCTTTGTTGAGGGGGTGGGTGAAGAAGATCCAGCAGGGGCGACCTGAGAACATGTTGAAGGGAAAACATTCTGGCATTATCGTTTATCCCCAAATATGTTCTCATGTTGCCCCTGTTGGATATCCTCACCATTGTTGCCACTCTCTGAAGCTTAACCTGTGAATTGATTTATAGTTGGAGAAGATGATGAAAATTTGTGGGTGCTGATGATCTGTTTTTACGTACGTACAGTTTGTGCTGTGCTGTGCAATTTAGAGTACAACTCAACTCCCCTGCCTGCGTACTTCATTTTTTGTTTTCCCAAGAAAATGAAGAGGGAGCTGTACTGCAAATTACTTGTCAAAAGTACGTTTCAGTACATGCTTGATTAATTGCACAGTACAAGTAGTTGCTGATTCAGATTTTGTTAGATTATTTTAAAGTCATTTCCAATTTTGTGATGATAATAGAGATATGGAGTCACTTCTGTTTTTAACCTTTTTTTTTTTTTTGAGATATTATGTTAAATTTTATTTTTATTGCAAAAAGTTACATTTAAAAAAAATTATATAAATTGATAGCTTTGCAAACATTTGTGGTATAGTCTAAATGTTTTTAACTACTTGATTTGTTTTACTAAAATTAAAATATTATTTAAATAAAATGTATGTTGAACTAACAGATACACGAGCCGGTCGGTAAACCTGGGCCTGTTGCTAAAATGGTAATGGGCCGAAGATTCAATCATATAAAGCAGCCCAAGAAGTTATTTTATTTCCTTAAAAATTAACATGGGTGTGACAATTAGTTTACGTATATTTTGTATTTTCCTTAGAAAATACTCTACGTTTTATACTGAATTTATTAGATTTTTTTTATTTTTTATTTTTAAATAGAAAACTTACGTAACACAATATTACATACTTGGAAACCTTATGTTATAAATTTTTTTTGTTTATATTTATTATTATTATTATTTTAAAGTATTGCTTCATATATATATGTATTTTAATATTCATTTACATTTCAATTTTCAATAAATTTATTCAATTAAATTATCTTGACTTAAAATATATTTTGCTGAGATGTTTTCTCTGGCAAAATTCCTAATATACATGATAGGTCTCCCACAATTATTTAAGTGGAACTCGTGGATTTGGAGGATATTCAACAAATAAATATTTTAATATATTTTGAATGCGATGTAACACACCTTTTATATTGTTTAATAATATGGAATATTATTTAATTATTGATAAACTAAAAATAATTAATAGTGTTTTATGGTTTAAATTTTCATTTAACTAGTAATTAAATATAATACTATTTTGTAAAAAATTATGAATTATTTAAATAATTTTAAAGTAATTAAAGAAGATACTGGAATTTCATTTGTGGTACTGTTCCCTGACACGTTCTTCCGCCTAATAATAATAAAAAATATGTGAAAAGGGAGCGGGTGAGTAATGCAACAAATCGTTTGGTCCTTTTTTTGACTAATTGAGAAATGCTTTTTATATTATTATTATAATAATTATTATAATTAAATATTCCTATGCCCATCCCATTCCCATGCCTTCAAGGTCATGTATTTGGTGTTTTTTTAGTACAAGGCTTTCGGGCCTTAGTAGCTTATGAGTCAGATGCTTCTTATCTTTCCGATCTTCAAAGCACCTCCCTCGGTTAGGAACTCCAGGGGGCCGAGGACTTTCTATGGTCACTTTTCTTTTCTTGTCCAATTGTGTGTTTATTTGATCGGGCATAAATTTTAAGAAAAATATGTAAAAATATAAATTTTTATTTTTTTGTAAAGAAAAATGGTATTTTTTTTACTAAAAATAAAAACGAAAATAAATTTGAATAACAACAAAAAAACGACTATTATTTTGTTTGAATATTTTATATAAAAAAATGTAAAATTTATGATTTGAGTAAGAAAGGTAAATTAATAACATAGTAAACAATCCTATATTTTTATTATATGTAAGTGATATTTATTTTTATATAAAATTATTATGATTAATATGTAATTTAATTTCATATTTTAAAATATTCATGTTTGTTTAATGTTTTAATTTGAAATTTTTATTTTGATGTGAGGTATTGAGAAATAAAAAATAATATTTTATAATAAATATTGGTTTTTGTGAGAAAAGATAAAATATATATTAAAAATCAGGTAAAAAAGTTTTTATGTGTACGAATTCAAAGTATATATATATTTATTTTGAATTGTCAAATTATAAAGTAATTATTTTATTAAATATATATTTTCACAAATATTCCTAATTTACTATGAAATTATTATTTTTATATTAAAAACAAAAACATAATTATTTTATATCATTTTTACCTATTTATCTAAATTTTATATCAAAAATAAATATTTACTTATAAATTCGAGTGAGTATATAATAGAAAATATTATAAAAATTTAAGGGACACGTATATTAATTTAAATTTATTAGCCCTGCAATCTTAGCTCACGTGCAACTCATGAGCTTTCTCTAGGACTCATTAAATATGTGTTCTTTCAAAAGAGGTTATTTTATTTTTATTTTTTTTTAAACGTTTTTTTTTTGTACTACTTATTTATTGTAAAAAATAATATAAAGTACAAGATATCAATATTCGTATTAAGTTCGAGAAAGGTGTGTTTTTTTTTTTTTTTTTGGTTTTCTTTTTAAGATTTAGTTTTAATTTTGTATTTAAATAATATTTAATATCAATTTACTTGTGAAATTTTAATTTTGAGTTTTCATTTGATTTGATTTGATTTTGAATAATAAAATTTTGAATTGAAATAGTTGTTTGAACTGATATAAATATATGTTTGATTTGATATTTTGAATATAAAATAAAATTTTAGTGTAATGAAATAAATAAAAATTGGATGTTTGATTTGAGATTTTTGGAAGAAAACAAAATTAAAATAGTAAAATTTAGTAAAATCACACAAAGAAACACACCCATAATGTTTTATGGAAAAATAAATGTTTATTTTAAATATGTAAATTCAAAATAGTAAAATTTGAGAAATAAATTTCTTTAAAAAAAAAACCTTTAATATAAATAGTTCGATTTTTTTTTACTAATTCAATTGAGTAATATTTAAAATTATATTGAATTTTTCTTTGATTTAACCCAACAAAACCAACTCACTGATAAATGGCTAATAAATATTGAAGAAACGTGTAACACACGCAATCCTGTCATGCCTTTGTCCAAAATAAAAAAATAACATAAAAAAAGTGGCTTTTGAAAAACCATTGATTTTGTTGAAATTACAAATTATATTGTGTAAATATTTTATTTAAATAAATACTTACAGTTGATACTATTAATAAAGTGTCCTCTGATAAATAACAATTTTTTAATCAACAATTATATGTTTTATAAAAAAATTAATAAATAAATAAAACTGATTGTAGTTGTACCATGCGCACGTGCCTTCCACTGTAACAGCACGTGAGTTAAAAATCGCAGAGTTTATGGTATTTACGTAATTATAAAAAGTTCCAGGGGTAATTCTGAAAGTGCTCACGCGTTTTCTATCTCCAGCTTTTGCAACGTCGCACCGGCCGTCGCTAAGATGCTGACGTGGCTGCATCTGGTGCGTCCATTTCTTCTATAAATAGCACCCGCCTGGCTGTCTCGCCGCAAAAGCTCACACTCTCATTTTCTCACGCTGCTTATCTCTCTCTCTGTCAGATCTGATGGCGGTTTGTGCGCGACGGAGGGAAGAAATCCGGCGCCTGCAAGTGCTGGGTCGGTATGTTATTGCGGCGGCCTCTAATTCGCTTGGTGCAGGTCGGGAACTTGGTTTGCCGACGGCGTTGAATTGAGCAAGCATACTCTCATATCGTACGTAGTACGAATATGCACACGAGTATGTGTGCTGGTGTTTGCTTTGATGTCGCTGTTTTTGGCAAAAGTACGGTTCCCGCCTTGCATCAACTGAATCGGAGACCGCAGTGATTGTGGTTTTGAAGAGGTTGAGCTTTGCGATTCTGATGGATCTGATGACGGGAATAACCTAGCGTGAATCTGAGATTGATTTGTTGTTGTTGCTTTGTGGAATATATCTGGATCAGAATATGATTCAGCTTTACCCGGATTGGTAGATAGATGGATGATAGATCCTGTTTTCCTCATTGACAGAGGCTTAATGTATCGAGTACTTGCTGTCGTCGTATTAATTTCTGGAACATGGTTAATTGCCTGTATCTTAGTAAGGACCTTTACGTCTGCTGAAAAATGGAAATATAGATATGTCGCATCGGTCGTTATCTTTAGTTGCTTCCTTATTCTTCAGTCACTTTACCTTATGGCTAATCTGGGATCGGTGTATGCTACAATGTTGGCGATTTTATTTTTGGAGCAGTTTATCTTAGGGTTTGTTTATACAGAGTTATATCTTGATATGATTGATATATAGGTAGTTGTTTTCTGGCAGTTTTAAAAGCATTGGTGATTTAAAGTAGCAGTGGTCAGTTGTCAACAAATGGAAAGTTGATATTCTTTCTTAGGTATTGAAAGAAAATGGTAAAATCCTGGCTCTTTGTATAATTTCGTTTTCCTTTGGATGCTGATTTGCCGATGTCATGCTGGATGTAGTAGCCCTGATTATTGCGTGCATACCGTTTCGTTTGACATGTTCCTGGATGTAGTGGTTGAGATGGATCAAGGGCCTTTTATTTACTTATTTCAAAATATCTGTTGATCTTGTGGATGACCTTTGTCGTGACTTACCGAACTACATACACTTCGCATGAGTATTAGTATCTTTTTTTATTTTTTGTGTGTGAAGCTATTTGGGTAGAATGTAATGAGCATGAAGTTTTGATCACATGACCGCGAGTTGGTCATATTCAAATGAATATGCAGCCCATGTGTGAACTAGCCGATATTCTTGTTTCATTTTTAGTAATATTTGGAATTTTCTATTCAAAGGCACTAACAAATTACTTTGGGATTCTATAACATAATTACTCTATGCTTCTATTTATTCTTATTCGCAAAATGCTTGGATCATGGAATAAGTGTTTCAGCTACTGATAAGTTTCACTATTGCCGCTCCAGATGAACGTCGGAACGATTTAGGGTTGTGAATATCATATCATACTTGAATTCAAGCTATACTAACTTTTGGAGCTTGGATGGCTTTATAAGCCCGTAGTAATTTGTTTGGATTCATAGTCATTAGGGAATTCAAGTCTGTGTCTTTTTGTTCACAGCTGAGGCTAGAGTTTTTATTGATATCCACCTGTTAAATTTTGCTCTAGCTAAATCTTGGTCCTACAAAAATCTCAGGAAACTCTCTGTCGCCTACAGTGTCGCATACATGTCTGTGTATCCATTGTGTAGACTTATTTCTTCAACTTCTGTCTATTTCCACTTGGCCAGCACCGATACCTTGATAATTGACTTACATTATTTATCTGTCATTGCCTTGGATTAGAACTTCAGATAGTGCACATACTTCTTGGTATATTGTCTAACACTAACAATTTTTTTTCTTTGAGGTGCTTTGATCTAGGTACACAGCAAACCATCAAATATAGGAGGCAATGTCGTTGTATTGACATTCCCAATGACAAAAATGTCTCTGTAAATTGAGGCATGCAACATAGTCATCATTTGCCCCATATCACACCCCAGGTGTCGATTCTTCTACCAATATGCTTGCAACTTTATAGACAAATTTTGGTTTGACTAGTAGTATGCGTAATTTTTCGGGTGGTTCCAAACAATTTAAATCTTTTCGGCACAAATTTGTGATATTTAATGGTGTGGGACATAAACCAGGCTTCTTGAAATTGGACACCAGTGAGCTTGTCTGTCTAGTGAGTTTAGTGAATTCATGTGGTGGCGTTTGATGTATAAAATGCTGGTATGGTTCCCTCATGTGCAGCAATTGATAATTCTGTGTTAGTTAACTAGCACATGTCTATGGAAATATTCATCTGACTTTCATGAATTTGGTTTAAATGAATTATATCATTTTGGCACCATGACAAAGCTATCCCAGCCCAGAAAATGAAAGCCCAATACACTAGTAGGGACACCTAGCCCATTCTATTTGCTTCAATTATGCAAACCTAGTTATGTTAATAGCTATTATGCAATCCCTTCATTTAGGAAGTAATGACTATTTGTGTGATTAATTAACTTTATGTTCCTACTGTCACGTGGGGACAGGACGATTTCATTGCTCATTAGGAAGGAATCATACAGTGTTCTTGAATAGGATCTGTTGTCATTTCATAATAGAAACTAATTACAATGTAAAGCTTCCATTTTTCAAATAGAATAAAAGAGACAAAAGTTGGTGCAACAGCTTTTAGCCCAAAAGCTGAAAATGAAAAGCTGCATTGAGAAGTTCCAAGAAAACTAAACTAATTGCTCCACTCAAAATTTCACCAATTATAGATCTTAGACAATGAGATAATTTACATTTTTAAACAAGTGAAGATTTGAAGCAGCTCTGATTGGCTTAATTTAAATATGTTAGCGGTGAAATTTTTTCAGGAGGACAGAACATAAAACATTCAATTATGCCCATGAAAAAATTTAAACACAAGTAGCTTTTAGAAATACAGTATAGATTGTAGTAATAACTGCAATTAAGATGGAGTATCTGGTTTGAGTCTTTTGATGCCACCAGTATTATTTAATACATACCCTTTTTACTGCTTGCTTCTTCTCAGTCTTCACCCAATCACTCTTCAGCCAGCAACCATAACCCCCACCCCACACCACCCCGCCCCTCCCTGCGTTCACATTCCATTCTCTTCCCCTTCTTGTCTGCAACCTCTCTGACGCTCCCCACATTGCTGTTATTAATGTGCTTCATCTACTTGTTTATTTAACTATTTGATTGCCTTTAATTCGACATTTCACTTCAATGCTTCTGATTTCATTTTGATTTTAGTTTTGCCTCTGTTCTCGCTGCATTTAATCTGCGTGGACTGTACCACCGGAGTGGAAACAGTAGCTTTCTCTTGAAGCAATAATAATTGAAATCTTCTCCTCCTCTTTCCCTCCCTCCATCTCCCTGCTTCTTTTATACAAGGGCGTTTCGTTGCTGCTCTGATTGCCATCACTAAGGTATGCTGCTCTACTACTTCATCTTCCGTTTATTATTTCATTTTATGCAGTTTGAGATCAAATCAAGATTGTCTGGAGGATGGAAAATCAAGATTATTGTATAAGGTCAAATCTTTATGTGGTTTCTATCTAGGAATGAGATCAATCCCTGTCTCTGTGTTGGCTCTTGTGGTTCCACTTCTTTTCCTTTTTCTTCCACCATAACTTAAAGTTAATATCTCCATTTTCGTATTCCCTTCTTTTTAACTCTACCCACTAATTTCAACCCCGTCTTTTTCCTTTTTTTTTGTTTTTTACTTCTGGGAATATAAAAGTGGGGGCATGCTCCTGTGTTTCTTTGTTTCTTGCTTTTCTTTTAGGCCATTTTGATATTGAAACCAAGTGTCTTTTTTTAGCTCATAAAAAAACTGAACAAAGAAAACCAAAAAGCTCTGCATCATTACGTCAATAGCTTCTTTTTCTTTCAACCCACTTTTGTTTAACCCTTCAGACTCTCCAACTCTTTCTTTGAGTTCTTTGAGACCTCTGAGTCAACTCGGCGAGTGTGTTGTTTAATGTTTAGGTTTGGATTGGCCATCATCCTTTTTTAGTATTAATTTAATAACTATGCTATTAGACTACTAGATTCAATTTTTAACTCATTAAATTACCTCTTCTGAAGCATTGGTTTTGAAATTTGAACCTATATAGAGACGTTAAAGTCAGTCTTAAGGGAACAATCCTCCGCAAATTCTGCTGTTTCCACAATGTAGTTTTTCTTTGCTGACTTGAAAACTCAACAACTATTTTTCTATTGCACACAAATTTTCCTGCATTTTCACATTTTTTATTGCACTTCATTCTTGAGAACCACTGATTAGTCCACTTTTGTTTCTCCAAGATTGGCTATGGCTTTCTTGCTTAATTCTCGAACATTGCTCTCATTTGTAATTTCATTTATTGTTAGAAATTGGTGTGCTACCAAACGTCATTGATAATATCATCACCAACCGAACATCAGCAATAAAGATGATAATGAGGAGGAGATTGGCTTGCTGTGCTAGAGACATGAGGGAAATTAGTATGGACTTTGACGAGCAAGAAAGTAAATTCTTTCCCCCCTTTAATTTCATGTAGTAGTAATAAATGATATGAATCTCTGTCACTTTTATATGCTTGCTCAATTGCTCTGTTCTCCATTAAAAGAAGAAATTATTTGGGATTGGGATATAATTAATTAGTGCTTCCTATAGTAATTCTCTATCAACTTGAATTCTTGTGTGGGAAAGCTGAGGCATTACATCCTGTAGAGGGTAAGTTTCGGTTGTTTTTTTAATCTCTAAAAGGGCTAGTCTTTAACCTTGAAATGATGATCCGTAATCTTTTTAACATTTCCCTTAACAAATATTTTATTTTATTTTTTCAAAGATGTAAGTGTCATGTGTGTGATGTTCAAAAGTCAAGAACTGCTCACCTGCTATAATATGTTCTTCGGGAGCGTACCTAATTTATTACCTTCCACATGGCTTCCAAAATGGTCAGACATTTCAAGATCTTTCTTTATATTTCCTTTTGGTAGCATTAGTTGCCTTTTTTCCATTGTTTGCCCACACAACACATGCAAAAGAGAAGGGCCCTCTTGTTTTTATGGCAATAAACACAAACCTACCACTCAGCATCCTATGAAACATTTGACCAGGTGGGGTGCCGCCCCCCCCCCCCCCCCCCCCCCCCCCCCCACCTCTCCCCTCATTTATTCACATTCATATCACTCTGCAACTAGTAGTTTCTTGCCTCCCTTCTCACACTATGATTGGAATTCACTGAAAGAAAAAGGACCCCTCTTTCTTTCTCCGACACACACACACCCTACTTTTTCTTCCACTGCAATTTCTAGTCATTTTTTTAGCCCCACATTATTTTAAAATTTCCGGGCTTGAAAAATGGAGGGAGGGAGCCTTGTGGAAACTTTCTTGTCTTCTTATGTATGAACATATATATATATATATCAGTATCAAGTGATGGAGAGATATTCATAGTGGAGTTCGTATGGACCCTGGTTGTAATGTGATGGATGGAGCTTTCTCTCCACGTACTACTTTAGATTTAAGGCACCACTCATTTTATGGCTAGTAGTGGAATATCTTAATGTGGACAATCAGGTCACTGTCTTCTGACATTTCCCTTTCCAAAATTTTGTGTGGTCTTCTTTTTCAATCTGGATCTGAATCTTCTGTAGAAATATCCACTCCACGTTCTCTTGTTCTGTCTCCTCCCAATTTTTGCAGCTCTGATTAAATATGGTCGTTTAGTTAGATCCCTTCAATTGTTTACTCTGTACTTTTAATTAAAGTATATGTATTTTTCCCTGCTGTTGGTTGTTATCGACTACTTTTTCCCTATTTCTTTCTACATATTTTAATGCAAGACAAATCGTCGTCTATGTTCTAAGATATAGTGTGCATGCTAGTTGTGTCCATTTGCATAATTGAGACGTTACGTGTTTCATGCAACTTGGCTGCCCGTGACATGATTAGTCGATACTTAGGCAACAGCAGTGTCATCTACATGTGGATATATTAGCATTTACTGGAATCCTGACAAAGATGTTCTGGGATCATATGTTCGTCTCTTTCTTCCGCGTGGAATTCAGTCTAAGATTAAACTTTTTCTTATTTTGTTCTCTTGATTGTCTTGTTCATTATTCAAACTCTGTTCCTGGAAAAAGTTGGATTCCAATTCTGGACTATCTTTGGCTTATTAAAAGATGACACAGAAACTATGCTGCAATAATGTATCAATTAATTGTGAAAAATGCATGCTTTGTAATAATTCTCTTGTAATGCAAGCTTGCAAGTGTTGCCTGGTTTCGGCCCTCGCCGAGAAACTAACGGCGAAAATGTTTTCAGGAATCATGACATATAATGGCCTGGAGAGGTGCATTCTCAACAGCCATTCTTTCGACAACGATAGTGGAACTAGCAGAGGCGACGGATGTGGCGTCAGCATCACTGATTCCTTGGACGAGGACGACTCCAGCTGTTCTTCCAGCAACAATGCGTCTGGATCGTTCTCGTCTCTCTGGACAATAATGAAGAGAGACGATGCCTGCGTCGAAGAGTGGAGCTTCTCTATGACGCCCAATGATACAGAAAAGAATCATAAGTTTTCGGACATCGAGACAATGAAAGAGAAGTTCGCAAAGCTGTTGCTAGGTGAGGACATCACAGGAGGCATGAAAGGGATTTCCACCGCATTGGCTTTGTCCAACGCCATTGCCAACTTAGCTGCCACTGTATTTGGCGAGCTTTGGAAATTAGAGCCGTTGCAAGAAGAAAGGAAAAGAAAATGGCGAAAGGAAATGGACTGGTTGCTCTCCCCGACTAACTATATGGTTGAATTGGTTCCCGCCAAGCAAAATGGTACCAATGGACGGACGTTAGAGGTATGATTCGATCCTTCTATCTGCCAAAGAATATAGCGTTGTAACTCGTAGTCTTACCTACAATTTGGCGCAGATAATGACACCAAAAGCTCGATCCGATATCCACTTGAATCTCCCGGCCCTGCGAAAGTTGGATTCCATGCTTATTGTAAGTGTACCTCACCACTCTTTTAAAATAGTTTCGACTGTTTCAATCTCAAACGTTCGAACTAACCTACACTTTTATGAAGGAAACGCTTGATTCGATGGTTGGAACTGAGTTTTGGTACACGGAATTGGGAAGTAGCCGAGCAGAGGGGCGACAGAGCAGGCGGTGGTGGCTGCCTTCTCCTCGGGTGCCAAACGTCGGACTCTCCGACGTCGAGAGGAAACGATTGCTCCATCAGGGGAAAGTGATCTATCAAGTATTCAAAGCTGCCAAAGCCATCAACGGAAGTGTCTTGGTCGAAATGCCGGTGCCTAACGCGATCAAGGACGCTCTTCGTAAGGTATTTTTAGTCGGCAATCAATTTTTCAAGGAATGACTTAGGAATTGAATTGTTTTTGTTTGTTTGTTTGTTTGTTTTCTAGTCAGGAAAGGCAAGCCTCGGGGAGGAGCTGTACAAAGTTCTGGTGGCAGAATCTGTCCCCGCCGAGGAAATGATCAACTGTCTGAATCTGAAATCGGAGCATGGCGCTCTAGACGCCATTAATCGACTGGAAGCGGCTGTGCTCGTGTGGAAGGAGAAGATCACCGAGCACGAGAACGTTAAATCTCCTGTTCGGACATCGTGGTCGTTCATCAAAGATCATATGTCCGAGGTCGATAAGGCTCAAGTGTTGGCGAACAAAGCCGAAGTACTCTTGCAGCAGATCAAGATCAAGTACCCGAATCTCCCTCAGACATTCCTCGACGTCACCAAGATCCAGTACAGCAAGGTCAGCGATAGAATGTTTTGTACACACACAACAACGTATGTTTGTCGAGAGGACAGGGATGTAAGAAAGTCTTATGTTTTCTTTCGGCAGGACGTCGGGCGAGCGATTCTCGAAGCCTATTCCCGCGTGCTATCCAACTTGGCGTACAGCATCCTCTCCCGGATCGGCGACATCCTACAGGAAGATGTGATGAGCAATCCGAATTCGCCTGTCGCCATGTCGCGCCTCGTTGGTGCCAGAATTCCCGGGATATCGGATAGCCCCGTGCTGGATCGTGTTCGACACTCCCTTATCCATCAGCTGAACGTTGTTGATGGAAAGACGAGCAGCAACTCAGACACTCCCGACGACCGCGACGAAGCGAGGATCAGCTCGGCGACGGCGACGCCAAGTCGGAGCCGGGTGTGGTGTATCGGCCGGGAGGCTTGCCGGAGTGCATCTGCCCAGAATTCTCCTTGACATTGGAAATAATCTTGTCTACCTCTGCCTGGTATGTGTATATATACATATTGTTATATGCAACAGCTTCTGTATCAGCTGAGAAAATATGATACCATATGTTTATCCTTGCAATATGACTTGGTATATTTCGTCTATATATTTATTAATTTAATAATTTCAAAAAGGTTAAAAAATTTTTTGAATGATTTTCCTTAGAATGTTGAGAAATGTTTTCAATAATGTCGTATAGATGTGTATGATCAATAGAACTAACGCTACTCGTCGATAAAGCAAGTCAATCAAGTAATACTAAGCCAATTATATGTAGTAAATGGATTGGGAGGTATATGATGTCATAGTAAAAACAAATTTTTGTTGTATATATGCTTCAAATGTATTGAAATATGAAAATTATAATATACAAGGTTATACCGCAAATTCTCATAAAATTAAAAAAAAAATAAAAAATAAAAAATTAAATAATCAACACTGTATTTATATTGCAAAACGTACAAAATTACTGTTTCTTTTGTAAAATTAATTGCTCGGGCCATTTTGTCACTGGTTACCAGGCCCATTAGTATTTTTGTTAGTGGGCCGACGATGTGCTGCAATGGCCCACAATTGCTCGGAGAAAACGACAGCGTTTTGGTGTGGCGTTGAACGACACCGTTCGGGGTCAACGATCGTACGTGCATTAGACTTCGGCGTCGAGTCAGAATAACGAGGAATTGGATTGCAGCGGCAGCGGCAGCGGCCTTCGCGTCTCCAGATCTGAGCATTCGCCGGCGGGTCAATTATCTGTCATCTTTTACTGAAGTAAAATCCTCGAATTCTCGACCTTGATTGATTGCATTTTGAATTTGTTGCGATTTTCCATTTGAGTTTTCGATTGTTTTCCGGTTTGGCTTCTGTGAGAATTGATAACTTCATCTGTAAAATGGCATTGACTCACGGTTCAATCTGGAGCATGCACTGTTTATTGAATTTGCTATTTGGATTGGTTAATGTAGATCAGTAGATGTGATTTTGTAACTTATTTTGCGACTGATTGTGGCTGAAAAAAAAATCATGGATTTTACCTTTGCGAAACACAGGTTGAACTAAGCTAACTCATAGCATTATATTAGGTGGATGAATTGGTGCTAGTAAATACCCCTCCCTCGCAGAATTCTAAGTTCGCTTAGAAAATTTTACATCTATAAAGACAGATTGTTTAATGGCAAGGTAAAAACTATCAAAGAAACTTGTTCTGTACAATTTATTGCATACAGTTAACAATGGAAGTAAGAGAAGTTTGTTTTGTAAAGTGTAAACAGCTTATAATTTAGGGTATAAATGAATTTGTAATGACTCATTCATTTGCTGCTGTTTGTGGCCTTGTTGATGGTGTTCTGTGCTACTTCTGCAAGATTTCATTGTTAAAAGATTCTCTTGTGTTACTTCTGACGTCTTGTGGACTGATAGTTTTTCCTTATTTCTGCAACAGATGATTGATGATCAGGGCCTGGGCTTCTTTGCCAACTTCCTTGGCGTCTTGATATTTATGTTGGTGATCGCATATCATTATGTGATGGCTGACCCGAAATATGAAGGTAACTGATGGGATTGTCTCGGTACCCACAGGTATACCATGTAAAAGACCAAAGAGCTTGTGTTGGGTTCAGTTTCATAAACAAATGTTTCCCAAAAGGAAAATATGTATGATCTAAGAGGAAGTTTTGCTAGACAATTTTTATAACTACTGTTAACCCATGGCTAATCTTTGCAAATAGGACTACTTGACAAATAACTTTCTCCTCCATGATTTTGGATTCTTCCCCAATTCACATTGTCATTTGGTGTTTTTAAATTTAATGATTTTCATTCTTTTTCTTGGTAATTGGCATTTGCTAGGTTGTAGAATTTTTTTTACAAGGAATTGTGCATATTTTTTAAGCAATTGATCAAAGAATAGGAAGGCCAGAGATATGTAGAAGGTCAATATTATTTATATGTTGTTGTAACATTTGCATTCATATTCACATAGTTAACTACATTGACAATTAATTATACATATCTTTCTCTTAGCATACCATCATAGTACACAATTATTTGCTTCTTGGGCTGGCAGCAACAACTGCAGCACTTTTACACCCAAACCCGACCTCCCTTCTTCCTTTAACCAAAGTATTATGGCCTGTCTTAGCAGAAGTTGGCCACTGCCCATAGGTGATGGCCATATCCCTTAAACCTTGCAGGCTTTCAAGGGTTTCAATAATGATCGGCATCTTTGGCCTATCCTTTGGGTTCAAGCTCACACATTGCTGAGCCAGCAGACCCATTTCCTTGGCCCCCTTAACTGAATACTGTCCAGCTAGCCTTGGGTCCATTATGCAGCGCAGTCTTCGGCTGCTTCCCAAATATGGCCTCGCCCAATCCACTAGGTTTTGTTCAGTTTTAGGCCTTGTCTTGTCCACTGCTCTTCTGCCTGTTAAGAGTTCTAGCAGAACCACCCCAAAGCTATAGACATCGCTTTTTGTAGTCAGGTGACCTGCATTACATTAAATTTCATGTTACTATTTGTGTAGGAAATACATGAGAAAGATATACTCTGTTTTAAGGTTTTGATGATAATACACGTGCACGCACACACACACACACACACACACACACACACACACACACACACACTTACACATACCTGTGCTGATGTATTCAGGAGCAGCATAGCCATAAGTTCCCATCACACGTGTCGTGACATGAGTATTTGACCCTTCTGGTCCCATTTTTGCTAATCCAAAATCTGATAGTTTTGCATTGAAATCCTACCCAAGAAAGGAGCATGATCAATTCTTGTATGTTGTATGCTTCTATGCTTAAGGTGCTATTACATAAGAAAACCATAGATACGTAGTACATATTTTAAAGTAGTAAATACCGAATCTAGCAAAATGTTAGATGTCTTGAAGTCACGGTAGATTACTGGTTTTTCAGCACCGTGCAAGAAAGCTAGTCCCTTTGCTGCTCCTATGGAAATCTTCAGTCTTGTTCCCCATGGCAATGAAATTGACATCCCTGTGCATAACAAATCCTAGTTTAAAAACCAGAACATAACACATCCTTATCTGCCTATATATATATATTCATGTGGTTCTTACTCTTGAACAAATGATTCTCCAAGCTACCTCGTGCCATGAACTCATAGACAAGAACCCTCTCTTCATCTTCACAACAATACCCTATTAACTTAACCAGATTTTGGTGCCTTAGCTGTCCTAAAAAGATCACTTCAGCCTTCAACACACAACCAGCCACAAATTAGCTTTCTATATATTTATTCTTCCCAATAACACCACATCACTGTATTTAGGGTCAATAATGAAGTAGTAGCAAAAATTAGGCATCACATAGCAAAAAAAATATATAGTGAATTTAAAAAGTCATTCCCTTTATGCCTATGCGCTAATATTTGGGATTGGATCAAGAAAAAAATCCTAGAATTAATTTGGTCTGTTCTACTATATGTTAGTAAAGTAAAGCTTTTTTATGGATGTAACAGTAGTGTTTCTTTGAAGCATAAGCTATTGTTCTATCGAACTTTAGAACCTTAAAAGGCACAATGACAAGAAATATGTAGTAGTAATCTTACAAGCCATTCGCGGTGGCCCTGGAGGCCTTCGATATCAAGAAGCTTAACAGCAACAGGCTGAGCCTTCAACCCTGGCCTGAGCTTGTCATCCACATACCCTTTATGCACCCTCCCAAAACCTCCTTCCCCAAGCAAGAAATTGCTGGAGAAATTTTGTGTTATCCCACGTAGCTCGCTAAGCTCAAAGTTGTACAGCTCCCCTGCAAAGGACTGTGCAAGATCCTCATTGATCCTCGCAGAGGAGGATCCATTCAGGCTCACGTCCGAGAAGGACATCTTCCTGAATGATGGCATTGGCACCCCTATGTTCTTGGACAGCTCTGACTTTGAGGGCCTGCAGCTGCTCAGGCTCTTGAATATCACTCGATCTTCTGATGAGCAGCAGTAGCTTGCTGTTATCGGCCGCCATGGCTGCTGGTGGTGGTGTTTCTTGATCTTAGGATCTTTCATTGGAGTGTGAAGTTGAGAGAGAGGGGGTTATGGTGTGAGAATCTGAGGAGGGTGTGTGCTCATATATCTAACATTTGAGGGCTTGCTTTAATTAGCTATTAATCTAAATGATTAATCTTTTAATTAATCTGTTTAGGACTAATTTTGTTGCTATGTGTCTCTGTGTGTGTGTGTGTGGATTTCTGCAAATTGCAAGAAAATGGTTTAGAGAGAGACACAAGTTGTGAAGAGATTAAGACACAGTTTCCTTAACTGCTCCAACCACTCTACTAACATAGGGATGTTCTGATAGATATATATGTTTATTGTATATATAATTGATTAATTTTTGGTCTAATCTTTATTGATGCTGTGGTTACTAATGTGTATAAAGTATAGTTTAATTTCTTGGCCTGTTTCATGTCTACTTTAATCCCAAGGAACAATATCTTCTTTGCTTGAAATGCATTCCAAATTTTATTCAAGAAATTAGTATGTGCATATCCCTTGATTTAAGCAAATTATATATATATATATATATTATATAGAGAATCTTTTATCTCCAAGGTTCTGCATGTAAAATAAAATTTTAATTTAGAATAATTATTTTTTTGTATGCATCATCATTTTTGGCTTGTGAAGTTTTAGTGTAGTTGCAAAAATGGTTCTGGGAGTTGTTGGAAATAAATTAGGCCATTAGTGACGCTAATAATGCCAGAATTTCCTGCTCCACCATAACTACCATTTCTCCAATCCTCTAATTTTCTTTTTATTTATTTATTTATTTTTTTTTGTTATTTCATATATAGATATCCAGAATATATATATATATATATTTTGTGGATAGAAATATATATATATTAAGATAGAAATATAATTAAAAAATGATATCAGAGAAAAATGATTTAAATTTTTAGCTTACTCATTGCTAACAAAAATTAAAATAAAAACAAATTGCAGCTTGAAATGAATGATATGAATAAAAATAATACTGTAGACTAAATAATACAGATTTGTGAAATATTAAATAAACTCAGCTGAAATATTAAATAAACTAAGCTTGTTATTGAATATGATATTTTATGAAAGAATATATATATATATATATTTAGCATGATGTGTTTATATAAATATTGTTTAATATTTTCTCAAAAATATAAAAGCAAACAATTATTTTTTATTTTTTATATTATACTAGTATCATTTGATTTTTATGTTATTGTATTTAATACTAAATTTTTCATAAATTTTATTGTATCTATATTACAATCATCCATAAACTAATGTTCTACTTTCCTATTTGTAACATCCAACAACTATTGTCCTATTTCTTTTTTTTTTTTAAACACAAATTTTATATTTTTACCCTTTATTTATTTATTACTTTTAATTTCTATCATACAATTAATGGCAAATTTGTCAAATCATAACAAAAAGACAATCACTTTAAAAACCGTGTAAATATATTTTAGGACAATAGAAATTGGAGGGAGGAAGTACTTTTCTTTTGGGACAGAGAGTATTAAAACTCTAAGTTTATATTCAAATAAAAAATTACTAACAAACAAACACTCCCTTCTTGTAGTACATATTTATGTATAAATGGGCTGGGCTTTCTTTACTCTAATAGTCCAATTAACTTTATATATACATATATACACAAATAAGTTCAGCAAATAATATCTGGAATAACACTCAACATAATAACGTTAAAATATATCATAAAAATAGAATTATTATTACAATAATAATATAAAAGTTAACTATATATTCTTACAAGGATATATATATATATAATGAACAAAATCCGATATAATATATATAAATATCTATATATTATTGTATGAAATATGAAATATAATATAATATAATCCCAGTGTTGCATGGATTTGTATATATTGTAACACAGTTACAATAATAATATGATTAAATAATAACTGTGTTAGTCTGGTCAAATAATATATGATTTCCACAATATAAATTGACTATATTGATAAAATATTGAAGACAATAAATTGAGGATACAAAAAGAAATGTGTGTTTGTTTCTTATTTGAATTTGATATTTGATTTAAATAATATTTAGATATATATTTTTAAATAATATTTAGATATATATTTTTACTGAAAATTGAATAATGTAAATTTGGGTTTTTTTTAAGAGTGTTATTTATTTATTTATTTTTGAGTTTGGTTGTAATTTTTATTTTTATTTTATTTTATAGTCATTTGTGATTTCATATGATAATAAACTATTTTATCTCAAAATATTAACAAAAAAGAAAAAAAAATCAGAATAAAAACAAATTAAAACCAAAGGCAAAAATTATTTAGAAGGATAATATTTTGATAAATATAGCTCTCAAAATAACGTGGTGTGTTTACTTGTCAGGTTTTATACTGATTTTACTATTTATTTTTTTTTCTCCTCCACGTATCAAATCAAACATCCAATTTTTATTTATTTTATTACACTAAAATTTAATTTTACATTCAAAATATCACATCAACACATATTTATATCATGTCAAACAACTATTTCAATTCAAAATTTTACTATTTAAAATCAAAACCCAAAACTAAAACCTACATGTATTACATAAGAATATTGAAAAAGAGGAAATGATATTATAATATCTAATTATAATATATTATTTTATTTCACTTATTCGATATGATATTATGGGGTGTGTTTGGTTTTAATTTGAGTTTGACTTTAAATAAAATTTTGATGTAATTTTTATAAGATATATATATTTATATTTTATTTTTAATTGAAAACATGATTTGTCTCTTATTCATATAAGAAACTTCGATTATTTCTTAAGTATCATTTTCTATTAATACATAATATTATATATATTTATAATACTTTGATTATACTCTACTGAAAAAATGAGATGTATTTTAAATTTACAAAATTAGGATTATTATTATTTATCAAATCAAATCAAGTACACTAAATCAATCTAATGGGAAATAAAATTTATTGAGATCGAACAAAATTTTAAATTAGATCTGAAATCCAGAAATTTCGGACTACCAATTACTTTTGAAACCGCGTGCATTGACCTTGTTACCATAGTTCACCGGACAATAAATTAAATTAGGCGCAATCGACCAAAATATTTTATCGATTATCCTATGCAATTTACAATCTAATTTGTAATAATCAAAATCTTATAATCATTTCTACGGCGCAATGTAGAACAATCCCAAATAATTGAAATGAACTCGTAAATTATTCTCTAAAAAATATTTATTCTTCAAAATTACGAGAATAGTAATCAGGAGAAAATGTAAAAGATAGAAATAAGAATAAAATATTTATTATAATAACTCATTTAATTTCTTTGACCTGTAATAAAACATTTAACCAATTACTCAATTCCTTCGCCCCTTAATCGAAAATCTAAACCATCCTCGGGTTTTGACAATATGTGCCGTCGCTCTTTCTTGATTCTTCATCATTTTTTCTTGCTCTTCGATAGTTAGAAATTCATTTTCGCCGAATATATCCTCATCCATTCCATAGTCGCCGTAGTAGAAGCCGTCAATTTTCTTCTCGGACAATGTCTCTTTCTTGTCGTGCCCATACCTGCAATAACATGGATGGATCAAAAAAATTATATATAAATCGAACTTTATTAAAAAAAGAAAAAAGAAAGAAAAGAAGAGAAAAGAAAGAAAATCGAAGATTAATGTATGAATTTAATGAATCAATGAATTCTTGAATCGATTCGACATTGCCTGTTGATGTCTTGATCGGTCTTCTTACGACGAATTCTTCGCCACAAAGAGCTACAGCTTGTCCTCAAATATGATGGAAAATAATCAACCATTTTTCAAGAAAATTATTTTTTCTTACAAACTTTGGTTTTGTCAATAAAACCCCTAAAAATATGAAATAAAAAGACAGGTTATACATATATATATATATATACACATTTGTTTGTATTTATGCATGAAATTAAAGTGACACTCAGATTATGCAAATAAAATTTTGGTATTCACAGCTGTCTCATTTTGTTATTGTTGTTATTTAAAAAAAAATAATTATAATAAAAAAAGAATTACTATTGTTGAAAAAACAGTTTGGAAAAATGGATTAAATGGTGAGAAACAGAAAATCCTGCATTGGATTTTATTACATTATACACTAGAATTTGTAATATCAATTAATAAAAATAATATATACACAATTTTTATTTTATTTTATTTTTATTTTTTATCAAACATACTTTACAATAAAATAATATTATGGTGGGCATAATTAATATTTTTTGCCTTGACAACAAAATAGATAATCAATCAATAAAATTAATAATTTTCTGTCTGTAAGTGTTTTTTCACTTTTTTTTTATTATTATTATTATTTAACCATTTAAATAACTCTTATATTAAAAAATTTATCTAATAATTTCATCAAATATATATATATATATATATATATACATCAAAACAAAAATTAGGAAAAACACAGAGGTAAGTGTAACTTCCATCCTTCAATATTTTGCATCCTAATTATATTTTGTTTTCTTTATCATATTTAATGTTTTATATATTATATGCCTTGTATAAATTAATATTATTACCAAAATATTCTTTTACAAGGTCAAACCTATTCAAGGATATGTGAGAAGAGAATAATCTATCGGTCTGTTTGTTTGGATGTTTTTATTTTATTTTACTATTCACAATTTTTATTTTTCTAAAAAATATTATTAAATAAAATAATTTTTTTTTATTTTTATATTATACTAAAAATTAATTTTATATTTAAAATATCACAAAATATATATATTGAGATATATTAATAAAAATGTGTTATATTTGAAAAAAAAAAAACCTTTTTTGGGTTAGGTTTAGGGTTAGGGTTTTACTTATATCACTACTATAACCACAAAATTGTATAATTACATGGCACACAAATCAAATATAAACCATAATCCATAATACATTTTTAATTTATTTTCATAGATAATATATTTTCATGTATGTATATATTTATAAAAACCCATCCTCATACATTTTAAATATATTTTATTTTTCAGTAAATTAAATTGGCATAGCAGTGCAATCCATGGGCTTAAAGCTAAGCTTCATCTCCTCCAGATCATACCCAATCAAATTATTTATCTGATGTAAATTTCCAAAAATAGCCATCCCCACACTTTCCGACGCCGGCACAAACGTCAGGCACGCCACCCCTTTCTCCACCTCCATAAACACACTTTCCGGCGCCACCGCCACGTCAGCTCCGTCGAAATGCACCGTCACCGGAGGATACCTCAGCCCCCCATTTCCGGCGACCTCGTAGCACAGCTGGAACATCCCCTGTGGATCCGCCACGCGCTTCCCCTTAACGGCGTTAACCATCGCCGTCTCCAACCCGCCGTACACGTCGCCGGGAAGAAACGTCACCGTCGTGCCGGAATCGATTATTATGTTCCCGTCGCCGCCTCCGGGCTGCTTCGGGACCACCTTCGCCGGAAACCTGTTGGCCCCCACGCTGACGCCGACCAACGTCAGGTAATAAAATGTGTCCACCGATTTCCTCACTAACGGCGTCGAGGAGACGTTAGCGCCGCCGGAATTGGCGGCGGCGGCGCCGCCGAATTTGATTTTGCTGGTGGCGTTCGAGTTCACCGACGTTAAACAGTACGAGAATTTCCCGCCGATCGACGAATTCAGCTGCCGGACGATCGACACCGCGCCTCCTCCGAGGCCGATTATTCCGGTGCCTTTCGCATCAAAAGTGCCCTGATTATCATGTCCGCATCCGAAAACCACGCCGGAAAACGCCACAGCGCCGCCGCCGCCGGCGTCGGAACTAGCCGGAGTAAAAGTCAACGTTTCAACGGCTAAATTACCGTTGCTGTAGGAATTATCACCGTAGCTGACTTGGTATAAACAGGAGTTGACATTATCACAATTCCCTCCGCCGCCGCCATTCGCCGCCAGCTGGCATTTCGGCGACGTGCAGGGCACGCTCCGGTAAGTCGAGGTTTTACTGGGGTCGAAAAACGGCGCCGTTTGGTTGTAGCAATTAGTGCAGGGCTGGCACTGAATCCACGTCAGATCGCTGCCGGTGTCGGCGATCGCCGGAATTTGCACCGGCGGGGTTCCGATGCCAATTTTCATTAAATACTCTCCGTTGTTGGACGCGACGGGCGCCGTTAAATCCTTTTCCGGCAGCTTCTTCAAAATCGAACGCCGCAAAAAGGAACGTGCGACGGAATTTCTGAGACGTTGGAAATTGGATTCGGAGGGATTATAGAAAGGGGAGAGCGGCGAATCCCGGTGGATCAAATCGACCGTTACGCCGCCACGGCCGCCGCCAATTTCATCAATTGAGCTGAAGACAATTGCAAATGAAGACAGAAGTACGAGGAACAAGGATTGACTGTAAAACGCCATTGCTGAGATCAGGAGTGAGCTTGATCGATATTGCTTAAGAAATTATTAATTTATAGAGGAATTAAAAATGGAGTTTGGGGTAATGAAAAGTCAAGTCTTTTAATGAAAACGCATACGTTAATTCTTCACTTACATGAATTTGTAATGATCATTGATGATGGATGAATTTAATTAAATGCATAATTATTATATATAATTAATTTTGATTTAAATGTGGATTGTGGAGTGTGATTTAATGTGACATAATGCCTCGAAGTTGAATTGGTTCGTCTTTCGGTTTTAATTTCTACTTGTTACTCCCTCGTCCCACATAATTTGTCCCTATTTTTTATTTTCATCGATCCCACATAACTTGTCATTTCTATTTTTGAAAATATAATAATGTACTTTAATTTCATTTTAAATTTTAAATTTTATAATTTTCTTAATTTTAATTAAACTATTTAATCTTAATTTTAATCTATAATTATTTTTACTAAATAATAATTATTTTTATTAATACACTTTTTAATTACTCACTAATTGTACTTTACCTAAATTTTCGTATCTACAGTAATACACTCATATTACATGAGACCGATGGAGTAATTTTTTAATAGCTAATTTTGGGTGGACAAATTCTGCTTAGTCAGAAACAATAAATATTATACTTTATATTAGTGAAAAATTCTTATACCTTTATATTTTTCATTAGAAATTTTAGTTATACTAATTGGACAATCAGTCATATATTTTATCAATAATAATTAGTTATAAATACGAGATATAATTATTAATATGAAAGTATATTAATTGTATTATTTATTAATATTATATTATATGCCTATATAGTTTATTAATATCTATATGTTTATCATTTAATATTATTTATTTTGAGATATAACCTATTATTTTAGGTTTATATTTAAATTGAATTTATCAGAATTCAAATTGACAAAAAAATCTAACAATTGAATGTAAAACATGTTTTTAATTATTTTTTGACAAAATTTTTATGATATTTTTTATTTTATGTTCTTATTTATTTTAATATAATATTTATATATGTATTTGGAAAAATAAAATAAGAAGAGAAAATATCTAATTATCAATAATATTTTTTATATATCTTTAATTTTTTCACATTAAATTCGGGATTTAGGTCAACCAGAGCTTGCGTTTGAATATCTTCTTTCACGATGTTATCCGCTTGAAAATCTTCATGTTGATCATTTTCTTCTAAATCACTACCAAATAAATCGTATACAACATTTACTATATTAATATCTGTATTGATATGTTAGAAATGGAGAATCAAGTATTAGTTTAAATTGAACAAATAAAAAACTACATAATTAATTGTTAATTACAATTAAAAAATATAAAATACTTTATTAAATAAAAATATAACTGTTACAATTAATTAGAAAACATTTTTTATATTTTCAATAAAAAATAAAATTTATTAATATGAAAAGTAAAAATATAACTTTTATATTTAATAAGTTGATAATAAATTAATATCGGTATAATAATCTTTTATTATATTAATACATAATTAATAATTATTCTACTCGGGGCGGAATCTGCCCATTTAGCAGCACCCTGTTAATATATAGTTAAATTGGATTAAGTGATTTATGAATATATATATATATTTCTTTCCAACTCTTAACTTATTTAGCTTAACCACAAAGTTTTAAGTATTGTCCAATAAGTTAAGTAATTAAGAAGTGTGGTATTAAAAATAATTATAGATTAATATTAAAATAACTAATTAGTTTAATTAAAATAACAAAATTATAAATTATAAATTTAAAAAAAATAGACAAATTAAGTATGATAGACATTATATATTTATGGTAATTTGTTATATTCCATTTTGTACTCTATTATTTTCTGAGTAATAATTTAAAGAAGACAATTAACTATTCTCTCCTTTAGCAGCTAAATTAGGAGTTTTAGGTTAATGAATAAGTAATTAAAAACGTATTAGTAAAAATAATTATAATTTAATAAAAATAGTTATAGAATAAGATTAGAATTTAATTAAAATAAAAAATTGTAAATTATTAATTTTTAAATCTCAGTATATAATTAAATTTCAAAAAATAAAAGAAGAAAATTATATGAGAAAGAGCTAAATAAAAGAAATTGTACAAACTAAATGGAACAGACTAATTAATTATCCAAATTAAAGCATTAATTAGAATCGACAGCTTTCGCTTTCATGGCGACTTGCTGCAATCGGTTTTCTGAAATGTAACTGCCTGATCTCTGAGATCAAACCCAACCAGATAATCAATTTGATTCAGATTCCCAAAAATCCCCAAAGTCGATCCCGGAAACGCCACCAGGCTCGAGCACGCCACTCCCGCCTCCACCTTCACAAACAGGCTCTCCGCCGACAGCGCCACCGTCGCCCCTTTGAAATCGCCGTCACCGGCGGAACCCTCAGCCGGTCGCCAGTTGGCACTTCGTCACACAGCGTGAATGTCCCCTTCGCATCCTTCACGCGCCGCCCCTTTATTGCCATTTCACCAATTCCAACTCCACCGCGTCGTACAGATCACCGGGAAGGGACGTCAGCGTCGTGCCGGAGTCGATTATGATGTTGCCGCCGTCTTCCGCCGCCTGATCGGAAGCAATGGCGGATTTGTTATTCACACTTCGATTGCCAGACGGTGACGCCTTCTAGAGTCAGAAAGTAGTATTCCGCCGGCGGTTTTTCGTTATCGGAGTTTTCAGGACGTCCGGCGCGGCGGCGCCGTCGCAGCCGGAGGATACTCCGGCGTAATTCCGGCAATCCGCGGCGGCGCAGGAACCGTCCGGTAAGTCGAAGAATTGTGTCCACGTCAGATCGCTGCCGGCGTTCATAATGTACTCGCCGCCGTCCTGCTTCAACGGCGCCTGAATTACCTCCGGCGCCGGCGAATTGGTTAATTGCCGTTGCAGATAATTGTGACGATCGAAGGACCGTTTTGCAGCCTTTCTTATCCGATTGAAATGTGTCTCCGACGGGTTGTAGAGAGGGGACTGTTGGGAGTCGCGTGGATTAAGTCGACGGCCACTCCGCCGCCGCCGGCAGCGTCTGCTTCGGTGAGACAAATTCCGGCGACGTAAAAAGAGGGAAGAAATGCGTAGAAAGGATTGTTGGAGAAAGACATGATGAACGTGATGAGGAAGAAGTGTAATGGTTGTGACAATTTAATGGTAAATTTTATTCTGTTAAAATTTATTTAAAAAATAATAATAATAAAAATTGAAAATTTATGATATATGAAAATAAAAATAACTGTGAAGATACTTTTAAAAAAAATATATTTTTCTGAACTAGCATGACTTGTTTTATCAGGTATAATTTGTAAGATATTAGATTCGACCGAAGATTTATCCATTACTTTCGGATAATTTGTACTGGAATATATAAAGTGACATACTTTGAACTTATTAATATTTATTACAAAGTTAAAATATTGTTAAGCCATAAGCATCTCTTTTACTTCAATTTTTTTTTTTTTTTCTTTTCTTTTACTTCAATTTAGCATTTCAGCAATATGTATTAGCTTTCATTATTGTATTAAAATATTAAAATTATTTTATTTTATTGATTTTAGCATTTACATGATTATTTTATACTATATTAATATTATTCAACGCGACATTTAATGCGATTAAATACAAAATTCAATATTTTTATATATTGTATAAAAACATTTTTAAATTTAAATAAAAATTATATTATTTGATATTTTTCAACCTATAATATGTACATGATTAATAGCTAATAGTTTAATATATAATGGAATTATTAATTTAAATTACATATGAAAATAAACAAAAACTATTGTTAATTATGAGAAAATATTTTATCATGTATTGTCATTTATCTCACTATTGTTAATTGAAATAAATTAGTGTGTTTTTTTTTATTTTATTGGATTTTAAATATACTATTCATTTTATTTTTTTTCCTCCATATATTTTGGTCGCGAAATAAATACAAGACAAAAGTAATAATGAGGTATACGTGTAAGATATTTTTTACAATTTTTCCCTCTAATTAATACTCTATTAGTTCTAACTTAAAGTATTATTTTTACTATTTTATAAATTTAATTCAAATATATATATTTTTTATTTTAGTAAAAGTAATAATACAATAATACTACAATATTTTTTAACTTTTATACTATTATGTTAAAAATATAACATTACGTGTATATATATATACAATTATTTGTAATATTATTTTCTAATTTATTATAAATTCTCAAAAAGACTTTTATTTGGATTTAAAGCGGGAGGAAGTATAAACAATCTATTTATTATTAAAAAGTAAACAATAGAAATAAAATCAGTACCTGCTAATGGTCTTATAGTTCCTTTATATATGCTTGTTTTAATACCAAATTGATTTTGTTCTTTTACAAAAATAGAACGAACTACATACCAAAACTGTTATATTAATTTATTTATCTTCCTTTTTGGCGCCGAGCCGCGTGAGGGCATACACCGTGCAACGAGCTTGATGCCCGTCCGGGCATCGGGCTGGCGCACCACGGGGCGTTGCCGACTTCCGGCTCGGGGGTCGGCGCGGTCGATGAGGGCGTGCCGGATCGCCTCCCATTCGACGACGGTATGTTTAAACACGGGCTGTACGATGACGCCCAAGCCGGAGGAGGTCCAATAACTCACTTGTTTTTAAAAAAGCTCACTAATTAAAAATAAATTCAGCAAATAATATACATAAATTTGTTCAATAAATAAATATACATTATAATTCAACAAATTCATTCCAGGAATACTAATAGCAAATTATTAAAACTATATATTATCTCATCAATCTGTATTTTCAACGTTTCCTTATAATTTCATTTTTACAAAAATACATTACAATACTTATTATTATTTTTTTAAAAAAAATAAATCAAATACATCCTAAATAAATCCCAAGATTCATTACCAAAAGTAATTTTAGAAATACTAAATGAAAATTAATTTCCATGTTTGCCGATAACATTCCATTAATTCTGGATTTCATTATAGAGTAATTTAATAATTACTATCGATATTGTTAATTAATTATTAGGTATTATTTATTATTATTAAAACACTTGCCCTAAATAAAATCCAATTTATCCTATAAATTATGCGCACGTACACAATAAAAAAAATCAAGAATCCGTACAACAGTAAAATTATGGATTCCTACAAACCCTTATTAGCTTTCTTCTTCCTCACCTGCGCCATTACTGCAATTGAAGCTCACCGGAAAATTGGCGCCGGCGGAAGCGACGGCGGCGTGACGGTGGAATTGATCCGCGCTGACTCCCCACAGTCCCCACTGTACAATCCATCGGAGACGCGTTTCGATCGTGCAAAAAAAGCTCTGATCGGATCTCTGGCGCGGCACGCTCACCTGAACTCCATACTTTCCGGCGGCGTCTCGCCACAGGACTTCCAAGCTCCGGTCACACAGAGCGGCGGCGGATACCTGATGCGCGTCGGCATCGGAACTCCGGCGACGAAGGTCTGGGCCGTCGCCGACACCGGCAGCGATCTGGCGTGGACTCAATGCGAGCCCTGCGAGAATTGCTTCCGCCACGATGACCCGCTCTACAGCTCCGACGAATCGTCGACGTATAAACCGATCGACTGTTCGTCGGAGCAATGCCAGACGTTCACCCGCCGGGGAGGCTCCTGCGGCGGCGACAATGTCTGCCAATACGAGGTTAGTTACGGGGACAGGTCTTACAGCCGGGGACCCCTGGCGACAGAGGTCTTCACATTCCAATCGTCGAAGGGCGGCCGCGCCGCCGCTGCCGGAAAATTCCAGAACGTCGTTTTCGGGTGTGGCCGCGACAACGCAGGAACATTCGACCGGAAAACCGCCGGGATCATCGGGCTCGGCGGCGGCGCCGCCTCGATCGTCCAGCAACTTGACAAATCCGCCGCCGGAAAATTCTCTTACTGCCTCGCCTCCCCCGACGGCGCCGGGAACGGCACCAGCACCATCACCTTCGGCGCCGGCGCCGTTGTCTCCGGCTCCGGCGTTGTGTCCACTCCGATAGTGGCCGACAAAGCCCCCGAAACTTACTACTATCTCACCCTCGAATCCTTCACCGTCGGCGGCGAGAAAGTTCCGGCGACCATCGCCGGCGGCGGAAATCCGCAGCAGGAGGAGGAAGAAGGCAACATCATCATCGACTCCGGCACGACTCTAACAATCCTGTCGGAAGAAATGTACGCCGGCGTAAAGGCCGCCCTGAAGAAAGCCGTGAGAGGCGGCCGGCCGACGGAGGGGCCGTCGGGATTCGACCTCTGCTACGAAGCTAGCTCCGATCTGACCGTACCGCCGGTGACTGCACATTTCAAAGGCGCCGATCTGCCATTGCCGCAGGAGTCGATCTTCGTGGAGGTAGAGAAAGGCGTCTTCTGCTCTACATTCGTGCCGTCCCCTCCATCCTTGCCCATCGCCATTTTCGGAAACCTTCAACAAATTAATTACCAGGTTGGGTACGATCTCACAGCTCGGAAGGTCAGCTTCAAGAAGACGGACTGTAGCAAATCGCCATGATCGAATCAAATACACACAAATGTCTCTATTCATAATTTATTGAAATAAATTTTAATATTTTGGTATATATAATTATAAATTGAAATTGGGCCCACTGATATAGAATACATAAAGCCCAATTTACTCTACCAGCCCATTAATCAAAGACCCAACAGTCAGTTCTAAATTTCTAATTAGCACAGCAGCCATGGCAGCAACTGTAATTTGCGAAGAAAACATGAGCGAGGGAGAGAGAAGTGAGAACGGAAGGAACTTTACGTCTTTACGGAGCCATAAAAGGCAGCAACTTTTTCGACTACATAAATTCTGCTCCTTTGTTCCAAAATTCCTTCCTGCGTGTCCACTTCGATTGCGTTGGCATTTGTGGGGCTGTGTTGGGTGTTGAATTTCTACTATCACTTTCACCGACACTGACCCGCCCCAGCTTTACCTTTTTTTGCCCTGCTCCAGAATAATTCCATCATTCGCACCAATCTTCCATTATTGATCAATCCATCTCCTCCTTTTGGGAATTTTTGTCTCTCTGCGTTTCGACTTTCTTTTTTTTTTTTTTTTTTCATCAAGTAGGTTTTGACTCGAGGCGGAAATTTTGGGGGTTGTGGTTGATGCTGAGGTCGTAAATATGGAAGCGATAAAGAAGCAGGCGAGTAAACTGAGAGAGCAAGTCGCTAGACAGCAGCAGGTTTGCGCATGAATTTCTTCTCTTGTATTGTCCTGTATTCACTTTTGTGATTGAAAAACTGTGTGTTCTAGAGATGTGAGTCGTGTTACTGAGCTTGATTAGGGTTCTTGTGTTTGATCTTGCTCAAAATTGAAATATGCTCTTGACATAGCTGAAACCAGTGATTTCATTAGGTATTTTGCTATGAGTTCGATTGCATCAATGGATTGATGCTAGGGTTTCTGTTTTCTTTTTTTGTTAATTGAAGAGATTGATTGAGCTTTGAGCATTTACTATTTAGCAAAGGATGTCTGTTAATTTGGGGAACAAAGTAGGGGAATGAATTGATAGAACTGATTAGGGATTCCCCTGTTTTTGTATAAGTTATGGTGTCGAATTCACTGTGTTTTCGCAGACGATTTTAAGACAGCTCGGGCAGTTAGGCCATGGCGGGATTATGATCGATGAAGGAGATGTTCAGCTACATCAGCAGCTGCAGAATTTGTATCGATCAACAAGGACTGCGAAGGTAGTTAATCTGAGTAGGAGGGGCGCCTTTCGACTAGGGATGTTGTCCGAAATGATTCTTTCGAATCTAATGGATTTTCTTATATAACTCCAGCTATCACACTTAAGGAGCTTTTTGTTGCACAGCATTTCCAGAGGGATATCGTTCGCGGCTTAGATGGATACATTTCGACTAGCAAGAAGCAAATGGACATAGGTGCGTGGTCTCTCGCAAATCTGTCTTGAATTGAGCTCGAATTCCATCTTTTGTTTCTACTTTGTAGCGAAAAAATTGGCTGAAGATTGCTGCAAGTATGGTATTGAGAATCAAGATTCCGATTCCCCTCTTGCAAAGGTCGCTGCGGATTTCGGAACCTCCCACGCCTCCATCGAAGATCAGAGAGAAACATTGATAAGAGTTCTTGGTTTTCAGGTAATCAGATCATCTCATCATCTACGACTTATTTTCGATTGCTGTCTGCATTTTGATTTATTTTAGCCTTGTAGGTTTCGGATCCGCTTCGCGCGTTGATAAATGGAGCTCCTCTGGAAGATGCGCGCCATCTAACTCACCGTTATGATAGAATGCGTCAAGAGTTTGAATTTCAGGTTGTACTTTTTCATCTTCATCATTCAATGATCTTCCCATCGAGCTACTGTTGACTCTTAAAAGCTCCTCTTTAGGCAGCTCAAGTAATAAGAAGGCACTCCAAGTCACGGGACACCTCTTCCGAGAGTGCTGCGAAGCTTAAAAATGCTGAAAAGAAGCTTACTGACATTAAGACGTCGATGTTGGCACTCGGGAGAGAAGCGACGGCTGCTATGTTGTCAGTGGAGGATCAGCAACAGGACGTAACTTTCCAGAAGCTTCTTGCCATGGTATGAACACCAGAACAAACATTGACTTAATCATAATCGTTGGCCATTCGTGATCTCGCGAAACCTTTTCTTACAGGTCGAGGCTGAGAGATCTTACCACCGTAATGTTGTTGCTATTTTGGAGAAGCTGCATTCTGAGGTTGGACTTTAGGATTTGCACTTTGTTTCTTTCATTCTATTTTTGGGTAAACTGTTTTAGTATTAGTGGCATAATTAGTTCTCCGGCGCCAAATTTGTACGCATGACATGGACATGGAATGCCAGAGCTGACAGTTTGATGACACATAAATGGTTCCGGTGGATTTCTTTTTGAAATAAATAATACTTTAAAATCTGAAAAAAAATTCCTTCAAAAATCCTTGCGAAAGCTTCTAAATATATATATATATATTTTCGGATTATTAAATACTCATGATATCTAATTGTATGGTATACTCAAATGTTTAAACATATGTTTCATTGAGGATGGGTAAGAGTCGGTACTTTTTGCCTTTTTATTGAAATAGAAAAATAGATTTAGATTAATGAGAATGGGTAATGATGGGTATTCCTTTCATAAAAGTAGAAATGATTTTTTAATTAAAAAACAATAATATATTTTTTTTATGACAGTCCAAAAAATTCCTATGTGGCCGGAACTGCTTAGATGTGATCACAACTCAGCTGTGACGTACCTATTATTTATTGATTTATTTTTTCAAAAAAATCCTATGGGGCTGGAACTGCTTGTGTGTCATCACAAGTCAGCTTTGCTGTTCCATGTCCTTGCCACATATTCAAATCCGGCGCCGCATAATTTATTTTGCCGCAATTTTGAATTTGTGAGTCTAATGGTATACCATGTTTATTTATGGTCCGAAAGTGATATATGGTCGCATGAAGGACAAAAAAATAGTTCACAGTTTTTTTATTTTAGTCTGTTCTTGTCATCTTTTCTTGGTTACAACATACGCCAACATGTTGCCATTTAGATTATTTTGGAGGTTCAATCAGAGGAAGACCCTTCATTGCCTTCGGAAACTTTGCTTACCAATAGGAACACTACCACCCCTGAAAATGACGATGCTCCAAACAGCTCTGAAGTTATAGATAGTAACAAGATTGTTCTGAATGGATCTAAAACCAGGGATGATGAGGGTAAATGCAACGCCTACTTCATTGCAAAGGTAACTTTATTTTTCTTTGTATGGATGGAAAAGTTATCTTCTTTACCGGTCACACAATACTGCTAAAATCCGTTGAATCGTGGTTAATGTTGTACACTCATGTTCATTCAGAATGTATTATTGTTGTCAGGTCATTCACTCATTTGATGCTCAAGGGGATGGCGAGCTAAATCTTGAACTTGATGACTATGTTGTAGTTAGACAGGTAACAATGAAATAGGGGACATGTTAAAGAACCTCTCTGCGTTACATTGAAATAACTTAAAAACATCAAATTTATTGCATAATATGTTCTTTGCTGCACAATATTCTGTTGTTTTATAAAACATTGCATCAAATGCCTCTAACTATAATGAAGTTTACGTATTAGATTCAATATTTTCAGTAACATGATAAAGTTATGGGATAAAATGCATATATAGTTAAAAGGTGAAATTGTGTTGATTTTGTAAATTTTGGTGTCTAATTAACTGTCGGAAATCTTGTATGATTTAAATTGTTACAAATATGTGTTAAAATTGAAGTTTCCCTAAGTGGATGGGATGTGTGTTGCTTTTCTTCCGGGGAAAATGAAAATGCACATTAGATTTGAAGACCGGAAAGATTGAATGAATATAGATGTTGAATGCGATGTTTTATATGAAAAAAGTAGTGTTGAATGTGTTTGATTGTTTAGATTTTGGGTTTGTGTTTTGAACAATAAAAATTTTAAATTTGAATAATTATTTGATGCGATATAAATATGTATTGACACAGTTTTTTTAATCTAAAAATTTTAGTATAATATAAAAATGATAGTTTGATTTGATGTTTTTGTAAAAAAGAAAAATTGATGAATAGTGAAAATCTCGAGGAAAGTTGTGTTTGGTTTGTGTTTTGTGTATAATCAGTGGTTTGAACTTTGATGTGATATTTCCGAGAGGAAGTTATATATTTTTTTATAGAGAACCGTGGAAAGTGCACAATATAGAAAAAAAAAACCCCTTTGGAGTTCTTGTAAGAATAGATATATATTTTATGATGGGACCAAATATACTATTTTGCGAAGAATTGTCATCGATTTTGGCAGGTGGGCTCGGGTGGATGGTCGGAGGGAGAATGCAAAGGAAAGGCCGGATGGTTTCCTTCAGCATATGTCGAGAAGATCGACAAAGTTCCAACAAGGCATGTGGCCCGGGACGATTCTTCCCTGTAAGTATGACTACAATACTGTGTATCTGTAAGTTTCCTATTATTTCTGTATTTGTACATTAGCATGCTCAGATTATACGGTTTTTGATGACTATACGTTGTGTCGATGTTTTGGAATGATTTAAGAAATAAGAATGCTGAGTTTTTATATAGAAATTGATTTTAAGAACAAGAGTAAAGTGACATGTCTCACCATCAATCTATTGAAAAATATAAATGTCTGATCCCATCGGCGTTCTTTGCGCTAGATCTGAAAATGCAATGAACACGATTGGATTATAGCGAATTATATTGGGTCATTACTAATCTATCGTACCTTTTTAGTAGATAAATCTCTACAATCTGATCATTGTTCATTGCATATCATCACACACTAGATCGGGAGGTGACGACATGCAATGAACACGACCGGATTGTAGCAAATCGCCTCAATCAACTCACAAGGGGAAATAAAAATAGAAAATCCTTACAAATCGATCATTGTTCATTGCATATCATCGCGCTAGATCTCAAATGGCGACGAGATGCAATGAACACGATCGAATTGTAGCGATTTGTATCGAGAAATCACTACTTGTATAGAACTATTCCTACTATGCTTTGCAGAAGAATCGCATTTGGGGGTGTGTTGTATGTTTTGGTCGGAAGACCTTTATATAGGAGTTCGAGATATTTCTATTCATCGAAAATTTTATTCGTATTTTATGACGCGTGTACTAATTAATTATCGTGTTGGGTTTTGCGTGTATATAACGCGTACTAATTAATTATCGTGTCGGGTTTTGCGTGTAAATATCGTGTACTAATTAATTAGTGTCGGATTTTGCGTGTATATGACGTGTACTAATTAATTATCGGGTTTTTGAATGAAGTTTGTTTGGTTTTGATTTGAAATTGAGTTTTTTTTATTTACTTTTTATTTTAAATTATATTTTGATGTGATATTATGTGAAAGAAAATAATATATATTTTTTATTAAAAATCGGATTGAATAGTATAGTTTAGTTTTTTTTTTTTTTTTTTTTTGAAATAAAAAACAAACACACCGTTGGCTGTTGAATTTTCTTTTTAGGTAATTGACATTAATGTAAATAAATATTGGCGATTCGGTCTCTAATTGAATTTTACCAACCACTTAAATAATATCGGTATGGAAATGGAAGGTATTGAATTTATTACTATTTTATTTTGGCATTAATAGAAATAGATTTTGGTCATTCGTTCTTTAAATAAATTGGTATACCTACTCTTTAAATAATATTGAATCGTATTCATTGACTTGCCATAGCCTATTAAGGCATATTACTATTAAAATTTATTTTGAGATAAATAATTTCAGTTAAATATGATTTATTATCTAAAAAATACCCCAAAGTTTATCCAGTGCGTGTGTAACACTCGCATACGAAAACTTCTCCGGTGTAAATTTGAACAAAGAATTATGGACTATGGTCACATGATCATTTTTTGTTTTTTTTTAAAAAAGTAAATATTAATAGTGATTTAGACGTAATATTTTTGTGAATATATATACATAAAAACTAGAAAAAAATTATCAAAAATAACCAAGCCCAAATAAATTCCTAAACAAAATGTAACAAAATACTTAAATATGTTCACAGTACAGTAAAAATACAAAACAAATTCATGAATGGAAAAGCTTATGCAGTTAACCTGCAATCTGATACAAAAATGAAAGATAAAAAAACGATGGATCCAACAATTTCATATACAAAACGATTCAAAGTGTATTACCAAAAGAAAAACAAAACAAAAATTAACATCGACAAGAAATAGCCTTCTACTGCATTTAAACAAAGTGTCGATTCTTGCAAGAACATAATGACAACAAACCTGAAAGCAGCTGAGCTCCCGGTCGTCGACGCGGCCGAGGCGTCTGACTGCTCGGCTCGAGTTTCCTGGGGATCGTCCAAGCAGCAAATCGAATCGGGCCACATTTTTTTTGCAGAAAGAATGAATAAATTAAGTACGCTGTCTTCTTTCCTGTGTTTTTTCTTTTTTTCTGCTTCACGACTTACGCTCAGTCGGAGTTGGAGTCGTAAAAGTCGCTGACACAAGGAGTAGTCACCTCGGATTCGAGTATTTGAACCACCTTGTGCATGGTGGGGCGATCCTCGGGAGCTGAGGAGACGCATTGGATGGCTATGGATAGGAGGGCATCGAGGCTTTCTGTCTGGACTCCTTCGCACTGAGAGTCGACTATTTCGCGCTGCCTGTTTTCCGAAACTAAATAGTTCAGCTGTTGACAAAAAGAAAAAAAAAAAAAAAAACAAAGGGTTGGATAAGGATAAGGTTGTCGCGTATATTTTGGGATCGAAGAGAATTGATACAGTTGGTTACACAGTACCCATCCGACGATGTTTAGGCCTTTCTCGATGAAGGATGCGTCAGTCGGGCGCTTTCTGCTCACGATTTCCAGCACGAGAACTCCGAAACTGTAGACGTCTGTTTTCTCAGTAGCGCGTCCGCTCTGCATATACTCTGCGAATATCTAAATATTAGCGTATGATCCTCATGTCAAAGAAAAATGACGAGAGTACTTTTTGTACCGGGAGCTAGATATCCAAATGTGCCGGCGACGATTGTTGTAATATGAGATTCCTCATCTTCCAACAGCTTAGCCAATCCGAAGTCGGAGACTCGGGCATCGAGATTCCCGTCAAGTAAAATGTTGCTCGATTTTATGTCCCGGTGAATGATTCGAGGGGAGCAGTCGTGATGCAGATAGGCGATACCTTTTGCGGCTCCCATGACGATGTTTATACGCGCCTCCCAATCCAGCTGCTCTCCTCTCTCTGCATCGAGTATAGATAGATATTCTAAGATGACGTACGATTAAATATTGAAATAAACATTATACGAGTCACAAACCGTGAAGAGATTCATCCAGGCTTCCACCCGATAGGAAATCGTATATTAACAATTTGGACGTCGGGGAATTGCAGTATCCTCTAAGGTTCACCAGGTATCTGTGTTTGATGCTTCCAAGAATTGCGAGCTCCCTTTCGAAAAATCGGTCAAAGCCCTCGTTTACCTTCACAATTCTTTTCAATGCAAATATATTGCCATCGTCCATTGCGAGCTTGTACACTGTTCCAAAGCCTCCCACGCCAATCACATGTTCTTCGTTTAAAGTCTCCAGTTTTCTTATGATATCCTTCGAAGAGTAGGGTAGATCTCCATGGAACATTACAATCGAGGCCCCTTCAGCAAGAGGATGAAAAATCAGGCATATATTTGAGAGGGATATGGCATAGAAAACACATAGGCTTTCCCAAGAAAAAGAAATTTTAAATTTTCATAGAGAGACGAATGCCGTGTTCTTACCTCCACTGACATCAACTGCAAAACCTTTGCTGTCATTTTTACCAAGCCTCTTGTACAGGTAACAACCCCAGAAGCACATAAGCGCAACCAGCAGCAGTGCGCCTACCGTGGCGATTGAACTCACAAGAAGCCTTTCTGAATATTTCTTCTTGGATTGGTGTGCTACAAACACGACATATACAAATAACATTCTATGGTTACAAATTATCTGCAAACGAGATGAAAAAATGGCTAAGTTGTTGCCTTAGTGTTCATTCCATAAATATCTCATGGTTCGGTTAAAATATCAGCTGTTGATTTCAGGCTGACTAACAATTCATGTTCAAACTTTGACAGATTACTTGGTAAGAGCAAGAGGTATTACATGGCATACATTCAAATTGATGAAAACAATAGCATTTTATTAATGTAAAGTAACCATGCTTACAGAAATCGAAAGGGATGACAGAGCCTACATACTCTGAGAATATTAAAATTCTCCCTATGTTTCTACAAACATTAGCCTTTTCAAGTCAAGGAAGTTGGAAAGCATCATGCTTGTTCGCTATCAATATATGTTTTTTAATTTCTCAATATTCTAAACAAGGGGTCAAGGATTTTAAGTGTAACAAAGCTCTGGTAGGCTGACACTTATCAAAAAGATAATACCAAATTTGACCCTACAAATCTGGTTTTGCAGAAGGATGAGATAAATTGGGGGAGGGAAATCTATATGGAGCATAACAGATCATATTCAGGTTGGATAATGTCCAATTCTCAATTTTCTTGATAGCTATGACAGCACCAACTGAAAATTACACAATTCAAAACATCTTACCTGAGCCATCAGGGTCGGAAGATCCCGAAGAACCATCATTGTCCTTGCAAATCTTGACCTGTTTTCCACACAACTCACGATTGCCAACAAAGCTGAAAAGAAAGCATCATATACAAATGCAAAGTAGCAGTTTTCAGTAAACAAAAGAGCTAAAGAAAGAAAAGGAAAAAAAAAGAAAGAAAGAAGGCTGGCAGAATCATAAATTATGATCTCAATCTGGACATCATGAGGGGAAAAAAAGCAGGCCAAGGAGCATAACAAGCTAACCAGTTATTTCATGGTCTGCCATTACTTTCAACAACTTGCACTTATGTATATGTAACTTGCTTCAAACATAGCATGATTGGAAAGTATAATGGGGTAAGATTGGACTTCTTTTCCTCCCTTCGGGTTGCAGAAGAAGTTCAAGAGGTAGCTTCTAACATAATAAAATATTGTGATCTCTACTATTCTATTGTCATATGCGAAAAGAAGGTAAAATAAGGTTTGGTTGGTAAAAAAGAAGTGGCCAATCAATTACAAAAGGAAGGGGAGAAAACATGATGAAAGGAACTGGAAATGTTTCACTCTAAAAGAAATTTTAAAAATACAAAAATAGCAAGAGATTAGACAACAGTAGCACGAAAACTATACTTACGAATCATTTTGAAATTTTGCAAGAACTCCATCGGAGGGGATAGGCCCTACGAGAAAATTTGTTGAGACATTGCTGCAAACACGGACATAGCGTACTTAGTTAGAACTTATAAAAGTAGATAACTATGGAACTTTGCAAATGAATACATCACTCACAAAAGTGAGAGCTTGCCTAGCTTTCCAAGTGAAGATGGAATACTACCACTGAGAGAGTTACTTGAAAGATCCCTGACAAGAAAAACAGTCTTAGAAGGAAGTTCACTTCCCAGATTGAATGAGCATGGAAATAAACAAAATAGAAACAAAACCCTACAATTAAGCTACCATGCATGAACAGAGAGTCAAAATGCTGAGAAGCCGTCCTCAACTGATCCCAACATAGTGTTTATCAAGAGATACAATTTTCGCAAAGCATATTAAACCTTGTTACTAACTGGATATACAATTGTTCGGGTCCAAAAGCTTATTAACCATATTAGTAGAGTTGGTTCTATGATTTATGGTAAATCGTGAGATCTTTCTATCAGCATGGGGAATATAGTGAATGAGTGTCTTTATGGGCTTATGGCTAAATAGAGGATTGATTTCTTCAGTTTAGAATATTAGGAGAAGATTTTACCAACTTATTAAGAAAAGCTTTTGTCCCAGCTCTGTGTTTGATAATTGTTTGCCTCACAAAGGATGTCGATTAGTAACAGGAATCAGTAATAAAACAAATAGAACATTAAAATGTTCACAAATTCTAAACTTGAGAGTACTACTCACAGATTTTCCAGCAAAGAAAGTTTTTCCAGTTCACTTGGGATTGATCCACTTAAGTAGTTTCCTTGAAGGTATCTGTATAACATTGGAAGCAAGAATTCACACTTCACCAGAACAGGACAAGATCTTAGCAGACTTGTTAAGAACACAGTAGCAGTAAAAGAAATGCAGGAGTCAATCAGCTGTTTCGCTTGTACATCCATCACTCGTTATTTACAAAATATAAAAATAAGTTGCATCAAACAGAACTACAATAGCAAACACTCGCTTTGTTGTCATCCTTCAAAACTTTAAAGTTTGTTTCGCCACATACAGATCTTTATGTTAAAGGTAATCACAGACAACACATCAGGGTGCAAGCTGGAAAATTCAAAAATACATTTTGGGGTGTTATCTGATTAACTATTTATACTCTCATGCTAAAAATGGGGAAAAGTCCATATCCACCCAAGCAAACAGCTTATACAGGGAAATTCTGCTAAAAAACTTGTCTGACAAGTAGGTATCTGAAAGAATTTGATTTAGGATCACTTTCAACACTTCAATTTTTAAATGACTCCTACGTCACTGAAATGAGGCTATAAGAATGATATAACCTCATTGAAAAGTATCTCTACTTACAATGACTGTAACTGCGTGCAGTTCCCCATTTCAGGAGGGATTGCTCCATACAAATTGTTATCATGAAGAGCTCTGCAAGCAAATTATTCAACAGGTATTAGCATCAACTGGATGAAGTAGAATTTGGCAAACTAATAATTCTAAGATGCATACATAAACTGTAGGCTTTCTAGCTTTCCAAGGTCTGGTGATATGGATCCACTCAACTTGTGGTTAGGGAGGCTCCTGGATCATTGGAAATACATTTATCATTTGGACAAAGAAAATATGAATTAAAGTTTACGAAGCCATGGTGAACACTTTTTAAAAGGACTTATTACTGTAGCATCTTACTTAGGCATTAGTCTATAAGGATGATACCCGAAACTCTAAATTGGGAGATCCTGAAGTAAAGAAACTTACAAGGCTGTAACTCTTTTTGACTTTAAGTCACATTTTACTCCTTTCCAACCGCATGGATCTGCATCCTCAGGCCTCCACTGAAGCAACACACCATCTGAACTAGCTATGGCTGTCCTGAAGTTGACTAGAGCTTGACCTACAAATAAAACAATATATATACAAAAATATATATATAAGATTCCGCTTTGAAGGAAAATACTAGTTGGATAGACCATAAACCTAAAGTTAGGTACTTCCATTTTTTTTCTATTGCTGCATACAAAGATTCTAATGAATAGCATAGGAATCTAAAACACATCCAATCCTTTGCAAAGATAATACAATCAAACATACTCAAACAAAAGCAATGACAAGCCCATATTTTAAGATGATAAAAATGTATTGACAAAACAAAAGCATAACCGATAAATTGTAACACAGCCCATCATCAGTTAAATCCTCATACGATTGTACAGTTTTTTCAAACCCTTATCATTAACAGATCGAATGTCTCATCAATGGGATGTTAGCCAATTCAAGTTAGTAATAATAATAAAAATCCAAAGTTATCCAGCATACCATCAGGACTAAGAGCTTCAGTTTCTTTTCCTAAATTGTAAAGCAATATGATGCATAGAAGCCACTGCAGAAACTTCACAGTGAAGCAGTTCATTGCAGTCCACTGAAAGCATAATAAGGTCAATACAAATCATCAGATGTCTGAAACATCACAGCACGAAAGCATGCGGCAACTGAGTTGACCATGCTGTAGTATGGCCGCTTCAGCAACCATAAGCAATAATCTCCTGCAAAACAAATTTAAGCAGTTCCAAATTAGTAATGAAAATAAACAAAGCCCAGCAGAAATGAGCACTCTCATCTCCACACATTGCTCTAAGTTTTTTACACTCCATTCAACCAAAATTATGAGCAGCAATGAATCATCACTTCCAAATAGGTAAACTAAACTTTCCCATACATCAATGGAGTAAGGCATATAATGAACGTAGGGCTTTTCATCAAGTGCAAATTGCATGCGATCAAAGCCCCAAATCTTTAACAGCCCAATCTATGTCGACCATGCATATCCGAAACGATACTCCCACCATAAATCGAAATTTCACAAAAATTTCCCAAAATTCAACAACAATTACATCAACACACACAACTTTAAGAAAGAAGCACAACGCACAATCAATTGAAAAACTTCGTAACGCCCCTCCAAACAACAGCCAAACATGATAATCCCTAAAAACAAAAACCAACGCTCTTCGTCAAAATTTCAGAATGCGACAAAAAATTCGCCCTCATATTCTGAATCCAAAATGTGCCCAAATTCACAACTTTAACAAAAAAAATTCCACCACAATCACATTATTGCCATACCTTGACGAAGCAGCAGCAGATTCGATCTATGCAATTTGAGCTCAATTAAGAGAGAGAAAGCAAGCAAGATAAAGAGAGACAGGGAAATTGTGAGTTGAGCTGTAAAGTTATGCAATAGCAACAAAAATCAACGATCCCCCCATCGCCCACCCTTTCTCTCTCTAAAATTATACACCGTATATGCAATATCTACCTTTTATTTATATATATATATATAGATATATATACACATACATTAACACCCACAATTATACACCGGAATTAAAAGAATGGAATGGAGCAGAGTGACAGATTTCAGACTTGCAGTGAGAGAGAGAGAGAGTGTGGATGCTAGAAGTGCATTGTGGACTACGGAAGAGGATGAGCCAATGAAAGGACTGTGGCGGCACGTGCGAACGCGACACTCCTCACGTGCGACCGACGCAAAATGGCGAGGATAGATTTCTCTACTCTGGTTTGTGTGAATTGACTAATAGACCCCTTTTATTCGGATCTTATATTGCCCTCGCTCGACCCGACCCGACCCGAACCGACTCGATTATTGCAACGGTCATATTGCGTGGATTTGCGTTACGGATTAGGGACTGAATTGCAATTTCACAGTATAAAATCCGGAGGCTGGATTGGAAGGTTGAGAGAGTGTTAGGACCAGATTGAAATTACTGAAAGAAAGGGGGGGGGGGGGGGGGGGGGTGAAACCTCACCGTTGTGTACGACGATTCACCGCTTCGTCATCAATGGCGGCGACCTCGAATTGACGCGCGTCATCCTCGCTTGTTTTTCGCCATTTTGGTGTCGAAGAAATCCGGATTTTTAGGAGGCGAGAGGAGAAATTGGCGATGACGAGAGGAAAGCAGAAGATCGAGGCGCAGAGGAAGAATGCGGAGAAGAATCAGAAGGCCAAGGGATCGCAACTCCAGGCGCGTGCCGTCGGTCTCAAAGTCGTCTGTTCCATATGTAAGGTAAGCCGTTCGAATCCATACGTGCGCTTGGAATATTACGAAGATTTCATGTTGACTGGATTGATTCTATGAGCAAATTTCTCTGTACACTGTTTGTGTTTTGACCATTCATATTGATCAATAAGGTAAATCGCTAGCCCTACACTGTTCAATGATTGCTGCTTTGGTAAGCAATATTGTTGTGCTTCTGATCAGATCTGGAAACTCAGTTTCCTCAAATGATTATTATCTACTTACAGTTTATGTGTTCTGCAAAATCTAAAATCACCATGGGAGAGATGAACTTCTTAATATGAGATTGAGATATAGCAGCTTCAACTAATTCTGTAGAATCTTGATAAATGCTTGTGGTTAGTTACCTTTGTATACCCGATTGATAGATCAATCAATATATCTGCAATTGATTGATTCAGTGTTGTTGGTAGGCATTCAATAAGTGTTTTTAAAGCATATCATTTTTCGTCGGCTTCATCATGTTAGCAATTCTTCATTTATGAGTTATATAGCCATTACGTAATGCCTGGCCTTTATGGCGAAGGTTTCCTAATGAAGATCACTTTGATTGCTCATAGTCATGCAGCAATCCCTTAAAAGACATGTCGCCCTCTTAGGTTCTTTGAAGACTGATAGTATACCGGCACTGGTTTTTCGACTGTATACTCATATTAGATTGCATGATCTTGACGTTAATATGTTTTTCGTATTGGTACGGGTAAAACTTGCAACAAAAACAGCAGGGTAGAAATGATTAAAAAAAAGGGATTCAAAGAATCAACCTTTTCGAGCAAAGCATACTTGGCCCACAAGAAACTTGTTCTCAAAATGTCAGGGCATCCTTCTAAGTTATTATCTTGAGTGTCGATTAAGGTTGTATTGATATTTCTTTTTCTAGACATTTCCATTTCCTTTTTGTTTCTAAAGTAACTTTCTTCCCGTTGAAATGCCAATTTACTTCATGGGCTGCTTCAAGATTTTGTTCGAGAGAGAAGTGAGAAGTGAATAATTTGAATTGTGAGATAACTATAGTCGAGCTTAAATCTTTTGTTTTGTTTCGTGTAGTGTTGATTCTTGTGGATTATTTTTATACTTGTGCCCCACTATACATCGAGCTTCCTCAAATGTTATTTTTGTAGTTTGATTTTGTAAATTTAGGCCGCTTCATTTCAAACTACTTGAGTGAAAGTGTCTTCTTACAATAAACTTCTTTTTATCCTCTTGAGGCCTTCGATCCAAAATAGCAAATGAATAAATATTGGGCAACCAAAAGCTAAATAGCACAGATGAATTAAATGTATGTGTTATGGGATATAAAATTAAGAAGCCATTGAAGGTTTATGGAACTATTGGATATAAACTTCTTTCGGAACTATTGTATGTTATTTTCTTGTTTATGATTCTGATAAGTGATTTATTGAGATTAATGGATCCCATGGCACATTCGAGTTTTTCTTTTCTTACAGGCAATCCATGAATGTTAGGTAAGTGTCCGATCCCCTAATCTTTCTACTCTCGACTTAATTGACCTGAATTATGTTAGCATGTGCTTTCGATGTTTTCCTTATCTTGTGTTCATTTATAATTCAGTTGAGGTTGTCTGATCCCTTTCGAAACCTTGGCTTTCAGGTTCAGCTCGCTAATCCTAATCAGCTCACCGATCATTACAGCTCGAAGCATCCAAAGGAAAAGCCTCCGAGCAACTCAGAATGACGGCTTTTACTCAAGGTTTTTCTTATCCCGACACCTCAGATCTTGTAAATAGTAACTCTTAAAAGCCCGGATGTAATGAAAAAAATTATTTCCTTTTTATCCCTGTGGCCATAAGAATGTAAAACCAAAGCATGTGGGAACAACTGATCATCAATAAGTTGTAACAAGTTAGCCTTCAACTTTTGTTTTGTACTATTAATCAAGATTATTCTGGAATTGTATTTTTATTTATTTATTTATTTTTTATAGAATATGTGAATTCGCAGCCGTTCTATGCATGTAATATAAATTATAAATAATTAAATAAATTTAAAAAGAAGTGTATATAAAACCTTATCTTTTTATTATTAAAAAACAATAATAATAAAAAAAAATATATACAGAACAGCCACCGCATAATCCTCACTTATGTCGGGAAAGTCGCGTTTTTTAAGCATTAGAAAAACAAACACGACTTTAGTGTCAGATTTATATTTGTCTCTCTCTTCATTTCGGCGTCGTCTTCTTCGTTATCCCATCTTCCCGAATTAGGGTTTGCGTTCGCCATTGCTCCCTTCCTCCCCCTCGTTGCCTCTGCAGAGATATTATCAAAATATACATATATGCAACCGCCGATCGGAGTCGAGTACTTGATAATTCTCAGATAAATTTCCCGTAGTTCGCGTAAATTTTCTGTCTCGTTCATTGGTTTCAGGATAAGGGATTTTCTCATTATGAACATATCTGGTAAGTTTCGGTTCGCGGCTTCGATGAACGTGAAGGTCTTGAACAATCTGAGAGCATTCGGTCCTGGTTTGAATCCTTTTGCCCCCTACAACATGGCCAATCATTCCTCTCGCTAAATTTTTTTACCGTCGCTTTCGATTTGTGTTCGAAGATTATGTAAAACATTTCTTTCTGTGGGAGCTGGGAATAAGATCTGAGATTTCAGGTGTTTTGTCTGTGGATTTATTAGCTTCGTTTCGATTTATATCCTGAAATACGAAGAGTAGAGCTTTGTTTAGGGGAAGTATTGGAATTCCTGATCTGAGCGCATATATGCGCATCTTTGGTTCTGTTCTCTATCGAGAGTTTCGTTTTGTGTGCAAGTTCTGACTATTTACTTGGAGTATCTGAGAAGTTTGGTTTTCAAGTCTCTGGGGTTCAATATAGCTGTTTGTGTGATCAAAAGAGCATAAGAATTAACACAATGCTGAGCATCGAGGGGGAATATATTCGGAGGAAGCGAAAGCTGCTTGTGTCTGGAGAGGATAGGGATGATCGTGGCTGGACTATGCTCCATATCCATGCTAGGAAAGGTGACCTCAAAGAGGTAGGAAATTGATGAATATCCACTATAGTATCTGCACAGTAGTTTACATTGTTGAACCTAACTAATCAGTAGATAAATTATGGTTTTAATTTAGTTTGATCTTGTTAGTTAATTGCTCCATTAATATTGGTACATTTTGAATAGAAGAATCGACAGTGCTGAAATTGAGTTCGTAAGGTAGATAGTTGTGAATGATTCAATTTACAAATCTTTATCAGATTTGTAGCTATTTCTCTAAGTTGTCTCGGCTATATTAGTTGCTATTGAGCTATACACCATGTGTGTGTGTGTGTATATATATATATATTGTTTTAAATCAAAAGAAGTTCAAATATAAACTACAAAGAGAACAGTTGCCTTCCATCTTGGGAAGGGGTGAAGGGATTGAATCATCATTACTTTTCACTTAGCAGAAAAAGAGTTGTATTGAGTTTTGCTGAAGTTTTCTAAGATACTACGAGTGTTTTTTGTTTGGGGGTTTGGCTTTGAGTTTGAGTTTTGAATAGTAAAATTTTGAATTAGAATAGTTGTTTAATGTTGTAAGATTAATTTTTAATATTAAAAAAAAAAGGTGTTTGACCCGATGTTTTCAGGTGGAAACTTTTGGAGGAATTGTAGAAATTTCAAAAATCTCCCAAAAACAATCTTGATCCTCTTCTTCATATGTTGTGAAAAGACTAAAGCACTTTTAAAATCTTTTTTTATTATCGAATTGCCTTTCATCAAGCGTTCCATTATATTTTTGCAGGTAAAGCGGCTACTTAACGAAGGAATGGACGTTAACGTTGTTGCTTGGGGCCCCAAATCACACGGCGTAACACCACTCCATCTTGCTGCCAAAGGTGGGCATCTCAAAGTCATGGATGAATTGCTCGAGCGCGGCGCTGACATAGATGCGCGAACCAAGGGTGCCTGTGGCGGCTGTACGTACAATTCCTACAAAGCATCAACAAGCTCCTCTCCTTATCTAACAAATTTCTTTTAAATCGATCCAGGGACACCACTTCACCACGCAGCCAAGGAGAAAAAGAAGAAAGCAATCAAATTTCTGGTGATGAACGGCGCATTTTTGCCGGATGACATCAACGACACGAGGTTCAACCCTCCCGTCCACTACTGTCCCGGACTCGAATGGGCTTACGAAGAAATGAAACGCTTGCAGCTGGAAAGCTCGTCTAGCGAGGCATCCTCTGTCTCCGACAACTGAGCCTCGCTCTCTCTATACGGTGCGCGCAATGACGATTCAATACTTTTACATGATTATTAATCATCTGATTGAGTTCGTTGGTATCTTTTATATGCCTACACAGCCTCTCTGGTTTCTGCCTGTCAAATCTATGTGTCTTTGTTCTTCTTCTTCGTCTATCCGTCGATCGTTTCGTACTAGAGAAGACATTCTGAATATATATATATATATATATATATGTTGGTGAATGATTATCTTGTGATGGTTATTGTGATATATGATGGCTTCTCTATATATCTGTTTGTTTGTTTTTTGATGAATTGCTACATATTATGTTGGTAATATACCCGAACTCGACCCAAATATGACCCATTTATTTTGGGTCCAATCTAATTATTCGGGTCGGGTACGATGTACCCTAATTGGTTTGGGCGTAGGGTCTAATAATTTAGGATAAATATAATTAGTAGATAATTAAGAATATATTAGTAAAATTATTAATTAAAATTAAAATAACTAATTAGCTTACTTAAATTTAACTAGTAATATTTTTATAGATTCAATGATAAATTGGATATACAAAATTAGGGATAAAACTCAAATGAACACACCACATTGGACTGTAGGATGATTTAAATTTTAAATTCAAATTAACATTATTCAAGTAAAAAACATTCAAACACAAAAGGGTACGAAATTTTAGATTGTTTAAAAAAACATGTGATTAGGTATTTGGATAAAGTAATATTATTCAAAATCATTTATATATATATATATATATTTTTTTTGTTGACGTAGAAATCCGCAACGGTTACCCGAAAATGCTAGGTAAATCTCCGATCGAATTTAATATCTAGTCACACTTGAGTATTAAGTAAGGTTTTTTACATACGTTTAGTTTGTTAATAAAAATATATAATTAAATACTTATTTTTATTTTTGTATAGTGTTAAATTAAAATTTAGCTTTAAATACAACATCAACATCATCTCTTATTTACATACCATATCAAATAATTATTTATTCAAATTTAGTTAAAAGATTTAGCCTAAGTTTTATTATTCACGTTTAAAAGAAAAAATGAATGAGACATTTTTTATTCAAAATTCAAACTTCAACTAAACATACTTAAATTTCAATTTTTACACTAACTTTTCTCTAAACTAAAATTCAAAAATAAATAAATAATAATAATAATAAAAACGTACCCTACCAATAAAATGTTAGAAAATAAAAAAATAAAAACAATAATAATAATAGTAATAATAATAATAATAATTGGATAGTACTCAATTCCAGCTATTTTGTGGAAGATATGTATATAATACTTAACATTAAAAATATCAATACAGTAAAAATAAATATTTTTTATCTTTTATATTATATTTTTATATAATAATTAATATTCAAATATGAACACGACAAAAAAATTAAATGGATCTTACTCTTAAGTTTATTATCTATTATTATAATTTGTAATTAAGTAAAACTTAGCAGAACTACAGTTATAAATGATTAATTTTCTCTTATTCTAGATAGGATATTAAAAGAATTATTTTGCTTTTTTTTTATCAATAATTAATTTAATATTAATATTATTAATAACTAAATATATTCTTAAAAAATTAAAATTTTATATAATAATCTATTAAAATAAAGAATACTATTATTTTTAAAAATAATTATATAATTCATTAAAATAATTTTTCAGTTATAATCTATCTCCCAAAATAAATACACCATATGCTATTATATAAACAGCGGTTTAAATAAAAGGCGACGCCTTGCACGTCTGACGGCATTCGACAACTCAAAAGGGGAATTAGGGCTTGCTTGCTTCATTCCCGTTTTCGTGAGGGTAGTAGCTTTCCACAACACAGCCTCTTTCCGGCGACGCTACCATGGCGGCAGGGATTCAGAGAGGAGGTGGCGCACGGCGAGCCATGGAGGGGGACGAGAAGCTTGTTTTCGAGACTTCAAAAGGCGTCCAGCCAATCATGAGTTTCGACGAGATGGGAATAAAGGACGATCTCCTCAGAGGAATCTATAACTATGGCTTCGAGAAGCCTTCCGCCATCCAGCAGCGTGCCGTGCTTCCGATTATCTCCGGACGTGACGTCATCGCTCAGGCCCAGTCTGGTACGGGCAAGACTTCCATGATTGCCCTAACTGTTTGCCAGATTGTGGATACCAAGTCTTCAGAGTATGGGTTTTCGTCTCTCTTCTCTGTAATTTGTGTTTTACGTTCGATCTTTGTTTCTTCTGTTTGCATATATGCTCGATTTTGTTTTCTTGCTCAATGGTAATTACCTTAGGTTAGACTGTGGGTAATTTGTGTTCTTTAGGGTTTTGAACTAGTGAGCTTTCTGATTTTCTAGTAATTAGCATCGTTTTCGGTTCACAGCTTAGACCTAGAAGCTTGGGAAGCTTTAACAAAATTAGGGTTTAGGAATTATTCAATTTTTTTGTTTTCCCTTTTCAATTATGTAACCTCTGATCTTTATAAGAAGTGAAAATAGGTTCCGTTGTGGCTCTGATGGAACTTTTCATGCTCAAGGCAGCTTGTGTCTATGCTGATATACAGCTTATCCATTTACTTGTGTTTGAGGTTCTTGAAAAGGTTCTTTCTCAGAAGGCATGATGTCTTTTAGTGTTCTTATCTTATTTGTGGGGATGCTGTATCTGAATAACAGTGTAGGGATGTTGCTTTCTCGAGAGACCCTATCATGGAAGCTTTGTAATCAAACAAATTCGCTGAATATGTTATTTGCTCCCATGCCTAATTGTTCTCAAATTTATTCATCACTTGTATGTTTTCATGGAAATAATAGTCTTTTGCCCGTTAACTACGGAACTCAACAGTGATTCAGAGATTTGACAGCCTCAACTATTTTGAACTTCATTTTCGAAAGGAAACATCTTGGATCTTTTTAGCCCTACATTCATCCTTCCTATTTAGATTATCTTTTTAATTATTTGCGGAGAAACTTGAACTCTTGTGTTTTTGTTCTGCCTATATCTTACTGAATGTTCTTTTGAGACATATAGTTCCATTATTTATTTAACTCCTTGATTGGAAAATATCCATTCTGAGAAATCTTTTGTTCATATTTATTCCTTAAAGAGTCCAAGCCTTGATATTGTCACCAACAAGGGAGTTGGCTTCCCAGACAGAGAAAGTAATACTGGCAATCGGTGACTACATAAATGTACACGCGCATGCTTGCGTTGGAGGCAAAAGCGTCGGTGAGGACATAAGAAAACTGGAGCATGGAGTTCATGTGGTTTCTGGTACTCCTGGACGAGTTTGTGACATGATTAAGAGGAAGACATTACGAACTAGGGCAATCAAAATATTAATCTTGGTGAGTTTTATTTTCTCGATATAGCTATTTATGACTTTCTGATTTTGCTAAGAAATATATATATTTAAGTGTGCTATACCCTTGCTAGGATGAATCTGATGAAATGTTGAGCAGAGGATTCAAGGACCAGATTTATGATGTTTACAGATATCTACCTCCAGAACTGCAGGTAATCTCTCTTGCTCTCGGCGGGTGTGTGTCCACATGTGCAGCATGAATAAAATTGTTATTTTTGGTGTATCTAGTTATCTTCTCCTATTTTTGGTGAATAAATTTGAGATTTGTTGAAATATATACACTAGAGAACTGGTTAGAAATTCAATCCCACTGTACAATTCTAATTAAGAAATATAATTGCTGTGTTGCTTCAGATGTTGCCATTTTAATTTAAGAATTAGAAGATAGTGCTAAGTGATGTAGAAAACATATTTGGTGGCCTTTTGGGAATCACGACTCCTCGTGTAAATGTGAATAGTGAAACTCCTGCCCTGGCCTTTATTTTCTTAAAGAATTTTAGAGCAATGCTCATAGTAAAATCATTAAAAAGGGCACTTATAAGTGTTAACTTCAATAACAATGTATTTAGTTTAAACGTCTCTGACAGTCATCTTTGAAGTGATCTGTGCAATTTTCCTGATAATATGCCAATTTGACAAATTTACTTTTGTTTTGTGTTTTTAACTTTTTCAGTGTTTCATACTTTCATATACGTTTACATAATTTATGCTCTGCACATTCCCTGAATAATGCTTATTAGGTGTAATTATTCTCGTAGGTTGTCTTGATATCTGCCACTCTTCCAAATGAAATATTGGAGATGACAAGCAAGTTTATGACTGATCCTGTTCGGATCCTTGTGAAGCGTGATGAGTTGACTCTTGAGGTATAGTTTTGCACATTTACTTTCAATTCTAAGTATTTAATATTTCTGTACGCCTTTTCTTTGTGTACAATTACCTTTTCTTTGTGCGCAAGTTTCGAACACCTTCATTCATGTGGAACACTGTTGGGCTGTTCTGATGTGTAAACGATGTAGTTTTTGCATTTTCTGATTTCTGTAGTATTTTTCTGTGACAGGGCATTAAGCAGTTCTTTGTTGCAGTAGAAAGAGAAGAATGGAAGTTCGACACTCTTTGTGATTTATATGATACCCTTACAATTACCCAGGCTGTGATCTTCTGCAATACGAAACGAAAGGTAATTTCTTTTGCTAAGTCTGCATTCTCATGTTGGAACTGTCAACTAAAGGGTAGTCATATGAAGTGATGTTCTTAATGGTACACAATAATTATGAGTCGAGAGAATATGTTAGGCCAGTATATTTATGCTCTTCTTGTGTTCGTTTCAGGTTGATTGGCTTACTGCAAAAATGCGGGAGAATAACTTCACCGTCTCATCCATGCATGGAGATATGCCTCAAAAGGAGCGAGATGCAATTATGAATGAATTTCGATCTGGCCAGACCCGAGTTCTTATCACCACAGATGTTTGGGCCAGAGGATTGGATGTTCAGCAGGTACTCTTACTCTACTTTTCATGAATGTCTACCCTTAACGCTACACAAAATTTGTCCTAGATATCATCGTAATTTCCCATCTACTTTCTTGTCCAATGATTGGCAAAATTTGACCAGCTGAGATGAGGTGCAAAGTATGAAGCACTTGGAATAAACAAACTTTTAAAATTTTTAATCTTATCAGTCAGTCTTGCCTGTACATTCGGTGAATGGATATTATATTAAGGAGTAATGCTGGTTTATAACTGATTTTTTTGTAGGTTTCTCTAGTGATCAATTATGATCTGCCCAACAATCGAGAGCTTTACATTCATCGCATAGGGCGATCTGGTCGGTTTGGTAGAAAGGTAAGTTCTCTATGTTTCTTCCATGATGTTAAAATTTTGTTATAAATTCAGGGTGGGATTTTGAGATATAAGATTTGAAATGCTCTGTTTGCATTCGTTGCAGGGTGTTGCTATCAATTTCGTGAAGAGCGATGACATCAAAATTCTAAGAGACATCGAGCAGTACTACAGTACACAGATTGACGAAATGCCAATGAACGTCGCTGATTTGATTTAAAGATCCGTTCGATTATTGCATACACCAGAAGTTCAGTACAAAGCTGCAGATTCGTAATGGGGGATGGATTGCTATGGACTTATTTGGGATCGACTACTTTATTCCATTCGACCGGTTGTGTGGTTTCTCTGGCGTGCTTTTGAGTTGATTGTCAGCTAGCTATACGATACTTCAATGATAACTTACTGTTGGCCTTCTTTAATTTCTTGTGGTGATTGAGCTTGCTAAACCTAAATCTAATGTTTATTTTTCATGTGTAACTTTTTGTATGTCTATGGCTTTTTCTGGTTTGTGATTCACCCTGAAATTCTGTCTAAAGCTATTCCTAAATCAATGTTTTATGGTTTGTTTACTTGTTATCTATTACCATTTTCGACATCTATAGTTGGGTATAAACTACAGCTAAGGCACAAATTTCTTGCAAAAACATCAACTACAATATAAACTCCATCAATGCATTCAATATCACATATAATTTTCATATAGATACCGTAAAATGTTTAAAGCTCAAACCATAACGTTGTTACCTAGTAGCCAATATCACTCGGATCGCCTGTGTACTCCGCAATCTGCTCGAGCCTCACTGTGTGTATCTCCCGAGTATCGGCATCCTGAACTACCCCCGTCTCCTTATCCGAGTCCCGTTCGAGCAAACTCCCATACACGCCTTTGTGTCTACCATACAACACGATCACAGGCCCCCCGCGCTTTGGCAGTGCAGTCTCCAATAAATCTTGATCGACCCCTTGTACCAATTCCCGACTCCCATCCATCGAAATATCACATACTCCCGGCCCGACTACGTCCACGACCATTCCCTTGCTCAAAAACAATCTCCCATTTTTCAATTCTTCACTCACTACCCTCACCCTAATATTGTTCCTCAACCAATTCACCCTATCCGTCGTCGACTTCTCGTCATGCCCTCTCTTCCTCGACTGCTTTTTACCCTTTTCGCCGTTTATATCATCTTTCTCCTTGGTTTTCAGCTCCTTCATCATCCTCACACACTTCTCCTCCTCGGCCGAGCCCACCATTGCTACAGCCCGGGATTGCACTTTCACCTTCTCATTGCTTCTTGATATCCTCAACACCAATGTGTCTCCCCCATGCCTCACTTCGACGATCTTCCCAACTGTTCCGAACTCCTTTCCGTGCACAACTCTCACCTCTTTGCCCACATCAAACCCTTTCTTCTCCTTCTGATCTTCACTTCTCTTCCTCTCAACTTCCCCATTCTCGACTTTCTTCCCATTGTTATCCAGTCGATTTTCCGGTAATTCTCCGGTGAACCCTAACCCTCCTTTGCCTGCCTTCCTTTTGATCTCATAGACTTTCACATCCTCTTTGGCATTTCGCCCTATTCCTCTTCCCTCCTTCCATCCCTGCCTGGAAAGCACTGCTAAGGCAAACGATTCGACAGGGACATCATCGTAGTCATCCATTCCAGGCTCCTCCGAAAGCTTCTCCAAATCTTCCCTCAATCTCCGCAACTCCATTTCCGCAATTGTTTCGTGACCTCGAGTTGGATCCTCGGCCGACCGTTGGCGGATATTGAGCCCGTAACCCATGGAAGTGTCGGAGCCGGCCTCAGGCTTGCCGCCGGTATCCACCTCGAATTGCAGGACCGAATCGTTTGGTTGGGAAAGGTCCGGGAGGTTTTTGAGTTTCTTATTTGGCGGCCAAGTGTTCGGCTCAATTGGCTTGATCTTGGACTCCGGCGGCGGCGGAGCTTTTGCGGAAAACTCTGTCACGTAGTTCCGGGCAGATGAATCGGACGGCGCCGCCGCGGCGTCGGCGAAGGATGCCGTCGGCTTTTTGAGGCGATTCGATTGCGATTTCGCGTTAATTGAAAACGATAAACTCATCCTGCCCCTTGAAACCGACGATTGTGGAGAAGTAAGACACGCGACAATCTTCCAGATACGATGTTCCGTCGAATCACCGGAAATGAGAAAACCTAATTAGGGTTTCGGGAATTCGACAGACCGAGAGATGCGCGTTTGTGCAGAGGTCTATGTAAAGAAAATCTATTTTAAAAGAAGACTATAATACGGTAAAGAATAATAAAGATAGTATTTTTATTTTATTTTAATTTATTCCAATTATTTTAAAATACCCAATTTGTCCTTGCAAACCCAAAACCCTAATTTCCTCCATTCTCAATCAATCTATCTCTGTAGACTGCAGACAGCAATGGACAAGAACAACCAGGAGGAAGAAGATCAAATCGTGACTCCATGGGAAGTGGCTGCTGATAAGGGCGGCAAAATCGACTATGATAAGCTAATCGACAAATTTGGCTGCCAGCGCCTCGATCAGTCCCTCATCGACCGTGTGGCTCGTCTCACGGGTCGCCCGCCGCATGTCTTCCTCCGTCGCGGCGTGTTCTTCGCCCACCGAGACTTCAGTGATATTCTCGACGCTTATGAGAAAGGGGAGAAGTTTTATCTGTACACTGGTCGTGGTCCGTCGTCCGAAGCATTGCATTTGGGGCATCTCGTGCCTTTCATGTTCACCAAGTAATTAAAATTCCGAGTTTCTGCTATTTTGTATATTTCTTGTCTAATTTGCCTCAAGATTGAACGTTTTGGGGTTTGATTTTGTAAATTACTGTCGGGCTCGTTTTTTTATTTCCATGAAAAGATTTATCTTGAAAGGTTTTTGAAATTCTGTTGTGGTGATAGATATCTGCAAGATGCATTCAAGGTGCCTCTAGTGATTCAGTTGACAGATGATGAGAAATGCATGTGGAAGAATTTGACAGTGGAAGAAAGCCAGAGACTTGCAAGAGAAAATGCTAAAGATATTATTGCTTGTGGATTCGACGTTTCGAGGACATTTATTTTCTCCGATTTTGATTATATTGGAGGGTGGGTGATATTCATTGAATTTCCATGTTTTATCCCTGCCACATTTTTGATTAATCATTAAAAAAGAATATTGTTCTTGGTAGTATGATCTGTTTCTACTTGATGCCGCCGGATTAGTAGTGCTGCTAATTTATGTTGTTCTGATTGCTGTCCGGAGGCCATATTATGAAATAGTAAATTGATTAAGGAGCGAAGGTTGGTTGAATTCTTACTTTCTATGTCATGTTAAGGAATAAAGAGAATCCAAGAGATTGGTACTTTTTGAAATTGTAATTTAGATTTAGCTACTAATTTATAGATTCACGGGGATTATGCCAGAATGGAAAACCCATGCTTATTCTACAAGATTTTCTATGCATTCTAGTCGGCACTGCCATAAGAACTCATTGGTTCATTGATGCTTCTGTTACATTCAATTATGTGAAGAGAGCTTCCAGAATTGTGTTGAATTATTTCTTGATTCGATATTATCTTGCATATCTGTACAAGCATAAGAATACCCTTCACCTCATAAAGGATGTGTCGAATCTTTTTGGTGCAGTATAATTAGTTTAAGTCAACAATCTTCTTGTTTTTCCTCATAAGTATTTTCTCGGATCTTGTGCAGTTCCTTCTACAAGAATATGGTCAAGATTGCTAAGTGTGTCACATACAATAAGGTGCGTAGTAATTTAAGAAACAACTTGTTTAGAATTATTGCGGATCATCTTTCTACACGTTACTAAATCAAACCGAAATATGATGCCTAATTGAGGTTGTAGGTGGTTGGTATTTTTGGTTTTACTGGCGAAGATCACATTGGTAAAGTGAGCTTTCCGCCTGTTCAGGTATGAGACTTTTTAACCCTTACATTAAGAGCTACAGAATTCAGAATAAATTCCTTCATACCGTCATTAAATTTGTGATATATATATATATTTTTACCATTATGAAATTATATGCAGTATTTAGTAGATAACATGAGTTATACCAACGCAAATGGAAGCTTTATCATTGCTGAAATTAATAGTTCATTTAACATGCATACTGTCAGGCGGCTCCTTCCTTCCCCAGTTCATTTCCACACCTGTTCTCCGGTAAAGATAATCTTCGGTGTTTGATTCCTTGTGCGATTGACCAGGTCCTCTTTCATTTCTCTTACTGCACCTTATTTGTTCTTTCCATATTTTCTTAATTATATATTTGCTTTTAGAATTTTGGTTGTAAATAGAACAACACAAAATGAGATGGCTCGACTTCAATGGAAAATATTTTCACGGTATACTTTGTTTAATATATGTGACCGGTAGGATAAGGTTGTCATTGGTGAATGTAAACTTGCAGATTGAATGTGGCGATGAATTGGCTTATAGAGTGTCGGTTTTCTAATGCATCTGAAAATTGAAATGATGACTTAATCTAGTGTACTTTATATCGTATGCTTTTGTTCTTTTTAACTTCTGTGTGTTTGAGCGACTGAGTGAACTTTAATTTTGATGGCTTTTTGCAGGATCCTTACTTTCGAATGACACGGGATGTTGCACCTCGGATTGGTTATCACAAGCCTGCCTTGATTGAATCATCATTTTTTCCTGCACTTCAGGTTTCAATCTTTCGATTTTCTTGACAATCACTTTTTAATTTGATGTCTTCCTATGCTTACAAATCTTTCGTCTGTACCTTTATGCAATTTATATCTGCAGGGAGAGACAGGGAAAATGTCCGCGAGTGATCCGAATTCTGCTATATATGTGACTGACACTGCCAAGGACATTAAGAACAAGGTTGTCTAAAGATTTTATTTTTTTATTTTTCTAAATCTTCTGTAAATGTTCCAAATTAAATGGTCGGGAAATCCGGTTCCATATTTTATTCAAACTACGGTGCAGGTAAATCGGTATGCATTCTCTGGTGGGCAAGATTCAATAGAAAATCACAGGAAGTTTGGAGCAAACCTCGAGGTATAAGACTTTCATCTGTGCTGATTTTATTTGCATATCGGACTTAATCTGAGTGCGCCGGCGATAGAATTTTTCGTTATTACAAAATCTGAGAACTGTTCTTCTGCTTCGACATTGTAATCTAACTGTGAAAAAGAGCACGCCCTATATATCCAAATAACCCGTTTCGCGCATGCTCCATTCTTATTTTTATTTGTAGGTTTAATTGCATAATCTTCGTTTTTTCAAGAGCTCTAACTGTTTATCAGGTCGACATCCCGGTTAAATATCTTGGTTTCTTCTTGGAGGATGATGCGGAACTCGAACACATCAGAACGGTTAGTGCTGTTTATATTCTGTTTTGAGCTGTAATGGCGAATACATAATTTAAATATTCAACCCGACAATCCACAACCCTTATCTCTCTACTGTCTCCACACAGGAATACGGCACAGGCCGTATGCTAACTGGTGAAGTAAAGAAACGGCTTATCGAAGTTTTAACCGAATTGGTTGAAAGACATCGCAGAGCTCGAGCTGCTGTAACCGACGAGGTAACATTTATATATCCTGTCTGATTTTCTTCGATCTTTGTTTAATAAAGAATGTGTGTCGTGCCGATGCAGATGGTCGATGCGTTCATGGCTGTAAGGCCTCTTCCCAATATGTTCAGTTGATCCTATGAACCATAAATTTCAATTATCTATTATTTTGGGAGGATGTCCGAAGAGGCATTTCCTACGACGAATCGAACACGGAAAGGATTGTAAGCTTATTCGCCCAAAGAAATTGTTGTCTTTTTTTCTTGGATGTGCTTTCGTAACTATAAAGTTTTTGGCTTTGATTTAAATTTTAATATTATTTCGATGTTTTTTTTTTTAAAAAAATAATTTATTTTTATAGAAAATTATTTGAATTTGAAATTCAAGCTGGACGCATCTTTTATTTTTCGTTTGAATTAATGCACAGGGAATATTTATTTTTGTCAATATAATTTTTAAAAATATATGTTTCTATTAGATAGAAATCTAGAAAAATATTAAAATATTAATAATATAATATACTCTCTCCGATATCCCTATGTTTCGATTAGATAGAAATTTAGAAAAATACTAAAATATTAATAATGTAATATATTCTTTTTTTGGTCGTTCAATTGTGTGTTTATTTGATCGAGTACAAATTTTAAAAAAAATAAACAAAAAATAGAAATTTTTATTGTTTTGGATAAAAAAAAAAGTAGAATAAGTGGTATTATTTTATTAAAAAAATAAAAATAAATTTGGATGACAGTAATATTTTTGTGAGAAATAAAAGAAAAAGAAAGAATATTTTATATAATAATTTTGCTGTCGAAAAATATGAGATCAAAAAAGCAAAAATAAGGAGATAAATAAGTATCATCCCATTTTATGCCACATAATCCAATTAATTGGAACATATAATATATACTCCCACTCCAAAGGGATTGTTTTGGAGTTTTATATTTATATGGATAAATAATAATATTTTATTGAATAATAAAAATGAGTAAGATAATTTTAATATTTTTATTTATTTATATTATATATAAAAATTAATGTACAAATAATAATATATTTATAATTTATTTTAAAAATATTTTGGTATTAATATAATTACTTTGGTATTTTAAGTTTGACATACAAAAATTATAAAATTATAATGTATTTGTTTTTAAATTTTTATTTTCCTAAGAGAGAGATATATATATATATATATATAAGAGAGTATATTTATTCTTCTAAGAGAGATATAAATAAAAAGTGTTTTGAATGAATTTTACATGATGTATGATGGTATATGTTATGAAATTAATTAAATTAGTTTATATTTGTTAAGTATGTTTTTATTTAATAAATTTTACCCAAAAAATAAGAAAGATATCAATTGTTATAAAATAAATAAAAATAAAAAATATGTCAATTAAGATATAGCGAAAATTACTAATCTATTTACTATTAATTACTCTCGTCATCCTAATTCAAATTACCATTTTTACTATTATCGTATGTTGTATTTCAAAGTATCAATTTTCTATTTTAGAAAAAGTAACCATACATTAATACAAAAATACTACTATCAATTTTTACTTAGACATACAATTACTTTATATAAAAATGTCAAAATCTCTTATACAATTTCATTAATAAATTAAATATTACTATTTTTTAATTTACTACAAAATCTCATATCACTTTTTAAAAGGAGGAAGGGAGTATAAAATTAATGTACGGGAGTTTTGAGTTTTGATAAATGAAAATTTTGATTTTATTACTCCCTCCGTCCTATAACAAACTATCCATTTTTCCATTTTAGTTCGTCCCATAACAAAGTATCTATTTCCTTTTTAGCAACTGTACTATCTACCTAACATTACAAATACCCTTACAACTTATAATATATTACATAAATATCATTACATTTATATTACACGTACTAATAAATTTATTTTAGTCATTTCTATTATATTTTAATATAATACTAATATTTTTAAAAATACGTGCAAAAAGCGAGGGTCTAACGTAATCTTATTAGCCCTAGAAAATGACAGAATCTGAATTCGAGTTAGGTCAGGAAATAAAGGTGGTGTAATTACTTTTTAGTCCACGCACACTAAAATCAAACAGCCATTAAATAAATTTTCTTAGGAGTTTCTTCGCAACTCTACGATATTGTCTTTCAATAAAATAATGCAAAAAGAAACAATTACCACTAAAATAAATAGAGGCCTGCATGTGTGTATTTTTAAATATGTATTGATCACGTAATCGAATGAAAGATATGATTATATTTAAGTAGTCGGCCATACTTTTTAACTTTTTCTACCTCATCTAAAAAGAAATAAAAAAATAAAAAATAAAAAATAAAATGAAAAAGAGAGAAGAAGCCGCTTGTAATAGTTTTTTGGGGGTGAGGTTATAAATAGAATGACCATTTTCAGAAAAAAGACAGAAAGAAAGAATATTTAGAAAAAAAAAAAAAAAAAATGTTGGATTTGGATTTGAGATACATTTCAGTTGTTATAATCAACATAATGAAATCACATGAAGCAATGGCATGGGAGTGGGATGCATTTGGTGTGGCAAGTGATCTCACTTGGGTCAAGTTTTGGTTTCTTGTTTTGGCCTTATCCATATTCTCCTTTGTCTCGATTAAGGTTCCCTTATTTTCCTTAGTATCTTCGAACCCCACAAGATTCTTGCATCTCCAAGTTAAAAGATTCTCTATCCCCCACATGGTTTTTTTCTTGGCTTCGATCTTTGTCCCACAAATTCTATTTTGGTATCTCTACCCTACCCTTTTGTTACTTGTTCTATTCTACAAATCTTTGTCTAAGAAATTGTGGGATTTTGTTCATTGGGTTCAAAATACTATCCCGGAAATTAACTTATTCGTCACCGCCCAAAATAGCTTCCTTGAAGAAGAAGAAGAAGAAGAAGATGATGATGGTGATGATGATCAAGAAGGAAGAGGGAATGCTTAGGTGAAGAACAAGTTTGGATCGATTGCTGTAATAATAGTTTATATTGTACACTTGTTTTTGGTTATATACATCTTGTGTTGGTATAGAATAGTTGAATCCTACATGTTTTTCAATATATGTACTTGGTTTTAAGTGTAACAATGTTTATATGTTGTGGCTATAATAGATTAAACAATTTAAAATTTAATTATAGCAGTAAAGGCTATTAGATCATCTTCAATCATATTCAATTTAAAAATATATTTTTATTATTATTATTATTATTATTATTATTATTATTTTCATTAGTCACACACAAAAATATTTATTTTTTATTTTATTAAAAATATTCATACATTAATACTCTAAGTATTTTAAAATTTTAATTCGTTGCAATTCAAATTATTACTTTTATAATTTTTATCCGTTCAAAGTATTTATTTTATATTTTAATAAAAAAATAATAGTATATTAACATCAAAATATTCTTGATTTTTATTTAAATTATAAATATACAATTATACGTAATATTATTTTTTAATTTACTATAAAATTCTATGGAAAGAAAATGGAATATTATTTTTGAACTTCTTCTTTTAGTGGAGAACACCTACACTCAAATCACATATATTCAGAAAACATCAAATGATTAATTTTTACTTCGATTCGATTAGATATAAATTCAGAATGGCTTCGAGGGAGAAGAAGATCAACGAGAATTGTGAAACAACAAATCTTGAAGTCAGTGAAGAAGAAGAAGAACAACTTTTGAATCACAATCAGCACCACCGTGTTTGAAGCCCTGTTCAAAAACACCGACCTAAGATTCAGTCGCCGGAGAAAATCAATCTTCGCCAACTATTTGCAGGCTCAATCTATAAAATTCTCCCACTTAATCTACAAAAAATCAACGGAGGGCCAGAGATACGACCCGATTCCTCAATCCAAATCCCAAATCTAACGAATCAAGCAGTAGCAATTCGGATTTTATGTGCACACGGAAGGTGTTCGACGAAATGCTTGAAAGAAAATGATCTCCCTACAGCGGCGCCGGAGTTTCGCCGGCGTTATTCCTCCGGCGAAATTATTGCTTCCAATCAATCGAAACCAGAGTCGCAATCTCGTCAATGTGAGGCTCAAGTGGATAAAGAATTCTGTTCTTGATTCCGCCGTGTCCGCCGATATAGGCCTCAAAGCTACTTGCACTCTGGTTTCACTAATCGGTTCCCGCCATGATCGTGCTCTTCCGATTCATAGTATTTCGAAATATCGCCGGCAGCTCGGCCTCCCCGGCGACCTCAAACTCACGACATTCATTCGCCGGCACCCGAATATCTTTCACGAGTTTTACAGCCCAGATTCCGGCGGCACTCCTGTTCCATGGTATAAATTGACGCCGGAAGCATCGGATTTGTATCGCCAAGAAACGATCGCCGTTTACGAGATTGTATCGGTGACATTTTGTGCCGGCTGCAAAAGTTGCTCATGCTAGCGAAAGATCGATTACTTCCCCTGCAAACTATTGATCAGCTGAGGTGGGATTTGGGGCTACCGTACGACTACGAAAGAACGATCGTCCGAACCATTCGGATCTCTTCGATTTTTTCGACCTCCCAGAAGGGCGTCGAGGCGTCAAACTATTACCTTGGGATGATTCTTTGGCAGTATCGTGTTTAGCGTCGAGAAATTCGAATCTTGCACGAAAAGACGACGCATTGGAGTTTCTGGTCAGGTTTCCGAGGGCATTCGGTCTGAAAAGGAAGTGCGTCGAATGGTTAAACGAATGGCAAAAGTTACCGTACACTAGTCCTTACGTTGACGCGTCTCATTTGGATCGAAGAACGGATGTCTCGGAGAAGAGAATCGTCGGGGTGTTTCGCGAGCTTCTTCACCTTACGATCCTCCGGAAAACGGAGCGGAAAAATGTGAGTAACAGGTGCACGTACGCCGTTTTCGATGCCTCAGAAGTTCATTAAATTATTCGAAAGGCATCCCGGGATTTTTTACGTATTGAAGAAGGGGGGCGTGCAGACGGTTGTTCTTAGGGAGGCGTACGATCACGGGAAGCTCGTTGAGAAGCATCCGTTGGTCGACGTGAGGGCGAAGTATGCGATTGCGATGAAGGAGGGGTATTTGGATCGAAGTGGAGGATTGTATAAGAAATCGAGGATAGCGCGCCGAATGTCGGCGGCGGCGAGTGTGTGAATCGGAAACGGAGAGTGATTGTGATTTGCTTGAGGAGTATGAATCGGATGAAGAGTGTTAAGAGTGAGTCTTTGGCTGGATTGGTAGTTTTGCTTTTGGTTGAGATCAAATGGCGTTAGCTCATTTTTGGATGAATTGATTTTTAATTGCTGAATCTGTTTTCTTCAAGTGT